GGAAATTTAACGCTGTATCTGGCTTTAACAACATAAATGGATTACCCACGATATCAACATAGGTAAAGACGTAATTCGATGAAACTGCTTTTCACATTTTAACAGTCGAGTTACAATTATAAGCTAGTGAAAGCATTATTATCCATTTCAAGTAAAACAAAAAGAACAAGGGCAATCTGCCACGAATAACGACACGTGTAACTGTCAGCTAAGCCGTGGCTGTCTAAGCGGGTCACGCAACTCTCCACCCGCCACTCTTACATTCTGTTTCCTTTTTCAAGCATTTATGTTTTCTTTTTAAGTTTAAAGGAAAGCGAGCACAACTACATCGAGTAGCTTTGGCAACTGAGAATATTTCTTTAAAGATAGAAAACAGATCGTCAACCTCGCTTGAACTGAAAAGGATGTGACCTTCACCCTTAGGACTTCTTTCTTTAAAAGGAACTTGGATTTATCTTTAAGTCTAATTTTAATGAAGTTGCGTCACGGTTTGGTTAATCGTTTTACAGACTAGAAAACCTCTCATGAATACTCATAAAAGAAAAAGAATAGAGGTTTGCCAGGGTATTAGAACAGAAAAGAAGTAACGCCACATCGAAAGGGAAAACGGAGATGTTAAGTTTGAATTGCACAAGCCGTTATAAATAGCTATTTTAACCTTTTCACACACAATATTTAAATCAAATTAAATTTTTTACATTGTATGCCAAATATGTCTCATTATAATCGGCTTTTTAATCAAACATTTGTTATCCTTATTGATATTTTCCATTTTCTCATGACTTTTTCTCTTTTCCCGTCCCTCATCCCGTTGACATATGGGTTTGTAGTTGAGCATTGCAACGGGGTTTGTTTACTGTTTAGCTATCCCTTGCGTTTAAACGGAACACATTCCATTCCCAACGAATTGCATAGACGTGGAGTTAACGTAAATTTCTCCCGCTTTACTGTGCGAACAACACCTTATTTCATTACGAGAGAGAGTGGCATGAATTATACACTCTAGGCACTCAGCCGAGCTGGGGAAGGAAAACAGCATTATACAAGAAGAATGCCTCCTGTGTTTTAAACACTAGTTCTTCCTGGGTCATTGGTTGTCGTGGGGAAAAGGCTCCAGTTGACAAACTTTCTAATAGAACAAAAAAAATCTTTGTCTTAGGATGGAGTAACAAGAGTAAAGCATACTATATAAAGGTGATTAAAGTCTAAAAGCCCTTTGAGGTATCAGACTATTTTTTCTTTTTAATTCTTCTCCTTAAAGATTGACACTTCTGATGCCGACGAAGTTTCCATTAAAGAAAGAGCTCATTCTTGTTCTTTTTCCTGAAATCTTTTAAGTCAAGGGTGTTCACAGGTGGTCTATTAACGTGCACGTGACCCTTTCTCAACCATTCGCAGAAGGGAAAGTGCTGATGACACAACTTTAAAGAAAAAGATTACTGCTTCCAGATCCTAGGTGCAATTTAACTCAAGTGTACCGCCTTCCTTTTAAAAATTCACTAGGTCAATCGGTATTGTTGGCTTTAGCTGGGTAATATGACTGAATAGAACTGTACGATTTGATTTAAATATGCCACTGTTTTGGTCTATTGACTCTCTATACAAATATCCACATTGGCTCTGTTTGCTTGGGTTATTGCTCATTTAAAAAAAGGAGGAATATGATTCATGGATTTGAAATGATCATGAACCTTGAATAACCCAGATGTTTTTTCTATATTATTATGGGAAGCTAATCAGATTTATCGGCATGAATCACCTGAAGACAAAAGTATTTAATACCAGATTGTCTTCATAAGCCCAAGCAATTTCCTCTGTTGCATGTAATATAGATTTCACTTTGTTTTCTAACCAACAGGTGGTTAACCCAATCGCCATTTTGCAAGGAAGACTAATAAATCTGGGAGTAAGCTGCTCCCAAGCTCCTTCTCACATCAAAGAAGGCTGTCTACTCTTCAAACTGGAGGGAAACATTACCTGTAAGCTCATGTTTGGTTGAGTATTCATGGACATTGTAAAAGAGCATTTTCCTAACTGCGTCAGACCATCCTCCCATGTTGATTGGCTTGATTTGCTCAGAAAGTCTCTTTTTATTACTGCTGAAGTTCAGCAGATAAAACACTTTCAGACGGATTGCTCAGTACAATTGCACGATTTCCTGAACGCTTTAAAACTAGTTAGCGACCTACTGGGCGGATAATAGTATTCAGTTTCCGTTAAACCAGGCCTTTTGTATCAACTTTTTATAAGTTAAAATTCTTTCATTTCCTTAATCTGTTTGGGATGCATCGAAGGGTATGTCATATATTCTTTTCTTAACAATGAGCACGTTAGCCGCTGTCATCCTTAACGCAAGAAACGGGTCTGGTGAACAGATATAAATGAACCTATCTCTTAATCAATCTTGATGGTTTTCAGGTCCCGTAGAATACTCAATGGGGTCAACACTAAGTCCTGCAACTTCATCTGTACTGCATTCATAACCTTTTACCGCTTTCTGGTGCTCTACGGTACGATTACCTTAGATACTGAAAAATATCGAAAAATTTGTAAATAGAATAAGCGCATGCCTATGTGTGTAATACTTAGAGAGCGAGAGACCTTTGATGGGGTATTTTTTAGAAAAACAAACCGGGGAAATATAACAAAATTTGGAAGGTATGGGTTAAATGTTGGAAATATGTACTCATGCCACGCCCTCTATGGCTCTCCTCCATACTGCCGGGTTATACCATTGATATTACAGAAAAAAAGCTTGAAAACGATCGTGTTTGTAGTAGGCATTTTTTATCAGGTCATCCAGCGAAAGATTGGGATCGCATGGACATTGACTTGATTCCAACCCAGAATCTTGGCCATTCAAAACGCCAACAAGCAAATCAAGTAAATGTCGAGAGGGTTCAGCGACGTAAGCCCATTATAAGTCGTCATATTTTCAAATATGGGCAAAGTGGGTACTTTTTAAAAAGCTGAGACTCATAAAAGTGTGCAATTTGAGGTTTAGTAAATTGCACACATCAAGACGTCTCAATGAGCCTGGTGAGACTGTCCAGGGAATATTTGTTGACACGAAAAGCGATGACAACTTCAGTCATGGAGATGATGTGAGCCAAGATGGCGGCCTACAACACTTAGACATAGAAGAAGAAATCTCACTTTACCAAGAAACTCAAACTGAGACCAAGGATCTATCTGTTTTGTTTCCAAGGCATGGGGAGGGAGAACCTCTGACATATTTTTAATAGAAAATGTGGACTTTTAGAGAACTTAAAGCCAGTTGACCTTGTAATGGCTGATAGGGGATTAACTATTGAAGAGAGCCTAGCCCTCAAGCTAAATTGGCAATCCTTGTTTTTAATAAAGAAAAAGAGTCAACTGGATCCAAAAATCAGGGTAATCGACAATGTGTGTATTCAAATTGAAAGGGTAATTGGACTGCCAAGACAGAAGTACAATATTCTACAAAGAATACTACCAATTGATCACCTGATGAGCACAAGATCAAGCTCATATCCAATGGTTGATAGGATGATTAGGGTTTGTTATTCACTTCCAAATCTTTGTCCATCAGGGGTACCTTTTGATTGAATCGAGCATCAACAGACCTTATTCAATGACCCTTGTTTACCAATTCATTACTCTTGGCAGATACTTATCCTTGCTGAAAATGCTTTATCAGGAAAACATGACAAAAGTTTACCTTAAACAAAGACTTGCCTATGCCATGCAAAGGGCATGGTATTGGGAAAATATTGAGGCCAGCGCATAAGGTCTATGCCCTTTCTTGTCCACTACTGAAGGACAAACCAACAAAATATATGTTTATCTCATTGGTAATGCTCATATATTGTTATTAATTTTTAAGAGTCAGTTTGTTTTGTCCTTCAAATTGAGCTGTAAGGGAGTCCACTATGTTTGGTCTGAATACTGCATCATCTATCATACAGTTACCAGAATGCTGTTTAGAAATGTACTCCTTTGCTCCTTTTAGTTAGTACTTTTGCACAGGTTAGGTATGATCACTCTAATAAAATAATAGAATCATCATCATCATTTTGAGTACAAACACAAAAGTGTGCAACATAAATAGCATTGCATGCCTGCAATTTTTGTACTCTAATGATCAAAAGCATAATTCGCTTTGATTAAAATATACATGATACTTAATGTTTTGCATATACCTTTTTCATTTCTTGATTGGTTCACTACAATAGTTTTTATGGAGTGTTTGAGTCATAGCACAATCATAGCATGATTTGTAGTGGTTGGCAAATTTTGATTTGTATGGAGAATTTAAATTTTAATACATCATACTGAGAACTGAGTATGATTTACCAGATGAGATTTTGTGGACAGTACAGATAAAAATTACACTGCATAGTATAAATATAGCGATAACAGCTGCAGTCCTTCATATTTGGAACTTACTGAAAGTATTGTAAATGGTATTTTATCATAATAACAGTATTCTTATCATTCTTAGGTTTATTTAAAGGAATATTTAATGCAATTTCATATTTGAAGAAATAGATGTGCAGTGAATCTACCAATCAATAAATACTTAATTCAGTACTTTAAAATGTTGGAAAAATTCCATCTCCCCTAATTTTAAGCACCTCAAAAGATGTATTTGTGTACGTGGAGTGTCAAATTGTACTGTTTGTGGTAGAATCCCATAAGTCAGACATGTGGCAAATGCAGCAGCAAACACTCTACAATCACTACCATTGTTCTGTTGTTGAACAGGAACAACTTACAAACCACAGTAGTTGTTTGTACCAACCTAATTGATGACCTGTTCTTCAACTTCCTTTTCTATAAACATTGTGATATAGCCAGCTGTCACATAAATTGACTTTATCATTGCTAACCCTAGTGGAACTAACACAAGTTGAGCACTTAAAGCACAAACAGGACATAGCCAGGTTGTCTTTGCATTATTAGGCTTTTGCTTATAATGTAAACATGCAAAATGAAAAATCTGGGATGGTTTTAAAATTTCATTTTGTTTGCGGAGATTCCGCCTGAAAGTCTAAGTTACGTTTAATGTCACGTTTAGTGTCACTGGCTGGAGTTTTATCACTTGTAGCATCCAATTTGTCGATTGAAACATCGAGTTTTTGTTTCAGTTTTTTAGCAGATCTGAAATCAATATCTTCCACTTCTGCATACGGCACGTCTTTTACATAGGATGACATACTCCACGCACATTTTAAATCAGTACACGCCAGTTTCCCTCGTAATCTGTCGAAGGTTCCGATATAAAACAACACACTGGCAATGTGTGAATAGCACTCACATTGACCAGCCATGCAGCCGCGGCAATGCGCGTTTGGATTGTTCCATTATTTTCTGTAATTATCCACAATGAAAGACAAGGATCGTTCAGTTTTTGAGGGTGACGAACCTTTCCATGTACCACAAACGTTCCAGCAACATTATGTCCCTGAACACTTTGGATGAAGCCTGAAACCACGTGATTGTATGCTTGAAGACTTCAGAACGCTCTAAACTGGTCTTGTGTTGTAATGGCTTGTTTCAACTTACCAATTAAATAGGACACTAAATCCACTGACTCTACTGGTGGTAGACATTCTGCGTCAAAGTTCCTGTCTGGTATGACGAGTGGATCGATCTCAATGCAGGCAATCTTTTATTTATATCGTTTTTTGACCTGTAGTTCAAGCTTCTCTACGTAATCTCCGAGTTTCGCCGAGACTTTTTCACTCATTCCAACCACCAGTTGCCGTAAATACTTATGAATTTTTCAGGATTCTACTTCAGATTGATTATTCGATTATTTCTAATGAGAGATATTTTCGTTTTACGGAGATCTCTAAATTTGTTAGCCTTCGAAAGCGTGAAATAACTATTACTTTGTGCAAGTTTCCGGATGTTTATTTACAGATGTGTGACCCACGTGGAACGTCAACACACCGGCGCCTAGTTTTTGATCACTTGTCAAAGTCGTGACGTCACGTGAAAGCGCTCGATAGAGAACTACGTGAATCGATGTTTCGCAATCGAGTGACAGCGGAAATACAGGAGGCAGATACACGATGCCTCCTAGTTATTTATTCTCCGCAGTTTAACATCTTACAAGACGTTCGCTGTAATTGTACTCTAAACTTGAATTCTAGTTAATGAAACCTTTGATTGAACAGTGTCCTTTTTCGAGGCTTCAAATACTGAGAATTGTGCGATTAGTTCACTAGCTAAGCAACGGAAGTTGATTCATTACTACTATTCTTAGCTCTGTATCTAGCGATTACTGCTGTAATGAATTACCCACCAAATCAGCATTTGACTGAACTGGTTTACGAATTGTAACAATTGGCTCGCAATAATGAGCTAGTGAAGGTTTTACGCGCCATTTCAATTCAAAATAAAAAAATAAGGGCAATCTGCCACGATCAAAACTAGTGTATCTGTCAGCCAGGCCGTCCCTTTATAAGCTGGTCTCACAACTCCAGTTGCAGGCACCGTTGCAGACATCAGTTGCAACACCAGATTACCAAAATGTGCAGACACCAGTTGCAACACCAAGTTACCAAAATGTGCAGACCCTGGAAGGTGGTTAACCATATGCGTCAGTGCACACCTTAGGGTCTCAAACAGAATTTGTCTCCGAGCCCCTCGAGGGGTCTGAAAGACAAAATTTGTCAAGCCCCTTAACGAAAGAAGCAACTAAATTGCCATGGTTCTTGAGATGAAGAAAAAGAAGCTATATTTGGTTAAAAGTTGATTTGAATGAATTGAAGATGTGTCGAATAGGGATAGTAGAAAACTGTTAAAAGTTTATTTGATATGATTTTTACGTAACAGAGGTTAAATCATTTTTTGTGTAGAAATAGTTTAAACATGTAATGTCGTGAGGAATTTTTAAAGAAAAAATCTTTTAATGAAACATTTTACTGATGAGAACTGACTATGAGAAAAAAAGTGATTTTTCCATTTATAGAAGTTCTTATTTCTGATAAATCGTTATCAGCTCTATTAAAGTAATTAACTTTTGTAAAATACCGTATATATAGCGAGTAATAATAATTTTCTTAACCTCCCTTCAGCTTGCATTTCTCAATGCCTTGTACCATAGCGCTAAAGGCGAGTGCCAGGATCGCTGTCAATGCCTCTTAATACCCACGATATTGTTTTTACAGAGATGAACTCTAAAAATGAACTGTAAATTCTATTGGAACTCTACGGAAGTTAAACTGTGAAGCAGCTTTAATCATTATTCATAGAAAATTGTCCATTTTTAAAAGATATCTATTAACTTAAGTTTGTGCACAACTTCATTTCCGTTACAACTTAACAGATAGATAACAATCCTTACAGACTCGTCGCAGTTAAAATACTTGAAAGTAAGCTCAAGGAGAAGAAGGGGTTCGGGGAAATATTCTGGCTGCATTAACCGGAAGCCAACAATTTCTCTTATGTCAAAGAAAAAAAATGTATAAAAACAGAGGTTGTAAAGTATGGGTTCATGACGATCGCTTATAACACCAGTTGTGCTTAATTAATAAAGCCCTGGCCCTTAAGTGTCGACGATGTTTCTTAAGATAAAGGTGAGTTTTATCAAAAAATTGTGAGGTCAAGGTAAGGTAAGCACCCTGAGTACTGAGCTCAGTCCAAATTGGCAGAGTTCCACCTTAACTTTCGCAAGGTAGAGTGGATCTTTAGACATTCAGCTTGGACATTCAAAACCTGACACCTTCATTTTCACAATTATTTTTGAAAGTTTCTTCGGAGGTTACTTCTTCTTTTAAGGAGCTTTTCGTCAAGGTTTAGATAGATTTATCGCTACAAAATTCTTTCCTGTTTAGAGCTTTTTATCCACAGAAAACTGGGCTTCAGAGGTGGTCCAGTCGAAATGTGTTCAGTCCAGCCCAGTTCGAAGTTCAGTTGGGAGTCCCATCCATTCCTTATCTTCCAGAAAAAGTTAATATTGACAATGGATGACAGAGATATCGTGTAACACGACACTGATTCAGCGCATATTACTCTCCGTAGTGATTATTGATATCGTTCACTGAAATCGAAAGCAAAGCGAATACTCTCTCGGGGCAGGAGGTCCGAAGGGTTGAAGTCATTTTATGGCCAGAGATCTCTGCCAAATGTACATTCACATTAACCTGTGCAAATCGTGTGCGAACCTTAGATAAGGAGTCATACGGCGTGCATACTTTAGTAGTTGAAGGAAATGAAGGAATCACGAGCGAAGTTCTTCATGGTAGTCTTTCTATCTTCCATTGATGTCGCTTTCCCAGAATCTATCCAGATCAATAGGATTATTTCGCAGCCTAAAGACCCCCTAGCTTGGACAGATGTGTCTGACTGGTTTGTCGTTCCGTCGTCGGCATGTTACCAAGAGAGAATTGGAACTGGAAGTAACTACTGTAACGAATCGTGCACAAAAGATGACTCCAAAGACCAGTACTTGTGTCGCTGTTCCCATAAATTTGCCGCTGTCACGTATGTAAATAACACGTGGATGTGTCTGGAGAATAAGATGGTGCGAAATAAACTCGGTGAGTATGATAAATATGGGGTGTGAGAATAGATATTTCGCAACCCGATTGACAGCGGAAATACAGGTAGCAGGCAAATACACCTTTTAGTTACTTATTCCTCGCGATTTAACATTTTACGGGACCGTCATTGAAGTGATGCTCTCATTTTTACAAAAGGAAAGAAGAGTATTAACGCGGAAAAGAACGAAAGTGTCGATCGAATTAACTCACACACAGGTATTTTGTTGTAGATTGTTTGTTGTGCGAATGTCTGTAACCAAAAATAAACTGTATTGGTGCCACGGATACCTGTTAGTACAAAATGCTGACTGCAGACCGGATACAAAATGTAGACCAAGTACAAAATGTTGACTGCAGACTGCAGAGTGGGTACAAAATGCAGACTGAGAATCTAATGGGTTTTTTCGTCTGGTATGTGATAACATGTAATCTTACAAATTACCGAGCGTCACGCGATCGCTTTTCCGCGATCAGCTTTCACGATTATTTGCACTATTCTAAATTATTCCTGGCCCGTTTTTTGATCAAACTAGACGCATATTTGCGTTCACCCGGGCTTTCTGTTTGAAATAAACTTGTTTTTTGTGCTTGCAATTGCCTACGTTTTTATACAATCCTTGGTTTATTCTGGAACTTTTTTTTCTCTTGGTATGCAATCCCTGAAGAATCAGGTGACAATATAACACCAATGTCAGACCAAAAGAAAACACAAACAAGAATGGCATTGTCAGATTTAAAACTGATAATAATTGACGAAATCTCTGTGGTATCAAATACTTTGCTACTGCACATCCATCAACAACTAAAAGAAATATTGTCAACATCAAACAACTGCCTATTTGCAGGACTTAGCATTATTACAGTAGGTGATTTGTATCAACTTCCACCAATTTGAAGAAAATTTGTCTTTGAAGAATATAAAAATAATGGTTACAATTTGTGCCATTCCTGGCTACTTTTCAAGGTGATATAGTTGACTAAAAATAGGAGACAAAAGGATGACCAACCATTTACAGTTAAAATAGATTCAGAACTGCTTCACAAACAGAGGGTGATATTCAATGCATACAGTCAAGGCTAGTGCATCCTGAAAATACTGATTACCCAGTATCCATTGTTTTGTATTTTTGGGACATTTTTTTCTCCTGTTTATTTTTCATATCCCTAAATTGTTTTTTCTCCAATAATATTTTTTTTTCTGCTGGCTCATTGCTTTATGGCATTGTTTTTTTTTCTATGTTTAATCATCAATTTTTTTCTTTCCTTTCTGTCAACTACTTTACATGAACATGTAGCAGACAGTATTCTGTATTACCTTGGGGTATTATATTTCTCTAATGTTTTTCTTATGGCATCAACAAGTGAAGCCATTCCATTTATGTTTTTAGTGTAGTGAATAGGGGACGTGTCTCTTTCATTATAAAGCAGGGGGGAATACATATATTTTGATCTTTTTGTGGGTTCAAACGTACAACTGATGCAGTACGAAGAAAATGATATAAAAAACCCTAACTAACTTTTATGTATTATTTCATTCTCATGAATTGACTTGCTTTGAAGTAAATCATTTAACAGTTCTTTCACTCTCGAACAAATCATCCAAATTTACTTCAGTTTCACAAACATCTGCAGTTTTTGGAAGATTAGCTGGTAATTACTGGTTGTGTTCCAGACTTGATTTATGACACATCTTTTTTCCTTTGTCAACAATGGTGGGTAAGGATTAGTTGTAATTCCAATAATTACATGATTTCATTATAGAGTAGCAAAGAGAGTATAGAGCTATAGCAAAACAAAGATTAAAGTTTATGGTTTCATTCAGACTGTTTTGAGAAACCATCCTATTTTGAATATTCTCAATTTGTACTCCTCTCACTTCAAATATATCATTATGTATACTCTGAAAATAATGCACTAAACTCTCAAGAGACAGTACTTCGAGAAGAATACATGTACCTTGAGGCTGCCCTCTACCATACAAATCTCTAGCTTGAGAATCAAATATTTTGAACCCCATATTACTATTACAGTAATACACCCTACTGTTAATATGAAATTAGTGTAGCTTTTCAAATATGAGTGACTCAAAAGGCTCTTTGTAAAGATATACAGTACTGATATTCCTCTATAGCAATTTCTTGGTGAACAGTACCAGAGTAGCTTTCACTGTAATCCAGTTGATAATCAGTATCAAACACATTTAAAGCTGTTGGTAATTCTGACTGCATCATATATGCCTGTCTGACTAATCATGACAAACTTGAATAAACCTGATTTTCCAATATTCATTACTTGTATAAGATCATTTACAGAGCTGATCCCTTGTGTGTCATTGTAAATCAAAGAACACAAACTCATTGCAACACATTGTTGTCCTGCATTCTGTCCAAAAACAAACTCGTTACCTTGACTATAGGAAGCTACTATTGTTTTGTTAGGGTCAACATATGTTGGAGGGCCAGGATTTTTTTCTGTCTCTACTTTATTTATAGTTGCAATAATTTGCTTCATGAGCTTCATTCTTGCAAGAACACATAAGTTTGTTACAAGAAAACAATTTTAAATATCGACTGACACGATATTTACCTTTCATATACACTGACGAATTCTTTCACGACAGTTTAATTTAAATGTATTTTTATTTAATCCTTTAACTCCCATAAGTGACCGAGACAGAATTTCTCCTTTAATATCAATACAATATCAACCAAATAAGTGATGAGAAAAAAGAAAAATATCAATTTGGGGATAATTAGTTGATCCAATACTAAATTCTCTGACCTAACATTATAAGAACTGTATGGTTGACAATAAGGAGAAAGACAAATTTGATCTGGGAGTTAAAGGATTAATAGTTTTTTAGCATCAACATAACAGTATAATATAGATGACAGGGGGATACATGGGAGAATACGTGCATAGACAAATTTTTCTAACCTTTCTGCTCTTGTTCCTTAACCTTTTCAAACTTCATATTGGTATTCTACTTGGTTCACGATTACGTCTACATACATGACGGGATTTACGTCTATGCTTCTCTCGATTAACATTAGATAGCTCAATTGATATAGCACGTTTCTCGATGAAAGGTTCACTCATAAATGTTCGCTCATAAAGAGATATCTCATGAGGTTCACGGACCGACCCGTTCCGAAAACGCTCGACATCTTTTAGTGTGGGTCTACCGCGAGCGATGTGAGCATATTTTGTATGAGTTTTGAGCGTCTTATACACAGTGTCTGTGCTGATTTTTCGCCGCGAAAGCTTCACTTCGTCTGCTATTACACTATCCTGTGTGCTCATTAGTCAAAACGTCGCGCATGCGTCGACTCAAAAGGTTGCGCATACGTGACGAGGACTTAACTGCGATTTGCGACCGAACGAAAAAAAAACGAAGCTGGAATTCCAACCCCAAGTGAGAAGACAATATGAAGGCTTGAAATTATATTAAGATCGATTTTGATCAAGAAACGGGTTAGAAATATTCCAAAAGAAGATGTAGATATAATTGTAAAAGAGATATCACTGAATATTTAACGCCCAGAACATTCGATTAACAATTAACGCTCTGTAACCTGGTCCGTATTACCATCTTTTTAAGCATGTTTTATTTTGTTGACAAAAATGCCAGACCGAGACCAAAACTGTCCTTCGACTTTATATTTATCAGTCTGCATTTTGTATAACTTGCCTCCGCAAATCTTCAGTCTGATAACAAAATCAAATAAACAACTAACGATGGTATCCGTCCATGGCAAACACAAACAGTTTCCACAAGGTCACAGTTATTCATCGAAAACACACAAAAATCGTCCATAAAATTTTAATCTGACATTCGGTTAATTCGATCGACCCTTACTACATTATGCATTCAGTTCTCGTTGATAAAACAATGACAAAAACAATTTGCCATTTGGAAAAATGTTTGTTTTACATCATTTACAAAATTTTACCAGACATTCATCTAATCCACCACCGAGAAAAAAATCCAAAGAATGTAATCAACACATAGCATGCCTATGTTTTTTTAGAGGCCCTCAAATGCAAATAATTGCAAAATGTGTCACTATGATATTCTGAAACAATATTTGATTCAAAAGTTTGCTCACGTCGTGATTCAATTCGTTAAGGGAATATATATAATAGCTTGTAATATGCTGTCTATATACTGGCAATTAATCCAGTCAGTAAATGGATTACCCACGAAATCAAAATTACAAGGCGTAAAATTTACATTATATATATCACTGACTGGAAGAAATTATTTTAGTCGGAACTGACGCTCGGTAAGTTGTACATAATAACGACGAAGAAATTAGCCGTTAGTTATTGGCGTAAAGTTTAACCCATCCATTTCAAGTCAGAATTTTAAGCAAAAATCTAGGGACGTCTTTGAATTTGACCCTGAACCCTGCAGTCTACATTTTTTATCCGGTCTGTTCTGCATTTTGTACCAACAGGGGTAATGTTTCTTTTTGGTTATCCACAACACACAATTGTTTCAAACAAAATTTCGTTCCTTCCCAACGAATTGCGTGGAGTTAAAGTAACTTTCTCCTGCTCTACCTCTATGAACAGGATGTGCCAACAACACCTTATTTCATTTTGAAAGAGAATGGCATGGATTATACACTCTAAGCACTCAGCTGAAATGGGGAAGGAAAACAGCATTGTCCAAGAACGAGGCCTCCTGTGTTTTAAACATTAGTTCTTCCTGGGTCATTGGATGTCATGGGGAAAAGATTCCAGTTGAAAAACTTACTAATAGAACAAAGGATATCTTTGTCCTTGGATGGAGTAGCAAGAGTGGAGCATACTACATAAAGGTGATTAAAGTTTTAAAGTCAACCTCTGAAATCCCTTTGAGGTATCAGACTAAAAAGAAAACTTGTATGCTTCAGATCCTAGTTGCAATGTAACTTTAGTGTGTCACTCTCCATTTAAAAAGTCGTCGAGTCAATCGATAATTGTTAGCTTTAAGTGGGTAATGTGACTGATTAATAGAACTGTCTAATTTAAATCAAACATGCCTCTGTTGTAGTCTATTACGACTCCATACAAATAGTGTGCGACTCTGTTTACTCTGTTCATTGTACACGATGAAAGGAGCAATATCATATTGCTGATGATGATGATTCTTGGATTTGTAATAATTATGATCCATGGATAGCCCAGGATTTCCTGATTTTTTTTATAGATTATTATGGGAGTCCAATCAGATAAGTCGATATGAATCACTCAAAGAGAAAAGTATTCACAACCAAATGAGTTCTCGTTTTCATGATCCTAAGCAATTTCCTCTGTTACATGAGAAAAATAGATTTTGTTTTGTTTTCTAACCAATAGGTGGTTAACCCAATCACCATTTTGCTGGGAAGAATAATAAATCTGGGAGTAAGTTGCTCGCAGCCTCCTTCTGACTTCAAAGAAGGCTGTCTACTCTTCAAACTGGAAGGAAACATCACCTGTAAGCTTACGTTTGGAAGACTTTTACAGAAATTGCAAAGTAAAACTTTCCTTACTGCGTCAAACCATCTGCCTATGTTGTTGGGTTACTTTGCATAGAATGTCTGTTTTTATAACGGTTGAAGTTCAGCCGATGAAACACTTTCAGACGGATTGCTCAGAAAAATTGTGCACTTTTCTCAAAGCTTTCACGCTGGTTAGCATCTTACCAAGTGGATGATGTTATTCAGCCTCCGTCCACCAGGCCCTTTGTACCAACTTTTTATAAGTTAAAATATATATTCTTTCACTTTCTCAACTGGTTTGGAATACATCAAAGCCTATCCTAAACAATAGATTTTGTTCGGTATGATGAGCGCCTTTACCGAAGTCATCCCGTAAGGAATGGGTCTGGCGAACAGATGTAAATGAACTTATCTCCTAACCGAACTGGTTGATTTTCAGGTCCCGTGGAGTACATGGTGAAGTCAACACTTAGTCCTGCAACTTCATCGTTACTGTATTCATCACCTTCTGCGGTACGATTACCTTAGATACACTTTAAATAGGTACCATAGCAAACTTTTTATATCATCAGAACCCTGATTTAGAAGTGGAAAGTGTGAGCGTGATCTAAACGTATTTAACTTCTCGTTGGGCGATTACAGTATTTAAAGTTACCAACACCATTTAAGTTATTCTGAGAAAACATAGCGAGAACCTGTGATTGAGTTTCCTGCCATTATCTTCATATGCATAACCGTCCTCCCGTCTGATCGAAAAGATGTACTAAATATTTGAAGGATTAAATGACGAGGATCACTAGAGAGCTTCACCTTTTTCCTATGGCTAAAAATACCTTTATATAGCAGATTCTTAACACGATATTTATCCATTTTAATTGTTTATCTCGACAGAGCCCTACAGCGACGAGCACTGAGGAGACAATTTACCTAACCCAGGTATGAGCATCTCAACATACCCTTGCACACTAGAGCAAATTTGTAAGTTGATTAAGATGCAACTGAGATTGTCTTGTAAGTTGAGAAAAACAAGGAACGTGTACTCATGCCTACAAGCAGGCTCGTCAAACTCATAAAGTTTGAATATATTGTACGGTTAGAGGGGAATTTTCATAACCGAAGGGTCATATAATTGAATAACGATTTGCATTTTAAGATTTAGAGGCTTTATATTGGAGGGGCGTGTACTTGGAATGTCACAGTGTACTGCTGACAAGAAATTGTACCAATGAGAGTAGCGTCGAACAGGACATCTATTTAGCAAATTAACCAAAAACAAGTAACTTTTAATTTGTGATTATGGTTTCTAGCAGACAACTTCAGAGACAGAATCAGCCAGCAGCAAAGGGACTAAAGACACAAGGACAAATGGTGCCGTGATTGGCATCGCTGTGGGGTGTGCAGTTGTGTGTGTTATCTTTCTTAGCGTTCTGGTTTTATTTTGCAAGCGAAGGAAATCGTAAGCGTTATATATATGCTTTTTTTTTACCCTTGACTCATCATCTCTTTGAATACATGTATGAGGATGGTTTCAGATGTGATAGGGCCATCCTGTGGTGCAAAAAATAAGTAACATTTGAGGAAAATAGTTTTTAAAAGAATATGGGAAGCACTTATCAAATAGCTCAAAAAAGCTTGACAAATATGAGAAATTTGACTGGCCAATATAAGTGCATGTGATAATCAGATTTAATTGGTCAAATAAAAAATGAACTTCCTGAAAGTATCTTCACATCATTTAGTTTATTCACTCCCTATAATACAATGATTCTGACATCTGTCTAAACTATTAATAATCACGACTGTTTTTGATCCAGTTTTGAGCAAGATTTATTGTGTGCATTTTTTCGCTTAAGCAAATTTGCTTCTAACTCAAATTGTTTTTAAATTGGTTCCATGTTTACAAAAACAGAAGCATTGGTTTTACCATTATACTACGTGTTCTTAGTATATTATTTACTCGAATTACTCACACAGAAAAAACAGACAGCAAGAAACAAAGCTAGCAGGTGATTAAAAAAATGTACCACTCCTTTCATTAAGAGATACGCACATGAAAGATTTATTGGCCTGTAAACTTAAATAGAAAATTAAGTCCATTAAGAATTGCAATCAGCGCTTAGGATGAAATGCCCGGCTGCCGACACCTAAATTCACGGGCAGCATAGGGGTATGTGTATTTTGAAAGAAGGATTCATATTGATTGGTTAGAAACATAGTAGATTGAATGAGATTACAACTTTTGCTGGATACTGAAAGCAAAGCAAATTGGGAAAAGGTAAAAGGAATTGAAACAAGGCCATGCATGGGATAAATACCTCAGTTTCTTGAAATGGATCGGAGAGTTTGAGACTCTGAGAGAGTTGCATCATTATGGGTCTCAAATGCGCAATTAAGGTATTTTTTGCAGCTCAAACATTTAGACTGGCATACAATGATTGTTGTGCACTAAACAAAAGCATTAAGTTGACGATAATTGTCTCTGAAACACTATGGTAACTTTTTTGGAAAGAATAATGCGAGTCTAAAATCCATAAAGATTATTCCATAGAATCATATATCATAGAGATAGCTTTTGACAAAATTATATTTTTTGTATTAGTTTATAAATATGGTGTTTGATCTTAGTTGCTGGAAACCCAGTGGGTGAAATTCACGATCAAATTCCAATTGGAAGACTAGTGGAGCACGTCTCAACCTCCGCTGAACAAGACAGTCAATCGACATACCAAGGACTTATTAACATTTGTGGTAAGTCAACAAAGAAGAACTGAGATCGTTTTTGGGTGGTCTCTATCAAAAAAATATTGTGATCACGATGTTACGACAAAACACACCTGGAATCGAGGAAATTCACAGGTATGACATGATGGCTTCATTATGTACAGGATTAAAACCAGCTGAAAAACTTTAAAAGAAAGAGTCACTGGATCAATTTTTGATTGGTATACTTAATCAATCAAGGTCATTTCCGATCGAAAACTTAAACAATATTTTGTATTTTTTCCATATCCACAGCTTGTCACAGTACTGCTGACGATAACTCTGGTAACTGTCATCTTTACCAAAGTTTGAACAAGAACACACCTGTTACAGCTACACCAGATTACCAGAATGTGCAAACACTATTTGCGGCATCAGATTACCAAAATGTGCAGACCTTGGAAGGTGGTTTAGCAGGTGCATCAGTGCACATCCTTGGGTCTCAAACAGAGTCTGCCTATGAGCCTCTCAAGGGGTCTGAAAGGCAAAATTTGTACGAGCCCCTCAATGAAAGAAGCAACTGAATTGCAACGGGTCTTGAGGTGAAGAAAAAGAAGCTATATTTGGTTAAAAGTCGATTTAAATCAGTTGTGTTAGATTTTTGATAAAACACAATGCGTCGAATATGGATAGTGAAAAACCGTTAAAAGTTTATTTGATATGATTTTTATTACATTTTTATCGTAACAGAAGTTAAATAATTTTTATGTAGAATATAGTTTAAAACGTGTGCTGTCGTGCGTAATTAAAAAAATTTGATGAGTGATACTGATTATTACACCGTATATATAGCACATAACAATCTTTCTAGACCTTCCCTATAGCTTGCATTGCTCAAGGCCTCGTACCACAGCGCTCAAGGTGAGAGCTAAGATTACTGGCCATACTTCCTGATACCCTCGATGTGGTTTAGTCAGAGATGCACTCGAAATATGAACTGTAAATTCTAGTCGAACTAAATGGTGCTTAAAGTTGAAGCTCTTTAATCAATATTCATGGAAAATTCTCCGTTTTTAAAAGATATCTATTAACTTGAAAAATTTTAAAAATGTTGTTTAGGTTTGTGCACAACTTGATTTCCGTTACAACTTGCGCAGATCGATGACAAACCTTACAGACTCGTCACGGTTAAAATACTTGAAAATAAGCTCAAGGAGAAGAAGGGGTTCGGGGGTGTATTCTGGCTGCATCAACTTGAAGCCAACAATTTCTCTTATGTCAAAGAAAACAATGTATAAAAACAGTGTATCTGTCAGCCAGGCCGTCCCTTTATAAGCTGGTCTCACAACTCCAGTTGCAGGCACCGTTGCAGACATCAGTTGCAACACCAGATTACCAAAATGTGCAGACACCAGTTACAACACCAAGTTACCAAAATGTGCAGACACCAGTTACAACACCAAGTTACCAAAATGTGCAAACCCTGGAAGGTGGTTAACCATATGCGTCAGTGCACACCTTAGGGTCTCAAACAGAATTTGCCTCCGAGCCCCTCGAGGGGTCTGAAAGACAAAATTTGTCGAGCCCCTTAACGAAAGAAGCAACTAAATTGCCATGGTTCTTGAGATGAAGAAAAAGAAGCTATATTTGGTTAAAAGTTGATTTGAATCAACTGGGTTAGATTTTTGATAAAAGACGATGTATCGAAAAGGGATTGTAGAAAACTGTTGAAAGTTTATTTGATATGATTTTTACGACATTTTTATCGTAACAGAGGTTAAATTTTATGTAGAAATAGTTTAAACATGTAATGTCGTGAGGAATTTTTAAAGAAACAATCTTTTATTGAAACATTTTACTGATGAGAGGAACTGACCATGAGAAAAAAAGTGATTTTTCCATTTATAGAAGTTCTTATCTCTGATAAATCGTTATCAGCTCTATTAAAGTAATTAACTTTTGTAAAATACCGTATATATAGCGAGTAATAATAATTTTCTTAACCTCCCTCCAGCTTGCATTTCTCAATGCCTTCTACCATAGCGCTAAAGGCGAGTGCCTGGATCGCTGTCTATGCCTCTTAATATCCACGATATTTTTCAGAGATGAACTCTAAAAATGAACTGTAAATTCTATTGGAACTAAACGGTAGTTAAAGTTGAAGCAGCTTTAATCATTATTCATTGAAAATTTTTCGTTTTTAAAAGATATCTACTAACTTAAGTTTGTGCACAACTTCATTTCCGTTACAACTTAACAGATAGATAACAATCCTTACAGACTCGTCACAGTTAAAATACTTGAAAATAAGCTCAAGGAAAAGAAGGGGTTCGGGGGAATATTCTGGCTGCATTAACCGGAAGCCAAAAATTTCATTTATGCCAAAGAAAAAAATGTTTAAAAACAGAGGTTGTAAAGTACGGGTTCATGACGATCGCTTATAACACCAGTTGTGCTTAATTAATAAAGCCCTGGCCCTTAAGTGGTCGACGATGTTTCTTAAGATAAAGGTGAGTTTTATCCAAAAATTGTGAGGTCAAGGTAAGGTAAGCACCCTGAGTACTAAGCTCAGCCCAAATTGGCAGAGTGGATCTTTGGACATTCAGCTTGGACATTCAAAACCTGACACCTTCATTTTCACAATTATTTTTGAAAGTTTCTTCGGGTCGGAGGTTACTTCTCCTTTCAAGGAGCTTTTCGTCAAGGTTTAGATAGATTTATCGTTACAAAATTCTTTCCTGTTTAGAGCTTTTTATCCTCAGAAAACTGGGCTTCAGAGGTGGTCCAGTCGAAATTTGTTCAGTCCAGCCCAGTTCGAAGTTCAGTTGGGAGTCCCATCCATTCCTTATCTTCCAGAAAAAGTTAATATTTACAATGGATGACAGAGATATCGTGTAACGCGACACTGATTCAGCGCAGATTACTCTCCGTAGTGATTATTCATATCGTTCACTGAAATCGAAAGCAAAGCGAATACTCTCTCGGGGCAGGAGGTCCGAAGGGTTGAAGTCATCTTATGGCCAGAGATCTCTGCCAAATGTACATTCACATTAACCTGTGCAAATCATGTGCGAACCCTAGATAAGGAGTCATACGGCGTGCATGCTTTGGTAGTTGAAGGAAATGAAGGAATCACGAGCGAAGTTCTTCATGGTAGTCTTTCTATCTTCCATTGATGTCACTTTCCTAGAATCTATCCAGATCAATAGGATTATTTCGCGGCCTAAAGACCTACAAACTTGGAAAAATGAGTCTGACTCGTTTGTCGTTCCGTTGTCGGCATGTTATCAAGAGAGAATTGGAACTGGAAGTAACTACTGCAACGAAACGTGTACAAAAGATGACTCCAAAGACCAGTACTTGTGTCGCTGTTCCAAAAAAAATGCTACAGTAACTTATGTAAATAACACGTGGATGTGTCTGAAGAATAAGATAGTGCGAAATAAACTCGGTGAGTATGATAAATATTGGGTGTGAGAATAGATATTTCGCAACCCGATTGACAGCGGAAATACAGGTAGCGGGCAAATACACCTTTTAGTTACTTTACTTTAGTTAAATTTTTACGAGACCGTCATTGAAGTGATGCTCTAGATTCCAGTTTTCGTTGTAAGAAACTTTTCGGATTGAGCATTATCTTTTTCAGAGGCTTCAAGTACTTAGAAATGTTTAAAAATAAGTTCACGTGCCAGACAACGGAAGTTGAATCATTGATACAATTTTTAGCTCCGTATCTAGCAATAACAACGTAAAAGAGATTACCCACGATACCAACGTTGGCAAAGGCGTCGTTCGATGGAACTGATTTCCACATTGTAACAATCGAGTTGCAATTATAAGCTAGTGAAGTTTTTATTATTAATTTCGAGTAAAAACAAACAAAACGAAGGTAATCTGTCACGGATGACGACTCATGTAGCTGTCAGCTAAGCCGTAGCTGTATAAGCGGTTCACGCAACTCTCCGTCCGCCAATCTTACATTCTGTTTCCTTTTTTCGAGCAATTGTATTTTCTTTTTAAGTTAAAGATAAAGCGAACACAACTACATCGAGCAGCCTTGGAAACTGAGAATATTTCCTTAAGGATTGAAAACAGATCGTCAACCTCGCTTGAAACTGAAAAGGATGTGACCTAGACCCCTAAGAATTCTTTCTTTAAGAGAAGCTTGGATTTATCTTTAAGTACTGAATTTTAATGAAGTTTACGTCACGGTTTGTTTCATCGTTTTACAGACTAGAAAACCTCCCATGAATACTCATGAAAGACAAAGAATAGTGGTTTGCCAGGGTATTAAAACAGAAAAGAAATAACACCGCACTGAAAGGAAAAACGAAGGAAATATAGGATTAAGAATGACGAACTTAACCAAATCGGGTTAAGTTTGAGATGCCCAAGCCGTTATGAATAGCTCTTTTAACCTTTTCACTCTCAATATTTGAATTAATTTAAATTCTTCATATTGTATGCCAAATATCTCTCATTATAATCATTTATTATCCTTACTGATATTTATCATTTTTTCATGACTTTATCTCTTTTCCCGTCCCTCGTACCGTTGATATATGGGTTTGTAGTTTTGTAGTTGAGCGTTGTTGATTTGTTTTCTGTTTAGCTATCCCTTGCACTTAAACGGAACACATTCCATTCCCAACGAATTGCATAAACGTGGAGTTAACGTAAATTTCTCCCGCTTTACTTCTATGAATAGGATGTACGAACAACACCTTGTTTCATTACGAGAGAGAGTGGCATGAATTATACACTCTAGGTACTCAGCCGAGCTGGGGAAGGAAAACAGCATTATACAAGAAGAATGCCTCCTGTGTTTTAAACACTAGTTCTTCCTGGGTCATTGGTTGTCGTGGGGAAAAGACTCCAGTTGACAAACTTACTAATAGAACAAAGGAAATCTTTTTCTTAGGATGGAGTAACAAGAGTGGAGCATACTATATAAAGGTGAGTAAAGTTTTAAAGTCAACCTCTGAAAGCCCTTTGAGGTATCAGGCTATTTTTTTTCTTTTTAATTTTTCTTCTTAAAGATTGACACTTCTGATCCCGACAAAGTTTCCATTTAAGAAAGAGTTGATTCTTGTTCTTTTTCTTGAAATCATTTAAGTCGAGGGTGTTCACAAGTGGTCTATTAACGTGCACATGACCCTTTCCCGACGATTTGCCGAAGGGAAAGCGCTGATGACGCAACTTTTAAAAAAAAAACGATTATTGCTCCCAGATCCCGGGTGCAGTGTTACTTAAGTGTAACACACTCCTTTTAAAAATTCGCAAAGTCACTCGGTAATTTTAGCTTTAGCTGGTAATATGACTCATTAACACAACTGTATAATTTGAATCAAACATGCCACTGTTTGTAGTCTATTGAGTCTCCATACAAATATCCACATCGACTCTGTTTGCTTGGGTTATTGCTCATGAAAAGAAGGATTGACTGGATTCTTAGATTTGTAACAACCATGAACCGTGAATAGCTCAGGATTTCCCGATTTATGTTATAGATTATTATGGGAGGCTAATCAGATTTTTCGATATTGACCACTTAAAGACCGAAGTATTCAATACCAGATGGGTTCTTGTCTTCATAAGCCTAAGCAATTTCCTCTGTTACATATAATATAGATTTTGCATTGTTTTCTAACCAACAGGTAGTTGACCCAATCGCCATTTTGCAGGGAAAAATAATAAATCTGGGAGTAAGCTGCTTCCAGCCTCCTTTTGAAGGCTGTCTACTCTTCAAGCTGGAAGGAAATATCACCTGTAAGCTCATGTTTGGTAGAGTTTTTATGGACATTGTAAAGGAACCTTTTTCCTAACTGTGCTAACTTGATTGGCTCAATTTGCTCAGGAATTCCTTTTTTTATAACGGTTGCAGTTCACGAAATAAAAAAACTTTCGGACGGACTGCTCGGTACAATTGTTAGTTTTCTTCAACGCTTTCACACTGGCTAGCGACTTACCCGGTGGATGATTTTATTCAGCTTCCGTTGAGCCAAGCCCTTTGTATCAACTTTTTAGAAGTTAAAATTCTTTCATTTTCTCAATTGGTTTGGGATGCATCAAAGGCTTTGCCATACATTCTCTTCTTTACAATGAACTGGTTAGCAGCAGTCGTCCAAATGGGTCTGGCGAACAGACGTAAATGAACATAATTCTTTATCAATCTTGTTGATTTTCAGGTCCCTTAGAATACTCAATGGGGTCAACACTTAGTCCTGCAACTTCATCTTTGGTACATACACTTCCATCTACGGTACGATTACCTTAGATAGGTACCATATTAAACCTTTTACACCATTAGATCCTAGATTTTAAAAGCGATTCAACTGTCCGTCTGATCTAAACGCAGCGAGCATCGCGCTGGGCTGTTGGATCTCACCCTAGTTTACAGTATTTGAGGTCACCAACACATTGAAAGTTAATCTGAGAAGACATTATGATAAAATTATCTTCTTTTGCGCGATCGTCTTCCGGTTGCTCTATCACAGTTCAAATGCTCCCTCCTTAGTAAGAGCAATGTCAGACCAAGTTGCAAGCGAAACATGAATAAAGGGGGTAATTTTCTAAAGAAACTGTGGTGCTGCGTCGGTGGAAGAGTATGGCGGGGTAATTAAGTATTATCAACTGAGTTAATAACGTAAATTGGCCACCGTAAAGAGTTTCGAAGCTGACTTTTCGAGCGTTAGCCCTTCCCTATTTGCTCTGATGATGGGCTAATGGTTGAAACATCAGCTACGGTGGTCAATTTACGTAATCAACTCAGTTGGTAATACTAAATTACCAAGTTGAAAGCAGAATAGAAAGTATGATCGAAATGGTGTTCCAAACAATTTGGAAGGATTAAATGACAAGGATCAGAATAGAAAATATTTCGATCGAAACGCCCATGGTGTTTTACCAAACAATTTGGAATATCTCATCATACAAACTTGAAGATTTTAAATGACAAGGATCAGTGTTTGAAAATTGAATTAAATCTGTCAGAATATCTTCGTGACCTTTGGAATAATGAAAGGAAAATGTTTTGGTTTCCAGCATTTCGCTCCTCGTGTTTTTCCCTCTTGCTGGCCGCTTCATGATCCTTTCCAATCATTTTCTCGCAGAGATCCACTCGAGCTAACTCAGGCAAAAAAGGCAAAAGCGACGATGTTGACTCTTCTTCCATAATTATTGGCATCGTTTCCGGGGTGATTGTTGCCGTCATAATTTTATTATTACTGATTGCTACTTTATTCATTCATCGACGTCGCAAATCCAGGTAATGATTGCCAAGTTATAATTTTTCTACCTCTCAGGTTATGTGTAATCGTTTATAATGTTTGTACTTAAGGTTGACTAAACAAACTGGATTAATTCAAAGCATCCCTGACGACTTGTGCACGTCCACATTTTATGACAGGAGATACCTTAGTTGGGTGGTTGTATTCCTAAAAGTAAGAAGTATCGTTTTGATGGCGTGCTATACCCCCTTTTTTATCCTTTAACCGGCGCGATAGAATGATGCCAAGACAACACCCGACTCGTGTGATGTTTCTGCTACCGAAATGTTTCAATCTATTGACCTCTAATATCCAAACAGCTTAGTCCACTCACTCAATCATTTTTGTGCATTCCTAAGCATCTGGTGTTATACTATGACACTGATCAACCCAATGATTTTAAATTTCCACTACCTTTCAGTTCGGCAGTTTGTAAATAATTTTGACGCGAACTTGTTTACTGATTACTCTTATGAATCAAAGAGTCAAACTCTGACGTATAAAAAAAGAGCTCAAGATACGTTGATGATCACTTGACATTATGACATCCCGACTGATTCTAAGCCATTTGTTTAAACCCCTGGAATGTTTGTCGTCCAAAATCTATTGAAAACTGTTAAGTGATTCACCTCGTCTATTAGTAAACCCTGTATTTTTTTATCATTCTTTTCCGTTCGCTAAGACTTGCGATGTAGATTTACAAACTACCTCTTCCTATCAAATCGTTAAATCTGTGATTGATGTAAATAATATGTACTGTATTTTGTTCACAGAAACGGTGCTAGCGTGATTACCAATGGCCAAGCAAGCAATGAGGTGGAAAAGTCTTTGTTTGGTTACGAATGACACTCTCAATAACGAAGAAATTATGTGTGTTACATCCCTTAATGAGAGAAACTTAGGCTAAAAGACCGAATTCCCCATGGAGACCTTATCGTTCCTAAAAAGTACAGAAGAGCGATTTTGAAAGCTGGAGGCATCCTATAATTATTTGTTTTTTTCTTTTTGATCAGTTATTACAACGTTGCTGGAATGCTTTGAAAGCTTGTGCACATGCAGGTCTGAAAAAAAAAAAAACCAAACGATTACCCTGAACACTGAAATATGTTGTTTCAGGATTATTTCCCTTGATTAACTATTCTCTAGGGTCTAGTTGTACTGCCTTTTTTATATTACAAGGAAGTTCAGTTCAATCCTCCAGCATGGAGGTAATCATTCAACGACTCGGTTTCCAAGGTTATATCATTTATCTTTATTCGTGGAATACTGTATGGCTCGAGTCTAGAAATTACCAGTGCAACATAATTTTTGGAATAAGTCCTAAATGGAGGTATTTCCTAGCTTGCTGCTCTCTTCACCAAACGAATATTTACGGGCTTCCGTTTACTGATTCGAGCCAAACAGTAACACATGCTCACTTTATTTTGCCAGGAAACCACCTCGTGCAACTCAAAGACAAACCAAGCGTTTCAGATGGACGAAAGAAGTCGTTACGTTTCGAACGGTTAGACATTAATCCTTTTTTTCTTTGAGGTAGCTGTTGTGATTTGCTGTAGGCCTAAGTAACCCTACTGATTAAGTAAATTAGCAGCTTTTGCGATTGTGACAAGCTATTGTTTCAAGGATTGTCCAACCTAGTAGTTGGAACCAACCCTCAGCTCCAAATCATAACGTAGTGTTTGCAAATTTTCCTCGTTAGATTCCACTGTTATCGATGATAAAAAGACGGATGCCCTACCGCCAGGAAATTCTGGAACTTTGACATCAGACAACCCTTTGTACTTCGCCGTGGAAGACGTAACAGAAATACAAAAACCTGTTGGCGATGCTCCAAATCAATCGGAACCAGTGTACAACGAAGTGGATGAAAATGATGCAATAGACGTAGACAGGGCTTCGTGGTATGGGTCCGTACCCGTTGGAGATCCATATTACAACACCCTAGAGGGACCCTATCAATATGGAGCCTCTCCACCCACAAATAACCCCGTTTACAATGTCCTTGAGAGGTCCAGCCAAAGTCTTACAGAGGAAGGAGATGGTTATTCTCAATTGACTACCAAAGACCCTGTGTATAACGTTTTAGAGGGTCCGGATCCATGTAACGATTGTGAAGGCCCTCTGTATTCTAACAGTATGGAGGTTCGGTACTCTAATAGTTGTACAAACGCCCCAATATACGCGGTGGCCAATGACAAAGGATGAAAAGCCCTAAAACAACATTTCTGGTTAAGAAATCCCTATAACGGTCCAAAATGCAATAACAGATTTTGTAGAGCAAGATTAAGAGTGCTTTAAATTATAGGATTTCTTGATTAATGGCAGAGATTCGAGTAAGTTCAAAGTTCCTCCATGCCTCTTATAACAGACGGCTGCGATTGCTTGTTTTTCTTCCAAACCCTCAACTTTAGATCTCTTGCCACAAAAATTGTGCCTATTAGAAGAAACAGCGAAAGAAGTGTTTATTGGTGTCTTTGATGGCTCTCAATCAATCAATCAATCAATCAATCAATCAATCAATCAATCAATAAACTTTATTTACCCTCGAATTTACAGTGTAGCACTCGGGTGCTAATATCTTTGAGCAAACTACATTAATAAATAATGATAATAAAAAGATTAATTCTATAACAAATAGGATAACTAACTACCTAGACAACTAACTAGCAAATTATCTTGATCTAGAAAGGTTTGCAGTTCCTGCCCTTTTAAGTAAATTATTGTACCCGGTAGATAACAGTCGTCGAAAGGAAGTAAAATCAGAAATAGTGCGGTGAGGTGTCTGACTGTTAATTTGCCTTTTTGTACTTTACGCAAAGAATATATGGTATTTTATGAAGAGAGGTATATAATTATTCGGGATTTCAAAAGAAACACCGTTGAATTTCTGCGTCTAGAAACAAAGTGAGCCTTGATGGAGTGACTTTTTCTTTCACGAACAAGGAGAAAATTGCAGGCTTTTGAAATATCTTAAAATTCTCACAAGGTAATCAGCAAGTTTTGAAAATGTGTGAAAAACTCGGCAATGTAGGAAGTTAACTCCGCTAGTCTACCTTTGACACTCTGGTGATATTTTGCGATGTATTAGCCTAATATCTGGATTAAATTTTCTTGTTATGGAAGACATGATTGAGTTGTAACTTCTCCTCTCAATTTTAAAACATTTTCCAGAAAAAAGCGTTGAAAATACATAAAATTGTCAGCAGGAGGATTATCTTAAAACGGCATTTAGAAGAAATGTATAGGACTCGGAAGGAAGGTTTACTGATCAAATCGTGGGAGGCGAAGGATAATTAATTTTGCAAACTTATTGAAGTTAGTCCAGTAAGCAGATACAAGCAGCCTGAAAACAGCAAAATGAAAACGAAATTGGGTAAAGAAAAGAAAAATATCTTGTTATAAAAAAAAAAAACCATCAGATATCCTTCTCTTTCTCTTATTGTCATTGGCTGGCAAACTAACTTTATTCAATTATTCCTCGGTAAACCGTTACATTTTATTCATCATTATATTCATTTCGAACATCACTACCTCTTAAAATGGAGCTTAATTAGCAAAACGCAAAAGATTCAAAGATACTTCTTGGCTGATACAATACAGAAAGCAACAGGAAGGGAATCAAATGTTCCGGTCAAATCTCGTAATGAGTTCCGATGAGAACATTGAGTTTCATTTATAGGTGTGATGCGTGGGAAAGTTACCAGGAATATTGTGACGGGTAACTGAAAATAAACATCCGCCTGACTGTAAAGGTTCTTTGCACAACTGGGCAACATTCGTTGCCGCAAGGAAAGACTTCTAGAAGGGTGACAAACTTTATCACGAGCGAGAAAGAAACAATCTAAGTTCTCCGATACGATTTGAAGCATAAAAGTTGCTAGTTCAGCTTTTGCATCCCGATGCTCTACCAAATGAGCTACAAAGACTCCTCTGTCGAGCCGTGGCTTACATCAGGTTTGCACGAGTCGAAAATCAATGTTTTTTCTGCGAGTATTACAGTGATTTACAGAAAGGACTCTTACAACCACACATGATCGTTGCTTTCTTTGAGTCTTTGACGTTAACTTTCATGATGTACTTACTTTGCATCCCTGAGAGAGCCCTTGATCCTGAGAGAAAAAGAAACTTACTGTTATATCAATTATCCTAACTTATTTTCCATCACACACAATTCATTGTTAAAGCGTTTTTCAAAATAAAACAGTCGTCGTGCTCTTTAGTCACTTGAAGTCTCAACTAAGGTTTGTTCCATATTCTTAAACCTCAGTAATAAAACACGCCCTCCCTCCCCAAAAAAGTTATTCTAAGAGATAATATTGAGGTGTTCTGTGATGGTTGAGACAAAATATCTTACATTATGTTAAAGCGCTTCATTTTTCAGTGAGGAGGAAGAAGAAATATTGAGCAATTGTCACTCACCACAAGCGGTATGACCTCAAACTTGTGGTTTTGTAATTTTATGGATTCCAAGTTTTTTACTGTCATCCTCGGACTAATAATCAAAGCTGTATTCAAAACAGAGTAAGCTAAAGAAACAGACTAAGAGATCAGCTAGTTTTTATCAATCGTTTAGCAATAGGACACTCTCAGGTTTTGAGAAAAAGGAGTTGTATACCAGGCGAAACATAGCTGCAATATCCTTGACGACCTTTCGTCGACTGGTTCCGAAGAGCCGCGAGAACGAAGTGAGCCATTATATAAGGTCATAAATATAAGAACTGGCGTGTACCGTAGGACGCGATAGAAAATTGTTTTGTCAATTTTATGCCCAAGATCTTAAAGTTTGGCAATGAGGCATTTCATCAGAGACACAACTGTTCTTTACCTTTTTGTACCTTTTTGTCGTTACGTTGACGTGTCTGCCATTTGTTGAATCTTAAAATCAGTGGAATAAACAAACCTCGAAACAAACTCAATAACCATATGATTTCACTTCCTCACAAAAGAATTTGTTTTAATTCTCATGAAACAATATTGATAAGTTTATTGCACTCTGTAAGTCATTTCCAGCCCTTCTAACATTCGGAAAGCAAAGTCGAAATCACGTAATCAACACATATTCAATTTGCCCTAAGAGAGTGGGTGCATATGGTCTACATACAAACTTTCCTTTCGTTTAGAGCGCAGTCTTCTTACTTACCTCTCAATCATTCCACTTTGCGGTTGTTTATAATGGATGTCGTATACTATAAAGAACAAACAATACCGAATGTTTCAGCATTCACTGAAGACATACGCTATGTGACGTCAGCGCTGAATATTAAGTTGGGGGTGCAAATGAAACTGAAATCATGAAAACATCCAAATAGGTCGTAATGAAGTTTCAGATCGTACAACTCCCCTGACGAGAAAGCGAGGGCGTAAAAATAGTTAGGTCATAAGCAATAAAGGGTGAAAGGATCCTTTCTGAGCTGTAAACGCAAGCAGTGAGGTGCCTCATTTTAGGATATTAGCATGGGTGACGCAGTCTCATCAACACGCAACTGACGAAAAGGATAAATCATGGTGAAAACTTTTTGAGACTCAATAAATTATATTGGCAGATTTTCATTTGCTGAAGGAAAGCTGGGTCGTTATGTCTGTCAGGATTTCGGTTTGCTAAATTTTTGATTCACTGAGTGAGACGCTCAGTGTGTCAACGCGTCAAAATGTTGAAGAAATCGAAACAAAATCCATCGAGGCCTAAAGATAAAAAGTAAATATCTCTTTAACTGTACCGCTGCCGACTTATTTACGTGACCAAGATTTTTAAAATATCGGCTAGCCTGTCTGTTTAAGAAGTGATAAGAGTAAAACAAGAGTGAAACCCATTGAGTTTGACTCATCGTTTTATCGTTGTTTGCAAATTATTTCATCATAGATATCCGCTGTTTTTTTCGATCTCGTAAGGTCCGCGCACGATAAGTGAAAGAGTAAAGGAAATGAACCTTTTTTTCCTTTTGCTTTCAAAGGGATCTGCGGATTGAAATACGACTGTTCAAATGAAACATCATCGGGATAAATTTTTAGGGGCTTTTTTCGCTTTATTTGTGTTTTGAAAAGTGAATGTTATGTTTTGTTTATATTGATTTGCCATAACTGTACTATGAACAAACTGGTCTAGCACTTAAATACAAGTGGTGAGAAATGACTCCCCTGCGACCCCCCTTGGATTCGTCTTTTAGGCTTGATACAGGTTACCAACTTGTTTATAAAAGGGGCGAAGACGAATGTCGAAAATCGTGAGAATAAATTTGGAATCGGAGTGAACAAAGGTTATTTCTTTCCGAAGTGCAATATCCAATTCAAGTACACACAGTGTTCAGAGCGCCAGCACGTCTACAAGTAAACACCGCTTTGTACACAAGAATCATTGCAAATTCGCTGTTCTTCATCAAAAAGAATTCCTCTATACGGCAAAATAGAAGGTTGTTTCGAGCTCTACTCGATCACTATGAAAACGATAGCTATTCTCTCGGTTTTCTTGATGACTCAGTTAAGCGACAATTATCAAACATTAGCAGTGCTTTTCAAGGTTCACAGAACGGTACAAAACGGTGCAGATTCCTTCGAGATTCCTTCTTCTTTGTGCCCACATAACAACGAGTATGATTGCAACGCCTTTAATGCGGAAGCTATCACTCAGAGCTGCAACTGTTCCTGTCTTTTAAAGGAGGCCACATTCAAGCCGTTTGAAACGCAATGGTCGTGCTATGAGAACAATGATGTAAGGATGAATCTACAATCTCAACAACACAGCAAACCTGGTGAAAAAGGTACACGTTTTTTTTTTGTTAACAAGTTCACAACCAAGTATGTTGGGTCGTAATGACGGAGAAACTAGCTGCAGACCGCAAAACGCTTTTTTACGCTAGGCACCAAGGACTCTCGCCCTTTCCTCTCTATTCTATAATTTCTCGCTTCTCTGATTTATGATTCTACTTACATATAGTATACCACTGTACATGCTTAATATAAACGAATGGCTAAATCATTTAGAACTACCAAAATACTCCATACCCGTGAATTTCTACACCAGCCAGAGTTGTACTACGTCATTTTTAAGAAAAACCCTGGAGAAAGATCTTCATTTTTAAACTGTACCTGTTGATGTGACTGATATCCAGCCTTTCTCATAAAGTTTGACCCAGAGAAGTTAGTACATTTAAAATGACTTGTTCTCCACGCCCCATCAGTTTAAAAATCGCGAGGGACGAGCTGATAACCAACCGAAACTAAACAAATAAATATAATACTTTCTTTAGTTAATACTTGCAATATGTCATGCCCTGTATGCTCTGATGTACTTTTTCTGCTTAGGTAAACATTCTGACACATTTCTATTTTCCATTATATCGTTCGTAAATTTTCACCATAGATCAAGATATCCGATAAAAAGAACGAAATGATTACTTACACGTTGTACCAGGAGAAATTTCTGTTTTGTTTCGTTCCGTTTTGTTTGTTTTTGTTTTTGTTTTTTAGTTTGTCTTGTCTTTTCTCCTTTTAATTCTTCTCTTCTTTCAAAATTGGAGTGCTTTTGGTTACCAACGTTCAAATTCAATGATTCTATCTTTACGGATTTAATTTTGCCAGCGACCAAAGCAAGAGTACTCGTCCAGTTCGAAAAAAATGTTTATGGACGCATGAAATTACATGCTACTTGTCTACTGACGGAAAAATTGAATATATTGACTGAAAAAAAATTGTAGAACATCTTGATGTTGGGAAAGAGAGTCTGAAGATTATTGTCTCAATCGTCCTTGATTATGCGTCCTCGTTCCCTCTTTGGTAATTAAAATAAGGTTAATAAATGCCATAACTAACAAAGAGTTATTCAAAATCATCACCAAACGTGTTAACTATGTAGCTGCAGTTTTGAAACTCACACGACTGACATCCTTACTGTAAAGAGAACAATATTTCAATAAGAAAAGCACTTAAACAAAAGAACTTGAGGCGACTTGAAGGCAACTTATCATTGATTTATCAAATCATATATATTTTGCGATGTATATTACACACTTTCAGAAGTAAAGTAAATGGTTTTAAAAATATTTTTAACACACGTAAAGGAACTATCTGGGTCATGAAATGGCGGGAAAAAGAAAATACCATTATTATCATGAGAAATCCCGATGGCTGTGCTGCACATTATACTTGTAATTTCAGACGTCACTATATAACATTATCTGCACGTGCACAGAAACACGAGCCAATAAAACCTTATCAATATTTCGAAAAGAACAAAAATATAAAGCAATAAGTAAAGGTATGAAATGAATGGATAAATATGTAGATTTTAAAATCCAATTATTCTGAAATTCAGGGATTTCCGAGGATGAAAAAAATTTGTCTTTGAGCTTCAATTGTTGCTTTCCAGTCTAACTTTAATATATTGACATCATAGGCATAGAAACCGCATAAGATTGGCCACTAAAGGCAAGTCATATTCCTCACATGAAATTGTTCTCTTTTCGATTATAGGTTGTACACAAGCTATGAGAACAATGTTCATCGACGAGTCTTTAAATTCAAGTTTGCGCATATTAAACATCGGTGACGAGAAGGAAATTTCTTTACCTAACAACTGGGATAGATGCACGTTAAACAGGGCATACACTTGGTATTCCGAGTGTGATGATTCACGACTTTCTTTAGCGCAGAAACTCGATGTGATAGACAATCTATTTAAACTGGAAAGTGGACGACAAAATTACATTTTACAGGTAAGAAACCAGTTTTGTTCTAAGCGCCCAAGGACGTCGCTCAGACAGGAGGGGAGGGGTTATCCCAAAGGAGGAGGGTAGAGGGTGTCCCAAAGGGGCATGCGACCTTCTTTTGTTAAGGGCGACAATAAAAGAACCATATGAGATATCTCAATATAATAATGAGGAAATAATGAGGATCACAAACCACAACAAGGAAATGGAGGACCTGCCCACGCCCCTCTTTCAGACGAAGATCACTGACCTGCTCTAATGTTAGCATGAATGACTTTTTAATTTCTACTGAACCTCGGACACATGCCGGCAACCAGTTTAGATAAATTAAAAAAGAAGGGAGGAAAAAAGCTTTCAGAAGAAAGCTTTCAAAATGTCGCCAATGATCACTATGAAATAATATAACGCTGTACTGTTGTATAAATATGATTTTTCACCCCAACAGGTTGAAAAAAATGTTTTCGACTCACACTTACTGAGGGGGCACATTATCAATTTGGGTATTCAGTGTGCGAGTACAAGTGCAACACAAAACCGAAATGGCTGCTTGTTGTTTAAGATGGAAGGAAGTATCATATGTAAGTAAAAGCCCAGATCAAATCCGTGCTTAACCAAACCACCATTATATCAAAGTTGATCATTATGTTGATTCTAAGGTTTATAGAGGGAGGGGTGGGGAGGTTTGAAGGACGAGAGGGGGACACAAGGAAGGGCAGATAGCTGTACCCGGCGCTTTTTGTAAAATCATGATGGAACTGAAGTTGAGCCTTTTAATTTTAAAATCTCGATAGAAATGCTACCTGTAGTCCACCATAGATATCTTCGAATGTTAGTTCTGAGAATTTGTTACTCCCAGGAATGGTGTATAGTGTAGTAGAGAGCGGAAAGAGAGTGCTTAAAATTTCCATATGTGATCAATTTAACCGCATTGGATTAGTTAATCATCGGAAATTTTTTGAAATCTCACAAAGAGGGGTGAGCCAAAAATACCTCACATACGACGGATTCGCTTTCATAGGAACCATTGTCTTCGCTTCTTATCTCTGAAGCAAGGCTCATTTTTTTGAGTAACTGATTCACAGTAAGTAAGTTACTTTAAGAAAAATTGGCTAAAAATAATTATCTAATCATCAACGTTGTTTTGATGTGATTTTTATTACGATCGTACCAGGCGACGTCACCAATACTTCTAAACCGCCACTACGGAAAGTCCCTTCCACATCACCAGATATGATTTCATCGACGCCGAAAACCACCACAATTCCTAAAACGGATGGGCACCAAGAAACTGCCACCCTTCAGGCAAGTACAACACTCGAAATCTCGTCATCTCCTACGCGACAGGACGTCGCACTTCAAGTAAGGATAATGAGCCGGCATGGGAAATTCATTGAAAGAGGGTTTTTCAATAAAAGCTCTCTTGATAAAGTTACTCAAAGTTCTTATTATCTCCGAAACTGTGACTATTGGACTTATTATGTTGTTTATCGATTACACAGAAAAGACTTCACATCCCTTTCGAATTTACGCTCTCTTTCATTATACTGTCTAGCTACTAGTGATGACAAATCTTTAAAAAGGTGAACATTCTGGTCTCATTCTCAGAGTACTACTTCGCGCTCCCATCCAGATGACGCTGGACGAAGCACAGGTCACAACAGTCAGCAAAACGCTGTTTGGATCATCATAAGTGTCTCAGTATCTTCTATGGTCCTTGTCATCATTATGGCTTTCGTCGTATGTCGACGCAGTCTAAGTTCCAAGTAAGTACACAACTCTTGAAATGCGTTCGCTAATCCGTCATTCTGCTATATTAATAAGGCTTTTAAGGTCCGCTCTTTTTAATTCGTCTGTTGGGGGTACTTAGGGAAAAAAAATTATGGGCAACTAAAGGGCACGCCATCTTCACTTAACGTGTGTACATTGTGGAGGCTTGCTTACGCTATCAAATTGTGCAACAAGTTTCTCAATGGCTTAATGATAATTACATTCTGTTCTCAGAAACATAGGCCACATGGGAACAGTTGAAGGAAGGGAATCACAGGTAATCTAATATTAACGCTTCATCAGCTAGCACCTGTTATAAAGTTGTTCAAAAAAATCGCTTGCGAGGCGCTCGTATTCTTTCATTTTTATGAGTGATTTGTTTTGTAACCATTGCGGACCCACTTTTTGTTCTTGGGTGAAAAACCGCTGTCTTACTTTCACATTTTCCTTATTAATCAACGTCATTAAGGAAGGTCTCATGGGTGTGTATTACTTTCCACCAGATCTTCTGTTACATATATTACATCATCATACGGTGTTAAACAAGGATTTCCAGCCCTGAGAAAAGCCTTAACAGCACACGTGAAAAACATACGATATTTTTTACGCGTGTTTGATATCGCCAATCAGCTGCTGACACGTCACTCGCCTTTCGCGCCACTCGGTCAGGTTGATGAATGAACGGCAAAGCCTTCACCATTCTCAATCCATGGTCCTTTGTCGGAATCTGTTCGGATTATGGCTACTAAAACACGGAAAAATTCGTATCGCTTACATACAGTGACGTTCAAACTTTCCTAAATAGGGAAGAAAACCAAATTACGAAAAGAAAAACCGATAATTACGTATTTAGTGGCTTTGGTGATGGCGTTTCTCGCGGCTGAGAACGAAAATCAACTACTTAAAGATTTAACGGTGAGGACCAATTCAATAACTGAAAATTAGGCCCATGGTTTATTTTTGTAGTGACTCAACACATGTCAGTCAGCTTGAGTGCGCCAACGCACTTTTTAATTCGAGTGTCGATCCTTTTATTTTCATCCAGTAACAAAGTGGACTTTTCTTGTCAGTAAGGGCTGCTGTGTTTATATGATAAACACAATAATTCATGGTTGGTTTTTGATATGAAATTTTTCTTCTCGTGTTCAATTCGACATCTCATCACTCGTTCACTGCGCTCATCGTGATCCATCGAGTTAAGCACTCGACGAGAAATTCCATATCTACCCGGCTCGGGCTCGCCCCCCTCCCCTGTGAAGCGTCATCAGGTAGAACCTAAATTTTGCAAAACGCTGGTTAACCTGTGATGTTGCGGTGCATTCCACTGTGGTATTTATGAGCAACATCATGTTGTTTACATATTCTCTTCTTGCTTAGTTTCGTTTCGATATTTGTTTTTTTTTCAAACCTGCATCGATGATGAAAATAACTTTTCATTCCCTTGAGTTTCAGGTTCCAGAAGTCATCCATTCGCATACAAACGCAGAGTTTCCCGAGGAAGAACCGAATGGTTACTTTTCACTCACTTTCAGAGAGCCTTGTAAGTTTAATTTCTTTCATTAGCTCCATGGTAAAATTAATTCACAGAAGAACAATATGGGGCCGGAATTTGTTAAAAATTTAAAAAAATCTCAAGACATTCGCACAGAGATGTCTTTAATATTTCAGTTGATCATACTTAAGTCATGACTCTTCCACGATTTCTCAAAACGTTCATCAGGAATACATGACTAACACTTCTGAACAATTTTAAAGTGAAATAACTTGATCAGTAAAAATAATCTATGATTCTTTTGAACAAATGACCGACTCTTCGCCATATCTAAAAGTATTACTGTGCCTAAAAATAATAATCATATCCTCCCTTGCCTATGACACCCACGAACACTTGAACTTATTTCTGTTGCCAAGATATTCAATATTGTCAAGTTTTCAGTCATATTTGTCTCTGCAGCATCGATGGATATATGAGCAATAGATTGCTGCGCTAGAAACTAACAAAGTGTATTGAAAGTGTAGTGGATGACACTCAGTAATGAGTTATATTTATCGAGAGATAAAACGTTTGGTATTTTTTCTCAGCTATTTATACTTCGACATATCAAGTACCAGTGGACCGGAGAACCTCATTCAACGAGATAAGCAATCCCTTGGGGCAAACCTTTGAAGATGAACAAATGCACGATCCATTCCCCTTCCCTCAGAGACACAACTTTAAAAGCTTTAATCAAACCCCCCAGATTCCAGCGTTTGTAAAGAAGCAGGCAGAACTTTGGGACAGAACCTTGAAACAAACCTTTGAAGATGAACACATGCACGATTCATTCCCTGTCTCTCAGAGACCCAACTTTCAAAGCTTCAAACAAAACCCCCAGATTACAGCGTCTGTGAAAAAGCAGACAAAAACTTGGGCCAGAACCTTGGGACAAAACTTAGAAGAAGAACAAGTGCACGATCGACTAAACGTTCCTCAGAGACAAAAATTTCAGAGCTTTAAACATAACCCCCAGATTCCAGAATCTGTGAAGAAGCATGCTAAAAACGAAACAATAAGGTTCCTTCAAGAGTATGGTCCGCTAAGTATTGAACAACTTGTATACAATATCGTGGAGGAAATATTGATTGGGGGCCAGGAGACGACGGACGTAGACGAGGACCAAAATGAAAACGATCCAGTGTACCAAGTTATAGAGGAGTTTTGTGGTGAGCCACCACAGGAGACCACTCAACATGATGATGCAATAAGTGTGACCCGGGATCCAGTTTACAGCATTTTGGAGGAGACTGTTTCTAATAAGGAGAGCCAAAAGAATCCTGAAATTTCTGATTGTTAATTAGATGAAGCGTCAAAGAAGAAAAAGAGGATACATTTACAAGATGTCGAGAATGATTTACATTGAAGACTATTAAGCACAAAAGATGCACGTATTGTCCTGACAAGATGCTTAACATAAAATACGAGTTGCGATAGGTAGCTTTACAGAATTCGTTTTGCTTTTGGAGAGCTGAGGACTTGACTAATTGTTCAAGCGGTGTAGCTGACTACATAAAATTGTTTTCGAGTTTGCACAGCCTTACAACAAAGCAAGGTTTCACGCCAAGTAAGGTCATATCAAGCATGCGCTGTATTTAGTATCCACTAAACCGCATGCAAACAGTTGAGCTTGTTAACAAATACATTTTTTCGGGGAGGGCCTGACAAAAACCAACCCAAATCACTTTACGATATTAAAAAGTTCGCAAGACCTTAAGCTTGTGTGAACTAGGGAAAGTAAATTATTAAGAGTACACTTCGACCGTTCTTCCTAGAGGTATAACACGCTACCACGGTCATCTGCGTGATGCCCGTGCAAAACTTGCCGTTACTTGCACAATCTTTCCGTTCGACTGCCAGTTAAGCTAGGAAATCCACTACTGTGAACTAAAATCTTAAAATATGAATTAAAGTACGTGTACAATCAATCCTGCCGGTTGGGCGGATAAGACTACGAATCAAACAAACTTAGCTTAAACTACCAGTTAGGCTAGGGGATCCACTACTTTGGACCAAAATCCTAAATATGTACACATGTACAAATCGAACATGCCAGTTAGGGTAACAAACTTACAATTCAACAAACTTTGGGTAAGAATGCCAGTTGGGCTGGGAAGTCCACTGCTTTGGACCAAAATGCCACATATGTGCACGAGTACAAATCGTACATACCAGTTAGGCTGGCACATTTACAATCCAACAAACTTTGCATAAGACTGCCAGTTGGGCTGAGAAGTTCACTTCTAATCTCTCATATGTACACGACTACAAATCGTCATCAACGTGAACCAAAAAGCCCCCCCCCCCCCTAATGAAAAGGTGTGCAAACGAAAAATGCCACTTAGGCTGACAAAAAAAAACTGCCGATAAGATTGCCAAGCAAGTGCAAATAACATTACGTAAGCAGTTTACAGTCAAGAGCAACGGTACCGATCTACGAGTCACCGAGTCACTGAAATATAAAACAGCCTAAGTTAAAGACACATATAAAAAACAAAAAACAAAGAAACGTTGGATACGTCTCGTAGACGGAGCTGAGCAACCGCTTACAGTGTAAAAGTTATTAGAACGGAGACCAGGAAAACCTGCCAAAAAGCCCGATGGGGAAAAAAAGGCAGGAAATCTGGGTAAGAATTAAGACTTTAGCTCCGGAAACTATAAGCCCATTATACGAAGGCTTGTAAAGAACAAAAGTAGCCGATGTTAAAGACATAACTAAAAATCAAAGTTGAACTAAATGGAGCTCCGACTCTGGGTTGATTCAGAGACCTAGATGACTATCACGTGCTATTCTCCTGCCTATATATACCTCTGGTTTCCTTCCTATGATATACCGGCCTGGTACCCACACCGTGTAGTGTCTTGTGCCGACAAAATATTTATGTAAGCCTTCTTCGTAAGCTCAGTCGTCAGAGATATGAATTTTTTACTCGCGAAACTGGTAATCCATTCTCCAACGTAAACGTCTCGCATTTATTTGAGGATTCGAACCTGGGTTTTCATCCGCCAACCGGACGACCCTTTATCTTTATAATCCAGGATTGAATCGAAAATATCCCTTTGTAGTTGCTACACACTTACGTCTAAACCAGTTAACCTGCAGAGCAGACGTAATTTTGGCGGGCGAGAGCTCAGTATTTTCTTAACGAAAATTATGGCCGCCATCTTTGATTTTAATGGCAGCGAAAAATAAGAGAGAAAAATAAATTTGTACTAAGGGGGCGACTGACGGTCACAAATTAGGAGAGGGGTGAGGATAGGGGGGAAGATTTCGCCCTTCCCCCGCCCCCTACCCTCACTGTCCACTCTAGCTCCAAATCAAACATGACCAGCGGGATAAACGATCGCAATAACGTTAGCTCGTATGGCTTGAACGAGTGGGAGACTCGTATCGCTTGAGAATAACATCCCCTAGCAAGAGATTTTTATCTCTTTCCCCTAGCTGAAAAGCTTTTTGTAATCCACTTACCTATGTATGATAAATCGATATTGCGTGGGTAACATACAACTTAAAATTCATAAAAATATAATAACCTCTGCGACAAAAAGGCTTATTTTCTATATTCAGGAAGCTCTATTGCAGACAGTAAGAAAAACTTGGTGAGAAGTGTGCTATAAACTGATACTTCCAAAATGTTAAGTCCTATTGAATGTCTGAACAATATTGCACAGGCGATTATACTTAGTCTGATCAAATGCAACCAAATTTGGCAGACCTGACAACGATATTGTCGGAAGCGCGGTTCTGTATCAGCTAAGTTTGTTGTATCACTATCAAGGTTATTTATAGCTTAGCCTTATGCTTGCCGTAGCAACCGACACAGGTTTGTGGGAGACCAACGTGGAGTCTTATCAAGTCCAACCTATCCGAACTCTTACGTGAAAATTAAAGGTGAAATTTAGTTTCTCGATTTTGTGCACGAGTCACGGGGCTTGCGTGTCGGAACAACAAATTTTATTTGTATCAAAACATCCCTAGTTTATACAGGAAACGAAAAGGGAGACTTATCACGGAACAAAATATCATGATCAGTAAAAGGTTTCATCGCCCTTCGTATTTCATTTCCTTAAAAAGCCATTTTTTTTCGCTATCAAATGATCATGATAATCGCTTCTTTGTGTGCGTGACTGATTACTACGGATTAGCTATCATAAGAAAATGAAAGGCACGATTCATCAGTAATCTGAAAGCCAATGGTAAAAACTGAAATAAGAAGTATATTTCAAATAACAGCTGAACAATAAACAAGTGATGTAACTTCGACGAGAAGGGAAAAAAAAATCTCACGAATGTCTCGATTGATGATTTTCCTATTGGGTAAAACTGAAAGCTTGTTGGTATATTTTTGCTATCGCGTGATTGCATGGGGGAAAGTATAACCTGAAACAGCGTGTCGATACCCGCTTCTTTTACAGACAGGAAACAAGAATTTAGATTTACAGTATTCAAAATGTTATCATTCTACCCAAAATGGTCCCCTTCTTTTATAAAGAAATTAAAGTGCCAAATCGCGTGACTAAAGTTGTGGGTTTGGCATGTCGAATCGGTTTCATATGGGAAATAAGCAGATTATTAAACGAAGCACGCACGCCAAAAAGGGCTGGCAGGTCAAAGCTGTTCGAAGGAGGAACACCTACACGAATTTCAACTTGAACAGGAAAACAAAGAAAATTAGGAATGTCTTTAGTCGTGCTGTTTTTGTTGCACCAAACAGTTTTTGTGTATGGTAGATCGAATGATTTTTTAACAATCAAACGACACAGCAACCAGAATAGAAAAGTAGACGGTTTTACCGTGACAGGATTGTACGAGAGGAGTACATGCCAAGAAAAATGCAGCCATTTTAAAACAAGAGTGGTTCCGTCTCCTAACGATGAATGTGTATGCGTTTGCTCTCCTCAAGCAGCAACATTTGGGATAAAGAATAGTACCTGGCAATGCATTAACAATAGAGAGCTTCGCATGAGGGAATTGGCTGGTAAGTTGATTTCACAATTGTGAAATGAATTTTACCTGTGAGATCTAAAGTAGACAGAGTGACAACAAATGGCTGCGAATATGCCGTAGGAAATTCTTATTTATGTTCTTGGCCATTGTGAGAAAATAATCGATTCAATATCATCGTGATAATCATGGAATTCCAAAAAAGTGGCGATATATAAGAATAAATTATGATAAAAAAAATTATATCTAAAGAAAAGGTTGACGCCACCTTTGAAGGTCATACTTATCAGCAAATGAATTGTCGCATTGTCTATCATAAGTCTCTTAGGGAAGAGGGAGGGGGGGGGGGGGCAATACACTGTAGCGTATGTATTTATAAGGTGAGCTGACTTAAAATGCAAGCTACACACCAGGACGATCTGAGTTGCGTTGCCACTCTCTTCTTATCAAGATTGCAGGAAAACGTATTTTATCAACGAAAGTGATGAAGACCCTTTGAGAATGTTTGAGAAAGGACAAAGGGCTACTCTACAGGTGAACCCCGACATAAAGTGTGCTAATAATAAAGCAAGCCTCAGTTTTCAAGCGTGGGACGGAGAGTTGACACTGCAGAACGAAACGTCTGCCGATTGGGGACTTGAGGTTACGAGACAATGGACAGGCTCAACTCGTCGCTATATTCTTAAGGTGAGAAACACAAATTACTGGTTCAAAAAATGAAAGAAAATTAACTGCATGTCTTTCAACATTGTTCAATGGTAATAGAAAATCAATGAAATGATTTTGCATTCACGACAACCATTGCAAGATATCAAAGCAGTCAGGGGAAGAAGAGAAAATGATATCTTACTTGTGAATGATCGATAAGTGCTTATTTAAGTAAATCATGATTAACTATCCTTCTTGATTCTCTGGACCTACATGTAAAGTTCGGAATAATTACGTAATAAGGTTTACTTGGCTCCGCTCGTCTACGTATACACTACAGAAAAAAAAAGGCTGAAAGCTGATTTACAATTACCCTAACTGTCTATGTCTTTAAGGTAAAACGGTAGAAATTTAAACATAGTGAGGCATTCCAGGTTATGGCGGAATATCTGATCATTTTATCCTTATTTCCAGATAAATGACGACGATAATCTCAAATATTTGCACGGAAGAGTCATAAAACTAACCATTCCATGTAACGGGCCTGAGAAATTTTGTTTGCTTTTCAAGATGGCGGGGACGATTACATGTACGTAACATTGGATGCATTTAGTTTTTGGCCTTTTTAAAAGTATACCGGATATATAGTTTTACTGATTGGTGATAACCTTCGAGAAAAGATTCGAATTTTGATTTACTTTTGAAGAAGTACCTTCTGTTACAAAAATAACAAAAAGCTACTTGGGACCCGAAGGTTTGACCTTTGCCTCCTGTTTCTTTCTTTTGTTATAATTGCACTATTACACATTGTATTATAAACCGACAGTCACGTTCCCATAGAGAGAGTTTATAACTCCTTGGCACCGTGAGTGGCTCAATGATAAGCGCGGGACTCCAGATCGTAAGATATCTAGATCATGAGATACTCTCATACTGTTTCCCATCCATTTTCCGTGGTACTGATAAGGAGAAGTTGTAAAATAATAATGAGCTCCATTAGTTCGCGATCATTTTAATTAATCTTATGACTGTAATTCTTAATGCAGCAGTTGTACTAATTAAATGTTAGTCACTGTTAGAGGAAAAGGGTGCTGTATAATTTTACACTATAACAGAAAATGTTTTTCTGTCCACAGGTCCTCTAATGAACATTTCGACGCCCAAATCACCTTTACCAACTGCAACCGTAGAGAAATGTTTACCTTCCGAGGCGATCGCCAGCACTCCAGACTCTAAAACCTTAAAGAAGGGTGTATCCTCAACCATACCCAGTACAAGAGCTGCTGTAGCGACTAACACAGTATTCCGGGTATAGTTATTGAATTTCTTACTTTATATTTCATTTTCCATCCCAGCTCTGACGGAGTACTGACTTGAACCTCTTTTAAGTCAGAAGAAGAACTTTGCCTATTAAGGAGAGGCTGGTGGGAAAATTATTACCAGCTACCACATTTCTATCATGGGCATAATTTCGCATGGCCACTCACCGAAATATAGGAGAGCAAAGCAAATCAATCTGTAAGCTGCCTATTACATCACAAAAAGACTTTTATTTCGTGATCAAAGCGATTTTGAAATCAATAAGGAACGCCGCGGTAAACTTCAAAAAGTTATCTTGGTAACGGGGAGAAAATTTCATTCATCATTATTATTATCATAAGCATCATCGTCTATCTGTCATTTTAACCATGTTCAGGTTACTGAATCCCTGGAGCACAATGAGAAACATGATCAAGACTATACGGAAATTCAAGAGGCTTTTCATAAATTATCAGTTCCTTTGGTCTCTGGAGTAGCGGTCGGAGTTGTCGCCGTGTTCCTGGTCTCTTTTTTCATGGTTTGGCTTATTTACCGGAAAAGAAACGATAAGTAAGATAGCTGTTAGTCAACGGTTTAGTCCTAAATTACAAAATACATAGAGTGTAACATGAGTTCCATAATAGTAAAGAATACATGCTTTTTTCCCTTTGCTCACAGGAATTGTCGGAAGTCGTCGAAAAAGAAAACGCGTGCAGATAATGACATGGACAAAAAAACGGACGCCGAAGGGGAGCCAGTGTACCAAAGCCTCTCTCCTTCGGCAGACGGCGACTTACCTAGAGGTAGGTTCAACGATTATCTTTCGTGATACAACTACAGAAAAGGTTGACTCACTTTAAATTAGGCGAAGAGAATTAACATACTCGTAATCAACGTTTTCTAAAATAATACGAATATTTAAAAAATAATTTCTGAACAACTGCAGGTGTATACGTGCAACGATATAAGGTGCCTGAAGCTGTTTCCCAACGAATACCAGAGAAACTGTTTTTGCATGCTGAAGCCAATGGACGAGACACGTTCAAACCAGCTGTAGCATCAACGGAAGAGTACGATTATGCGGAGTCCTGTCTAATGGTGCGAAATAAGGGGCTAAGTATAGGCTGCTCCTCCTTACCAATAAAGGCTCCTGCTATGACTGTAGAGAATGATCCTTATTACCATGTACTTGAGACAGAGGACGATGTCCTTATACCAGGAAGTTCCGGCAGTGATGCTCACAGAATACCCCAGGAAAGAGCATCTGTTCTCCTCGCACCTCAGGATTCTAAGCCAACCGATTCACAAAGACCCTTCGACGATGAAGATGATGAGGGCGCTCAGGTGGCTAAGGATACGGACCCTTATTACCATATACTGGAACGATCAGAGTCAGAAGTCCATAATTGTGGCAATCAAGTGGGGTCCACAATTGTGGCACAACCAAGTCAAGAAAGTCCTGAACCCAATGGTTATAGAGAGCTTTCATTAGAAGGACAAGTCTACACAGGTTACCAAGCTTTACACAAATACACGTACATAAGTGCCAGAGAGCCTGCAGTCAAATGAGTAAAATAAGAGAAATTGTATGGAACCATTTCGTAAAAATGCTCGAATCTGACCCATACCGCCAAGACGATAGTCTATTTCTCACCGAACACTTGATACATTCAGAGATAAATCCTAAATAGAAATATTACAATGCTTCGAAAGATAAGTATTCTAAAATAAAAAACAATATTCGACTTAACGTCGCAAAATTTAGCGCTGTAAATTTGCACGTCACATAGTCCAGCTTTGAAAATAGTTTTGATTGAGAATTACGAATAAATTAAAGATGAGGCTGAAACCTAAAAAACTTCTTAATTCTTCCTTGGCCTAGAATAACTTTATTGGTCCAAATATTCACTTTTGTTCTGGTTATAATAAACACTTGATAAGGAGGTACGATAAATGATATTGTAATGTAAAATAGCCCAAAATAGTGTGGTAGCTGCTAATAATAGTCGTAAAAGCCTTCTTTTGTAGAAGCGATGGTCAGCGATACAGTCGTTTCCTATGTTCTCAAACATAAATATTACGTAGAAATTCTAGAATACGAAAAAAAATCACAACGGAATGTTACGTTAAAATTAATATTGAAATACAGAGATGAATCGATGATACTAAGGACAGAACATGCCAGAACTCAACAGAACGCTGACCATATCTTTTTCGTGCTACAACCGCGTTGACACAAGCTTGTACTTTACGTCTGGAATGAAGACTTGTGCACTTATTAAGAGCGTAATGATTTCCGAACAATGCAGACGAAAAGTGTATTGATCTGCTGTGTAAATTAAATGCCGTGAGCACTTATCGTAACAAAAAAGAGGCATATAATTGTGCTGGCAATCAAACCCTTGAAGAAGCCTTGACTTAGCCTTAAAGATTCACCTCGGCTCTTTAGGTCTTTGCTTTTTAACAGACAGACTGCATCGAAAGTCGCCTGCTGAAAAGTGCATTTCGTGACATTTTCCGCATGAGCAATATAATAGAAATGCTTTGTTTTGATCATTCACGCACAAAGCCATGATATTTGATGATCAACCATGACCTTCTTGGTGATGTCTCATTGAATTTGGTTTCTGTTCTTCTGATTCAATGATTGTATTTCCTGGTTTTGTTTACGAATACACTTATTCAAAATTTACTGTCCTTTCTTAATATACAGCTATATAATATACAGAGACAGCTTCCTATAGTTATGAGGCTATTAGAAAAAGAACAATACTTTTAACTGCTATTTTTACATTTCAAGATTTGAGGTAAAGTCTAACTTAAGACGGGACTGACGCTTTCTGACATTTTAATTAGATTTCTTAATTATTCCTATATAAAAAAGGCTATCGGTTCCTAGTGAAACCAATTAGGGTTGATCAACAGTTCTGCCGACAAAACAAGAACAATAAAAATTTGTATTCAATCAATTCCTGAATCATCACAATTTGGGAACTAATAATTTCTATCTTCTGGGAGCTTTTAATGCTCTCAATGAAAAAATTTACATCCTCTTTTGATTCAAGTTCCTGTTAAAGGAAGTTTATCCTTTTGTCATGATTTTGTTTTAATAACGCATAATATATTGTGCTATCACTGACTCAATTGACGTAGAGCTAAACGTGAACCAATCTCGAGAATGCGGTCAAATGCCTAAGACACGCCGAACATATAGAACTGAAGCTGTGGTTTTTGTGCGTGTTATAAGAAAGACACATCAATACTGTTATTACAGGAACAGGAAAATTGCTTCATTTCGTACAACCCTATTGACCGACATCAAACGAAGGCATCCTTGTTAAAAGGAAGTGGTTACATTGAAATTCTCTGTAGGCTCCGCAATCTGGGATGAATACATTTATCGATCAATTTTCCCAGACACTTCTATCAGTTAATATCACAATTAATTGATTAAGACGAATCAATAGAAAAATTAACGCGGGGGTTTGATGAGATTTTGCTCACGTATTGTTTAATTTAATTCTAGGATGTTGTACATCAGTACTGCCCTTCAAAGGTCTCCAAATACATTTGGACAGCGGTATTACCTAGCATAGACAAAGCCATATAAATTTCCTTCCCGTGCCCATGAAAGAAATTCAGTGCCCGCAGGCAGGATTTACGAAGGCGAATCTGTTTAAAAAATGCATCTCGAAAATATGAATACGGAAAAAAAACCGGCAAAGAAAATTTACATTCTGTTCAAGCATTTATTTGACACTGACTACTCCTGCACCTTAACTTCACTGTTTTCTCTATTCTGGCGACACAACTAAACGTAAATCCAGACGTTTTGTTCAGTGACTGTAACGATAAAGAAAGACAGAAATCAGGGCGAGTAAGTTTTCCGAGTGTTCTCGAGTCTACAGGCCTCAGTGACATCTGGCTTATGGTCGAAATCTTTTCATGACTGTCAAAATTGCTTAATCCAGTGCACGTGCATGTTATTTGTGTTCCGCAAAAATGGTCTTTGTTTGTCAGCTCGGTAATCCGTTTAAATTACCACGCTAACGTGCGATCTATCTGACCTCGTTTGCACTGATCTCTTTTTCATATATAGATAGAAAAAATTCGATCTCACTATCAACCAAAACGTCTTTCACGACAATTTTGAAGTGACGCTGTCAGCCATGAATGAAGAATTTATTGTCTAAGTGTAGCTTGGAAAACAGGAAAATCAGAAATCTTGATTCCCACGGTATCACTTCCAACGACAAATATTGAGTGAGTTGAGGGAAGAAAATTTGTTCACACGATTCATTTGGTGACGAGCTTAAACTCTGAGATCCACAGGAAAAGAAGAGGTTCTTTCTTTTTCACTATCCAAGAACGCGTACTTGCGTCAAATTTAAACTGTATTTTCATTCGCAAAGAAATCAAAAGCAATATGCGACACGCGAAAGTATCACTACATGATGATGCTAAGCTAGCTGTCACTCAAAGACTTTTTTGGTAGCAATGGCCTCTCGTGCACACAATATTTCGTATGATATTGGGAAGGGTATTTGCGGAATCCTGAATCGTGTGAGTGTGGGTTTTGCCTCGATCGTGTCACAATCTGTACTTGGTTTCGGCAGTTCACTACACATAAACACGCAAGTTACGAAAGACTTGGAAAAAGTGAAGTTGACAGTCTAACTCTTGCGAAAAGTAATCACAAAATCGTCTACTTTGTATGAGGCTCGGATAGAAAGTTTCCGATTCGGTTAATTAGCGTAATTGACGAAATCATTTCTCCTAATTCAAAAACAAAAGTTGGCTTAAGCAATGGCTACGTCGTCATCAGTGATAATACTAGTCTTTACAATGGCGATCTTGAGCTGCGGTATGGCGCAAGAAATTTTAAAAATCTGGCGAGATTCGACTGTTTCGAATGACGATATTACAGTACCACATTCTCAGTGCAATAGAACACAACAGCAATGTGACAGATACAACGCTAAACACCTTACAGAATGTTTGTGCTACTGTGAAGAAAGAGGAGGACAAGAGACGGCGTTTTGGGAGCCTAGTTCGACTTGTATTCCAGTTAGTAGTCTTCGCCAACAGTCAGGTACAAATTTTTTTCGTTTTTTTCTTGTTTTCAGTTAACATATTGTAAGTATTCAGTCACATAGCAGTACTAAGTCTACGAGTAGACGGCCACATCATTGGAAAATATAAATACCAGATCGTAATTTTTCGTAAGTAATCTAATTTCATTGGAAAGAAAATTGCTGAGTGTAGAAGTGCTGTAAGAAAAACAACAACAACAACAACAAAAAAACGATTGTTCATCTTCTCAGAGAGAAAACTGTGCTAATAAAACGTATCTTAACGAACACGTCAACAGCATTTTGTTTTACTAGGAAGCTATGAAAAAGTTCCTTAGCAGGTCGAATCCTGCGCTACAAAGGGGAGTTATTACCATCCTTTTTTCGCGGCACAAGATTGGGTTTTGATTTTTTCTTAGAGGATATTTTTTCCTATTTTTGTAGCGCACATTGCTTTCTTTGCTGTAAGACAAAGTTATAAAGCTTGTGTAATTCCCCATCCTTCAATTATAAAATCATGTTGATCCCTTTAAGTAAGACAGAGTCTAAAAATTGAAAATTATTTGCTCATTTACAACTCACGAAAAGTTTAAACGGTTGATCCAAGCAATTATAAGCTAATAATTCCGAAAATAATGATCTTTGTGGAGAAAATATCAATCGATGTTCATATAAACAACTTTCTAGCTCATGTAGAGTAGTTTAACGGCTACTTTTTCGCAGGCGCACTGTGGAAATTGTTATGTTGTAAAAGCCATCGATAGTGAGAACTTCATGTTCTATTCATTAAAGAAACCAACCATACAGTTCGTATACTTCAAGAGGAATTTAGTTCGTACTAATTTTCAATGCAAGAACTGGTTTTTAGTGAACGAGCTCCGTGAAAGGCAAACCCGCAGTACACTGTGATGCTTTAGTAGGATTGCACGTCAAGTCGACTGGACATCGGGGCATTAACTTCCCTTGAATGTAGCTCACATAATGAATGCTAACCTTCGCCATTACGAGGAATCACACGAAAGACAACAGGAATTATTTCATTTGCTGCTACAGTGCAAGCCCTTTGGGATTCTTAATAAGCCATTCCTAGGATTGAGAGCAATGCGTGCATCCTTAGAGGTCTTGGGACCCTTTTTTGGTCTTGAAATTCATCTTTTCAGATTATCTTATCACCACCATCTTTTAAATATAATTTGTCGTATCATTATATTCGTCTTAAATCTCACTTACCCAACCATGTTTAGTAAAACCAGGTTTGCCTGAAAGAAACCCACCAACTTAAGTTGTCAATGTGCAATATTTTGAAGTCGAAAACATCACTTTTCGTATCAGGAAAATACTGTCAGTACTATTTATTGTATTTATGTATGTGTGTTCATGCATTCTAATCGCTATAAGATTTTTTACCGAGGTATTGAGGCTATCATAATGTAGTTAGAGTAAGGACGTCATAAATATGCGTAACGCAATGATATTTGTAGTCGTCTGACGTGAGGTGCTGCCGGAATTACATTAAACGTGAAGGAAAGCACAAAATATCATTTATAATAATCAAGGATATACAAAAAACAAAAATATAATGGAAAGGAAACACTTAAACGGAACGGCAAGCTTGGAGGTATCTACACGGATTACAATTAATGATCGAGAGGTTTAAGTTTTCAACTTCCACTTATTGTACTCGAAGTTACATTGTAAGAAGAACAGTGCTGCTCTCAGCACCAACACCGGTCCAATATGTGCCTCATCCTAATATTTCATTGTTTTCAGATGAAAATGTTTTGCTCCGAAATATAAACAGGGAAGGCAATGTACAACTTTTCGAAACCGGAACTATAAGTACTGGGTCTTTCGAAAATCTGGCCCTACCTCACGTCCATTTTACCTTCTTAAATTTTCACAGAATGTCAGCTACTCTTTACAGACGAAAGGGCCGAAGAGCGCTTGAAATTCTTCCCATCTAAAACATCTCTTGAAAAAGAGGTAGCAGTTCCCGCCAACCGGAGTTGTGCCTTTTACTACGGAGATAAGTTTTTTGTCCATTATCTTGGTTGTGAAGGTTCATGGAAACCGATTACAGCACAAAACGTGCTTAACACTATAGAACTGACTCCTAGTTGGTCAACCACTGTTCTCAAGATAAGGGTGAGTTTAGTATGTGAAATGACAATGATGTCGAACTAAGGAACGAGCCATTATTTATTGCCAAGAGCCAGGAAAGGGAGTGGGGTTGAGGACTTTTTTGTGGGGGGATCACATGGTTTTCAGGGAAACGGAGGGGGATCAGTCGTCAGAGAGACTACAGAATTGACCGCCAATGAATTGCCAAGAGGGGAGATCGGACGAATTTTAGAGAGGTTTATGGGCGATCAGGTAAATTCGATCGTGACACAGCCAAAATCCTCCAAACCCTCCTTACCCCCCCCCCCCCCGGCGAGCGATAAATGATTGTTCCCTCATGCAAATTAATGTTTCTTACGCTACTTTCACTGATATTTCTTCAATTAATCTGAATTCTTTGTCACTGATTCGGGTTGTTCGTATTGTAAAAAAATAATTGTTTTTTTCTTATAAGACAAGTTAGTAATAAAAGACTTAGAGCAGGGGAAGCAGGGGCTTATGGGACCACCCCTTCGTAGAATGTAATGTACAGTAATAAAATAACCTTCCTTTAGGACCTTTAGCGATCTGTATTTACCTCCTTTCTAGAATTTTTCCAGTTTTGAAACGGCAATTTCTTATTCTTTTGGCCTAAAGATATATCTCAGTATATCTTAAGGCATCTCAGCATTCATGGGTTTGCGAATGAATGTTTCTTACGCTAATACCTTTCTTCAGTCAATCTGCTACTCTGATTAAATAAATACATTCTCGATCACAATTTCATTTTCAGATCAAAGCTGGATCGACGCTTTTCGCAAATTTAACAGCTGGCCATCTCGTGAGAGTTCCGATTCAGTGCCGTAGAGAAAACTCTGAGGATGATCTCTCAAGCTCTTGCATCGTGTTCATGGGCGAAGGAACTGTTGAATGTAAGGTGTCATATGAAAACGAAAGCGTATCCTGGACGTATCCTGTCTTTGTTGTAGTTTTTGGAAAAAGCTGATGACTAAAACACAAAACGCGATTTCTTTGTCACTGATTCGGGTTGTTCGTATTGTATAAAATACTGTTTCTCTTATATGGCAAATTAGCTCAAAGACCTGAAGCAGGGAAAGCAGGGGCTTATAGGACCGCCATATTGTAAAATGTAATGTGCAGTAATAAAATAACCTTCCTTTAGGAACTCCTTCCTTCTCGATATTCTTTTTTTCTAGACCCCAATAAGATGGGAGCAATGCCTTTTCTTCTACTAATAAGATCCATACCCAGAGGCACTTCAGTTAAAAAAAAGAAAATGGCGTGGCTTTGTGGAGCAAGTCATGGCCTTTTTAATTTGCTTAATTTTTCTTTGTCCTTTTTTTATTAGGTCTATATCCTAGGCCAACTCTGGCACCAGGTTTCAACCAGGCGACTTTGCCAGCACCAGTTCTAGAAAGACTAAATTCTACAGCAACCCTTCCAACTGTGAAGACCAGGACTTCAAAGACCGTAACTATGGCCGAGACTACTAGAGGCCCTTCTCCAACAAAAGAAACCACGCAACCGCGACAAACTGAAAAAGCAACGACTGCGCCAACAACATCTCAGGTAGGCTATGTTACATTATATCAAACAGAAAGCAGTTATTCTTAGGTACATTTAAAAGGAAATAGATTCAAGAAAAAGCACATGACCAGAACCCCAGAAGAAATTTTTTGTGCTAAAGGATAAGGGAGCCTTCAAATACTGTGGAGCCGAGTAAGGTTCTTCTATTTCCTGGGAATAACCATATTCTATATTCATTTCAGAGCGCGAGAACAACGCCACCTCAAACTGAGCAGGTATGGTAAATTAAATTATTTCTATAACGTAATTATCCGTATTCACACCTTCTGCGAGAATCGAAAAGAGACTGCTGCTCAGTTTTGACTAAACAACATGCCCGTCGTAAATATATGTCCCTGGAATCAGTTTCACGCGATAAGACACGGGCTCAAATTTCTATAAGTCTACAAAGAAAGTCTACAGGACTTGCGTCTTCTTATATGTAATGATTGTCATTTCCTATGCGTAATTCAAGGATTATATATCGAAAGCAATTTCTTCCACGTGTGCATCGATCTCTCTTTGTCATCGACCTTTCGTATTCAACGACCTCGCACCGACCTAACTCTTGTCATGTATACAGTAAGCCAAAGCTCCAGTCGGGGAAAGCTCCACTTTGGTAATTTCGTTTTCTTTTGTTATGTTCGGTTTGTACATTTAGCCATCACAGGGGGAGACAGCTCAAAGAACGCAGAGCAAAAAGAACACTTACATCATAGCTGGATCTGTAGCTGGAGGAATTCTCTTAATAGCCTTAATACTGCTTATCTTATGGCGCTGCAACAGTCCCAAGTAAGGCTACATAATAGATAACAACACGTTACTCGTTAGAGCACGAGCTGAGACAAAGAAATCAACTGAGTAACCCAAGAGGAACGGATCCCAATCCGATACCCCACCAATGAGCTGTAGAGAACTCGTTGGCGAGCTTCCTGCATACCTAGTGTAAGATCACTACGACTGCAGCTGAACTGAACCGTGAATCTAAACTTTCATCACCTATACACTAAGACAAATTAAAAAGTTCGTGTCTCTTTTTATGAATGGTTCTTTCACATTCATCCTTACACAGCGTGATGGGCAGTGCCATTGCCAAAACCAATTTCTCACTGACTTTTATTTGAATGAAATGTTTAGGAGGTTTATAAGGGTGTATTAAAAAACCATGTTACCTTTTACCACCGAGAGTTTAATAAAGAATAGAATACTCCACCTTTCGGCAGAATAAAATCAATGTTATCACAAATAGAAACGGAACACTCTGCAAGCAACTGTTTCATAGCGTTACTTTTGAATGCAATAATGTCCCTTCTTTTTTTACATTCAGGAAACAACCAAATTCGCATCGTCGTTTAGAAGGTAAGTTAATTTGTAACAACTCTATCACAATAAAACAAGACCTTTGACGAAATATACTTCACTTATTTCAGCTTTGTGATTTTATCAAAAAAAAAAAAAAAACTGGGGAAACACCTCGAAAGTGTCATTACACTGATACGTTTGATCGTCGTCAGGACATATTTATAAGACATGCTCTTTACACAACAGATCTGTTCATAAAGACTAAGTCCACCCACTTGTTTTATTTTAGGGTCGATTACCAGCCCCGTGTCTCACGTGAGTATACAACTGTGGATTTTATCACAAATCTTTCGTTCCTGTCAGAAGATCAAATTGAGCATGCATTGTTCAGTTAAGTCGAAAAATATTATTGTTGAACGTGTAGGGCTTAAAAATTGTTACTGTTTCTCTTTTAGATGAGTCGACATTCAATTCCTGTCTATTCGGATGCTTCTTATCTCTCTCCATTAGGGACCTTCGACGAAAGGACGAGGAGCTTGGGTAGGTAATATGTAAGGCTTGTAGGGATAACGCAGAATTCGTTACAATGTATCAAGGTGTGCGCTTTTAGAAGAGAACAGCTTGTGTTTTTTTTTCTCTCTAGCACCAAACTGAAACTCCACGCAGATGAACGCATTTTACGCTAGATTCTGTTACCGGAACTCTCTTTTTATTTCTTTGTTTTATTTCATCCTCCAGATAACCCCGTTTATCGCGAGGGCTCAGAAGGGCTATTTGTGTCGGGCTTGGACATGAAACGAGGGTCTATCTACTCAGATCATTACCCCACAAACCCTCCTCCCAGGCCTCCACCAGGATCTTCAAAGCGCGGTAGCATGAACGGACAAGTGAACCCAGCTTTGGCGCTAAGAGAAGAATATGTGACAATGAATCCACTGTATGAAGGACAGGTGATGCACCACAAAGATCTTGAAGAGCTGAACTGCAGCGACTTTGGAGTCAGCGCCGATCAAGTTGTTCTCGATACGAGAAAGGATCCTGAAGGTAATATGAGCAAACCCGATGTTGCGCAACAACTAGTGAAGGGGTAATTGACCTATCACCACTGGTGCGCGCTTCATGAGTCTTGAAGCCAATAAAACCAGCCTGGCATTACCAGCCATTCAACTTTCGCAAGCAAACTTAAAGTACACAACTAATAAACAACTCCTCTGACCTTAAATGGCTATCGCCTATATGGCTGAAACGTCAGTAACTTTCACGGTCAACAGCACTCGTTTATGACACTGCAGAAAAATGCTACTAAATCATAGTATCATCCTTATGAGTGACCATCACACAAAACGTACTGAGTAATATTTTTATCTTTATCCAGAGTTCAACGACGACACCTATGACTGTCCAGGAGACATCTTGAATTCTAGATCCGAAGCAAGAGCATCACCGATCCCCGTTTTTTATGCCCTGGACGAATCATACCCGGACAGCATCTCCAATACCTTCCACAGAGACAGCACTTTCAGAGGGCGTCCAGATGGACGCGTGTATGATGAGCCTGAAGGTGACCTTAGGAGAAGCCCTTATATTGTTATGGACAATCAGAGAGGTAGTGACCCTTTTACCTAGCCGTAGACCTATAACTGTTTAAACGATCCTCGTTTGCGGGAACACACTTGGGACTAAGACAAGTTTCACATGAATGGATTGAGAGGCGTAAATTACATTGAGATAATGGATATTATTGAAAAATAACCATGGGAACAAAGTTTGCATCCACCCAGTGGTGATCCGAAAGTATAACAATAATACTGCTATAAATTTCAATAGATGGCTGATATCATTTGACAGGCAGTATACAACTACAACGACAATATCCCCGATAAATAACAACAAACAAACGGAATTGCACGTCTCACAAGGGTATAGAATAGCGAAGTATCATCTTGCAAAATCTCTTGATTCATTCTTTTAGACAGGACGACTTTCTCCAGTAGGTCGATATGAACAATTGGCTATTACGAATTTCTCATGACGCCTCATGTGTCTGAGTGTCGTGTGAACCACAATAGAATGAGTTGTTTTAAGGAAAGGGGGGGTCTGCAGAAAGGTGGATGGACGTAAATATGAACGGGATTTCATCTCGGCCCGGAAACAGCCGCTGAATAGTAAGGGTGTGTTGTTTACATAAATTATGACTTTTCTCATACTTTTTGTTTAATTTCATCGAAGGTGTAATCTACTCTCATGACTATGACGAGCCACCCCGCGATGAGGAACTGCTGAGTATCCGCAGGCTAAGTTCTCCAACTCATGGCATCTTGAAGACTGGGAACGGGTCACCAAGCACAAAATACCTTCCTCGATCGGGGCACTGAGCATTTCAATATGTTAATTGAAACAACCTCGACCTGACAACCTGTTTGAAGGTAGAGGCCTTCAGAGTAGTTTTTTTTCCTCGCCACCAACCCAATAAGGCGCAATCTCCTTCTTAAGAGATCCTGCAGTATACGAGTTAATTCTTAAATGAGCCATACATAATTGATATAATTACTAAGACCTAAATTTTGATCGGGCATGTATAATTCCGAAGAAACCAGTTTCCGCCCGCCCGCGATAGAAATCTTCCAAACAGAAACAAGCTTTAGAGGGTTAGAACTATCTAATCTTCCTTAAGAGGCTCTGCTTCGTCTAGCCAATGTGTGGGTTAACAATTAGACTATCTTCTTGATAGGAGACGAACGACGTAGTTTGTTTTTCGTTGTTGTTCTGAAGACTCAACACTATGATGAGACTACTGCTTAAGGAGCACTCCTGTTGCTGCTGCTTATTTGACACTCCTGAACCTTCCTTGTGAATCATATTATATTTTTACACTCATTTGCGAAATTGTCTGGTAAATAGGTAGTGCATAATGAGTTTGAGAAATAAATATTTGATTGAAAAATGGTTAGCTTCGTTTAGAACCTATGCATTTGCATTTTGATAAGTATTCTGTTCATTAAGTATATGTATATGACATATCGGTAACGATAACAAAATTAATTCCTATATGTGATGTTGCTAGTGAGACTGAGTTTAAAAGAAGTATATCAAATACGAAAATTTACACAGTGATTGTCATTAGTTCTTGAGGTTCATTGACAGATTCATTCGTGGATCAGAAATAACTAAATCCCCAGAAAGTAATCAGTACACCCTGTATAATTGATTTCAATAGTGGCACTTTGTTCCAAGTATGCTATATATTCATCCCATGTTCCTGATAAGAGTATCATATGGGATACTTATCGAAAGAAAATTCTCGAAGAAAGGAGTAATTCTTCATCATTTGTGTTACGCGTACTTTTTGTTCCTCAGTCCAAAGTACTTTGTGTCTTGTGATTGAGGGGGTTGAAAACAGGATATTGCTACATTTCTCGAAGTAATCCTCAGAACATGCGACGTTTAAATGGTCGCATAATCTCTGGAGAGTTTCTTTAGGTCTCAGTATAGTTTCGTGCCCTGCAATATCGACAACTTCATCGCCATAAAGTTCCCGGACGCGTTGGTTTGCAGCCGCTAATTTGAAATAGCGGTTAATAGACTTCTCCAAGTCTTGGGCTGTATTGTTTATCTGTTAGGTGAGAAGAAAAGAAAAGAAAAGAAAAGAAAAAAAGAAAGTTTTGAGCGCCATGCCTTTTGTGAGGATTTGGAACCCAGTTAACTTCAATGTGTCGCCAAATGAATGTCACCAAATTTAGAGTAAGAATGTCTACAACGTCCTTACTTGCGTTCCTTCTTCAATCACAGCCTCTCGCGTTCCTGTTTCTCGAAGTGTCATGGTGGCAATGTTGTCAAAAGGGTTCCTGACAATGTGTATAAATCTCAGCGGTACTTGGAGGGTTTGCCTTATTTCTTTTAGAATGTCTATTGCCGTTGATAAGAACTCTGAAGTTTTACCAGCTTGCTTATCGCCGATAACCTTAACCCAAAATAAATAAACATAATTCACTATGGGTTTTAAAGCTTTAGTTCTATAAAAACTAAAATGTTCTTAGCATATCTGCTCCTAGCAATTGTACCTGATTGCCACCGATGTTGGTATTTCGGTTATGCATGTATAAGAACCCCACTTCTGCATGCCATACAGTGTAATTCTATTACTGGTTATCATGGACTTTGTTTGTACCACAATTCCATATACATGTATCGTTCTGATAAAAAAAACCCCTTTAACTCCGACGAGTGACCAAGACAGAATTTCTCCTTACGATATCGATACAATGTCAAGGAGACAAGTGACGAGAATAAAGAAAAATATCAATTGGGGGATTATAAACTGATCCAATACCAAATTCTCCAAACTAACATCACAAGATCTGTATGGCAGACAGTAGGGAGAATGACTAATGAGACCTTGCGAGTTAAAGGGTTAAGTATCTTGCCCGAGAACACCTACACAGACCCACGATAGGGTCATTATATAGGGGAGTTAGCCACTGTATAGTGGGTGGGGGAGAGTGAGTGAGGGCATTCAGTAGCAAAGAGCATCAACGTCTTCGAGAACTACGAGAAAAACCTAAAACTTTGACTCACTGAACTAACCTTAATTTTCCTTTGATATCCACCTTGCCATAAACCAGGCACATTGTAAGTGTACCTGAACTTTGGTGCAAGAAGCGTCTTACTGAATGTAGCACGCCTTCCAAATAGTGCATCCCTCAAGGAAAACTGATGAAGGTCATAGAACAGTGCGTATTTTTGTAGGTTTTTCTTTTTCTTCAACCGCGCTGAGCGGTATTTTTCCCATTTTCCTACCACACCATACTCGTGTGATATAATTATTTCCGGGTGAGCATCCAATAGGGCTCCCACTAAACTATGAATGCTACGTGGATAACCAATGAACAAGAGAAACGTTTCCACTCCATCATACAATCTGAAATGTCTCTCGGCATAAGAGACTAACGATGACTCTTCTGAAAAGTAATCATGAGTAAACTTTGTTGTTCATAAATCCGTTATACACTTAGCTTGACAAAGTTTTTACTAAGTACATGCGATTGATGATAATTTCTGTGTGTGGATTTTGATAATCAAGTTACCGGAGATTTAGCTGTAAAGGATAATTTTCTCAATTAGTGGTTTGTAACTGCCATCAGACTTGGCTCTCATATGAAATATTTCATCTCACCCTATCTTAAAATGCACTGACAGCCAAGCCTTCAAGCCTTCATTACAATACATGCATTTCTTATTTATGATACTGATGTCTACATAACATATTATGTGACAATACACATATATAGTGTGCTACCTTAGTAAATATGTTAAATGTATACTTGAACAAAGTACATATTCAGGTAGTCATGTATTTTACTTCATAATGTGCAGTGGCTGTTACAGCTCAATAGGTACTTCATAAAGTATTTTTCACGTTTTGTGAGTTATGTGACATTCATGATGCTGTTCGAATAGAGGAAAATAAGATAAGCTTTATATGATCTTGATGGTTAATAATGAGGACCAAAGGTCATCCCAGTTTCATACTTTAGACTGCAATGTTCACCAAGCGATTTTCTGCAATAGGTGTATGAAATTTTGTCTAAATTCAATGTTATATCAAACAAGGTGGGCAAATAATCTCAACTGTGATTCAACATCATTCATTCTATGACTTGGTCCGGGTAATTTTATAAATATAATACAGGCTATAGGTAAGTGCTATTGCATGAAGTAGAGTAGGTTTTAACTGAATGCTTTGAAAATTATGATTTCTTCGACAGCCTCTGCTCCAATTTTACCTACTGATTTCTCACTTATGAATTAAAGCTGAGCTTTGATAGAAATATCAGTTGCCAGCTAGAAAATAGTGAGTATGGAAAGGACAGGGTAGGTTTAATATCTCAATGTCTAGTTTAGAACTAGAAAAGCATCTTCAGAAGGTTCATTCCACTTGATAAATTTAGGGTGACAGGTTCTTTTATGAGTTTTTCAGGGTTTACAGTTTCTAGGGGTCTTTAAGGATCTCTACCAAGACACACAAACCTAAAAAGTGGGAGATGCTTTGGCCTAATGGTTAGTGCGCTAGACTCCAGGTCAAGAGGTTCTTTTTCAAGACCTGGTCTGGGTTCCCTCTCCCCTGTGTTGTGTTCTTGGGCAGAACACTACTTTCACAGTGTCTCTCTCCAACCAAGAGTGTAAATGGGTACCAGCAAATTATCATGGAAGCCTAAAGTAATAGTGAAGGTAACTCAGTGACTGAAATCCCATTGGGGGAGAAGGGCATTAACACTTAATTCTATTTGCTTCATTAGGGAAACCAGAATGAGATCTGGCAGAATGAGCCTATAAGTACATATACATACATGCGCAGATGATGTTCTTAATGTAACTAAATTAACCACTCGTAAAAACCCCCATGTAACCTTTAGAGGTTACTGCAGCCCTTAGGTCTTACCTAGTACAGCACATATTAACATTTTATTTCAACTTTAAGGAGAGGATTCTCTATACTAGATTTCAGTTTTGTGCACACTCATACAATGTTAACTGATTGGTTGGGTTGGAAATGACCCAACCTTGTCAGGTTTTTTCAACCTAGATTAGAGACCCTTTTCTGTAATAAGTCAGCTGCCAAAGCTTAACATATATAAAACTATTGTGCAGAATAGCATAATAGTAGAAAGCCATAAACAGTTTCTTGCAAAAATGAAATTGGTCACAGTCTTTAAGATAAGATTTCATCAAAACAAATCAGTAAAGATAATTGAATACCAAATTAAAACTCTTCACAGATTTGGAGATTCTCAAAGACATGATGCAGTCAATAATATGCCACATCATGCATTGCTTTGTTTACACAACACAACAGATTTGTGAAGCAATCTTTGCAATCTTGCATTCTTGCATTCTTTTCCAGAATCTTAAATTCATACAGACTGAAGATCTTTTGTAATGAGAATACCATATGATTTTATGATATTTTCTTCAAAGTTTATTTAAGATCAGATTATAGATCCCCCAACATATAAGGAAAAATACTTCAAGTTCTTGCACTAATTGGCACAAAATCTTGAAGATTTTGGTTGATTGCCAGATTCTTGGAGAACTTTGATAGTTTTAATTGATTATTAAAATAATTTATATGAACAAAGAATCACATTACAATAGTTTGAATCTGAAGAATGTTCAGTAAGCTATATCATGTGTGCTTAAGTACAGTACATTTAACAAGAAGAGTAAAAATTGAACTACTGTTTCAATATCTACACTATGGAAATTCATAGTAGGATTTGAATTATAGCATACATTTCTAAATTCATACATCTCTAAATTCATACCTTTACTTGCAACATAGCTGACTTGTATTCTAAGGACAAACCAGTCTTTTATTGACCTACTTTCTCGTATAACATGGATTGTACATTTCTTGATGCATATATTTGAGCATGTCATTGTTTTCACTTCATCACATCCATCTACAATGAATAAAAGAAAACTTTATTTATTTTATACAACACATCTGACGGAATCACTTTGTAAGTCATTATCTCATCCATTATTGACATCATTCCCCTTTCTTGTTTTATGTGTTAATGGTTTCTTTCTTAGATCTGTTCTTTATTCTCTTGTTTTCTAGGCTGGTCTAATTATGCCTTACAGTACATGCCTTAAGTCCTTAAAAACTACCTCATTTGAAAATACTTTGTACAAGATTACTCAGCTGACCCCAAAGGCTCTTTCACCCTTCCTTATAACACCTGCTGAACTCAGTTTTAAATTACAAGGAAAGTTTTCATCAGGGTCCTAGCATTTGATCCAGAAAATATGACACCTCATGCTGGTGGGTAAACATGTTCAAAATAATATAGACCTGTATGATGCTTCCATAACATTGTGATAACAATATAATCAAAATAAATTATTTCATATTCACCAGAAAACTTTTTTTAAAAAGACATGTTTCAGCAGGACATGCCACTATTAGTTTATTGTGTTTTATTAAATGAAAACTCCAGATATTGCATTTCTAGTATTCTGATTGCATCACTCACCTCTGGTTATCAGCTCATATACCCAATCACCTTACATTGAATGTAATTTACCCAATTTATATACCGAATCATCTCACATGGAAATATGATTTACCCAATTTACGCAAAGCTTGATTTAATTTTGGCCAGAGACAAACACTTCTACCTTGCATTGTGGATAATTTAATTGACTAAAACAGTTATTGACCATTCCTGCTTGTTGGATGTAAGACTGGTTATAGCCAACTCCACACTATGCACCTCATTTGCTATTTACCATCCCATATCCACCACACACTCATGGAATAACTGTCAATTACCATCCATCAAATATTTTTGCTCGCACACACATTGGTCTAAACACATTAAGTGATCTAATATTCCACAACAAAAACTAAGGGATATCCAAGGATATCAGTCAAGTGAAATTCCCCAATTTTCAAACCTTATGTCCACAATGAGGAGTCTTCATTTGAAAATTTAATTCAAGATTATTGTTTTGGATGAAGGAAAATATTTCTTTGTTCATAAAGTCCTAGCAGAGAACACAAAAGAAAGAATCCCAGAAAGATGTTTGTGAAAACTTTTTCGTAGACATTGCAAAATATTTGAAGGATAATATACACAATAGCCTCTATTTTGTGCAAAAATATGCTTGTTTATTTGTCCTTGGACATCATCTGTTTGTTAAAGCTCACATTTTTCCTTGAGCTCCTTGGAGAGGAGAGATAATGTCTGTGGACAAATATCCATGCATATTTTCACGCCAAATGGAGGATATTGTTCCTGAACTCGTTGACTTTGTTCTTACACGTTAAATAAACAGTACTCTGTCAGGTTAAGTAGAATCACAACTTTTGAAATATGGACCCGATAAATATTAATTGATTTAATCCCGCAAATTATACAAGTTAATCAATGAGCCAGCATTTTGATAAAGCTAGATAGATATTAATCCCAGCAATTACGTCAGCGGTTTGACAGTTACCATGGGAAACTTGTTCTACAGCAAGATTTCTGTATGGCCCTATTCTTCATCATGCTAATTACATTTGTTTCAGAATAGAAAACGAAATGACGGAAACCATCAATTATCTTTGGGAGAAAGGCTTTGTTTTGGAACTGTTTTCAGAAATCTTTCCGGATGTTTCTCTTATTTGGCTATTACCAAACAGTGCTGCGCTGCTGACAAATGTCGGTACAGAAAGTCCTTTCTGCCAGTTTTCTTCCTTTAAACACCAAACTTCACCACAAAACTATATAAATGATGCAAGAACGAGAAGAGGAATGGCACAATAAACATGCAGTGTGAACTGTGCGATGTTTTCTTCCACACTGCTAATTTTAAAGATTCGTGATAAAACTTGTCGATCGACTCGAGCTAATCTTCTTCAGGGAAAATGGTCTTCTGTAACCAACGGTAACCAAGTTGGCTTAAGATATAAAATTAAAATAAATGGCATTGCTTACCTGTACGAAAGAAGAGCAAAACGTCCGTCTTAAAAAGGGTGGAAACGTCTCAAAGAGATAGAGAAGTACTTGTTCGCCATCTTGAGTATTTTAAGCATTTCCCGCCGTTTTCGCGGTTGGCGAGCGGCTGCTAGGAAAACTTGTCCCCATTCCTTCAGCTCATTTCAAACCGAAATGGTAAATATCGATCAGGCACAAAAGGTGAGGGGCGTTCTGTCTTCGTTGATTTAAGGTGACATTTGAGAATTTTTGTCGCTATCGTGCATATATATGCGACCATGCGTCTCTGCAAAAATTGTTACTTGATTTTATAACTTTTATCGCGAATAGTTGTATTTAAAGTGACTTAGCTTAGCGACGCTCGCTGCTGGTATCATTTCACTTATTTTATACTTGCTGTTTATGTCATCTCTAATAAGTTATCCATAAATGCGATAAACGGTGTGTAACGAAGCAAGTGACCATAAAATGAAGGCTTCCCTAACAGTTTTGTGGCTCCCATGTAGACTTGAAGAGGGGCACTGAAAAGAAAGTAAGTGCCTCGCCCAAGAGCACAACTCAGAGACATTGCAAGAGCTTCCACACGGATCTCCAGTACTCTGGAGTTCAGCGCGTAATTCACTATGCCACTGCGTCTCTTACAAATAACTTTCATATATATATATATAAACTTGGATAGATATAGGATAATTTGGTTTTATCAACTGAGTTAAATATGTTAATGAGCCACTGTAAAGATTTTATAAAGTTCAACATCATCGACTCAGTTGACAAAACCAAATAATTTTTTAATGCCCCACACCGACGTAGCAACACAGTTTCTGCGGATACTTACCCCCTTCATTCATTTTTCAAATGGAAAACATCTGTTACTGTCTGTTCACTTACCAGTTTCATGATGATGCCTTTGGGAATAGGTAGATTCATTGTTTTGACGGAAACATTTCCTCCTTTGAAATATATTCGAAAAGATGAAAGATTTTTCCTCAGTTGTATTACATATGATGTAGACAAAAAACACGGAACAAGCCAAAATCACAGCTAATGGCAGAGGAAATTTCATCTGGGAATCAGCTGTTTCTGAAAAGGATTGTTAGATGTAAGAGATTGCTCCTGACAGTTGACTGGCACCCAGGATGACGAAAGGGATTATGATAGAAGCTTTGCACACGAGCTTAATAATGCTGCTTACCCGGCCGGGGTCAAACCCCCAGGGGTTACTTGTGTCAATTTTTTATTATGTGTGTGCCGCTGGCCGAGTGAACCCCTACCCCATTATAGTCTATTCTGTTGTCAAATATAGACCCCATCTTAGTTACTCTTAGCAATACAACTTTTAACCGCGAATCTTCCCATTTTTGAGTCCCTACTTACTAAAATTTTATTACTTCCAAAATCCCCAAAATGCGAGACCCCATTCTACTAACTCTATTGAACATTCAGCCCCATTACAGTCATGTAAATCCAGTCGTGAAAATGCAAAGCGGCAAATCCCCACCAGCCCACTAAGAAGTACTCCCCGACCCGGGGTTCAAACCAGAACTTCCCCACCCGTAACGTGCTGCACCAGCAACTAGCCCCCAAGGTTATGGCCATTAGCCTGAAAGAATGAATTGAAAAATTAGCACATAGATGAGAGACAGCCCAAGCGTTTGTTGGGAAGGGAAATGTTCCTATTACTAGAAATGGAGCAAATGAAAATGAGCAACTAATAAAGAATGCAACTGGATTTTTGTGACTGGCTAATCTTAAAAGTAAATAAATAAATGAATAAGAAACCGCTAGTTACAGAATATGGCAGGTTCCTGTTCAAACAGTGCGATTTAAATTTCGATTTATCACATAAGAGGGATAGAACTTCGTATAAGCAACTGTCGTCTTTGAAGCACTTCTTCTAAAATGATAAATTGTTATGATCTTTTAAAGGACTTACTTACCTTTCGCTGGAGGGTTTCCTATCAAACAGCGCCGTAATTCCAATATACTCAGAGCTGTGGCGTCGTTACAAACTTCTTATAGGGTCACAGATGATGGCGAGTCTGCAAAATGTATGATGTTTACGTGAAAGTGTTACTATACAAAGGATTAATTAGCGACAGCAAAAGTGATAACTACATTTCTAAGTTAACTGTGATAAAATGGGAAGTGCTTTTTACTGCATATTTGGAGTTGATTACGGATGCAATTTTAAAGATTCTATCGTTAAGTAGTTTTTCTGTCAATCTACTTTTTTCCAGTGAAAAACAGGTAAACACAGGAAAAAAAACCCGTATTTTACTGAAAAATTAAATTAGTGGCATGACTAAGAAAGAAAAACAGTGAGGTGAACTGAAGCTGTCGCCTCTTTGTGTTGTCATAATCATTTCCATAGTTACGACTCTTTCACGGAAAAAATTTAATTTATTGCTTCTCACTTAACATTTTTTCCTTCTTTTGTGAACGCGGAACTAGCTCCTACTTGCTTATGGGAGTAGTCAGTCGGTTTCCAGACGCTGAGCGGAAAAATAATACAATAATGGCAGCATGACGGATTAAATTTTATCCTTTTGACCTTTTCTGAACTTAAAACTGTCGACAGAGTCGCTATGGCGTCTATCCTTGAATGGGCCAAGCAGGAAATTGATATATCATACGTGTGTTTTCATTTGACTGAAAATGCTTCAGTACATGAAGGATCAACCATCCACATGTCATTTTAAATCTTTGTCGATTCATTCTACAGAGATCCAGACACTCTCGTTTGATCAGAACTACTTACGCAAATTTGCGATTCTTGGGTTTACTAATGATAAATGAGAGATGCCAAAAATAACACAAGCATCCCTTACTAAGTAGGAAATGCGTCATAAGCCCCGTGGGTTTTGTTGTAATTGAGTGATATTCTTGAAACAAAATGGCGGAGTGGGTATCAGATGAGATAGTGAAAGTGGCCTCGCGGTTTGGGCGTAAGGCAGGAGGATATCAGCGGGCTTCCGGTAGAAATGATTCGAATTCAAATAGAATTAACAAAAGTTTTATAATAACTTCCAAACACAAAGGTCTTCGGAGTATTTACGATTCTTCTTTGATCAAGTTTCAATATGGGACGGTTATGGAAATATCAACTTGTTCTGATCTTCAAATGCTGGTGTTTCTTCTCTGTTGCTGTTGTCAAAGTAAATGTTTCGATGGCACGGGTTTTAAGTGTGACACGTTCTGGTGCGATAGGAGACTCATTTGAGATTGAATTAGAATCGAACGGGTGCTCAAGCTGTCAACAATATGGCGCTATCCAGGTGAATAATGTATCAGCTAATCGTTGTTCTTGTTCTTGCAACGACAAAAAGAAGCGTACGTTTTACACAGCACACACGGGGACGATGAGCTGTACAGAAGACAGAGGTATTTTGGCAGATCCAAGAGAGGGTAAGATTTTTTTTTCAATTTTGAAACAATATATTTTTGTGTTTCTAGATGAGTACTTACAAATGATATTAATTGTCAAGCTAAGCACCCATTTATTGTTTACTTTTAAGAGCGAAAACCAAGGTGAAAGTATTATTTCCTGTGCATTGTATCAAATAAGAAACAGAATTGAGATATTGTTCTTCCAGAATTAAGTTGTGTGAGGGGGCTAGTTTTCTAAACTTAAGAAATTAATGAGGCATACTACAAGATTATTTTGTTTCATCATCTGTCTTGATAGTGTAAATTTGCCACCATAAAGAGTTTCTGTGGCTGTAGTTTTGAGTATTAGCCCATCATCAGAGCATTTAACTTAAGATGAAGAGCTGACGCTCAAAATGTCAGCTTCAGAAACTATTTCTGGAGACCAAAAGTTAGTTGTGGTCAGTGTCATGGCTAATTAAGAGAGCTTTGCTAGTCATTAGAAAGAGGAAAGGCTCAGGAAAGAGGGATATTGAAAATCTTGTGGTCTACTATCAAATAAGTGCTAAGAAGATAAAAATAACGTATTGTGAATTCTTTTTTTCTGCTTCAAATAAATGAATTGAGGAAAGTGGCTGGTAAAGATAGAGTTTTGAAAAATATCCTGGTTTTTTTTTTTTTTTTTGAACTGTCATTGTCCAGGAAGTATTTGTGACTTCTACATTGACCAATCACAGCAGTTAAAGGTTCTTAACCTTCAAGTGAAGGGAGAAGCAAGACTGAAGCCGAATGGTTTCTGCAGAAGACTCAAAATTGCTGGATGGAAATTTTATTTTAATTCTTCATGGACTTCCTTTCCTGCCGGTGATGCCTTCAGGCAAACAAAGAAGCTACGTTCAGCAGCAAATTTCAGTGTAGGTACTTTTCTATTAATCCCTTACACCCTAACATTAGAAAGTTTATTTTCCATACAGTTTTATATAATAAGCTCAGTTATGCACGCATTCTGATTGGTCCTCACTTATGATCTATTGGAGGACAGACATATAGATGACGTCATCATTAAAATTTTTTAAAATTCTTTATTACATAAAACAAATAGATTCCAAGTTGCCGTGCATCTGTTCAGTAATAGATCACAGAGGAAGTCAAAATGTGGTAAGAACATCAGTGACACACTCAGCTGCACCTCATGTGCCACTTTTTTGTTCTTACCACATTTTGATGTCCTCTGTGATCTATTACTGAACAGACGCACGGCAACTTGGAATCTATTTGTTAAATCCATACAACAATCAAGAGTTTCTTCAGTGGGTGATCATTTCTTTTACTCTCATGACCTTAATTTGTGATTTGGCTCTGATATTTTAAGGGGCAATTAGATGCTTGTCACTCTAAGGGGTCAGAGAGTCAATATTAATAATATACTTATTTGCAAATTACCATCTCCCCCACCCCACCACCCAGCTGGTTCCTATTTATGATCTTGGATGGATCTCTCTATTGGGAGGCCAGCTTAAAATGCACAAGTTGTAAATTAGTTGCATCTGATATGTAGAGATTATTCTATGGAAAATGGAAGAATTTGGTGTTAGATCAAGATAATACCTTTAACCCAATAAGTTTGAGTATTCTCATTACCTTTTTCCTGGATTATGTATGAATATGGTTGGGAGAAGTTAGATGTTAATCACTTTCGAGAGTTATTTGAGGCATATGCCATGGCTCTGGTGAACAATGTACTATTTATACACCTGGAAACAAATACCTGCATGATGAATGATGTTATAAGTCTAATTTGATTTTAATTTTTCAATTATAATATTTCAAACTAAAATTTTAAATTAATTTTTGTTTCAGTGGAATGGGAACCCCAATTCCTTTTACAGAGGACTTCTGATAAAAGTTATGTTTAATTGTACTTACAACAAGCAGACAGAAACTCGCTGCCTCATGTTCAAAGCTGAAGGAACACATCAATGTTAGTTTCTTGAGAGTTTTTTTTCTTTTTTTTTTTGAAGTGCTTTGAGACTCTTCTTTCAAATTTTTAGCCTCATTGTGAGGTAGGTGCCAGTTCAGCTGATATCAGTGATAATCAATTGATGATAACATAAAATGACAAGGCAAAAATTTGTCAAACAGTGTTATTAAAAACTTGTGTGCGTTTCAAAGATGCAGTACTTTATAATGTTAAGTTTCAAGGAAACATATCTGTGTAAAAACTGTGTGCCCATATGGATGTTTTCTAAGGTTGGAAATTGGGAAAACTGTGTGATGTTACAGGTCTGAGATATGTTTTTACACTTCTGTGGGGTAAGATTCCTTTAGTGTATACATACCATACATTTATAAGGTACTCAGTGACCCAGGCATTTTTCCCTCAAGGTAAAATAGCAAAAGGGTGCTTTTTACAGGAGGAAGGTTGGTCATAAAATGAGTTTACATTAAAAGGATACTTAGTCAAGTTCATTGTCCTCTTTGTAATGGTATTTGACAATGTTTCATGGAAAACAACTGTTTGATGTTTCAAGGTGAACTAAGATGCAGACAGCCTGTTAGGACAGAGTGCAGACTATATAAATTGTCCAAAATACCAAACTTTTTAACACTAGATGTACTTAAGACCTTACCTAAGGCTTAAACCACCTTTCTATTAAGCAATGTAGTCACTACCTGCTGAATGCAGCACTTACATTTAGTCTTTGTCACCACTAATTGTTTCCCTTCTAAATTCAGATTTTAGCATTTCTACAAGCACACCACCCATCTCTAAGCCCACTTACACTTCAAGAGAGAAGAGCTTTGTTCAGGTATTGTATAAATACAAATATTTAAACCATCTGAATGCGAATTTTCCTTTAAATTGATGTAAATACCATTACAATCTTTATTATTTCTATGGAGACACTTGCTAATTCATTTTACTTGATATTTGAGTTGATACTGATCACTAAGGTTGAGGAAAAGCAAAAAATTTCATGTTCATCCTTAATTTTTTTAGAGAGATAAATAATTTCACAAGGAATGGTCCCTATCTATCATGGGTGGAAGATCATAACTCAGGTTTTTCCAACTGGGCTGACTAAGATCAATATTGATTTGGGGCTATTGGTTATTTTTCGCTTGTCGCAGTGCCTCCTTCCACCCCCAGGAGTACTTGGGTTGCTGGCATGCAATTGTCAATCAAAACCTGGTGAGATATTCGGAACCTCCCTATGTTAGACTGGCATTCCATTGTGAAGAGGTTTCTGTAGCAACTTTTTTACTTGTCAGGCCTCCCCATTGTATTTGCCAGTAACCACATTACCCCCAACCTACAGGAAGTGGTCAGTCATTGTACACTTGGCCCTGACAGTTATGTTTTAATTTTTCTTGTAATCATTTCATTCTTTAAACAGATGTCAAATGAAGAAAATACAGAGACCAACAATTCATTGCCGACTGGTGAGTACTCAAATGCCAATGACAAGAAGATCTGGATTGCTGTTTCCTTGGGTCTGTCTGGTCTTGTTTTCATTGCCATCATTGTTGTTGTTGTATTTCTGGTGTTTAAGTATCGAAGGAATTGCAAGCAGGAAAGAACAGGTGTGTACATTTGGCTTTTGTTTGATTTACTGCAATGGCGATATTATGCATGCAAATAGAGGTTTGTGTTGTCAGTCTTTAATTTCGTTCAAGAAGATATATACACATTTTTATGATCTCAGACTGAAAATACAATCAACATTTGCATGGATGGTTTTTGTGCAAGAAATTATGCCAGTTATTAATGCTGATACTTTCAACATATGTTGTAGCAGTAGTGTATGTATAGTGGTAGGGGGAAGGGGTTGGTGGTTGGTTGTCAGGGTGGTGTTAGTGGTAGTAGTAGTAAACTGTATTTGATTGTCATTTGTTCTATTAACACAGTGGTTGGCGATGCCACTTTAACAGCACCTTGTGTGCCACTGTTCGTAGCACAAAGGACAACAACCTTTTTTCTAGTGCTAAACAGAAGTACAGCAATATGAACTCAATTTGTGAATTAGACATGATTCCTTATGTTAACTGGAAAGTCATTATTATCCTTCAGAATCCCGTCGTCATCCTTCAGAGCAGCCCTCTGAGTCAGCAGTTTGTTCTCCTTTGCATGACTATGAGTATGTGCATTATCCATGTCTGGTGAATGGTTCAAGGAGTCCACAGAAAACTACGAGTAAGTAACAGCAATGGTCGTATCTTGTCTCAGTTTTTCCCTTTTTCCCCAAAACGGGTTACGTTACGAAACCAAACAACGGCTGCCCAGAAAACTATTGCATTAGTCTAGGCTGTGAATAGGCTCCTGTAGAAGTAGAGACTGGCTTCACGTGGAGCGCGGCCAGTGGGTAAAGGGGAGCGATGAAACTCTTTCACATCCTTCAGACTGGGGTGTTGGCCATAACAGGGTGTAGCTTAGGGGTACTTGTAGAGCAGAGTTCATCAGTATTTAACGTGGTAATTTTTTTTACCCAATTAAAACCTTATTATTGACCCAGATCATATCTACTCCTCCAGAAAATCCCTTGTATGAAAGAGGTGAAGATAATAAGCTGATCATCTGGACACCAGGTCACAGTGGAACGCTCACTCGATCTTCTGAGACTGCAGCACCACGCCTCCCTTATCAGCGACTTCTGACACGAACATCCTCATCAACCCCTGACAGTGCCACAGGAGTTAGGCCAGTCAGTTCCCCTGTGATGGAAACTTACTTTCCTTATCAGAAGCTGATCAGGGCTACAACCTCCTTGCCGAGGACAGCAGGCTCATCATCGTCTTACCCTGACTGTGCTAACGTGGTCAGCCCTGCCAAATTTGCTCAAGTGGAGGAGGAGGTATTTCCTTACCAGGAGCTGTTCAAGTCGACACCGTCACTAAAGGGGGAAGCACCTTGGCTCGAGTGTGGTCAAAAACGGGTGTCTGAGGCGGAGTCAAATGACGAAGGAGTGTCTGTTGAGCCATATCAGTGTCTGTCTTTGCAGAGAAATCAACCGGTAAGGTGTTCACGCGATCAAACCCAAATTCTCAGAACTGTAAATCTATGAAATTGTTGTCATTCTAGTTGAGAGAACTTGCATAACATAAAAGTTGCGATAAGTGTTCTGGTTTACACAAAGGCTTCAATGAAAGCCAGTTAATGGCGGCCTACCGCTGCCCACAAGACCACTAACCGCCGTCTGTTTAGCTTCTGAGCAAGCTCTCTTGTTTGGATTTCGCTTTGCGGCCCCTTTTCGGGCATAGCTGCCGATTACGCCATTGACAGCTGCTTATGGAAAAAGTCATTCCTTACATATTCCTCGCGTTATTGAGTGCTATTGTTCAAAAAGTGTACAAAATATAGAGGGATTAGATAAATGTTGTTTGATGATGAGTCATTGCAGTAGAAATATGATTATGCATTGTAACTGTCTGGGTGAGGAACAGAATTCCTTTCCAAGGCTACTCCCACCAAAAGATTCCTTCTACATGTTCTACCTAGCTCTATTCCTTTGACCCTTTAGACCCTAAGAGTGACCAGAATCTAAAATCTCCTTACAGTAATACTAATGAATTATTCATTGAGGTCATGAGAATAACGGAAATGATCACCAACCTTAGAAGCGCCTGATTGTAGAACAAATTCTCTTAATCAGTATCGATGGAAATGTAAAGAGAAGGGTATGGAGAATACGGATGTTGATGTTGGGTTGTAAAGGTTCAAAGGACCGTCTGTCTTTTGCTAACATAGCCTCAGTCTTTTCTCAACCTTTAGAGGTAATCTAAAGGGGCTTCTTGATCCTCGTGGTTTGGCCGTCATAAAACTGGTCAAGTGCATTGTTCAATACAGAACAAATGATCGAAGCCTAAATACATTGCGAAGCTAATCACTTCGGTATCCATTTACGATCGTCTTCTGCTTTTTTTCCGTAGTACCCTTCAGACGAATTTGACGGATATGCTAGAGTTGAGGATGTGAATCCTCAAACGGAGGACTTTGAGTACGATTATGCTCGTGTGGAGATCGATCCGGTTGAACTGCGCAATCTTTTCCGAATTTCACATAGCGATGATGCTATCGACAATATTCCGAACACTTGCATGGAAATAACGATTGGCGATCTGAGTAACACCGCATCCACTACAAAAATTCTTGTCAGCGAATCGTCGTCTTCTCAGTCATTCAAGGGTGATCATGAAACTTTTACGTGTGAGGATGTCGAAGTAAGAAAGAATGACTGTTGCGTGCACGGGAATGAGGGTCTGAAACCGCAGGTTTTGCGTCCAGCAGCATCTTATGAGGATTTGTCGGGGCGCCGCGTTGAGGAATATGAAGAAATGGGAAAGAGAAGGAGTGTGTTGATGGTGGAGGATCATGAACCAGTTGAGATTGAAGAAGACAACGGCCACGAATACTATGTGCTTGAACCTGTGGTTGAGTGCGACGAAGGTAAATCATCTTTTTCGTTTGGTTGATGATCAATTCCGAAAAGCTGACGTTTCGAGGGTTAGCTCGTTCGTGTCAGCAAATAGAAAGCGACGGACTGTTGACGCTCGAAACGTCAGCTTTTTGTGATTCGCTACGCGAGTTCACGAACTTTATCAGTTTACTGCTGATAACCAGTTTACTGTTCTACTTGCCTGTACACGTAGCACAGCAGTGATATATAAACAACCTCGTTCCCTTTTCTTTTGGTGTGTTCCTTATTGATACGGTTTCTTTGCCTGTTTGCTTGTTTGTTTCCCTTTGGCCAAGACGGAACAATAAAGCTAACTTTACACCAGTAAGTTTCCTGAACAAGAAAATTCTTAGACAGTTTTCAGTGGAAGTGTTATTCAAAGAAATAGGTAATTTTTTTCCATGATCTTCCCCTTTATTCAAGAACTCACAAGGTTGGTTTTGAGCCAGGAGACTTGCCAAATGCAATCCTCTCATGGATCAAACAAATTTGCCAGTTTAAGGGACAAGACAAAGTTGAGTTTTCCCACACCCCATATCCCTACCTTCCCAATCGCTCCGCTGACTTATAAGGGGTGAGAAAACCATTAAAAGCGTTTTTCAGTGTAATCCTGGCATTTGACACTTGCAGCTGGTTTGCTTTCTTTTTATAGGTGAAACGGATGATGTAAATTAGATGCTGAAGGAAAGAAGGAACGGTTTGAAATAACTCCACAACCGTCATTTCCTCTATTAGTTTTTTTCTTTAGCCTATGGCATACAATTATGTGTACAAAATGATATTTCAGCGATATAGATGTGTCAATACATTAATTTCTAATTTCATATTAAGGAAAAAATTAGTGAAATGTAGACAGATTCCAAAAAAGCTCCTTAGCCACATCCCAATAGAGTATTTATTGAATTTGTTTTGACTTCATTGTGCATTTGTTAATTTCATTTGTATAAAGTTTATTTTGCTTTCATTAAACATTGGTCTGTCACTTGGTAGTAATTTTCATGAGTCTCTGTGGATAAAAAATTGCTTCTTTAAGTGGTTACAAGCGGACCTCAGTTTGAACTTTACATTCTCAACTTCGTCACGGACATCCAATGTATGGCGAACTTGCGTCATACACCCGCACATTTAAGATGGAGTGGAACCTGGAATCGTAAAAATTGTTAGCCCTCTGGTTCCCCAGGATATTTGCTCTTAGTGATCACCTCACCATTTCAGTGAGTCACGTGAGTATGATTTGACTCCTCCTTTGGTACGAACTCCTCTCGATGCCCGCTGCCCTCGCTCGCCGGGTCTTGCGGCTTCGCCCCTTGTGCCTCAGTGTCTTTAGGAAATTCTGCTGTTAGAGTGCTTGCAAGCTAATAGGATGATGAGTTTGCATTATATAGAGAACAGGAGGAGAGAAAAGTCAAACAACAATCATTGTGAAAAGTTTTGGGAAGATAGGCACTGTTTAACCTTCTTTCTCTTTTTTCCCCTTGCCGCCCGGTGCAGTTTTTCAATACTGGTCTTAACGAGCGTGTCTTTCATGTCTCACGTTCCGACAATGAAAAAAGCCAAAGGCGTTGTGAAAATAAGCTCTCTTTCACTCTGTTTCTCCTCTCTCTCTCTCTACATCCCTGGTGCAATTATTCGGCAATCCTTAACTTTCTGAGGATGTGTATTATCTTTCACGCTCCAACATTGATGAGTGGCGGGTATTCTTAGGACAAAAAAATTTGAAATATTTCTTTTCAATATCGAGAGAAAATGCTTGGAATTTAGCACTAATACTTGTGAGTTTCGCAATCCTCTTGTCTCTTTTCTCCTAATTAACAGGCTAAAATATTAGCCTACTGTAAAATGTTCTTTTCAGTTAATCCTTTTTGCGGTCTCAGTGAGCTGTGTTGGAAACAGGTTAAAAGAACAGACAAGGTTATTAATCGGAAGGTGTTAATTAGAGACGAAACTAAGTTTTTCTGTCTCATTTACAAGGAAAAGTATGTTAATAAATAGGGAAAAGAACTAATTGGATCTTGAGAGATACCCATTTCTCTTGATTATTTTACAAGTAAATATTTTGCAGGCAGATAGTAAAATCAATAAGAACATCCAATATTGTTTTACACGAAGGTTCCACGGGGTATAGTAAACAACTTTCAAGGCTGCCTCAATATTCGCGTGATGGTTTGTTTATTTTGGTAATAGTTATTGACAGTTACTTCTTATCGGAGGTGTTAAATGCGTTTGGAGATCGTCTACTTGTACCTCAATCTATTTTGTGTTTCCGTCCAATATCAGCTGGACATGTCAACGATGTCAACGAAAACAAATGCCTCTGACTGGCTAAAAGACACTCTCTACTCAATTTTAGTGAAGTGTGAAAGTAACATGACCATTCCTGAAGTGATTCAATCCTTTGTATTAAACAAGTGTCAAAGGTGAAGATGCTAAGACATGGAAATTATATTTAAGTAAACCTCTTTTCACGTGAAAAGTTCAGCACTTTTGTAGTAAGAGTTTTTAAAGTTCCAAAATCACCGTTTGCGTTCCTCATTTTTTCGTGACGAGACCTGTACAGAGCTGCTATGCGGTGCCGATTATTTGAAAACGACAAAAAACCAGGTAGTTCGTCCGCTGAATGATTTTCATCAGGTTTGTACTGCTAATGATTACGTAACTTTGAGAACGTACTTCTGAGCCAAAACGAAAAGTCCAAAATTGTTTTGTTCAGCGCGCAATGCGTGTGTTACGATTTCCTCATTTTCACATATTCACCTGAGTAACCTGTTACTTTGAGAATTGGAAAAGCGTGTTGGATTTCCCAGGTATTTAACGAAAACAATAACAACGGGTTCAGTAGTGAAGGTTTGATATTGCGGTTTTACGTGCGCTCCTTTGATACTAAATCAATATCCTATGGCAAAAAACACTCGTCTCCCTTTAACGCCCGAAAGTTTAAGAGGCCGCCAAGTCAAAACTGTGGTATGATTTCCGCTCTATTTTCGTCGCGTGAAAGTGAAAAATAACAAAAAGTCTTTTATTGTGGGCGTCATAGAAGGGAAAGCAAGTGAGCGGTTATATGAATTATGGAAGTGGTTATTTTAACTTGGAAGGAAGGGGAGGGTAACTTCTCTCCTTCCTCTCCCCTATCCCTCACCCCTTGATAAAAATTGTTTTACAGACTTGAGAATGGCGAGGTTGCGTCTGCACATTTCATGAAACCATGTGCGTTCACGAAATTGCGTCCACACGAGTTTGATGACAAAATTATTACCAAGTAGTTAGAGAGATTATAGTATACCGTGCATATTATAGTATACCGTGCAACGAAATTTTACAAATACCAAGCAAGATAGGAAGTCAGTAATGATTATTGAACCTGAGGGGGATAACCGGTTTTTGTATAATTGGTAAAGTTTACTTGTTATCCGAAGACAACAAGAAAACAGTTGCCATTTTAAAGCTCTGTGCTCTAGGACCATATTATAATCACCCCTTGCCATTCTCGCGCGGATTTGGGTAGACTTACACGGGGTGAACACATCAATAAACGAGATAAAACTTGACCAAAGACAAAGTGTGCCTCTGATAAGCTGATCACTTAAAAGAGGTTTTAAATTGTTGTAATAATTTACACGTATTCATTAATTCTGGTGCCTTCTTCACTTGAAACTCTTAAAAAATTATCTGCGTTGTGATCTTATCAGACAATGAAACTCTTAAAAAGATTAGTTTAGGCACCACATCTGAATGTGTGCGAACTTTCATGTTATGTTTTAGCTAAATTTTTTTTACGTGATGTCTCCGTCGAAAAGATTTGTTCAACCTGGTCATGAAATGAAAGACTTTGTTAAAAGTTTCGCCTTTCTTGGTCTCGACATTCTCAAATTTATTGTATACGAATTGGAGCGTGTGATATAGGAGAACGTTATTAGTGCCGCGATGTCTGTTTGGCTCAACCACTTACACGAGAACATTAGCCAACGAGAATAGCTGATCGATTCGTGAATAGCCAACATCCTTATCAACGATTATATCAGCAAAACATGTTCTCTTAGTAGGTTTTGTAATGTCACGGAAAGTTTAGAGTCCAAATTCGTAGACTCAGTTTCACAAAACCATAGAAATCATTCGAAAACGAACCTGAAATTTTTTGATTATTTTGGATTTTGAAGGCTTCTTTTTCTCATGGCATTGGTATTCATAATGTTGATATTTTGATCGTGTAACATACTGTCTTAGGATTAAAGTACAGAAATACCGTATTATTGGTTCCATTTTGAAAATATTTTTATCGCTATCTCGAAACTGTTAGCTTCACGCGGCTTGGATTGACTAAAGACTTGGAAAACTGATAATTTTTCTGTCACTGGACAAAACACTGAACCCAATTTACGGCGATAGCACTCTCGTTAAAGAAATGAATTTTCTATGCGGTGCTATAAACATGCACATGTTAATTAACAATATTATGGGCATACTTATGTGACTCTAGAACTACTTTCAACGAATGCGAACATTTGGCAAAAAAAAAAAAAGGAATAGATCACGACATAGGAAGGAGTTAGATATTTGTATTTTCGGCGAATATGATGGAATATGAGGATTTTTCCTGTGAGGTATGTTTCAATATACATTCATTTTTCTTTATTACTTATTTTAACGAACATTTGGCGTAAAAAAATAAAGAGCAATCACGATGTGGTATGGATTTAAAGGTCTTTGTTATCGGCAAAAATCACGATATATATATATATGTATTTTTCGACTGCTATATCTCAGGACTGGATAAAAGTAAGCAAAATCAACCAAAATTGCAATTCCCGTCAGTAGTAAACAAAGACCTACTTGGTCTGTAAAAATTTTTGAAAAAAGTGTCTGATGGAAAAAACATAATATTTTTTTCTTTTGGGGTTTTTCAGACTGGACCGTCTACAACAGTCAGCATTTCAATCATTTCGAACTGACAGGCCAATAGAGCCTTCGCATCGATTCATCAGTTGAAAGGTGTGAACACAAAAACAAAAGATTTTACACGATCAAGGAGCTCCCAACACAAAGCTACAACACCGCTATGTTTCTATCTAAGTTTTACCAGCTATTCTGACCTATCTGCCCTTTCAACTATGACCATCTTTTTTCTCGAAAACTGCGACCACAGCCCATCATAAATCAACGGAAAAAATGGAATTTGGCAGAAAAACGGACTTTTGACTTCGTTTGAGAGGTAGTATCAGCTTTAATTGCTCTACCGCAGAACAAACAGAATTATCGCTCTTAGGTTTTTTAACCTAATTATTGTTGCCTAATCAAGTCTATATGTAATTTTATTCCTTTGCCGGTGTAATTAAAGAAAATTTAAGTTTACTTAGTAATGATTTAGAATATCTGTAATTGTTTCATGGCGGTGTATTAAAATGAAATAATGAGTCAATATAAAAGGACCATTGAAACAAGAAGGCTGAAGTGATCAAGCAAGCTATTTTGAAACACGTTCGGCTGAAAGTGTCCCAATTTAACAAAACCCTTCTTAAGCCACCCTCCATTTCGACCGCTCAAGCACACTCCTTTTGCTTGTCTTACTTCAAAAAAGAAAGAATACTTGTTGGTGCTGTCGGCAATTGATAGTGGTAAATATTTTGCTTTGAAATACAACACGTTCAGTATTGGAGGAAATAAAAACAAACTCACATATTCTTTCCCAATTCTTCCTTCGCTAACATCACTGAAGCACTCTACTTTCACACGTACGCAATTATAGGGGAAGGGCTTCGTGGATCACAGCTCACTTTGGAATGAAAATGTCTGCAAAAAAAACCCAGATTATCACAGAATTAAAAGAAATCATGCGCACAACATGCACTTGAACAATATTACAGCAGATATAGGTTGAATAATTTCCCTTCGTATTGGACAGCTATATCTATGCAACTTGCAAAACAACATTAGCAAAGCTTCATTTCTGCGATATTGGTGGCTCTCTGAGTTAGAGAAGAGTATTGTTACTTGATAATCATTTTAATGTGTATTGTGCATTGCGAATGATACGTACGCAGTACAGAAGAGAAATTTGTAGATGGTGGGGTTACGAACGTTTATCGTTCATGAAGAAACGAAACTGACGTCTCCTGGGCATTGATGAGTTTAATTCGAGTTGTTGTTTCTGTGAAAACAAGGAAAATCTCAGCGAGAATAACAGTTATCAATACTGCGCATATATTGACCACATTGGATTACGAGTCGCTTCACACGAGCTGCTTTCGTTGAAAAACGACATCGAAGGAAAATGAAGAACTGTGCGTTTTACAATACCAATTCCAGCATCATCTTCACGCTTTCATTGGTGATTTCAGCATTAGCTGGTTTTTTCTTTAACAAAGGGTTGGCGTTCAGCGTTGTTCGCTCTATTAAGCGAAACGGAATGGGTGACGTTGATTCATTTTCCAATCCCATCTCAACGTGCAGTCCTCTGGGATGTTTACAAGTTTTGGGAAATGCAGGCTGTAAACCTGGAGATTGCTGTATTTGTAAATGTAGCCTCAGATTTCCGAATTACATCGTCCATAGTGGAACTTGTGTAGAGAATGAACGAGTGGACCCTGGTAAGCCTCTATTTCCTATGATTTTAAAGCGGTCATGAGCCTAACGGGAGCAGAGATATTGAGGTGTCTAGCACTCGCCTTCCCCTCTGTTGTATGGTTTAACTCATGGCCCCTGCCAAATTTGCTATTAGTTCAGTCCTTAATTCGAGGGTTTCTTTAGGGAAGTTGTGGTTTTCCGCCTGCCACAAATACTGACGGGCCAAATTCCGATTCAACCTGAAAAGAGTGACCACACCACGTCGTAAATCTACTACTTCTAAAATTCAATTTGTTAATTTCTTTACAATTCATTACGTTTCAAACCGTCGGTGTATTCGCCTTCACTCGCCTTCACTAGAAGTCTTGATAGGTTTTTCCTTGATATCTATTCCCTTTTTGGGTGTTTGGAACACACCTTTCTAAAGAATTGCATACACAGATATGACACAATATCTGTAAGTTCCACTGATACAGTAACATCTAATTATGACAGTGAAGTGATGTTATAAAGCTTAAATCTGTTTACTCCTCTCAAATTTACTGGAAAACATACTTTTCCAGAGGATATATAACTTCTTACTTCCATGTCTGGGTATTATCGTTCCCACAACAAATCGTGTTGCAAAAAGAGAAAAATAGGAAAGTTGCTCTCAGAAGCTAACGCCATACCGAATATTACGATTAGCGGGGTATGCAATTTTGAGCGCGCGTTCTTAGTGAAAATCAGCGATTTGTTTGACGGGTATAAACGCAGAAAACATTCACCGCTTTTTTGCGGTTTCGATTTACTTTCCGACGTTCAACTGTTCAAGTTTAGAATATAACGTGTTTTCTGGAGTACTCCAAGTTAGTACACGTGAAGGTTTGATAATTTTTTTTTTTTCATTGTTTTTTTTTTTTCATTTTCTTTTCAACCAAACTTTTTTTCTGACACTGACTTGTTTTATACGTGACGTTGTCAGTGCGTCGCCCACTATCAATCACAAGACAAACAAAATCATCGAAAAACACGTCGTTATCATATAGCTGGATTAAAGTAAGAGACGAACCTCGTATAAAAGCAACATAAAAGAGTTTAAGAAGTCACTAAAGTGTAGCAAGGTGTTGCCATAAAAAACAACTTTCTTTTCCCCTATGGATTTCACTAGTAGCTCGATGCGCTAACAGTTTCTGACGGTGCAACATTTTCCCTTCGTCTTCATATGTGAATGTAGTGTTGGGTTCAAAGTCAAACGTGACTAATTGAGGTTCCCTTGTTAAGACGAACGTAGACGTTGCTGATTTCCTTTTTTTCGCTCTCTTGGAACTGCAAAGAAATTTACAAAGTTTTAAAACCCACATATTGCGCTATTGTTTGGCTCATTAGGTCTTTTGCTCCGCTCATTTCTCGTTGTTGTCACCGTCGTGGTTTTCTTAGAGTCCTTAACGTATGTTCAGCTGCCAATCTAAAAACCGAAGACATCGTTAATGAGCGGAAGGATAACATCGTTTTACTGTGTTTTGCAAAAATTTGCTGCACTTTTGTTGCAAATCCTCTGTAATTGTCGTGTTTTTTAAAATCAAAAATGAAATTAAATTGGATGATGTTAGACATTTAGAGCAGAAAGTAGGAAAAGTAGGGAATGAAACTCGAGACAACAACAACTCAACAAAAAGAGAAAGATGTTTTTTCGTCTTGTCACGAGCGTGGGACAAAGAAAACATTTCCCAGTCCCCACGAGGAATCGAACCTCAGACCTTCGGATTCCGTGCTCCGATGCTCTAACCACTGAGCCACAGACTCCACGGTGAGCGAAAGTCCTCTCATGGGGACTCAAAATTTTTTCTTGTCCCACGCTCGTGACAAGACGAAAACACATCTTTCTATATTTCTTTACCGAGCTCAAAACTTACCATCTCTCTTATTTCTATCGACTTAACAAATGTGAACAGTTTCAGTTTTTGCCTGGTTGAAAAAAAACTAGATAATTCTTAGGTTGTTCCAGAAGGAATTCCATCGCGTGGCTGTGATCCAGCGTCTAACATTGATGTAACGCTCTGTTAGCCACAAATCTTGGCAAACAGTTGTTTTGGACTGTCTTTATCTTTGTTATGACTATGACTTCACGCCGTTTAGATTCGGAGTGGTTAAGGGTAAAATCCGAGACTTTCCAGACACGAGACAACTATTTAACTTTTGCATCGTTACTTTAATCATTTAAGCGAGACCCTTGCCTGAAAGCAAAAATCCCAGACTGTGAAAAATCCCATTACTCTCCCTTCAAGGTACCGTTAACCTTTAAAAATAGTCAAGGCATTTTAACTTGAAATTTCAGGAGCTTTAAAAAAATAAAAAACTCTGGAGGAAGCCAAAAACGAAAATATGAACTAAGGACTTGTTTTGTCACTCTCTTTTCTAAATCAAGTGTGCGAGCTGACCACTATACCAACAGAAAGACTGATGCCTGTGAAGGACTTTAGTAGGGTAGGAATAATTACCTTTGAAGTTGAGATTGATCGGCCACTCCAGTGTCCTGGTATTGAACTCAGACATTTGTATTATCAACTGGATACGGCAGCATGGAATGAAGAACCGAACTCAGTCTTTCGACTAACGCGTGGCAGGAATGGTAACAGGTGGAACTTACTGGTAAATTGAGAAATTTTACTCCCTTATTCGTCTTATATTGTAATTAGAATTCCCCTGCTTCTTACAGGATGCAAACAAATGTTCTACTTGTTTCACTGAATGGTAACACGCATACCAGCACACTATTATGACAGGCCTACATAAAATACAGCAAAAACCCGTAAAAAGTAAGAACCTAAATTTTATGAACCTGTTAGGCTAAATTGTCCCAGTTAGGCACCCTTCAAAAAAGAATTATTCTAGGAAAAAATCTCACAACAGGTTCCTATTCTGCACAAAACTCAGAAAATGTAAATTATGAGCATGATGGTAGGGTTACTTTCGATGACTGTGGCTTCTGCGTTTTAGGGCAACATGTGTGAATGAACCAATATAAAAGCCACACCCATGAATATAAGTTTTTTTTAAACAAAAAATTAATTACTTGATTAAGGACCTAGGTAGCCTAATTTTCACAGTAAACAACAATGATATAAGAACCTATGGAGACTACCTTGAAAAAAAAATGGTTCGTATACGTGGGTTTTTACTGTAGCATCGGGAGTCACGAACAATGAAAATGTTGTATGAAAAAACTGCGTATAGAAACTCCCATTTGCAAGAATTTCACGCCCCTGGTTTTATCCACAGACTTGAGTTCAAATCTTAAGCTAGTCTCAAACGGCTAAGAAAACGGTATCTCAATAAAAGAGAGAAAAATTAAGTTATTTAAGTAACTTTCATTTGCATGGTTACCACTTCTGGGTTTCTTAGACAGAATTAAATTCAGAACGGCCTAGTACAGCATGACAAACAGTACTGGTTGAGAATGATGCTCTGGAGTCCTGATTTGAATGTGACCACAAATGCACCAGGGTATCCCCCACAAGCTGAAGTTTTTATACGTGATACTCGTTTCTTTTAGTCATAAATCACCAAGTATGTCTCTTTTTACCTACAGTGGGATAAAGGTCTGGATAGAAAATATTATGGACTGATACTGAGCTTTGATTTCTATTGCGTTGGACAAAATATAACACATGGATGTTTGGTGGTCAAGTCCAAAGGAAACTATAGTCTGGCAGGTATTTACCTAAAGCTTTATAGACTTTAGAAGATCAAAATAAGAGACTGTTTTCCCTTAAAAGCCTTGAAGACCAATCCAAATATCAGAGACATGAGGAGGATCTAGAAATAGCAACCGTGATGAGTAATAATTACTAAAAACGACTCAATACAGCTGACCAGTAATTATAAACAGTAGCGAGGCAGCCTAAGAGAGAAAGCTTGTAGTATCTATTGGGCTGCCTGTGGCTGCATGTGGCTGCTTGTGAGTATTACTGTAATATTTTGTTAGAAGGTAGACTTGTGTGAGTAAAAACGGCTGAAAGGTATTTTTGTCTTTAACCACCATGATCTCATTGTCAATTCTCCTGTCCAGTAACTACATATTTCCCTGTAAATTATTTAAGATAATTTGGTGTTAGATCAAAAAGAAAAATTCTGCGAAATAGGTATGAGCATTTTCATTACCTGTTTACTGGACAATGTATGGATATTATCGGGAGAAATTACATGTTGATCACTTCTGGGAGTTAAAGGGTTAACGAGGCTAAAAATGTGGATAGATTGGAATTTTTATCGAGCGATCTGTCCATTCGTTCATAAATCCGGCTCTTGACGACGAGAAAAATCTGACTATGGAAAAAAATTAGCAACTGCTTTTATGTAAATAATATATTATTTTATAATCTGGTTCGTACAATGGCTGAGTGAAATGGGTACGGAGAATGTTAGGGAAACCTGACGAAATTCGGGGAAAGGGGGGGGGGGTGGTATAACCTGTGATGAACTGGCAACTGGTCCAGGAGGGAGTAACAATACTACTTGTCACCTCATACATCCGGGATAAGCTAAGGGCGATATGCCTTCTGGTTCCAAGGCTGACAAAGCTTTTTTTTTTCAAATCCGCATAATCATCGCAACACACTATATTTTTCATAAAAGCATTATCCTCGAGTCAACCTACCACAGATGGACCAAGTCAAGTGGCGGTAACAGAGGGGAAAGTTGAACCAGCAGACGACTCACATGAAGCAAAGGTAAATAGTACTTAATTCATGCAACCTCGTTCCCAGGGCCTTTTCCCTTACTTGGGGGTGGAGTTGGGGGTGAGGCGGGAAAAGGATTACGCCCCACCCCCAGCTAAGGGAAAAGGCCCTGGAAACGAGGTTGTTAATTCATGGTGTCAGTTTGGCGAAATAGGCCGCGCTGGGAGTAGTATGTGTTGCAACCTTTTTCTGTATTTATTTTGAAATTGATAAGAAAAAAAACTTTGAAAGAACTCACTTGGCGCGTGCAATTACGGACTTTGTTTCATTTTTAGTGTTCAATTTCAGGCGCGCGCTCAATCGTTAATCCAAATGATTTAAATTTTAATGACGTAATATGTTTTGTCGCCTGTACAAAAAATAAATTGAACCTAAATTGTGCCTTCGCCATTTATAGGTGTTTACTAATCGATTTTACGGATTATGAGGGCTGTCGGGAAAACCGTCGAAACAGTATGAGTTCCTTTTCCTTTAGTGATAACTACAAGGTTTCCACTCGTAGGACCGAATGGGAAAACAACAAACTGTAGTCTTGTTTGGTAAATGTTTGGCTGGGTTTGACTCTGTACCGAGCTTGGTCGATCTTTGGCAGAATGAGCAAAACGACTAAATGCACGTCGTATGACAAATCAAAGTAAAAACTTGCAAGCTACAAGAAATGCGGAAAAACGCGATTAACAAATCACGACCAGCTAAGTTTTGCATCTGATTGGTCGACATAGGGAGGTGTGGCTTTCTTGACCAGTCACAAGGCGATATTATGGACTGAAACTTACGGCAATCGTCGAGCATTTAATCTAAATAGACAACATTGCTTTTTGACTGAAATTTAATTCCAAAAGTGTATTTTCATTTTTTTCAAGGGAGGTGTTAGTAACGGAGGTCGTGGAGAAAATTTTGCTGGACAAAACAGAGGAGTAGCAATAAAGAATTACAGTGTAATCGTAGTCGGTGTGAGCCTGTCAGTAGTGATGGGAATTGGACTCATTTGTTTTGTAATGCTGAGAAAAGGAGGGCCTTTGTGGTGAGTTCAAATCAACCCTTTCATTTTCTAATATCAAAATATGTCAGTAATCCTCACATTCTTCCATATATTTTTAAAATAATTTCAGTTTTGAATCTGTCCTATAACTTGCGAACTCGTATCACTCAGATGTAATACAGAGGCTTTTTGCTGCTTCAATAATTTTTTTCTCAATAGTTTGCTTTTTATTCTCAGGTTGAAACTTCAAAGGCGTCCGAAAGGTAAGAAATGTATGATAATTTATGTTAAAAAAATGGTCAAATATATTAAATAATCTTTAAGGAGCTAAATCAAGATGTGTGCATTTTGAATAATCGTTGCTTTTTATTTCATCCTTCAATTTTGCCATTACACCGAATAAATGTATTGTGTTTCAACTCACGTGAAAGGTAATTTGCCGCTCGCACAAAACATAGCTACGCCGAAATTCAGCTTTTACAACAGGGTGTATGAAATGAGGTACTATACACAGAAATTATGGAATACCTTGTTATTCATCGCCTGTGGACAGGGAAGCAGAGGATTTTGGTTGCGTCACTAACATTTAACTGACCCCTCCCTAAGGATCTGTGGTATTCAATTGATCTCCCCTTATGAGCAGTTAATTTTCTATTGACTCTCCATCATTTCTGTTAAAGACGACTGCCCCCACCCCCCTCCGTTCCCCCTGTCATACCCCTCCTCCACCCCTCCCTCACCCCTCTCCTCAGACGATAAATAAAGACCGGTCCATGATTCAAACCGAGTACTGGCGAAGGAAGAAAGACAGAATATGGTCAATGTGCTGTATTCAGGGGATCCCCCTTAGTTGACATTGACTTGTTGATTATTAATCACGTGATCACATGATGTCATTTCACTCAGTTGGAGTTGTTTTGGTGTGTATGTTTTCGTTGCGTTCACAGATCAAACTCTGAAATTCTAGTTTAAACTCGGTCAGATTCATTTTAGCCAGTTGTTGTAAGTCGGAAACGGAATCATTCATTACAGTTAATATTCAAAATCGAACCGTTTTGCTTGAAAAGTTTGATTAACTTTACTGCAACAGTTTGGGTTGCATTTTAGTTCAATGTATTGTTTGTAGAAGAGTCCATTTTATTTTGACATTATGATGATATTTTCTTGGTTCATTTTCAGCACCACCTTATGAGGTAAGCGAATTTGGATTTCCATCATTGTAAGTTAGTTTAGTAAGTCATACGCAGAAAAACAAATAACCCGGTCACTCTCCTGGTACGAGTTTTAACAAGGCCTGCTCGCTCCTTACAGAGAAAGTACCACTACCTTTATGCTCGTTAGCCTCGGACACACCCTTTTCACATTAGTCAATTTCTCTTCTCCTAACCTATGAAATACTGGTTACCTTGTTTCCAGGGTCTCTCTTTAAGGCGGTCCAAGAGAGCGTGGAGAAGAGAGACCCTGGAAACGAAGATAGAAGAGCCAGCTAGGTCCTTAGCTTTTCATTTTCACTTCCCTCGAGTAGAATCGTGTATTTTGGAGCAAACCACGTTTCTATTCAAATTCCAGAAGGATTCCGTCGTAAGGGCTTTTCTGGTTGCCTTGTTATCCATTTTGTGTCCAATTCACGCCCATTTGCCCCTTCTCTTGCAACAATAAGGCTAACAGTGATTTCTTCCCTTCCTAACAGGAGCCAAGAAGACCAGTAGGCATAAGACCGAGTCGCACTTCTGTTCGTAAGTCTTCGTTTCTTTGCATTGTGCAAGTGAAATCCTCTTAACTTAGTGAAGACTTCTAAATACCAGTTCCATAAAAGAGAAAACTTTGAGAGGCCATAATAAAACAGTAAGAAACAGTAGGAAAAAGGATGGTTGATTCCTCAAGATGCACAAATCGTGAAAGAGCTCATTTACCTTTGTAGAGTTCACTCATTTAAAATGGAGGAATGATATGTTCTTCTCTACAACAGATAACGAGTTTTACGATGCTGGGTTGGTCCTTTCCATCGGTGGACAAACCGCTGAAGCACCAAAAAGATTATCCAGACTTGGACCTTTGCCCCCCTTGCCTACAAAGGTGTGACGATAAGGAGAAAATCTTAGAAACTTACAATAATTCGCTATTATCAAAGCCTGAACACATTGAAGTGGATTAAAGAATTTGTTCAGAAATTTTTTGGACAACTTGAATGGATATGTCTTCGCAAGATTGTAGACGAATCGCCAAGATCCTTTCATTCAGATGTTTCTCAGGATCCTCGAATCTTTTCAAAAAGGTCAACAAAGATCCTTGTACAGATCTTCGAATATCCTTCAAGACTCTGGAGTCTTTTTCGCCTAGGCAGCGCTATTTCAATAAAAAAAAAAAAGACAAAAATGTGGTGTTAACAGTGTCATAAAGACAGAATTCAATTAATTACGAACGGGGAATAAAAACATGTATATAGTGTTAAAACAAACGGGAATGGCGAAGACCAGTTTTCAGTTCAGTTTAAAAATTTCTCCATTAGAAAATATCAAACGTAATTCTTATTATTTGCTCGTTAGGGGGAATCCATTTATGAAGAGCCAGTGGTGATAAGAAATGTTGGTTATCACGGATTAGCGAGGCAAAACAGACCATCTACCGGTGAGTCCTCAAAAGTCTTAATTGCCACCGTACCAAAGTGATTCCTTGCCATAGAGTCGTTCTAAAGAGCTTGCACTTTATCATGTGATCGTTCTGGACAATACGGTGACCTGTCAGTTAGCAGTTGGCTTAAAAAGAAGCTACAAGATATTTTAAGTCATTTAATGAACACTTAACAACCTCATTTTGAAGGAAACTTTGTAGTATAAGTTCGTTACGATAAAACAACGCAAAATAGGCACTAGTGGACGAACAAGGTGTATGCTTATTTGACCCCTTAACTCCCAAGATCTAATTGTGAATTCCTCCCTTAAGGTATAACACTTTTCCCTATGAACTACTTACGAGAACTTGGTATTAGATCAGCATAACATCTTCTACCTGATAAGTTTAAGTCTTCTCATTACCTGTTTGCTGGATTTTGTATGGATATATCACATTTAATCACCTCTGGGAGTTATAGGGTTAAGGAAAAAGGGATTGTGAATTTTGATCTAAAAATTAACGAAGCCTAACTTTTAATTTACACAAACCACGTGGCAGATCCTTCAATTTTTAACCATTCATATTACTTTTTTTTTCGGTTTAGCGCCAATCAAACGCGCACCAGTCCACACCGTGCCAATTCGATGCAAGCCAATCCATAGCGAGCCAATCCAAACCGAGGCTATAAGTGATCAGAACCCAGACCCTTTCTATAACATTCTCGAGGAACTCCCGGAAACCGACGATTATGACGACACGACCGAATGCCGTTGCAAGGAGGTGTGAAGAATATACAACAATACTACCTATCTCTATACTATTATAACGGTAGACTGTAAACATGATCAGACCCCCTCAGTTCAGTGTCTACATATTATTTCTAAAAATGCCGTTTAGTTTATCGTCATTCGAATATATTATCCCAAGGTAAGGCACTTTTCAATCAACATGTCTGTCGTAATTTTTTTTTTGGTGATTTTTGCAGGTGGACTTTGAAAGCCTCAGAGGTCAACTAAGGACATACTAGATGTATCCTCCAATATGTTTAAAAGCCTAATTTACTAGAAGTAGTTTGGAACCCTCTTTGCCATCTAAGGCAAGGTTCTCTAGGCGTCGTCGTTGAAAGAACAGGCATTTATTTCCTTGTTTTACATGCCCACTTGGCTAAAGACTAATATTTTAATGTTTGGAAACGGGAAACTGGTTAAGAAAACTTTGCAATGATGCAATTGAATTCCTCCAACCGTAAATGACTTTATCAGGACTCTTGCTCAGAAAACTGATTAAAGAACAATTTACTCAAGTTCTGCTTGAAAAATGAAACAAATTGTGTGTAAGTAGAGATATATTTCTTTTTATGAGCGTGCAGTTGTAATGTAGTGAGTTGCATTGCCTAGAAACTTGACGTACTCCTGAAAAAACGTGTACTGATTAATGCGAACACCGATCAAGTGTTTAGTATAAGACTATTAAGGGCATGAACATTTTGTGGCATTTTTTTTTTTCATTGCGTATTGGCGATTTTTCTTTTTTTAACAAGCAGAGCAAAATTAACGAGGAAAGGAATTTTCAAACTTCTTGAGTTTATACAGAAGAATCTTGTACTGGACATAATTAATAAATATATATTTCGAGTGCGTTCAAAGATAACAAATACGAATGGTGGCTTTAATTCCCAAGTGGAATTTTTAACTTGACTGAGGATGATAAATTTGTCCAGCATTAACTTTTAAAGGAGTAATTTTCCTAAGGGAACCATATTTTTTCGGATTGAGGGCAACATGAAAAATAACTGCAAAAAGATTAAGCTTCAAAAGTTTTCAGGCTATCATAGGTGCCTGAATCCATCAATACAGAAAATCTTTTGACTAAAATCAAATTTAAGTTTATCAATTTAAATTTTTATTCATTTCAATATCTTCAACATCCTGAAGTTGGTTACAGTTGAATTATAGCTTACCTCTTTCTCTCCTAAGAGTGTTCATTACGTAAAATCTCCCAACAGTTCTGATACACATTCCAACAGAGAAGTTATGAGAATTGTCACAATAATCAACGGGGATTTCGATACCTTTCAGGATAAAATTCCAATTTTCATGGATGAATGGATACCGTAGCTTGAAAAGAAATGTGGAGTCATCAGTCGGGAGAATTGACTCACGGGGAGTGAAAGACTCATATCCCATCAAGCGAATAAACCAGTTTAAACAGGTTTAAGAAGATGAAAATCAAAAATAGAACACTGAAAGACTAACTTTTCTATATAATGTTCAAGAAATCACTGCGCTAAAATTGAAGGCGACAAAGATCAGTCTGAGTAGCTTCTGTCAAGAACACATTTGAAATTGTGTTGGACAAAACAGGTTCAGAAGTCGTTTTAGTTTTGGTGTAGATAGAGTATTAGATTGAAAGTAGAAAAACACGTTTTTATTGAATAATTAAACCCTATCAAAAATTTAGCTCTTTCTAATACGTGAAATGATTAGGTATAACAAGAGAATAACAAGTTACTCTCGCTTGAATTGTATATAATGATTTTAATAAATATATATTTACTTTGTAACATTATCCTTACGTTTCCATTTACCAGGAAGGGGGGGAAGGAGATGAAGAGTCTAGTTCGTTTAAGTTAACAGACGCCGCTCGCTGGGGGGAGGGGGGGGGGAAGGAAGGAGAGCGGGTGCGTCCGTCATTTTTGCCAAAAAAAAAGCAGATTAATCGAAAGGTGGATAACGCTATCCACTGGATAAATCTCCAACCGATGGATAGCGAGCCCTGATCGTTAATCTTCCTTCCGTTGCATTTACAAGATGTGGTCATTTTGGGACGAGTGTTGAAGTTTCATTTTTAAAATTATATATTGAGGCAAATTAAAACGACAAAAGAATGTTACGGTAACCTAATATCTACTTTAACTAATTTGTCGTTTCTCAAGACTTAATGAAAATTTACATTTCGACAAAATTACCTCGGTTTAATTCGAGAACCGTAATTTTGACTAACAGCTTTATTAAATTGTAATATGACTTTACTGAACAGTGACTATGTCAAGGTTGTCGATAAATTTCCAACTGCACTGACAATGAACCGAGCGAATCAAACATGAAGTATTTTTGACACCTTGGCTTTGTGACACGTGACTCAGCTTCTTTTCGACAAATACCCTAAGCGTGGTCATGATAATGATGTCAATTACACGTACATATTTTCAACAAAATTGTGGTTTGTAGGCAACTATTCGCAAAACTAAGAACACCCACATGTCATACATATTGACCTTGAAATATTGTTAGAATCTATTTTTATCGTTTGTGATAACTCTTTACGCCATCATCATCTTGCGATTTGCCGGCTAGTAATAGGCCATTTCCGTCATATTAATTTTAACGTGACTCCAAGGCTTGAGGGAATAAAACCCCGATGTGATTTTCTTTGTTTTATTCCCTAAAGCCTCGGAGCCAAGTTTGAATTTTAATTCATAGAAAACGGCCTAAGGGATGCGCTTTTAAAAGATATCAACTTAAATAATGATATTTATATGAGCATCAGAGACATGAAGGAATAAATTCACACGAGCATGGTTCGAACGCTACGTCGCAACTCTCAAGGCACTTTTATTTTTGTTAACCAAGAAGTTACCATTCAAAAAACTGACTCAAGGTTGGGGTAAGATAATTATTTTCCTCTATCGACATTTATGTTCTGCGGCTCTCGGAATATTCCGGGCGCACGTGTTCGTCCATGTGGAGGGGTCCTGAAATATTCTGGGTTTCCGAACGTCATCGTTTTATTGGCGGATAAGTTCGGAATATGTCGGGCATGTGTAGTTTTACGGTCATGGGCCTACCCAAGGGACATAAATTAAGCATCCGACAGAGTTCCGAAGATACGAGTAGAATAAAAGAGTTAATTAGCATGAATATATTTTGTTGCGCGGCAACACTGATAAACAAAGATGGCGGCCAACATTGTCTTTGTTGATGAAGGAACTGTCGGTGAAGTTGTCGGCGGAGAGGATAGCGATTTTGATGAAAACACGGATAATTATGAAAGCAGCGAAGAAGAAGGTGACAGAAGAGAAGAAGACAGTGATGACGAGGAGGAGAGCGAAGAAGAATCCGAAGAAGACAACTGGGTCCTTGGCGATCGTATCCCGCGATGGCTTGACTTCACAGCTGATCGAGGGTTCAATGTGAAGCTTCCTAACAATCCATCATTCTCTAACTACTTTCATCTCCTCTTCCCTGAAAACCTATTCGATGAGATTGTATCTCAAACATATAAATATGCAACGGAAACAATTGCATCTCTACAGCGAAGAGATCGTTTACCTCAGCACTCGAGGTTTAGAAATTGGCTTGAGGGTGGTGTAACATCTGGTGAGATGAAAGCTTTTCTTGCCATGATAATTGCAATGGGCCTGGTGGATCAAGAGAATATCCAGGATTAATGGTCTACCGATGAGGTTTTATCTACTCCCTTTTTCCCTCAAATTATGTTAAGAGACAAATTTATGAACATTTTAACATTTTTTCACTTGTGCGATAATGATATAACTATGTTCCTCGAGGACAGGAAGGGTATAACCCAGTAAACAAGCTTGGCACTATATATAGTGCTGTCACTGGGAATTTTCAGATGTCTGGAAGCCAGGAAAAAATATTTGCATAGATGAGGGAATGATTCCATTCAGAGGAAAAGTGCACTTCAAAGTGTACAATTCAGACAAGCCAGATAAGTATAGTGTTAAGTCATACCAGTTGTGTGACTCAAGTAATGGGTATTGTTGTAGGTTTGAAATTTCCACTGATGTAAACCAAGAACCACCCAGTACTAAAGGCAAAACATATGACTTAGTCATGAGGCTCATGCAACCTTATTTGAATGTGGGTAGGTGTTTGTATGTTGACAACTACTACACATCACCTACTTTATTTGCTGAGCTCAGAACACTGGGGCCTGTGGAACAGCCCGCTACAGGAAAGGTATTCCCCATGGTATTAAGAACAATGGAACTTTGCTGGCAGTTAAATTTAAGGACCACAGAGTTTTCCAGATACTGTCATCAGTTCATTCTGTTGCGGATGTAGAAGTTGGCCAAAATCACCCTGGAACTGGGTGCCCAATCACTAAATCCAAGATTATACATGACGACAACAAGTTCATGAGGGCAGTTGACAGGTGTGATCAGATGGTGGCCTATTCTTGCATCAGGCAATGTATCATGAAATGGTGGAAGAAAGTGTTCTTCCATCTGTTTTCCTTAAGCATCCTGAATGCTTACATCCTGTACAAGCAAAGAACCCGGTCACCTGTGCTGCAAAGGACCTTTTGAAGGGAGCTTGTGAAGGAGCTTGTTAGGAATTCTGGCATCTCTCATTCTCTCACTCCTAGAGGCTGCCCAAGGAGGTCAGCCGAAGGCTTAACCTGTCTTCAAGTTGGAGGTCACTTCCTAGAGAAATACTGGGTACTGGGAAGAAGTCCAACATCACCCGGGCATGTGTGGTTTGCTTTCCTGCCCAAAAGAAGATCCTAAAAAGGACAGGAGATAAAAGGAAGAGGCCAGGGAAAGAGTCTAGCTTTCAGTGTAGTGTCTGTAAAGTAGCACTCTGTATGCAAGACTGCTTCCAGTTGTACCACAGTTGTTGAGGACTTATAATGTCGCTGCCTACATTCAAAGACATGATGCCAATAATGACAATGTGGATGCTGAAACCAATTGATTAACTGATCATAACCATTATTCATCTTTTTTTTTTGGTTTTGTTAGGTTTTGAAGTCAATTCAAGCACAGAAATAGATAAATTTAGACCATAGACCCCTACAACTGAGCTGACTGTTTTGAACTAATTCAAAACCAAACAATGTATATAAATTCCTAATTTGATTATGTGTTGACTTGACAAATATGCAATCTTGCTACTGTTTTGAGAAAAAAAAATGCTGTCACAGTCACATGAATTGATTGAAATGTTTGATGAAAAGTAAAGCTTTCAATGCTGTTGAAACAGTAACAACTAATCATATTGGTGCTACCAATAACAATAATAGTAATAGTAATTATTATTTATAGAGGCTAGCTTAAGAACTTCATTGTTCCTCTATCCTCTAGGCTCCAATTATGATTAAAATATGCTTCTTTTTATTTTGCCACGACCATGGACCGAACTGAAAAATAATCTATCGTTGAGACCAAACAAGTGATTACTGTGGTAATGTTCATTTGAAAACAACTAAAAATATCCGGATTATGCTAGCAGTCAATAAATGAGCAAAAAAAAAACTGTTCGTTTTTCATGAAGGCCTGGGAGGGGGGATAGGGGAATGGGAAGGAGACGAGGAGTCTAGTTCACTAGGGCCTGGGCACAACCAAGAGAATATTCTCGTGGCATAACTTATCGCCTTAGCGGGGTGGAGGATTTTAGTTGGAGCCGGTTCACACGCTTTTCAGGGGAGCGGGGGGCGGAGGGGAGACAGTCGTCGCCAACAGACTATGGAAGCAGGGAGGGGGGGGCCTTGACTACCAATGGAGATCAGAGACTTAGGGGGGAGGATCAAATTAATTTAGTCGTAGTACAACCAAAATCCTCAAAACCCCTTTTCCCCCCACCCCTGCTACCTAGGAGATAAATAACGACCGGCCCTTGGAGTTAACAAACCCCGCTGGAGTTGGGGGGGGGGGGATTTAAAAGAAAGTGCTTACTGTAACTTTCGCTTCCTGCTTCGACACTCACGTTCACTGTTGGAAACAAAAAAGATAAGCTCTCATTTCTATACAACAGATTGATATTTACTCTTTCCTTATATTTACCACATGTGATCATTTTGGGCTGGGTGTTGAAGTTTCATTTTCCAAATTATTTAAATTTTGAAGTAAAAAATAATCATGAGTATGTTACGTTTTACATGTAATATAAATTGTTGTAAATCTGCTATTTTCTCACGACTGTATGAAAATCTACTTTATTGAATAGTGATTATTCCGTGATCGTCAAGTTCCAAAATTTCCAATTGCAATAAGTCGAGCCAATCAGCAAAATCGGTTTGACCTAGACTTTAAAGATTTTTGATAACTTTATTTTCAATGAGTTTCTGTACCTTAAAATCAGGAGTTGTAATTTGCGGTTTAGATTCAGGGGTTTTAATTCATACCTTAAATTCTCTCTTAGTTTCTCCTAGGAGGAAAAGGGTTAAGCATAACCTCGATAACGGCTGCCCTTTAGAAGTACATACTTTCGGTAAAATTATGGTTTCTATGCAACAATCCGAAAAACTAATAACACCTTGATGTCACATATGTTATTTTTACTTTTATTCTATAAAATATAGTAAGCTCACTTCTATGTGTTAATAGAGCCCATTTTTATTCTCTGCGATCGCTTTTTTACGCCTTCACGATATTCATTTCGCAATTGGCCTCGACTCATTTAGCTGAGGGATGCGCTTTTGAAAATCATTAGCAAAATCGAAATGATATTTACATAACTAAGCATCAGAAACGAAAAGAAAACCATTTCCTTGGGGCATGGTTCGATTGCTACGTCACATCTCTCAACACACTTTATTTAACATTTAACCAAAGAAGTTTCTATTCCAGATATTGACTCAAAATTGAGGTAAGAATATTATTTTTCTCTATCGACATTAACGTTTTGACTCTTGATTGATCAATGAGTACCAAATTCTAAGAGGGCTCTTGAATTTTACATGTAAACAACGAAATTAAATTTCACCCAGCTTCTCGATAAATTGAGAGGATCAAGTTCCACGTAAGGGTAATTTTTTGAAAATTCACGCACAACGTAATGTAATCAAATGTTTCTTTTTCGTTTCGCCTATTTTATACATACTACAGACACCAGAAACTATTTTCAAAAATAACTCATGTGTCATTTCCTACATCATACACGTAGACTAGACACTTCAACTCTCCAAGGAAGGTTAGGGAACTGGGAAGTAAATTGGATTGCAAGTCGCTAGATTTAGCTCTCAAAAAAGTGCGTATATTCGGATGTTTAAGAAAAACTATAAAAAGCAACGGAGATCACGATACAGCTCAGTAAGTTATTTGACCGGGATATTGTTTCCGTTTCTCTGGAAGTTTGGATTAGAAATTGCTTGGTGAGAAAGCTCTCATCGGCACTGTTTTATGAGCATCTCGTGGGCTTTTTGCGAAACCTGCGGTGGGTATTTCTGTACATGTCACTCTTATGATTTCCAGTCAGATTCCTAGCGGTAGACCCCCATGGGCGAGCGAAGCGGGCTGGCTCGATTCTTGTAGACCCAGCGAGAAGCTTGTTAGATACTTGTGCAACAAAGCCGATAACCGCAGCCACAGGAGCCCACAAAGGCGGTTATGATGGGTATATTAAATTCTTACAACCCTAAATGGAAGGAAAATATGGTATCAAGTTGGTAGGCACGGTGAACTGGTTTTTCCCTTAGAAGGCTTCATCAGCCGATATTCCTCCGTACGGCCCTCAAGCTCGGTTAAGAAGAACTTAGTATCGCCGCGGTGAGTTGTAAAGCCGGCGACTGTTAATTTCTTCACATCACTTTTTAGGTTATAGGATAGCAGCATACAGAATGTTCATGAGATCGGGCTTTCTTCCTTTGCTCATGATCGGTTTCCTTTCAAGCCTCTTTTTTGCCACTTATTTGATAATTAAGGAGAAGAAAATTTCGCCATTGGGAAGACGCTTGGTGCAGTTACTGGAGACGGTGACGTTCACAGAAAATGGTAAGTTAAATCTAAAAAGTAACTTAACTGTGAAAATCTCTGTTAGTTCTCTTACCCCTAAGAGTGACTAGCATCTAATTTCTCCTTACGGTATCGCCCCTGAATCAAACATTAGAGAGATGAGAATTAACGAAACAATGATAAGAAGAAGCTTTTCAACGTTAAACAATTCTCCTCGTCATTGAGAGAGGAAATGGATGGCAAACGGTAAGGGGAATAAGGGGGGGGTAAGTTTCTAAAGAAACTGTGGTGCTGCGTCACTGGGAGAGTATAGCAGGTAATTTAGTGTTACATTAAGTTTAGTGTTGAAAACGTAAATTGGCCACCGTAAAGGATAAAAAAGCTGACGTTTCGAGCGTTAGCCCTTCGTCAGAACAATTGTAAGGGGATATGCATACTGATTTTGGATTTAATTGGTATTTCTTCACCACGTTCTGTAGTTGGTATAGAAAGCTTGCGCCACCTTCTCGATCAATCGGACGCGAGTAAGAGGCTGGTTACAGGCCGGCTAAATCAGTTTGAGTTCCCCAAAGGGTCTTAATATTTTTTGTAATAAGCGGCCGTTGAAATTCAGTACTCGATAATGTTAGTGCGATCATCCCGAAAAAAATACCGATGGTACTAAGAAAATATTCCATGAATGCAATATGGATACGAGATAGCAGAAAGTCAACTGTAAAGTAAAGTCAATTGGTAAAGTTTATCTGTGAAATACTTTTTCATCAAAAAACCCAAATGGAAATATCGCAAACGATGAAGCACAGAAAATATGGCAAACAATTTGATCGTGTAGTCTGACTGTCATGGCGAGGGAAGTCCTGAGAGGGACTTTTGTCGGTAATAGTGACAGACGTTTCGCCAACATTAGCGTAGGTCATCATTAAGGCCTATTTACACGGCACGACTTTGTCGCATGCGACAAGCTTACGACAGGCCTACGACATGACTTAAGAGTCGTAAGCGAGTTGTAGGTTTGATTTACACGAAACAATTCGTGTCGTAAGCCTGTCGTAAGCTTGTCGCATGCGACAAAGTCGTACCGTGTAAATAGGCCCTTAGAGTTCAGGCTAAAAATTCGATCTGAAGTGAGATTTGAAGGGGTAGAGACTGGGTCTTGACAGTATGCGTTTAATCTCGACCCAATCCCTTCTCTTCCGTCAGTACAATTTTGCGTCCATCTTCGCTCCAAGACTGACTGTTTTGATTTGATTTTTTTCAGAGGAAGCGCCCTCACTTTCCTATGCAGAGAAGTTTCTTAAAGCCTACGATGAAGTGGAGACCTTTGTGATGTTCATTGGTTATCCTCGCAGCAGCCATAGTTTGGTTGGCGCCATCTTGGATGCTCACCCTGAAATAATTATTCCACACGAGTTTAATCTGTTGGATAAATGGAGAAGATACAATCTTCCAGCGTTCAAAAGGAAAAACCTATTAAAATATAAGTTATATTTTGATCTTCACCAGACCTCTCTCAAGCAAGCCATCTTTGGAATACGGGCAAGCCGAAATAGAACAGTTCTTGGCGGGGAATTTACATACTTATACAATGTTCCAGATTTATGGCAAGGTGGATACAAAAACGGGATCAAGGTAGGATCAGAAGACGATTTTCATAGCTCATGGGTTATATTCTTATTCCACAGTCAACCCAAGCTTATCCTAAAGAATAAAGAGGATGCACCTGCATCGGTGGTGGGTTGTACAAGATAATTTGGTATATCTCCTGAGTTTATAATGTAAATTGGCCACCGTCAAAAATTTTTACGTTGAGGTTTCGAGTGTTAGCCATTCGTCAGCCTGACGAAGAGTATTAGCCATTCATCAGCCTGACGAAGAGTGTTTGCTATTCATTAGCCTGACGAAGAATGTTAGCCATTCATCAGCCTGACAAAGACCTAACGCTCGAAACGTCAACCTTGAAAAATTTTCGGGCAGAATGCGTGACATAATCAATGATTCATAACCGATAAAACGGCAAATTTGAACGCGACCTCGCCTAAGCCTACTTTTCTGAGTTTTAAAAGAGCTAACTTCTAGATCATGTTGTATCTGTATTTTGCAAATGAAATTTGTAACTGAAATGAAAGACATTTAAGAAGTAGAAGGATTTTCCTTTTTCACTTGAAACAATTCTCTAACTTTTATATGAAAGTCATATCATGATCGATTTTCCTAAAAACCCTTACTACTCGCCAAAAATCAACGCACGGCAAATGGCTGACACACCTTCCCTCTGACAGAATCCGTTTTAATTTTGAAAGTTAAAACGGATTTTGAAGAACTATATACCTGTCAAATTAAACAGTGCCCACCGTGGAATCAATAGCAATTGTCGATTTCTTCACAGTTGTCGCGAATTCTAAAATCTTTCGGTCCGTCAGCTGTTAAATCTTACCCTTACCGACCGTATCAAAAATATTAGTTTTGCCGAGAGCTCTGCCGTAGCTTTCTGAAACCGAAATACAGCTTTTTAAGTTTTCCTCAGAGTTGAAAGGATCTTCGGAGAATGGTTTTCATAGATGCTCCTAAAACTAAAAACTGTCACATAATTTTGCTGGATAACTTTATCTAATGCCTTTCTTAATAGTAAATATAGTTTCGCTCTGAAGAAAAAGCTAATAAGCGATTTGACCTTTCGACAAGCAACAATCTGTTCCTACCTCGCAAAATATTTCAACGAGGCCTGCGTTGTTCCAGATAAGACTGAACTTTCACAAGGACTTTTCGAAGTTCTATGTGAGTGACTGAGTTGGTACGTAGTGACAAAAAGCATAGCCTACACAGAAAGCGAAACTCTTTCCAAACCGCATTTAAATTTGAGTTCGAACACCCTCATTTTATTTGATGTATTTTCGGTACTAGTTTTACCACGACTTTTCCTTTAGGTGATAGGAGACAAAAAAGGGGGACGAACTTCGCAGCTTATAAGTAAAGACCCAAACAGTATCAAACAGTTAGAAGAAATCGCTAAAAACGTGGGAGTGCCAATGAAATTCATACACATTGTCAGGAACCCATTTGATAACATCGCTACCATGGTACTTCGCAGAGCAGGCGAGCGTGATAATGTTAGGGAAGAAGGAGCAAAAGTAAGTTGATCCATGATATTTGAATAGTTGTCAAATTACATTCTCATTATTAGTAATATCATTATCATTATTATATATACATAAGAATTATTACGAGAAAAAGGATAGGTTGAGAGCATTTGAACAATATACAATAACGTGTGAAATGAACATGATAACCCAATATCGGCAGCGGATATTGTAGTTATGATGTGGAGTTGAAAACCTACCTAGTTTCCAAGCCCCTCGACCGTGTGGGGTTCTCAAACTTGTGCAAACTCAGAGGGAAGTGTCTTCTTTGGTACATTGTTTCAAAGATGCATAACATGGCAATTAGTGATATGGATTTCGTATGATGTCATGAATTATGAAACCTCGTGCCTGTGTTTTCTGCTTCTGCCTTCGGCAGATGACTCAAATCTTGGTTTGATTATTAGTGACATCATGCTCAACCTCATCCAATTGCTCATTATCATTATCATCATCGTCGTCATTGGTGCTACTGTCACTGTCGGTATCGCTGTTATAATCTTTTTAATTGCAATTATTACGAAAACCACCATTAACGATTTCATAGTAAGCATCAACGTCACTGTAAACATTAAAAGGAGTCTTCATTATTTTCGTTATCGTTCTCAAAACCATAATAAATACATTTTTACCATTTGTCACTAATAGGTGAACAGCCCAGTGATTTTGGAGAAGTTGATCAAGATCTACTTCAACCTTACACAGGCTAACCAGCGCGTCAGAGAACGGTTTAGGGATGCAGTTATCGATATTCCAGGACATGAAACAATACTCAGACCGAAAAAAACACTACAAAAATTGTGTGATCATTTAGGTGTGACATGTACAGAGGACTACGTAGAAAAATGCAGTAAGATCTTGTATGGATCTCCTTCTGTCACAAGAGATAAAATTGTTTGGACTGAAGAACAAAAACAGCGGGTCACCGAGCTGATGAAAAAATATTTGTTTCTAAGAGACTTTTCGTTTGACGATTTCCTATCTTAAACTCACAGGTAGCAGCAAGTTTGCGTTTAAAATTAGGTTTCATTGGGCTTGCATTTCTACTCCCTGTGATTTTACTAGAAAAACGTTACTAATCAGCCAAGCACATGCGTTTTTCCGACAAGTTAACCAATCAGATTTATTTATCTATGTATCGCCGTACCAAAGGCAGTGGAGGATTTCCCAGTCCTCCCATCCTCTCCCATTGCCTCTTGAGCCTTAATCTGACAGTTGGCTGCTAACCTTTTCTTTTCCATGTTGTGATCGTTCTGAACAATACAGTGACTCCTCAGTTAACAGTTGCCTTAAAAACAAGCTACACGATGTTTTAAGTCATTTAATGAACGCCTAACTACCTCATTTTGAAAGAAGCTTTGAAATATATGTTCGTTACGATATAACAACGCAAAATAAGCAACAGTGGACGAAGAAGGTGTATGGTTATTTAACCCCTTAACTCCCAAGATCTGATTGTGAATTCTTCCATTAAGATATAACACTTTTCCTTATGAATTAGTTACGAGAACTTGGTGCTAGATCAGGATAACAACTTCTACCTGGTAAGTTTGAATACTCTCATAACCGGTTTTCTGGATTTTGTTACATTTTAATCAACTCTGGGAGTTCAGGGTTAAGGAAAAAGGGAATGGAAATTTTGACCTAAAAATTAACGAAGCCTAGCTTTTAATTTACACAAACCATGTGGCAGATCTTTCAATTTTTAACCATTCATATTACTTTTTTTTTCGGTTTAGCGCCAATCCAACGCGCACCAGTCCACACCGTGCCAATTCACTGCAAGCCAATCCATAGCGAGCCAATCCAAACCGAGGCTATTAGTGATCAAAGCCCAGACCCTTTCTATAACATTCTCGAGTAACTCCCAGACACCGACGATTGTGACGACACGACTGAATGCCGTTGCAGGGAGGTGTGAAGAATATACAACAATACCACCTACCTATTATTTCTAATAATGCCGTTTAGTTTATCGTCATTCGAATATATTATCCCAGGGTACGGCACATTTCAATCAACAAGTCTGTCGTAATTTTTTAGTGATTTTTGCAGGTACACTTTGAAAGCCTCAGAGATCCACTAAGGAAATACTAGATGTATCCTCCAATATGTTTAAAAAGCTTAATTTACTAGAAGTAAGTCTGAACCATTCTTAAACATGTAAGCAAAGTTCTCTATGCGTCATCAGGGAAATAACAGGCATTTTTTTCCTTGTTTTACATTCCCCTTTGGCTAAAGACTAATATTTTAATGTTTGGAAACGGGAAACTTGTTAAGAAAACTTTTTAATGATGCAATTGAATTCCTCCACGTGCAAATGACTTTATCAGGACTCTTGCTTAGGGGACTGGTTAAAGAACAATTTAGTCAAGTATGAAACAAATTGTGTGAAAATAGAAATATATTTCTTTTTATGAGCGTGCAGTTGCAATGTAGCGAGTTGCGTTGCCTAGAAACTTGACGTACTCCTGAAGAAACGTGTCCTGATGAATGCGAACACCGATCAGGTGTTGAGTAAAAGACTATTAAGGCCAACATTTTGTGGCATTTTTTTTTTTTTCATCCCGTATTGGCGATTTTTCTTTTAATCAAGCAGAACAAAATTAACGAGGAAAGGAATTTTCAAACTTCTTGAGTTTATACAGAGGAATGTTGTACTGGACATAATTCATAAATATATATGCCGAGTGCGTTCAAAGTTGACAAATATGAATTGTGGCTTTAATTCCCAAGTGAAATTTTTAACTTGACTGAGGATCATAAATTTGTCCAGCATTTACTTTAAAGGAGTTATTTTCCTAAGAGAACCCTATTTTTTCGGATCGAGGGCGACATGAAAAATAACCGTAAAAAGATTAAACTTCCAAAATTTTCAGGCTATCATAGGTGCCTGAATCCATCAATACAGAAAATCTTTTGACTGAAGTCAAATTTAAGTTTATTTATTTAAATTTCCATTTATTTCAACATCTTTACATCCTCAGGTTGGTTATAGTTGAAGCATAATCATAGTAATAATCCTCTAATCGCTCTGACGAAGGGCTAACGCTCGATACGTCAGCTTTTTTACCCTTTACGGTGGCTAATTTACGTTTTCAACCCAGTTGTTAACACTAAATTACCTGCTATACTCTCCCACCGACGCAGCACCACAGTTTCTTTAGAAACTTACCCCTTTATTATAGTTGAATTAAAGCTTACCTCTTTCTCTCCTACGAGTGTTCATTACGTAAAATCTCCCAACAGTTCTGATACACATTCCAACAGAGAGGTTATGAGAATTGTCACAATAATCAACGGAGGATTTAGATAACCTTCATGTAAATTCCAATTTTTATAAAGCTACTGTAGCTTGAAAAGAATTGTGGAGTCATCTTTCGGGAGAATTGACTCTCAAGGAGTGAAAGACTTATAACCCATCCAGCAAATCAACCATATTTAGTTTAACCAGGTTTAACTGGATGAAAATCAAAAATAGAAAACTGAAAGACTAAGTTTTTTACATAGTGTTCAAGAAATCACCTTTACTTTCACTGCGCTAAAGATGAAGTCGACAAACATCAGTTTAAGTAGCTTCTATCAAGAACACAATTTGAATTGTGTTGGACAAAACAGGTACAGAAGTCGTTTTAGTTTTGGTGTAGATAGAGTATTAGATTGAAAGTAGAAAAACTTATTAAATAATAAAACCCTATCATCAATTTAGCTCTTTCTAATAAGTGAAATGATAAGGTGTAACAAGAGAATAACAAGTTACTCTCGCTTGAATTGTATATAATGATTTTAATAAATATATATTTACTTTGTAACATTATCCTTCGGCGTTTCCATTTATTAACGCTATCCACTGGATAAATCTCCAACCGATGGATAGCGAGCCGCTTGGATAGTGAACCCTGATCGTTAATCTTCGTTTCGTTGCATTTACAAGATGTGTTCATTTTGGGACGAGTGTTGAAGTTTCATTTTCAAAATTATATATTGAGGCAAAACGACAAAAGAATGTTACGGTAACCTAATATCTACTTTGACTAATTTGTCGTTTCTCAAGACTCAGTGAAAATTTACATTTCGACAAAATTACCTCGGGTTAGTTCGAGAACCGTAACTTTGACTAAGAGCTTTAATAAATTGCAATATGACTTTACTGAACAGTGACTGTCAAGATTGTCGATAAATTTCTAACTGCACTGACAATAAGCCGAGCAAACCAAACATGAAGTATTTTTGACAACTTGGCTTTGTGACACGTGACACAGAGCTTCTTTTCGACAAATTTCCTAAGCGTGGTCGTGATAATGGGCGTCAATTACACGCACATACTTTCAGCAAAATTGTGGTTTCTAGGCAACTATTCGCAAAACTAAGAACACCCACATGTCATACATATTGACCTTGAAATATAGTTAGAATCCATTTTTATCGTTTGCGATAACTATTTACGCCTTATTTACTTTCATTTTGCTATTTGCCGGCTAGTAATAGGCCATTTCCGTCATATTAATTCTAACGTGACTCCGAGGCTTGGGGGAATAAAACCTCGATGTGATTTTCTTTGTTTTATTCCCTAAAGCCTCGGAGCCAAGTTTGAATTTTAATTCAGAGAAAACGGCCTAAGGGATGCGCTTTTAAAAGTCATTAACTTAAATAATGATATTTATACAAGCATCAGAGACAAAAAGAAATAAATTCACATGAGCATGGTTCGATCGCTACGTCGAAACTCTCAAGGCACTTTTATTTTTGTTAACCAAGAAGTTACCATTCAAAAAACTGACTCAAGGTTGGGGTAAGAAAATTATTTTCCTCTATAGACATGTATGTTCTGATTCTTAATTGAATGTGGCTCTTGAACTATACATGTAACCCTTAAGATTTCAGTTCACCCAGCTTCTCGATAAATTGGGAGGATTAAGTTCCACAAAACATTAGGATAATTTTTGAAAATTCAAGCAAAACGTAATTAAATCATTTTTTTGTCGTTCCATCCGTTTCATTTACACTACGGATATCAGAAAGTTTTTTCAAAAATTATTTACACGCCATTGTTTCTATCACACACATAGGCTAGAGACTTCAATACTTCCTGGGTTATTCTTTTATCACTGAGCTATTCACTCTGATTAGCAATATTTATATTGGATATTTTTCTGACATGCAAAACAGAAAACCTTCCGCACACCACATGTTTATGAATACCCTGTTCCACAAAAGTAACATGATTCATGAATATAGTGAGTAATTGACATTGGACCAATAATTAAATAGTAACAACTAATCATATTGGTGCTACTAATAATAATAATAGCAATAGTAATAGTAATTATAATTTATAGGGGTTAGTTCAAGAACTTCATTGTTCCTCTATCCTCCAGGGGAGGACGAGGAGCCTGGTTCTTTAGGGACTTGGCACAACCAAGAGAATATTCTCGTGGCATAACTGATCACCTTAGCGGGGTGGAGGATTTTAGTTGGAGTTGTTCACACGCTTTTCAGAGGGGCGGGGCAGAGGGGACACAGTCGTCGCCAACAGACTATGAAAGCGGCGGGGGGGGGGATCTCTGACTGGTCGTAGTACAACCAAAATCCTCAAAACCCCTCCCCCCCCCCACCCCTGCTACCTGGGAGATAAATAATGACCGGCCCCTAGGAGTTAACAAAACCCGCTGGGGACGGAGAGGGGATTTGAAAGAAAGTGCTTACTGTAACTTTCGCTCCCTGCTTTGACACTCACGTTCACTGTTGGAATAAAAAGAGATCATTTTGGGCTGGGTGTTGAAGTTTCATTTTCCAAAATATGTTTTGAAGTAAAAAGTAATAATGAATTTGTTACGTTATACATGTAATATAAATTGTTATCTATTTTCTCACGACTGTATGAAAATCTACTTCTCGCCAAAAATACCTCACGCTAATTCGAGAAATTTTGGCTAATAACTATAGTAAAAGGTAAAATGACTTTATTAAATAGTGACTATTCCGTGATTGTCAAGTTCCAAAATTTCCAATTGCAATAAGTCGAGCCAATCAGCAAAATCGGTTTGACCTAATCTTTAAGGATTTTTGATAGCTAAATTTTCTAAAGTCTCTGTACCTCAAAATCATGAGTTGTAATTTGCGGTTTAGATTCAGGGGTTTTAATTCATACCTTAAATTCTCCCTTGGTCCCTCCTGGAAGGAAAAGGGTTAAGCATAATCTTGATAATGACTGCCCTTTAGAAGCACATACTTTCGGTAAAATTATGGTTTCTATGCAACAATCCGAAAAACTAATAACACCTTCATGTCACACCTATGTTCATTTTACTTTTATTCTATAAAATATAGCAAGCTCACTTCTATGTGTCAATAGAGCCCATTTTTATTGTTTGCGATCGCTTTTTTACGCCTTCACGATATTCATTTCGCAATTGGCCTCGACTCATTTAGCTGAGGGATGCGCTTTTGAAAATCATTAGCATAAAGAAATGATATTTACATAACTAAGCATCAGAAACAAAAAGAAAACCATTTCCTTCGGGTATGGTTCGATCGCTACGTCACACCTCTCAAGACACTTTATTTAACATTTAACCAAAGAAGTTTCTATTCCAGAAATTGACTCAAAATTGAGGTAAGGATATTATTTTTCTCTATCGACATTAACGTTCCGACTTTTGATTGATTTACAATTTACAATAGGGCTCTTGAATTTTACATGTAAACAACGAAATTAAATTTCACCCAGCTTCTCGATAAATTGAGAGGATCAAGTTCCACAAAACGTGATGGTAATTTTTTGAAAATTCACGCACAACGTAATGTATTGAAATGTTTCTTTTTCGTTTCGCCTATTTTATACATACTCAGACACTAGAAACTATTTTCAGAAATAACTAAAGTGTCATTTTCTATATCATACACGTAGACTGGAGACTTCAAGTCTCCAAGGAGGGTTAGGGAACTGGGAAATAATTAGGATTGCAAGTCGCTAGATTTAGCTCTCAAAAAAGTGCGTATATTCGAATGTTTAAGAAAAACTATCTACACTGTAGGGTGGATATATAAAGTAATGGAGATCACGATACAGCTCAGTAAGTTATTTGACCAGGATATTGTTCCCGTTTCTCTGAAAGTGTGGATTAGAAATTGCTCGGTGAGAAAGCTCTCATCGGCACTGTTTTATGAGCATCTCGTGGGCTGTTTGCGAGGCCTGTGGTGGGTATTTCTGTCTCTGTCACTCTTAAGATTTCCAGTCAGATCCCTAGCGGTAGATCACCCATGGGCGAGCGAAACGGGTTGGCTCGATTCTTGTAGACCCAGCGAGAAGCTTGTTAGATACATGTGCAACAGAGCCGATGAGCGTAGCCACAGGAGGCCCACAAAGGCGGTTATGATAGGTATATTAAATTTTTACAACCCTAAATGGAAGGAAAATATGGTATCAAGTTGGTAGGCACGGTGAACTGTTTTTGCCTAAAAAGGCATCATCAAAATGACACACTAAAATGATCATGATACCACCGGAAAAAAGGGGAAAAGGTTAGCTATCGTATTAGTAAAGATAGAGATAATTTTCGCCTTATTGGACCTTATCAGAATAACGTTACTAACGTGATAATCTCTGCTTGCTTGAGCCATACTGGGGGATATCGGCCCTCTTTAGTTTCTTTTCTTTTAATTTTTTTTATCTTTTTTATTTTTTAAAATTTTTTTAAATTTTTTTATCGGCGTTCCGTACTGTCACGACCTCGAGCCGATATTCCTCAGTACGGCCTTCAAGCTCGGTTAATAAGAAGTTAGTATCGCAGTTGTAAAGCAGGCGAATGATAATTTCTTCATATCACTTTTTAGGTTATAGGATAGCAGCATACAGAATGTTCGTGAGATCAGGTTTTCTTCCTTTGCTCATGATCGGTTTCCTTTCAAGCCTCTTTTTTGCTACTTATTTGATAATTAAGGAGAAGAAAATTTCGCCATCGGGAAGACGCTTGGTGCAGGTACTGGAGACGGTGACGTTCACAGAAAATGGTAAGTTAAATCTAAAAAGTAACTTAACTGTGAAAAACTCTGTTAGTTATTTTACCCCCAAGAGTGACTAGCATCTTATTTTTCCTTACGGTGTCGCCGCTGAATCAAACATTAAAGAGATGAGAATTAATGAAACAATGATAAGAAGAAGCTTTTCAACGTTAAACGATTCCCCTCGTCATTGAGATAAGAAATGGATGGCAAACGGTAAGGGGAATAAGGGGGGGTAAGTTTCTAAAGAAACTGTGGTGCTGCGTCACTGGGAGAGTATAGCAGGTAATTTAGTGTTAACAACTGAGTTGAAAACCACCGTAAAGGATAAAAAGCTGACGTTTCGAGCGTTAGCCCTTCATCAGAGCGATTTTAAGGGGAATATGCATGCTGATTTTGGAATTATTTGGTATTTCTTCACCACGCTCTGTGGTTGGTATAGAACGCTTGCGCCACCTTCTCAACCAATCGAACGCGAGTCAGAAGCTGGTTACAGAGCGGCTAAATCAGATCTTCTCTTCATTGAGTTTCCCAAAGGGTCTTAATATTTTTGCCGTTTGTAATAAGCGGCCGTTGAGATTCAGCACTCGATAATGCTAGTGCGATCATCCTGAAAAAATACCGATGGTACTAAAAAAATATTCTCGTATCGTATTCTCGTATCCATATTGCATTCAATATGGATACGAGATGGCAGAAAGTCAACTTGAAATTGGTCAAGTGTACCTGTGAAATACTTTTTCTCCAAAAAACCCAAATGGAAATATCGCAAACGATGAAGCACAGAAAATATGGCAAACAATTTGATCGTGTAGTCTGACTGTCATGGCGAGGGAAGTCCTGAGGGGGACTCTTTTCGGTGATGGTGACAGGCGTTTCGTCAACATTAGCGTAGGTCATCATTAGAGTTCAGGCTAAAAGTTCGATTTGAAGTGAGATTTGAAGGGGTAGAGACTGGGTCTAGACAGGATACGTCTAATCTCGACCCAATCCCTTCTCTTCCGTCAGTACAAGTATGCGTTCATCTTCTCTCCAAGACTGACTGTTTTGATTTGATTTTTTCAGAGGAAGCGCCCTCACTTTCCTATGCAGAGAAGCTTCTTAAAGCCTACGATGAAGTGGAGACCTTTGTAATGTTCATTGGTTATCCTCGCAGCAGCCATAGTTTGGTTGGCGCCATCTTGGATGCTCACCCTGAAATAATTATTCCACACGAGTTTAATCTGTTGGAAAAATGGAGAAGTTACAATCTTCCAGCGTTCAAAAGGAAAAACCTACTAAGATATAAGTTATATTTTGATCTTCACCAGACCTCTCTCAAGCAAGCCATCTTTGGAATACGGGCAAGCCGAAATAGAACAGTTCTTGGCGGGGAATTTACATACTTATACAATGTTCCAGATCTATGGCAAGGTGGATACAAAAACAGGATCAAGGTAGGATTAGAAGACGATTTTCATTGCTCATGGGCTACTATCACATACCAGTCAGCCCAAGCTTATCCTAAAGAATAAAAAGGACGCACCTGAATCGGTGGCGGGTATTACAAGATAATTTGGTATATCTTCTGAGTTTATAATGTAAATTGGCCACCGTCAAAGATTTTTAAGTTGAGGTTTCGAGTGTTAGCCATTCATCAGCCTGACGAAGAGCTAACGCTCGAAACGTCAACCTTAAAAATTTTCGGGCAGAATTCGTGACATCATCAATGATTCATAACCGATAAAACGGCAAATTTGAACGCGACCTCGCATTGATGAGCCCTAAATTGGCCTATTTAAACCCACTTTTCTGAGTTTTAGAAGAGCTAACTTCTAGATCATGTTGTATCTACATTTTGCAAATAAAATTTTAACTGAAATGAAGGACATTAAAGAAGAATTGTCCTTTTTCACTTGAAACAATTCTCTGAATTTTTGTATGAAAGTCATTTCAAGATCGATTTTCTTAAAACCCTTACTACTCACCAAAAATCAACGCACGGCAAATGGCTGACACACCTTCCATTTGAGAGAATCCGTTTTAATTTTGAAGATTAAAACGGATTTTGAAGAGCTATACACCTGTCAAATTAAACAGTGCCCATCGTGAAATCAATAGCACTTGTCGATTTCTTCACAATTGTCGCGAATTCTAAAATCTTTCGGTGCGTCAGCTGATAAACCTTACCCTTACCGACCATATAAAAAAAATTAGTTATGATGGGAGCTCTTTGGGTAGCTTTTTGAAACCGAATACAGCTTTTAAGTTTTCCCCAGAGTTGAAAGGATCTTCGGATGATGTTTTTTATAAATTTTCCTAAAAATTGTCACATGATTTTGCTAGATAACTTCATCCAATGTCTTTCTTAATAATAAATATAGTTTCGCTCTGAAGAAAAAGATATTAAGCGATTTGACCTTTCGAAAAGCAACAATCTGTTCCTGCCTCGAAAAATATTTTAACGAGGCTTGCGTTGTCTCAGATAAGACGCTGAAGTTTCACAAGGACTTTTCGAAGTTCTATGTGAGTGACTGAGTTGGTACGTAGTGACAATAAGCATAGCCTACACAGAGAGCGAAACTCTTTCCAAACCGCATTTAAAATTTGAGTTCGAACACCCTCATTTTATTTGATGTATTTTCTGTACTAGTTTTATCACGACTTTTCCTTTAGGTGATTGGAGACAAAAAAGGGGGACGAACTTCGCAGCGTATAAGTAAAGACCCAAGCAGTATCAAACAGTTAGAAGAAATCGCTAAAAACGTGGGAGTGCCAATGAAATTCATACACATTGTCAGGAACCCATTTGATAACATCGCTACCATGGTACTTCGCAGAGCAGGCGAGCGTGATCATGTAAGGGAAGAAGGAGCAAAAGTAAGTTGATTCATGATATTTGAAAAGTTGTCAAATTACATTCTCATTATTAGTAATATCATTATCATTATTATATATACATAAGAATTATTACGAGAAATATGATTGGTTGAGAGCATTTAAATAATATACAGTACATGGCATGTGAAGTGAGCATGATAAACCAATATCGGCAACGGATATTGTAGTCATGATGTGGAGTTGAAAACCTGCCTAGTTTCGAAGCCCCTCAACCGTGTGGGGTTCTCAAACTTGTGCAAACTCGGAGGGAAGTGTCTTCTTTGGTACATTGTTTAAAAGGTGAATAACATGACAATTAGTGATATGGATTTCGTATGGTGTCAAATTATGAACCCTAGTGTCTGTGTTTTCTGCCTCTGCCTTCGGCAGATAACTCAAATCTTGGTTTTGATTATTCGTGATATCATGCTCAACCTCATCCAATTGATCATTATCATTATCATTATCATCATCGTCGTCATTAGTGCCACTGTCACTGTCGGTATCGCTGTTGTAATTATTATAATTGCAATTATTATTAAAACCACCATTAACGATTTCATAATCAGTATCAACGTCATTGTAAACATTAAAAGGAGTCGTCAACATTTTCTTTATCGTTCTTAAAATAATAAATACATTTTTACTATTTGTCACTAAAAGGTGAACAGCCCAGTGATTTTGGAGAACTGGATCAAGCTCTACTTCAACCTTACAAAGGCCAACCAGCGCGTCAGAGAAAGGTTTGGGGATGCAGTTATCGATATTCCAGGACATGAAACAATACTCAGACCGAAAAAAACACTACAAAAATTGTGTGATCATTTAGGTGTGACATGTACGGAGGACTACATAGAAAAATGTAGTAAGATCTTGTATGGATCTCCTTCTGTCACAAGAGATAAAATTGTTTGGACTGAAGAACAAAAACAGCGGGTCACTGAGCAGATGAAAAATTATCCTTTTCTAAGAGACTTTTCGTTTGACGATTACCTATCTTAAACTCACAGGTAGCAGCTGCAGAATAATTTTCAATTTCGCGTTTAAAATTAGGTTTCCTTGGGCTTGCATTTCTACTCCCTGCGATTTTACTAGAAAAACGTTTCTAATCAACCAAGCATACGCGTTTTTCCGACAAGGTAACCAATCAGATTTATTTATCTATGTATCGCCGTACCAAAGGCACTGGAGGATTTCCCAGTCCTCCCATCCTCTCCCATTGCCTCTTGAGCCTTAATCTGACAGTTAGTTGCTCACCTTTTCTCTTCCATGTTGCCTTTGGCCGGTGTTTTGATGCGCTAAAATAAAACATGTACTTTGTGATAATTATGCAAACAATTAAATTGTAGAAAGAACAGTTAAAAATTCAACTGTCTCTTAAAGGCACTGTCAGCGACAGTACAATGAGTTTGATTGATATGCTACTGGTTAGACGAAACACCAAAAAATAAACACCTAAGTGCTAAGAATAGACTGTTTTTAGCTTGATCTCAACTCAAAACAACGTTTTTGCTGTTTTGCTGCTAAATTACGCTGTTTTCAGTTTTTTTTGTACTGAATTAAGAGTGTCACCTGTTTGCAGCTAATGACGCTGTTTTAAGCTATATCTCACTCATAACAACATTTTTCTCTCTGTGATGCTAAATTACGCTCTTTTCAGCTTTATCGTACTGAAAACCCTTTCTATATACTTGTTTGTTGCTGTTACACTGTTCTTACCTTCCTTTCATGAAAAGTGGTTTTCTAGCCTGTTCGCAGCTAATTGACCGATTTTAGCTTGATGTTGCCGAAAACAACGTTTTTGCTGTATTGTTGCTAACTTACGCTGAATTCAGATGTTTATCTGTTTGCAGCTAATAGCGGTGTTTTAGGCTATATCTCACTCATAACAACATTTTTCCTGCTGTGGTGCTAAACTATGCTCTTTTCAGCTCTTTTGCACCGAAAACCCTATTTTGTGCATGTTTGCTGTTTGCAGCAAATTGACTGATTTTTGCTTGATCTCACCTAAAACAATATTTCTGCTGTTTTATTAGTAAATTTCGCTTTTTCCAAATTTTTTGCACTGAATAAAAAATTTAGCCTTTTTGAAGCTAGTCACGCTGATTCTAGCTATATCTCAATCAAAAGAACGTTTTTGCTCTTTTGGGTCCAAATTACACTCTTACAAGACTTTTTTCACGGCATAAAGGTTCTGGCCTGTTTCCAGCTAATCACGCTGATTCTAGCTATATTTCAGTCAAAAAAATGTTTTTGTTGTTGTGGTGCTAAATTGCGCTGTGTTCAGTTTTTTCGCACTGGAAACGGTTTTCGCCTATTTGAAGCTTTTCACATTGATTCCAACTATATCTCACTCAAAAGAAAATTTTTGCTTTTTCGCCGCTGTATTTCAGCTGTATTGCACCTAGAACCTCTTTTGTGCTGGTTTCCTGGATTTACGCACTTTTTTTCTTCCTTGAACCAAAACCGCTGTTCTGGCCTTTTTGCAGATAATTGACTGATTTTAGCTAGATCTCACTCATAAAAACGTTTTTGCTGTTTTCGGTTCTAAATTACGCTGTTTTAAGTTTTTTTTTCGCACTGCATTAAGACTGTCGCCTGTTTCCAGCTCATTACGCTGTTTTAAGCTACATCTCACTCAACAACTTTTTTTTTGCTTCTGTGCTTCTGAATTACGCCCTTTTTAGCTTAATCGTACCGAAAAACCTTGTGTGTGTCGGTTTTATGTCTGTTTGTGTGTGAGCCCGAATAAACTGATTTAATATTTGAAATATTGTAATCCCCTCGTTAAGCCTAAGTGCTTTCTCATTAGTTATTCTCTTTACTGTCTGACATACAATTCTTCTGTTATCAAATAGGAGAATTTGGTATTGGATCAACTAATAATTCCCTAATTGATAATATACTTTATTCTCATCACTTCTATAGTTGATATTGTATTGATATTGTAAGGAGAAATTCTCTCTTGGTCACCCGTGGGAGGTAAAGTTAAGCATGGCCTTGATTAAAAGTACATACTTTCGGTAAAATTATGGTTTCTATGCAACAATCCGAAAAACTAATAACACCTTCATGTCAATTACATTTACAATTTTATTTACTTTTATTCTATAAAATATAGTAAGTTCACTTCTATGTGTCAATAGAGCCCATTTTTATCGTTTGCGATCGCCCTTTAACACCTGATTGATATTCATTTCGCAATTGGCCTCGACTCATTTAGCTGAGGGATGCACTTTCGAAAATCATCAACATAAAAAAAAATGATATTTGCATAACTAAGCATCAGAAACGAAAAGAAAACCATTTCCTTGGAGTATGGTTCGATTGCCACGTCACATCTCTCAAGACACTTTATTAAACGTCTAATCAAAGAAGTTTCTATTCCAGAAATTGACTAAAAATTGAGGTAAGGATATTATTGTTCTCTATCGACATTAACGTTCCGACTCTTGATTGATCAATGAGTGTCAATTTTCAATAGGGCTCTAGAATTTTACTTGTAAACAACGAAATTAAATTTCACCCAGCTTCTCGATAAATTGAGAGGATCAAGTTTCACAAAACATGAGGGTTTTTCGTTTCACCTATTTTATTCATATTACAGACACCAGAAACTATTTTAAAAAATAACTCACATGTCATTTTCTATATCATACACGTAGACTGGAGACTTCAACTCATCGTTATTCTTTTACAATCAGCTATTCACTCTGTTTCAAAGGAAGGTTAAGGAACTGAGAAGTAATTAAGATTGCAATTCAAGTCGCTAGATTTATCTCTCAAAAATGCGCGTATATTCGGATGTTTAATAAGAAATACTATTTACACTGTATGGTGGATATAGCAGAAAAAAATGTTATTAAGTTGATAGGCACGGAGAACTGTTTTAGCTTTAAAAGGAATCATCAAAATCACAAACTTAAATGATGATACTACCGAAAAAAAAGGAGAAAAAGATAAGCCATGGTATTAGTAAAGATAGAGATAATTTTGGCCTTATTGAACCCTATTAGAATAAAAAAAGTCGTCAAGTCTCGGTGTCCCACTGACAAAGATTTTAAGGCCCTCACCGAGCGTGAGGGCCTTACTGGGGAAGATTGGCCCGATGTTGTGGCGATACAGACCTCGCTGTATTCGGACCGCGCGAAAACGACCGAGGGAAAATATTTCCCAGCTCGCCTATAAATCATTTTATCATATGGCAAGGTAGTCCTGGGGTAAATTCGAGCGTTCTGATTGATCACTTCCACGGAAACGGTCATAAGCCGGTCATAAGCCAACAAATCCAAAATAAACAAGTTTGATCCGAGTGCCATATGATAAACTACTTAATAACTTTGCTTCCTTGAGCCATACTGAGGGATATCGGCCCTCGTTCGCTCTTTTTTTTATTGGCCCTTGCTGCACGTAGTCCGCACTGTCACGACCTCGAGCCGATATTTCTCATTACAGCCCCTTAAACCCGGTTAATAATAAGTTAGTAGCGCAGTTGTAAAGCGTTTGATAACTTCTTCATATCATCTTTGAAGGTTATAGGATAGCAGCATACAGAATGTTCGTGAGAAAGGGTGTTCTTCCTTTGCTCATGATCGGATTCCTTTCGAGCCTCTTTTTTGTCACTCGCTTGATAGTTAAGGAGAAGAAAATTTCGCCATCGGGAAGACGCGAGGTGCAGGTATTGGAGACGGTGACGCTCACAAAAAATGGTAAGTTAACTCCAAAATGCAACTTAACTGTGAAAACCTCTGTTAGTTATTTTACCCCTAAGAGTGACTAGCATCTAATTTCTCCTTACGGTATCGCCGCTGAATAAACATTAAAGAGATGAGAATTAACGAAACAATGATAAGAAGAAGCTTTTCAACGTTAAACGATTCCCCTCGTCATTGAGATAAGAAATGGATGGCAAACGGTAAGGGGAATAAAGGGGGGTAAGTTTCTAAAGAAACTGTGGTGCTGCGTCACTGGGAGAGTATAGCAGGTAATTTAGTGTTAACAACTGAGTTGAAAACTTAAATTGGCCACCGTAAAGGATAAAAAAGCTGAAGTTTCGAGCGTTAGCCCTTCATCGGAGCGATTTTAAGGGGAATATGCAAGCTGATTTTGGAATTATTTGGTATTTCTTCACCACACTCCGTGGTTGGTATAGAACGCTTGCGCCACCATCTCAACCAATCGAACGCGAGTCAGAAGCTGGTTACAGGCCGGCTAAATCAGATCTCCTCTTCACTGAGTTTCCCAAAGTGATGGCAATTAAAGACATAATGATAAGAAGAAGCTTTTCAACGCTAAAATAATTCTCCTCATCATTGACATAGGAAATGTATGGCAAACAGTAAAGGGAATATACATACTGATGTAAGGATTTATTTGGTATTTATTCATCTCGCTCTGTGGTTGGTATGGAAAGCTTGCGCCACCTTTTAACCGACCTATCGGACGCCAGTCAGAGGCCGGTTACAGGCCGGCTAAATCAGATCTTCTTTTCATTGAGTTCCCCGAGGGGTCTTAATATTTTTGTCGTTTGTAATAAGCGACCGTTGAGATTTAGCTTTCGATAATGTAAGCGCGATCATCCCGAAAAAAATACCAAGGGTACTACGAAAACACTCCATGAATGCAATATGGATATGAGATGGCAGAAAGTCAACTTGCAATTGGTCAAGTGTACCTGGGAAATACTTTTTCACCAAGGAAACCCAAATGGAAATATCGCAAACGATGAAGCACAGAAAATATGGCAAACAATTTGATCGTGTAGTCTGACTGTCATGGCGAGTGAAGTCCTGAGAGGGACTCTTTTCGGTAATGGTGACAGACGTTTCGCCAACATTAGTGTAGGTCATCATCAAAGTCCAAGCTAATAATTCGATCTGAAGTGAGATTTGAAGGGATAGAGACTGGGTCTAGGCAGGATGCGTCTAGTCTGGACCCAATCCCTTCTCTTTCGTCAGTACAAGTATGCGTTCATCTTCTCTCCAAGACTGACTGTTTTGATTTGATTTTTTCAGAGGAAGCGCCCTCACTTTCCTATGCAGAGAAGCTTTTTAAAGCTTACGATGAAGTGGAGACCTTTGTGATGTTCATTGGTTATCCTCGCAGCAGCCATAGTTTGGTTGGCGCCATCTTGGATGCTCATCCTGAAATAATTATTCCGCACGAGTTTAATGTGTTGCAAAAATGGAGAAAGTACAATGTGCCAGAGTTCCAAAGTAAAAACCTGGTAAGATATAAGTTATATTTTGATCTTCACCAGACTTCTACCGAGCAAGCTATGTTTGGAGTACGGGCAAGCCGAAAAAGGACAGTTCTTGGCGGGGAATTGACATACTTATACAATGTTCCAGATCTATGGCAAGGTGGATACAAAAACAAGATCAAGGTAGGATTAGAAGACGATTTTCATAGCTCATGGGTTACTATCACATACCACAGTCAGCCTAAGCTTATCCTAAAGAATAAAAAGGATGCACCTGCATCGCTGGCGGGTATTACAAGATAATTAGGTATATCTCCTAAGTTTATAATGTAAATTGGCCATCGTAAAAACTTGAGTTTTGCTGGATAACTTCTTTTAATATCTTTCTTAATGGTAAATATGTTTTCGCTCTGAAGAAAAAGATTTTAAGCGAATTAACCTTTCGACAAGTGACAATCTGTTCCTGCCTGGGAAAATATTTCAACGAGGCTTGCGTTGTCCCAGATAAGAAGTTGAAGTTTCACAAGGAATTTTCGAGTTTCTTTATGGCTTCGTTGCACGTAATAACAAAAAGCATAGCCTACACAGAGAGCGAAACTCTTTCCAAACTGCACTTCAAATTTGAGTGCGAACACCCTCATTTTATTTGATGTATTTTCTCTACTGGCTTTATCACTTTTCTTTTAGGTAATAGGAGACAAAAAAGGGGGACGAACTTCGTTGCTTATAAGCCGAGACCCAAGCAGTATCAAGCAGTTAGAAGAAATCGCTAAAAACGTAGGAGTGCCAATGAAATTCATACACATCGTCAGGAACCCATTTGATAACATCGCTACCATGGTACTTCGCGGTGCAGGCGAGCGTGATAATGTTAGGGAAGAAGGAGCAAAAGTAAGTTCATAAATCATATTTGAAAAGATATCAAATAACATTCTCATTATCACGGTAACATCATTGTCATTATTATATATACACAGGAGTCCATTACTTCTGATATACATTAGAATTTTTACTAGAAATATGATTGGTTGAGACTATTTAAATGATATACAATAGCATGTGAAGTGAGTACGATAACCCAATATCGGCAGCGGATATTGTAGTTATCATGCGGAGTTAAAAAACCTACCTAGTTTCCAAGTCCCTCGACCATGTGGGGTTCTCAAACTTTTGCAAACTCAGAGAGAAGTGTCTTCTTTGATACATTGTTTAGAAAATGCATAATAAGACAATTAGTGAATTGGGTTTTCGTATGATGTCATGAATTATCAAACCTTGTGTCTGCGTTTTCTGCCTCTGCATTTTCGTTATTGTTATCACAATCATAATCAATGTCGTTATCGTTATCATTTTTTTCTATTTGTCACTAAAAGATGAAAGGATCAGTGATTTTGGAGGATTGGATCGAGCTCTACTTCAACCTTACAAAGGCTAGCCAGCGCGTCAGAGAAAGGTTTGGGGATGCTGTTATCGATATTCCAGGACATGAAACAATACTCAGACCGAAAGAAACACTACAAAAATTATGTGACCATTTAGGTGTGACATGTTCAGAGGAATACATAGAAAAATGCAGTGAGATCTTGTATGGAGCTCCTTCTGTCACAAGAAATAAAATTGTTTGGACTGAAGAACAAAAACAGCGGGTCACCGAGCAGATGAAAAAATATCCGTTTCTGAAAGACTTTTCGTTTGACGATTTCCTATCTTAAACTCACAGGTAGCAGCCGCTGGAACAATTTTCAATTTTGCGTTTAAAATGAGGTTTCATCGGGTTTGCATTTCTACCCCCTGAGATGTTTTTAGAAGGGAATCAAAGGCACTCGAGGGTTTCCCAGTTCTCCCATCCTCTCCCATTGCTGCTTAAGCCTTAATCCAACAGTTAGTTGCAAAACTTTTCTCTTTCATGTTGCCTTTGGCCAGCATTTTGCTTTGCTAAAAAAAGTGTACTTTTTGATAATTATGTAAAAAAAATTAACTTGTGGAAAGATAATAAATAAAGTTGTTTTTAAAGGCATGTCCGCGACAGTACAATGAGTTTAGTAGATATGCTACTGTTATCAAATTTCTATTGTTTGATTACCGGTTACATGTTGCATCAGTAAACGTTTCAACTTTATTTTCAAAAAATGTCAAAGAGGAAAGAGGTAGTTTTCGTTAGAAAGAAATCCTGACGAAAGTGATACATTGGACTTCTCTATTCAGTGGATAAAGGAGTCAGAAAAGTCAAAAATACAGAGAGGGGACGGCAGGAGAAACTAGGCACGAACATTTTGATGAAACCTCTTAAATGCTGTAGATCGTAGATTATGAGATCCAACAAATAACGAAACTAGACATTTGTCACCTAATTAAGCAATAAACAAGTCAACTAAACCAAACACACATGGTATCACCTTTTATTTCTCTGACAGGAGTAGGTAACATTTACGTGGTTCTAAGAGTAAATCAATTTGGTTTCACGTAAGCAGTGGCTCAACTCATTTAAATATCTGTAACAACTGCTGCTTCTGGAAACCTTCAGATATGTCAATTCTTATTGATTGTGTCTTGCACCCAGTACTTCAGATCCATCATGTCAGCATACATACCGTATCAACCCTTGCGCGCGCAGTCTATTCCCCAGCTCACCGCACCCATCAGATACCACTTCTCATTCTTAGAGCGGACCAGCGGTACTCCACTATCTCCTTAGCAAGCGTCAATCCCTCTTTAAGTGCACCTTGCACAGCGCATGCGCGGTGAAATAGTGTAGCCCAAGTCTTGACAGGCGGATTGGCAAGAGTCTCTTGAGATTAGAGGTACAGTCGAACCTCGATTATCCGGACTCGGTGGGACTAGGGTAAATAGTCCGGATAATCGAGAGTCCGGATAATCGAAAATATGAATATTAATGAGACAATGTAAACAAAAGAAATAAAGATAACACATTTTTAATTCTAAAAGTTTGCTTCAACAGATCGCTTTCGCTTCGTAGACATGTTGTCGTTTTGAGTTATGATCGTCTTGTGTGTTTACATAACCCACGCTCAGCTTAGCAACAAAACAATACTGAACAAATCAAAATTCAGCTGAACGCATTAGAATACTTCTTGTCTCTTTTTGTCTCCGAGCGCTCGATCTTTCGAAAGCGGAGCGTGTAATGCGCTGTTTTAAACGCAATTTTCCTGACTTTTAACATAATTTCTGAATTTTTTTACCTCCTAAAGTTTTTAACATCTAAGGTCATTAATATTCATGGAAAAAACGGGACCAGAGAAAAAGTCCGGATAATCGAAAAGTCCGGTTAATCGATGTCCGGATAATCGAGGTTCGACTGTACTTTAGCTTGTTGTAGAATCTGTTGTACCAAACAGCCAAATATGTCATACCTTACCCATGCTCTAGATGCCATAGAGGGGCATTTGGCCGACCTCATTTGTAAGGGGGGAGAGGGGGGAGACAAATAACGGTAACTGAACTGAGTGGAGGGCAGTTTAGTCTTAAATCGTACAAATGATTTCAAAATGGAAAGAGCCTGTAGCGCGAGTTTGATTTGAAATCACAAGTATGACTTTATTACTACAGAATAGCAAGTACTTGAACTAATGAAAGGCGTTGATACCTCTAAAGCATGTGGTTATGATGGAATTGGCAACAGGATTATTAAGATGTGCAGTGATGGTTTTCATGTCTATTTCACTCGTTTTATCAACATGTCTTTTTCACTTGGTCAGTTCCCCAGTGAGTAAAAGCTTGCAAATGTTATTCCTATATTCAAAAATGATAACCCTTAACTCAAAGTGAATTACCGTCCCGTTTCTCTGCTGGCAAGTTCTTCCAAAATCTGTGAAAATATTTTTTTCTTTTACTTGAACAATTTTTGATGGAGATTGGTTTTCTTTATAAACTCCAGTCTGGTTTCAGACCTGGTGATTCAGCAATCAACCAACTGATTTTCTTTGTACAATAGAGAGGTACGTGCTATTTTCCTAGATATAAGCAAAGCATTTGATAAGGTGTGGCATGCTGGTTTGTTGTGTAAGCTGGAGGCTTTAGAAGTACAACCGCCCTTACTTCAATGATTCGAAAGTTATTTGCTTAACCGAAAGCAGCGGGTAGTTATAGATGAGTAATCCTCTGATTGGTGAACAGTCAACTCCGGAGTCCTTAAAGGGTCTTTGATAGGACCGCTTCTATTCTTATTTACATCAGTGATATTACTGATGATTTCGCCTCTCTTCCTTTGATTTATGCCGATGATACCACAATGTTTGAAATTGTTGACGAGCCAGCCGTATCAGCTGGTCGTCTTAATTCTGATCCAAACAAGATCTCCGAATGGGCTGACAAATGGTTGGTAACTATGAATCCTGTTAAATCTCGCAATGTTGTATTTTCTCTCAAGCGTAATAAACAAGATCACCCGCCTCCATTTCTTGACACCAAGGTCGTCAAAGACGTTGAGTGTCACACTCACTTAGGCCTAACTTTGCAGAGTAATATGTCGAGGAGAAATCATATAGTTTAGATGTACAAGAAAGCCTCTAAACGATCAAATATGCTGAAATATGTCAAATACAGAGTTGATAGATCCACCTTAACATACTTGTACAAACGCCTGATTAAACCACTCATGGAATATGGGGATGTTATCTGGAACAACTGTCATCTTTACAGAATAATGTTCGATACGAAGCCGCAAGAGTGGTAACAGGAGCCATTAGGGGAACCAACTCTGCGAGGTTTCGTGATTAACTTGCTTGGGAGCCTCTTAGTATCAGGAGAGAATGACATAAATTAAGCCAGTTTTACAAAATAGTCAAGAATCTTGCTCCACGTTATTTAAATGAACTATTGCCCAAACTATTTAGTGAACGTACACATTTTCGTCTCAGATCAAGAGAACACTTCACTCAACTTCTTTGTAGAACTTCTACGCTTCAAAAGTCTTTTTTTCCATCAGCAATCAATGGCTGGACCTAGATGTCCGAAACACTGTATCTCTTCCCACTTTAAAGCAATAACTCGGTCAATTCTCTTTCCGCATACTTACAATGGGTTATATGATCGTTCTTTGTCAAGGCGTGCACCTGTTGATCACACCCGCCTCAGACTTGGGTTCTCTTGTCCAAGCGAATATCTCTTCAAAATTAATAGTTGTGTGTCGCCTATTTGCGAGTGCAGTTTTGACTCTGAATCGGTGAAACACTTTTTCTTGCATTGCCCAAGGTATGCCGCTCAACGTGATGTTATCCTTACCTCTGCTGCTAATATTCTCGGTGAAACATGGTCATCGAGTAGTGATGCTAGGAAACTAATTTTCTATTGTATGGTGTTCAGTCTGTAAATTGCAACGTCAACCGTGCTTTTTTTTCGCAAAGCACAAAAGTTTTGTAATAAACACTAATCGCTTCTCTGAGGCCATTGTTTAATTGTTTAAACAATATATTCCTAGCTTAGTAAGGCTAATTCGTTGCTATTGCAATTTGTGTGTGTCGGTTATGTGTCTGTTTGTGTGTAAGCCCGAATAAATTGATTTTATATTTGAAATATTGTAATCCCCCTCGTTAAGCCTAGGTGTTTTGGGGAAAACAATGATAAATATGTTTCACTAAAAAAAAAAAATAATAAAATAAAAAAATAAAAAACTCCTAAGATCTCATTAGTAATTCTCTTAACTGTCTGACATACGTTTCTTATGATTTCTATCAGGAGAATTTGGTATTGGATCAACTAATAATCCCCTAATTGATAATATGCTTTCTTGTCATCACTTCTATAGTCGATATTGTTTTGATATTGTAGGAGAAATTCTCTCTTGGTCACCCATAGGAGGTAAAGGTTAAACAAGGCTGGCCTTCATTGGAAGTACATACTTTCGGTCAAATTATGGTTTCTATGCAACAATCCGAAAAACTAATAACACCTTCATGTGTTATTAGTTTTTGGAATTGTTCTTTTTACTTGTATTCTATAAAATATAGTAAGCTCACTTCTATGTGTCAATAGAGCCCATTTTTATTGTTTGCGATCGCCTTTCGTGATATTGGCCTCGACTCCTTTAGCTGAGGGATGTGCTTTTGAAAATCATTAGGATAAAGACATGATATTTACATAACTAAGCATCAGAAACGAAAAAAAACCATTTCATTGAGGCATGGTTCGATCGCTACGTGACATCTCTCAAAACACTTTATTTAACATTTAACCAAAGAAGTTTCTATTCCAGAAATTGACTCAAAATTGAGGTAAGGATATTATTTTTCTCTATCGACATTAACGTTTTGACTCTAAATTACAACGTCAACCGTCCTTTTTTTCCGCGAAGTACAAAGTTTTGTAATTAACACTAATCGCTTCTCTGAGGCCATTGTTTGATTGTTTAAATAATACATTCCTAGCTTAGTAAGTCTAATTCGTTCCTATTGCAACTTGTATGTGTCGGTTATGTGTCTGTTTGTGTGTAAGCCCGATCGAATAAATTGATTTTATCTTTGAAATATTGTAATCCCCCTCGTTAAGCCTAGGTGTTTTGGGGAAAACAATGATAAATATGTTTCACTAAAAAAAAAAAAAAAAAAAAAAAAAAAAACTCCCAAGATCTCATTAGTAATTCTCTTTACCGTCTGACATACAATTCTTATGATGTCAATTATGCTTTCTTGTCATCACTTCTAAAGTCGATATTATTTTGATATTGTAGGGGAAATTCTCTCTTGATCACCGATAGGAGGTAAAGGTTAAACAAGGTTGGCCTTCATTGGAAATACATACTTACGGTTAAATTATGGTTTCTATGCAAACATTCCCAAAAACTAATAACATCTTCATGTTACGTATATGTTCTTTTTACTTTAATTCTATAAAATATATAGTAAGCTCACTTCTAGGTGTCAATAGAGCCCAATTTTTATTGCGATTGCTTTTGTACGCCTTCGTGATATTCATTTCGCAATTGGCCTCGACTCCTTTAGCTGAGGGATGCGCTTTTGAAATCATTAGCACAAAGAAATGATATTTACATAACTAAGCATCAGGACGAAAAGAAAACCATTTCATTGGGGCATGGTTCGATCGTTACGTGACATCTCTCAAGACACTTTATCTAACATTTAACCAAAGAAGTTTCAATTCCAGAAATTGACTCAAAATTGAGGTAAAGATACTATTTTTCTCTATCGACCTTCTTTTTTGTTTCGCCTATTTTATTCATACTACAGACACCAGAAACTATTTTCAAAAATAACTCATGTGTCATTTTCTATATCATACACGTAGACTGGAGGCTTCAACTCTCCAAGGAAGGTTAGGGAAGTGGGAAGCAATTAGGATTGCAAGTCGTTAGATTTAGCTCTCAAAAAAGTGCGTATATTCGGATGTTTAAGAAAAACTATCTACACTGTATGGTGAATATAAAAAGCAATGGAGATCACGATACAGCTCAGTAAGTTATTTGACCGGGATATTATTTCCGTTTCTTTGGAAGTTTGGATTAGAAATTGCTCGGTGAGAAAGCTCTCATCGGTACTGTTTTATAAGCATCTCGTGGGCTTTTTGCAAGGCCTGCGGTGGGTATTTTCTGTACATGTCACTCTAAAGATTTCCGCGAAGCGGGCTGGCTCGATTCCTTGAGCCATACTGGGGGATATCGGCCCTCGTACGCTCTTTTGTTTATTGGCCCTCGCTGTTCGTGGTCCGTACTGTCCCGACCTCGAGCCGATATTTCTCATTACGGCCCTTAAACTCGGTTAATAAGAAGTTAGTATCGCAGTTGTAAGGGGTTTGATAACTTCTTCATATCATCTTTTAAGGTTATAGGATAGCAGCATACAGAATGTTCGTGAAAAAGGCTGTTCTTCCTTTGCTCATGATCGGATTCCTTTCAAGCCTCTTTTTTGTCGCTCGCTTGATAATCAAGGAGAAGAAAATTTCGCCTTCGGGAAGACGCTTGGTGCAGGTACGGGAGACGGTGACGCTCACAGAAAATGGTAAGTTAACTCCAAAAAGTAACTTAATTGTGAAAACCTCTGTTAATCATTTTACCCCTAAGAGTGACTAGCATCTGATTTATTCTTACGGTATCGCCGCTGAATCAAACATTAAGGTGATGGGAATTAAGGAAATAACGATAAAAAGAAGCTTCTCAACGTTAAACAATTTCTCCCCGTCATCGACATAATAAATGTATGGCAAACAGTAAGGGGAATATACATACTGATGTTAGGATTTATTTGGTATTTATTCACCTCGCTCTGTGGTTGGTATAGAAAGCTTGCGCCACCTTTTTAACCAATCGGACGCGAGTCAGAGGCCGGTTACAGGCCGGCTAAATCAGTTCTTCTCTTTATTGAGTTCACCAAAGGGTCTCCACATTTTTGTCGTTTGTAATAAGCGGCCGTTGAGATTCAGCACTCGATAATGTAAGTGCGATCATCCCGAAAAAAATACCGAGGGTACTAAATGAATATTCCATGAATGCAATATGGATATGAGATGGCAGAAAGTCAACTTGCAATTGGTCCAGTGTACCTGTGAAATACTTTTTCATCAAAAAACCCAAATGGAAATATCGCTAACGATGAAGCACAGCAAAAATGGCAAACAATTTGATCGTGTGGTCTGACTGTCGTGGCGAGGGAAGTCCTTAGAGGGACTCTTTTCGGTAATGGTGACAGACGTTTCGCCAACATTAGTGTAGGTCATCATCAAAGTTCAAGCTAATAATTCGATCTGAAGTGAGATTTGAAGGGGTAGAGACTGGGTCTAGACCGGATGCGTCTAATCTCCACCCAATTCCTTCTCTTCCGTCAGTACAAGTATGCGTTCATCTTCTCTCCAAGACTGACTGTTTTGATTTGATTTTTTCAGAGGAAGCGCACTCACTTTCCTATGCAGAGAAGCTTTTTAAAGCTTACGATGAAGTGGAGACCTTTGTGATGTTCATTGGTTATCCTCGCAGCAGCCATAGTTTGGTTGGCGCCATCTTGGATGCTCATCCTGAAATAATTATTCCGCACGAGTTTAATGTGTTGCAAAAATGGAAAAGATACAATTTGCCAAAGTTCCGAAGAAAAAACCTGATAAGATATAAGTTATATTTTGATCTTCACCAGACTTCTACCGAGCAAGCTATGTTTGGAAAACGGGCAAGCCGAAAAAGGACAGTTCTTGGCGGGGAATTTACATACTTATACAATGTTCCAGATTTATGGCAAGGTGGATACAAAAACAAGATCAAGGTAGGATCAGAAGATGATTTTCATAGCTCATGAGTTACTATCACATACTACAGTCAGCCCAAGCTTATCCTAAAGAATAAAGAGGATGCACCTGCATCGGTGGCGGGTATTACAAGATAATTAGGTATATATCCTAATTTTTATAATGTAAATTGGCCACCGTAAAAACTCGAGATTTAAAGTCTTAGCCCTTCATCACCCTGATGAAGGGCTATAACGCTCGAACGCCAACCTTGAACACTTCTCGAGCAGAAATCGTGGACATCATCAAGGATTCATAACCAATAAAGCGGCAAATTTAAACGCGACCTTGCTTTGATGAGCCCTAAATTATCCCACTTAGCTCATTTTTCTGAGCTCTAGAAGAAGAATTGTCCTTTTTTACTTGAAACTGCACAAAATTCGCTAACTTTTTGTATGAAAGTCATTTCAAGATCGATTTTCTTTAAAACCCTAACTACCGACTAAAAACCAACGCACGTCAAATGGCTGATACACCTTCCCTCTGACAGAACCCGTCTTAGTTTTGAAAATTGGTCAACAAGAACTACTATCCTTTTGATTTTGAAATCGTTAGTCAAAGATGCGTTCCAAAAATGGCTCGTTTCGAGCGAGCGAACTATTGTCTTGAGCCCAGACATGAATAACGATACACCTATCAATTTAAACAATGCCCATCGTTTAATCAATAACACTTGGGCAATTTCTTCACAATTTTAAGATTTCTAAAATCTTTCGGTCCGTCAGCTGTTAAACCCTACCCTTACCGACCGTATCAAAAATATTAGTCATGCCGGGAGCTCTTTCCGTAGCATTTTGAAACCGAATACAGCTTTTTAAGTTTCCTCGGAGTTGAAGGGTCTTTGGATAATGGTTTTCATAAATGTTCCTAAAAATTGTCACAATTTTGCTGGATAAGTTCATCTAATATCTTTCTTAATGGTAAATATGTTTTCACTCTGAAGAAAAAGATTTTAAGCGAATTAACCTTTCGACAAGTGACAATCTGTTCCTCCTTGGGAAAATATTTCAACGAGGCTTGCGTTGTTCCAGATAAGAAGCTGAAGTTTCACAAGGACTTTTTGTGTTTCTATATGGCTTGGTTGCACGTAATAACAAAAAGCATAACCTACAAAGAGAGCGAAATTCTTTCCAAACCGCACTTCAAATTTGAGTTCGAACACCCTCATTTTATTTGACGTATTTTCTGTATTGGCTTTATCACAACTTTTCTTTTAGGTGATAGGCGACAAAAAAGGGGGACGAACTTCGTTGCTTATAAGTAAAGACCCAAGCAGTATCAAACATTTAGACGAAATCGCTAAAAACGTGGGAGTGCCAATGAAATTCATACACATTGTCAGGAACCCATTTGATAACATCGCTACCATGGTACTTCGCGGTGCAGGCGAGCGTGATAATGTAAGGGAAGAAGGAACAAAAGTAAGTTTATAAATCATATTTGAAAAAATATCAAATAACATTCTCATTATCACGGTAACATCATTGTCATTATTATATATACACAGGAGTCCATTACTTCTGATATACATTAGAATTTTTAAAAAAATGTGATTGGTTGAGAGTATTTAAATGATATACAATAGCGTGTGAAGTGAGTATGATAACCCAATATCGGCAGCGGATATTGTAGTTATCATGTGGAGTTAAAAAACCTGCCTAGTTTCCAAGCCCCTCGACCATGTGGGGTTCTCAAACTTTTGCAAACTCAGAGAGAAGTGTTTTCTTTGGTACATTGTTTAGAAAATGCATTAATAAGACAATTAGTGAATTGGGTCTGCATATGATGTCATGAATTATCAAAACCTCGTGTCTTCGTTTTCTGCATTTTCGTTATTTTTTCATCACAGTCATAATCAATGTCGTTATCGTTATCATTTTTTTCTATTTGTCACTAAAAGATGAACGGATCAGTGATTTTGGAGGATTGGATCGAGCTCTACTTCAACCTTACAAAGGCTAGCCAGCGCGTCAGAGAAAGGTTTGGGGATGCTGTTATCGATATTCCAGGACATGAAACAATACTCAGACCGAAAGAAACACTACAAAAATTATGTGACCATTTAGGTGTGACATGTTCAGAGGAATACATAGAAAAATGCAGTAAGATCTTGTATGGAGCTCCTTCTGTCACAAGAAATAAAATTGTTTGGACCGAAGAACAAAAACAGCGGGTCACCGAGCAGATGAAAAAATATCCGTTTCTGAAAGACTTTTCGTTTGACGATTTCCTATCTTAAACTCACAGGTAGCAGCCGCTGGAACAATTTCAATTTTACGTTTAAAATGAGGCTTCTTTGGGTTTGCATTTCTACTCCCTGAGATGTTTCCAGAAGGGAATCAAAGGCACTCGAGGGTTTCCCAGTCCTCCCATCCTCTCACATTGCTGCTTAAGCCTTAAACCAACAGTTAGTTGCTAAAATTTTGTCTTTCATGCTGCCTTTGGCCGGCATTTTGCTTTGCTAAAACAAATGTCCTTTGTAATAATTATGTAAAAAAATTAACTTGTGGAAAGAGCAGTAAAGTTGTTTTTAAAGGCATGTCCGCGACAGTACAATGAGTTTAGTAGATATGCTACTGTTATCAAATTTCTATTGTTTGATTACCGGTTACATGTTGCATCAGTTAACGTTTCAACTTTATTTTTAAAAAATGTCAAAGAGGAAAGAGGTAGTTTTCATTATAAAGAAATCCTGACGAAAGTGATACATTGGACTTCTCTATTCAGTGGATAAAGGAGTCAGAGAAGTAAAAAATACAGAGAGGGGACGGCAGGAGAAACTAGCAACGAACATTTTAATGAAACCTCTTAAATGCTGTAGATCGTAGATTATGAGATCTAACAAATAACGAAACTAGACATTTGTCACCTCATTAAGCAATGAAGAAGTCAATCAATCAAACACACATTGTATCACCTTTTATTTCTCTGACAGGAGTAGGTAACACTTACGTGGTTCTAAGAGTAAATCAATTTGGTTTCACGTAAGCAGTGGCTCAACTCATTTAAATATCTGTAACAACTGCTACTTCTGGAAACCTTCAGATATGTCAGTTCTTATTGATTGTGTCTTGCACCCAGTACTTCAGATCCGTCATGTCAGCGTACACACCGTATCGACCCTTGCGCGCGCAACCTATTCCCCAGCTCACAGCGCCTATCAAATACCACTTCTTATTCTTAGAGCACACCAGCGGTCCTCCACTATCTCCTTGGCAAGCGTCAATCCCTCCTTTGACGTACCCTGCACAGCGCATGCGCGGTGAAATAGTGTAGCCCAAGTCTTGATAGGCGGATTGGCAAGAGTCTCTTGAGATTAGAGGTACTTTAGCTTGTTGTAGAATCTGTTGTACCAAACAGCCAAATATGTCATACCTTACCAATACACTAGATGCTATAGAGGGGCATTTGGCCGGCCTCATTAGTAAGGGGGGAGCAGGGGGGGATAGATAAAGGTAACTGAACTGAGTGGAGGGCAGGTAAGTCTTAAATCATACAAATGGTTTCAAAATCGAAGGAAACCGCGGCGCGAGTTTAATTTGAAATTACAAGTACGATTTTAGAACAAATTTGCACGACATAAAGTTCAATTACCTCTTCAAGCCTCTTTAACATTTTATCGCTACCCATTTCTATTCTTGGGGAGGGGAAGGAAGGGGGGGGAGATTGAGTAGTCTTGCTTAAGGACACTGAACAAAGGGGGAAGGGAAGGTGAATTAAAAAATTTCGTATTTGAAGTAGTTACTTATAAGCTGGGTAGTAAACTAAATATTTGGAAATAAGCTTATTACTTAAAAATGTAAAACAAAATAGACAAATTTGGCTATTTTTTCTGCAAAAACTTTTCGTAGATAGCCTAATACTACGCAAGTGGAATATTCATCGCCCTCTCCTAGAAAGAAAAAAGCCCCATTAGTTTATATCATCTACTAGATGAGGATGATATGATCTTCATGATAAAAAAACTCAATTCTCAATGGCGTCCCTGAAGAAATCTTTAAAATACATTATGAGAATTTCTCTTCATATCAAGTTCCACTTACCTGCGGGATGTCCCCTCCCTCTTTCGTATGGCCCCAGCCTGTGACGAAACATTGGGTTCCAACGCCAAAGTCAAACTTAGGCAAGCACACAGGCCTCACGCGTCTATTGTAAGTGAGTGGAGACTGGAGCTTAATAAGAGCCAAGTCGTAGTCCTCGTTTTGATGCGGAGCGTAGCTCGGATGCTTGATGATTTTTTCGATTGGAATATTTTGCTCATATCCCTCTTTCCCGTTCAGATCATGATCCCCTGTTCAGAAACAACGGAAACGGTCGAGAAGTTTTCGCGAAATCTTTGTACTCCGAATTGATGGATGTTACTCTGTAAGCTTGACGAATTAGCGACTCTCAGCAAAGTTGGAAAAATGTCGATAATTTTTCGTGAAATGTTCGAACCTCAATGCCTCGGTTTTAACCTTGCAAGTTTAACGAAACGAGTGACCCTTGGCAAACTCGAGATAGGTCGAATAATTTCCGTGACAATGTCACAACTCCAATGTTAGCTTGTTTTCGCGCAAGCTTGCTATAGAGTATGACTTCCGGCGAAATGTTGGCTCACAACTTTCTGTAAACACTATTTGTAACTGGTTCAGTTAAAACCTTAAGGGTAAGAAGCCACTGAGGATAAAAGAATTCAATCTTTTGAGTGTTGTACTATTTTAGAGGTAAGGAGAGTACTTCTGTATCAAATCTTAGTAGCCTTTGAAAAAATCCCTCTGCGTAACAAGGAGTAGTCGCAGGTTTTTAGAATGTCATAGGGTTCTTTTGATAATGCATTGATTTCAAACACACTAGCTATATATGAGATGTCGTTTTTAACGCGAAATTGACTGTCTGCTTTTTAACTCTCTGCCAGCCCTCAGACCATTCTGTGACAGCCTGAACTGCAACTCCTACAGAACAGGTCTGAACTGAAACAAGTTCTGCAAAATACCTGCTACAATAGTATACTGATTTGGATCATCGCCATACGCGAAACAGTGAGCCGCTGACACAACCCACTGAGGCGACACAATTGAGCCTCCGCACCAGTGGGGTTTCTCAGCATGTCCCTTATAGTCCATTGTTACTTGCCACGGCCAAGCCCCTGGTTTAGCATTAGTGCCCCCAACTATTCTGTTTCCTAAGTTCCTTGTGCCGCACTCGACATTCCCTGAGTGTAAAAAGGTGTGGGATTATCATTCAGTTATTCCCTGACAGAGAGGGAAAATACGAACAACTACGGTTATTGACTATGACTTTAAAACCATGATCTTTTTCAGCTGCATCCTGACAAACGAAAGTTCTGCGCATGCGCGTTAATTTGATAAGCATGGGAAGAATAGATCAAGATGTTAAAAGTTTTGAGAGGAAGAAAATTCAAAATAAACAAATAAATGGTAAATAAAAATAGATCAGTAAATACAAACGAGAGGGCTGATTCGTTACCCGATAATCAATTTATTTTTTGAGATTTGGACTTCAAGTAAACCATGGAAAAACAACTGAATACGTAACGGATGCTTTTTTATAAGACTCGGTACCAGGCTCCAGCTCACCTTGATCAATTGGTTGGTCCGTCCGTGGACGAGTTGTTGCTGGCGGGGCGGGTGTTGGAACTAAAAAAGAGCGATTTTATAGAAAGGATCAGTTGCTAGCTCTAAACGAGACATTCAGCCGCGTCGAGCGATAAGTTAAAAAATGGGAGGGAAACGTTTTTGAAGTATTATCGACAGTGAGAAACAAAAGACGAAGAAAAAGACAGGAGGGTATGATGTGATTTAAGAACAATGAAGTAGAGGAACCACGAAACAAGGGAAAGAGGGAATGACGGAATGAAGCAGAGAAGAACTAAAGGAACGTAGCAAAAGCTGGGCAGAGGGACGCACAAACTATAAGTAAATGGTTTTATAAAAAGGAAAAAACCGAAGGATGAGAGCAAAAGGAAAAACAAATGATAAAAGTGTAGAAGATACGGATAAATCCAAAGACATAAGAGTTTAATTAATAAATTAGTATGAGGTAGTTACCTTTACAAAAACCGCAACTTACTCTACAATAATATTTCAATGATTTACTGTAGTCTTTATGATCGCAATAGTTTTTGTATACTTCGCAGTCCATCAAGTCAGCGCATTCTTTTCCTAAAATGGATTGAAATTCTCTTAGTTCCTCCAACAAGCCTGATCGTAAGTAATAATATATCATTGATTTTTAGGATGATTTGGATGTGATTTAGGTTTTCAAGGTACGTTTGGGAATCGTTGTTTTGTCATTCTTTCTTACTTTTGTTTCATATTTACCCAAACCCCACCTTACTCAGACGTCAGTTTTGTCGACTAACTTTGTAGTCCATTTTTCTAACTAAAAAGTAGGCCAGCAACGCGTACAAAAGTTAGACATGAACCTTCCAGAAGTCGAGAATAAATGTAAATGTTGAAGTATGACCATCAACGAATTGTCAAGTTGATGTTACGACCAAGGGCAAGAAATATTTGTCCATGTTTTAAAGACAAGGATTCTCAGAATCTCGAACAAGAGGTTATATCTGTTATTTTAGGAGTTAAAACCCTATACATGGGCTATCGATGAATCTTTTTTGTAAGCGAAGAAATGAAATATGGAAAACAAAAACCGTTAAAGTTTTCATATTGTTGATAAGAGAAATCCTGAGGGGATAAATCTGTTGAAAGGAATTATCGGAAACTTGCTACTGTTTGAAATTTGTATCTCTTGGCAGTCAAATTGGGTTCAGGGATTTACTAATTTGTTTTCCATAAGGTTCGATTATGTCAGTATCTGAACAACATTAACCCTAACTTGTTATCTGTTGACTGTTTTTGGGTTAGGGAAGGGGTATGTGGGCAGTTACATAGATACTGGCATTGATCCAAAGGTTCTATCTACAGGTAAAGAAGAAAATATACCGTTTGTTTAAACTTTACCCTCCCCTCCCTCCTTCGGCAGAACATTAAAATCTTACCACACAAGTTACAGGTCTTTTTGCAGTTTTCCTTCAGATAATCTTTGTACAACGGGTCGTTACAGTAACTCTTATATGAATCACAGTATGCGCTTTCGTCCTTACAAACTAAAAATGAATTCAATGATAATGACTTACATTAGAGAAACACTGTTAAACGTTATGTAATGGGCACTGTAAAGATATATATATATATATATATATATATATATATATATATATATATATATATATATATATATATGTTTTTTAACTTCTGCTGCCAAAAACTTAAACTGAATGCACAGGCATGCCACACGTATACGATGTGTGCACGTGTTTCTCGTTCACGGTTTCTCGTTCACGCTTGCGCAGACGGACTTAAGCTGGATTTCCACTGTCACGTTTTTGTCTATCCACGTAAATAGGTAAGAAATTGTTGTTATATTTCCACTTGCACGTTTTTTCAAGGTTTTCACGTGCATGCCGCAATCGCGCAAGTGTAGAGAAAGGTGAACAGCCTTCCACTTTGACGCATGAGCCCGCATTTTTCGCGCGTAAATTGATTTTCCTTTAACGTACGCTTTCTTTACGCACGCTTTACTTACGCACGTTTTATGTACGCAAAAAACTACGCAGCTCTGGAATCTACCTTCGGATGCATGAAAACTCGTACAGGAACGTGAACTCTTTTTTAACTGACAGGGTTTGACATACCATTCGAAAACTAACAAAAATAAACCCACCTCCTCTTTTTTCTCTCAATTTGAATTCCTTTAATAGCATCAAGTCATCTTTAGAGACATCTAAATGACATTCAAAATGAAAATGGAACATCCATAAGAAATTTAAAACTTGATATGCCTAACCACACGTGACCATGCAAGCCACCTATAAAACCACCTCTTCATGTTTACACTCTTTTTTGTTTGTTTTTTAAATTAAAAAAGGAAAGATTTATCAATAAACCTGCTGCATCTTGAAAATTAATTTCGGCATTCAAAAATAGAACTCTACTGATTATGAAGTTTACTTTTATATTACGATTCAATGAATTGCTTGTCTAGAGAATGTCTTGGTATCAGATAATTTAGTTTACATTATGTTAAACCAATGAGTATTTATGTCATATTTTGATCAGTACTATTTACTTCAACATGGTTTTTTCAAATTTTTTGTAAAAAAAAAGGGCTCTGTCAAAAAATCAGACGAAAATGTTTAAAACGTTTACAAGGTATAATATTAGACTAGCCTGATGTATAGGATTCCTCGTCAAACAGCGTTTAAGGTCCTGCTAGCGTAAAAAAGATGGCACCCAATTCCCACTCTACACCAACTGAAGGATTCCCAATACTGTAAAAAGCCGTTGAACAACTTGAATCAAGTGAAAAAGGAGCACTACCTAACGCCAGCCGAGCGTCATGAACTCTTAACATTTTACACCAGATTAGACTAGATTGCCACCTTTTCTGACGCTAGTGCGACTTCAAGCGCCAAGTTTGACGAGTTCGCTAAGAGTCCCTGATGATTTAAGTGGGGTAAGTCTTTTAAAAAAACTGTGGAGCTACGTCGTTGGGGAGTATAACAAGATAATGTGGCTTTGCCAACCGAGTTGAGAAAGGAAATTATCCACCATGGAGAGTTTTGAAAGCTAATGACGTTTGGAGCATTAGCCCTTCGTTATAGCGAAGAACTTCAATAAAACCAAATTATAGCTGACGATTTGCTTGGCAAAGACAAAACATACATTTATCAAGCCAATCATGTATTCTGCATCACCAGGAATTGAAATCTTTGCGTCATACTTAATTGTCTCCATTTTGAAATAAAGTTTAGAACAGGAAAATGAAAATAGGATAAAAATATTTTACCACTAAGATTTGCTGAGGTATAGATCACAATTTGAAAAATTTGGCTAAAGAACAGATAATTTCTGATTTACCTTTAAATTGTTTCAAAACCTTAGCCAATAACATTAAGAGATCAATTTCATTACCTTCTTTTTCTGAAAGATCTTCAACCTTATTCCCTTGCGAAACTGGGAAGAAAATGGCCAATACGCATAACAGAGCAATGGGTAACATTTTGCCGGATAAAAACTTGAACTGTCTGAGTCTAAATTTGAAACATAACTAAAAGACGCATCCACGTAATTTTTCATGTAACTGCTATCACCGCAGCTAAGTAAATAAGAACCGAAAAGACTTCAATATCACACAGTACATCCAATGAGGTTTGATTGTTATGGAAATGAAAAATTATTATCGAGTGATATACAGATCGTTTTTCGTTTCAACAGCTGAAAGATGTCGTCAAAAACAGAATGACTTGTTAAAAAAGATAATATTAGAACTCCTAAACATATTTATTCATAGTAACGTAAAAGCAAATAAATCACATATTGCACGATAATTTGGGTTTAACAACTGAGTTGGTTATGTAAATTGCCCATCTTGCAGCTTCTAAAGATGACGTTTCGAGCGTTAGCCCTTCGTTATTCGCTCTGACGAAGTCTCAACGCTCGATAGGTTAGCTTTAGTAACTGTCTATTGTGGCCAATTAACATTTCAATCTAGTCTATAATTTTGTAATTCCACCCCCCAATGCAACGACGCAGCATCACAGGTTCCTGAGGAACCCACTCCCTTCATTCATAATTTGCAAAATTACTTGATCTGTGGCAATATGTTAAGGTTGAAAATCCAAATTCCATCCAATTGGAATTGTTTCAACAGAGTTATTTCTCTTGTATAAAGACGTTTTGTCTTTCGATTAAATGTGCATTACAAGTATAGTTCAACTCTTTTAACAAATGTTTAATTAAATGTCCTAAAGTCAGCTGCTTTATTAGTATGTCAGCAATTTATATCAGTTGCACACTAACATAAAAATCAAATTCCAGTTTTTCATTGAGTGGATGAATTTTCAATTATTGTTTTATTCCTCCTTCGTTTCTAATCTTAATTATAAATGCGTTCCGAATCCAAAACTGTTTACTATGTTGTGATTGCATGGTTTAAGCTGGATAAACAATTCCGCATAGAAGAGATTAATTCTGCGGCAACTTTTTATACTCGAATTTAAAATTGTTACAATACTATTGTAGTATCGATGGAAGAACATCTAAAAAACACAATAGAAAAAAACTCTCAGCTACTTCAAAGAACACCGGTCGCAATTAAGCGCATCCTTGATATTTCGAAAAATACAAAGTTCCCGAAAATTTCTGTAGAGCTTAAGTTGAATTTAATTTCATTTCTTTGCGTATCCACGGTTCATTGATTTGACTTCTGAAAAAGAGAACTCTTGGGAAAATGAGAAGCAAAGCCATTGGGAATGAAAATGAAAGCAGAACTGAAAATACACATCAGAACCTAAACATATTCTTAGCAAGACCGCTACCTTGCATTTAACATTCACTTCTCAGCAAAAAGCACTTTCAAAGTTTCATTTATTACCAATTTCGTAAATCACGTGTGTTCAAACTCTTGGCTAAAAAATAGTGAGCGTAATGCCCATCACGGCGTTATCTAAATACAGCAAAGCTGAGTAGAAAAAGTGCCTTGGATCTTGCTTCGCATGTTTTTAAGAACAAAGAAAATATACTATTTCCGAGCCACGAGAAAATATCCCATTCGATTGTGCAAACGGTGAGTAAATTGGCTAAACTCTGATTACTTCTGAGGTGTAAGTAAGTATTCTCTTTATTAGCCTCTTAAGTTGAAACGTGTTCTGGTAAGCGCTCACACAGAAGTTTATTCCTAAAACTTTATTTCTCATCCTCTCGGCATTCAACAACTTTTGTAACTTTCGTAACAGCCACCTTACTAATGAAAGTATGTTACATCAGTATATAGGGATAAGTCGATCGTGTCGGAAGTGTGGTCACTAATTAGCGGCAGTCGTCAATGTAATCACTTGACCGCGATGATGACTTCCGCTAAGCTCGTCCAAACGGGACGAAAACATTTCGGTTTTATAGTAGCTCTTTAAAAAAAAGAAAAGGAAAAAAACGTTTAACGGATGGAAGTTACGTCGTGTAGTTTGATATGATCTTCATATTTTCTTTTACTAAACCACGAACTCTGAGATTACGTGCTGTCCTTCAACTGAGAATACTCGAAAGTACCTTTTTATAATAGTCGATTAACTGAAACAAGTTGATACGTTTTAACAAGCCCACAGTCTTCCCTACAACGCTAACAAAAACATAAAAGATTATCAGTTGGCGGTTCACCGAGCTACAAAGACAACGAAGAAATGTTTGCGTAAGAGAATGAAATCAGGACATTCATGGATATCCAAGATTTATGGGATTGAAAAAATAACGACCATGAAAGAAGTTTAAGTTAGACCTTCCAAGAAACCCAAAAGGAATTGTGACGTCATTCCGTTCAGCATTAGGTGGAGTTACACAACTCATTGCTCAATTATAAAGATCGGTGGAGTTACACGACTCGTTGCTCAATTATGAAGATGTTTCGAGTTCCGCTAACAGGGACATCGACATCCCATGTTAGAACTATTTATATAACACTTATGCAACATAAATCTATACGAAAATTAACAGTTACCCAATATGTGGGCGTCTTGCTACACATAGTAGTCTATCCTCAGTAACACCTGGTCACACATCGTGCAGGTCCAATAAAAGACAAATTTTAGAACTCCTCCTGAGGGCGAAACGCTTCTTAAAAGGTAGGAGACGAATTTCATTAGCTTTGTGTTTGCTAATTAGGAGCCAGTTGCCCCTACTTTCTTTGAGTACGAGACGACTACTAGAGCAGTACAGTATATTTCGTGGACTTAAATTTTGGGCTATTGTAAAGTTACTCAGATGAAAGGATGTTGTTGAAAAGTGAAACAGCTGTGCCACGCTTTCTTCAAGAGAATAAACCCACGGTTTATTCACTTGATTTAAAGATTTTACCACAACGCTTCGGTTAACTGCCACCCACAACCCTCGGCGTATTCGAAAAAGAACACACACTGAACGTCTCGTTGAAAATTACTTCTCAGTCTAATATGATGAATCATTTGCATAAACTGAATCTGCATACTAACTACTTATAGGTAAACACGGTTTGACATATTTGATAGCAATTTTCAAAGCGTACTTCTTTTCTTCCTAAACGGAAAGCTGCTGCACACACATAAAACCAGAGTAGTTGGTAATAGTACTTATTCATAATCTTAGCTGGAGATAGGCACAGTAAGATTTATATTTTTAAAATGTCACATTTAAAAATGTCTTGTCCAAGAACTCGTCACCATAATTTAAAAAAGGCTTGAGCCCACTAGATATAGTCAAAAGATATTTCCTTGATATAGTAAAAGGCCGCAGTTGCCAAAACGAAAAAATATATTTTGATACCACAATGCTGAGGCAAATACAACAGGACTTAGCTTTTTAACTGACATCAAGTTCCGATACTTGGCAATATTCGCTGAGCTAAGCAAAACACCAGCAATACGAGTTTTGTTAAACCGGTTTGAATTGAAAGAAAACCAGAACTTGAGGTGAACAGGAAAATTGAATTTTCCTCAGGTGTCAATTAGTCACTAACTTGTATTTTAACTGTGCTAAATTTAAAGTCGACAAACATCGGTTTAAGCAGCCTCTCTGAAGGAAACAATTTTCAACCGGGTTTATTTTTAAATTTCCAGACCACGCCTCTCGACGCCATAAACGCATCATTTGTTTCTTTTTTTTTTTCCTTTTGGTTTCAGTTGCTTTTTTCCTTCTTTGCATCTTAGTTCGTCGCTTCATCTCTTGTGTTCTTGCTAACGTCATTTAGGTGAGAGCGTTCAGTTTCGCGCAGGGAAAATAAGCGGTGTGTAACCTGAATGAACAGTTTACTGTAGTACATATCGAATAAATTCATGCAACCAAAAGGAAAAAAAATGAGACAAATGATGCGTTCATGATGTCGAGAGTCGGTGTCTGAAAATGTTATATTACTCCAGTCATTATAGTCTTCTTGTTTTCCTGAACATGGAGTTCTTCTCGCTAATTCGAAACAAATGCATCTTCGACTTTTCCAGGTTTCTCTTTCGTTATGTATCCTCTTTCAACCTCCAATTTTCCCCGACAGAAATCGGGTGGAAGTTTTCATTTTTTCTTCGCTGAGCAAAACAGGAAAATTTAGGACGGAAGTTGAAGGCAAAAGAAACGCACCTTTACAGGAAGTCACGTATCTACATTTCACAGAAATATCGATCCAGCCGTCATTGTTTACATTTCTCAGTTCTAAATAAATCTCTCGACACGCCACTCACGACTCGAATTGCCAATTTACATTTCAGGAAGGAAACCTGAGTCATGTTGCCTGAAATTCTAGTGATGTCGCCCGAAAAAAAATCAAGTCACCCGAAGAAACAAATACTAAAAGGATCAGAATTTCAGACAGTAAATAAGCAGTTTATAGCGTTGAGAAATTTCTTATCACTAAAGCGCTCTTTGTTTCCGACAACACCATAAAGATTCTTAAAGCGTTATTCGTTCCTAACAACAAAGGGAAACGTTTTTCGTTTCCAACAACAAAATGAAGCGTTGTTCGTTTGGTATGTAATCGTTTCTTACTCACGGACGTTTCGTAAGCTTGAGAAACTTTTTCTTGGTTTCTAACAATACCATGAAGACTTCGACTATACAGATATCGATCGTATGCTCGGAATTGAAATATGTTTGAGTAACGATTCTAAAAGCGTTGTTCATTTCTAACAACAAAGGGAAGCGTTCTCCGTTTCAGACAAAAAAATGAAGCGTTGTTCGTTTGGTATGTAATCGTTTCTTACTCACGGACGTTTCGTAAGCTTGAGAAACTTTTTCTTGGTTTCTAACAATACCATGAAGACTTCGACTACACAGAAATCGATCGTATGTTCGAAATTGAAATATGCTTGAGTAACGATTCTAGAAGCGTTTTTCGTTTCTAACAACAAAGAGAAGCGTTCTTCGTTTCTATAACAACAAATAAACGGATGCAGCGTAACATACAAGTAAAGTTCTGTTGTGTCTATTTTTGACTTTCTTAACAATAACAGATGAAAACACCTGGTAAACGAATGTCTACTGTCGCGTTCGACAAGTCGGTAAAAGGTAAAGCGAGTAACATACAAATAAAGTTAACTTGTTGCCTTGCGTAAGGTAAGTGTGGTATTTTTAAATAACAGTCTATTGTTATGCTTGTGACTTTTTTCACAGTAGCAGTCTGATAGCATTAGAAGGATCAGAAGGATCAGAATAGGCAAATATTATATAGTTGTGTTCTGTTTCCTCTGGCGGTCGCATGTATATTTTGATCCGATCAAAGTATATATGAAGAGGGTAAAGGTAGCTACAATACGAATACGAACTGATCATAATGAGCATTCATCCTTGCATTGGGTGTATAACAGTAACAATAATAAGTAATTGTAATGATGAAGTTAGACCACGTCAACAAGCCCTACAGTGCGACGATTACGGTCGATCATATGGCCTTTCTGACCATATGATCGATTTCTGTGTAGTCAAAGTTTTCATGGCTTTGTTAGAAACCAAGAAAAAGTTTCTCAAGCTTACGAAATGTCCATGAGTAAGAAACGAGTACGTACCAAACGAAAAACGCTTCATTTTTTGTTAGAAACGGAGCACGCTTCCCTTAATGTTTGATACAGAGGCGATGTGGTAAGAGAAATTAGACTGTCACTCGTAAAGATCAAAGGCTTTAAAAAAACTAGCTTGAAAGGTGTTTGGTATGCGGCAGTAATGGTTAAATTTTCCTTGTGAACAACTTGAAGATAAATAGCTTTATGTTTGCAATTTGTTTTTACTTAACAGAGGCAATGGAGAGAATCTATTTCTTGGCTTTAACGTTCAGCTTTGTTACGGGAAAAACAGGTAAATGTTAATATTTCAAATGAATTCAGGATATTAGAAAAAATAACCGAGGGGAAGGTGTGCTGGAGAATTTTGCTATAGTTTTGATCACTGGAGAAGTAACAGTGCGAAATTACTCATCAGTACCCACTAACATCTGTATGACCCAAGGTATGACTTTCCCCACTGATCACAAAAACTGGTGTTACCAAGTCCTCATATAACCCAAGCGATGTTAACGTCTGTTATTCTGTAAGCCATTACATTTAAAATGAATTACATGCAAACATTGCAGCATAGCCTCATTATTTGGGGCCCAAATAATGTGGAAAGTGGAAAATCGTTTAAGAAAAACTGAAGAATCTACTTGCACTCATTCACTCCAATACAAATTGCATACGAAATTATTTTATCATTCTAGCAAATTTTCACCGGTAATTTTCTATATGCTTTCTTATTATCCAACTGTACAAAGTAGAGTACAAGTAAAGCACGAATAGAGTACAAATATACTGCGATATTGCACGGTTATTTGGACAGTTGGTTATTTTTTACTGTGAAAAAACCTGTTTAACCTGTCGGCTGCGCGCGCTACGCTCCTCTATCCGCTTTGCTTTTTCCGCCTTATGAGAAATGAACAGAAAGGCTTAGCAGAAAAATAAGCAGTTGGATATTACATAACTTATCAGACGTTTTGGTGTGTAGTATCACTGAGTATTTTTACGAGTCGTGCCGTATTTTTACGAGTTGTGCCTAACCCTAACCCTAACCGTAGGCAAAACGTCTGATAGGACATACTTATTTACATTTTCGTTTTCAGTCGCTAAGCCGAACTGTCTGTGGAGAGTACTTAATAAACGTACTTTTACTTCTCTTTCAGTCGTAAACCGGCGTCCACCTGAGATCACGAATTTCACACAAAAGGATTTAGTTAACCCAGATGATGTTAAATCTGAAAGTTTTGAACTGCCTTGTGGAGCCGCAGGGACAAATCTTTCTTGGACGTGGAAACATAATGATACAGAGCTCACATCATTCAGGGGATCACTGCATTATTTTCTCAATAAAGATGGCACTTTGATTGGCAAAAAGTTATCTTCCCAACACAGCGGGACTTATCAGTGTATTGTTAAGGATAAGGACACTAAAATTGAAGTATTCAGTAGGAAAGTTACAGTCTTTATTACAGGTAAATCTTTTTAAAAGATGAACAAATGAAAACAGATTAAGAGAATTGTTTTTTTTTAACAGATCAGATTGGCTATCATGTTACAAACAGCTTAACACCTGGCTACTCCTCTTTCTATCCTCTTAGCCAGCATAGCATCCCTTTATATGTTTCTTTTAAATGAAACGGGAAAATTTGGCAGTCACGTGAAGGTTCACTACCGTTCTACCATCCCAGGGTTGTACTCCTTAGGCCACCCTCAAGCGTAGTGTTTACAAATTACCCTACTGAAGTATCTTGATTCTTGGATATTTCGAAAATGCTGCTTCCTCGTTCTTTTTTTTTTTTTTTTTTTTTTTTTTGAGGCACTTTCTGAAAAGGGAACCTTACACTAAGCGAGATTGGCTCAGACGAGAGGGAAAAATTGTTGTTTTCAGCACGAGACTGTACATCAGCAGAAGTCATGATAGCTCTGTTTCGAGTGTTCTGAACACTGAAATTCTTTTTCTAAGCGAAATTCAGTTTAGTGATATGTGTCATCAAGGGAATATAAACTGTATGTTCTCTTGGTGTATATCATACTGCAAAACCCGCGATGAACAACTGGATTTCCTATACCCGAACAAAGATGGCGTCATAAGATGTCTAATACTTTACAATCTGGAACAGTTTTTCGGTTTTTTTCGAACTTTGAAAAAATGCGAACTCATTCTACTTTTACTGAGATTCTGTTGATATTTCCTGGAATTTTTACCTATTACAATTCGTGCACTATTCTTTGATCTTTACTGGTCTGATGATGATCAAGAGAAGCAAAGAGAAGCCCTCGTACTTCATCATAATTCATATTCTTCGACAGAGAGCTTTTCAGTTGGGTGCCCCGATTGGATTTAAAGATGCACTCTGCTGGTTTGGAGCCTGGTGCGAAGTTTCTAGTCCAATCACAGAGTAAGGTGGAGCGCTGAGCAAAACCAATGCATTGCCAGATTACTTCAGTTCGACTTTCGATTAAAATTCGCTTCATTTCAGTGAATTTAACTTGTCATTAACCCTTTAAACCGCAAAATCAGTATGAATATTCTCCATACTGCTCTTTATATACTTCCTAAGGTGCTGACAAGGAGAATTTGTTTACCAATCAAAATTTTCTTTCATTGGTGATCATTTCCTTTATTCTCATGACCTTAATGTGTGATTCAGGGGTGATATTCTGTGGAGAAATTTGATGCTAGTCTCTCTTAGCATTTAGAGGGTTAAAATATTTCACTCATTTCAATCTTTGTCAGTTCATGGTGAATTCATCGATAGCAGCAGCAAGAATGTAACGGTTGACCTTGGAAAGCCTTTACGACTTCATTGTCCCAAACACACAGCGGGCTTTGGCACTGTATACATTTGGGTAAAACCATCAAATATCTACTTGTCGAGGAACGAAGGACGAGGAATATCTCCAAACGGGACTTTGTTTATCGCCAACCTTACCCAGAAGGATATCGACGAGGTTAACGAAGGTGGCATTATGTGTCGAATAAGGGCTGGAACTACCTTTGAAGATTCTGGAAAATTAAGTCTTGAGAAGAACCCTCTACAGAAAGGTAGAGAATAGGCGCGTACTTTCGTACACTTGGCTGACGAATGGTGATTGCTAAGAAAAATATTAGTTTGAATGACTTATATCAGTCGCAGCGCTATGTGCTCTACCGTAAATGTATACCGATCTTGCGTATCTTATTGCAGCGTTATTTCATTCAAGATCTTTTTCCGTGAGGATAATTTGGTTTTATCAACTGAGTTCAAAACGCTCGAAACGTCAGCTTTGAAATTCTTTACAGTTGCCAGTTTACATCATCAACTCAGTTGATAAAAAGTAACCAAATTATCTTGTTATACTCCTCCACTCATGCAGCACCACACTTTCTTTAGAAACTTACCCCCTTTTCATAAGTTTGATTTAGTATGTCACATAACGGCAGATAATTAGTTAATTAGTGGAAAAGAAAATATCCTTTACCTCTTCAACTTGAACTTAAACGATGTGAATTTGTCTCCTTCCTACCCAGACCCCAACACTTCTGTTACGCTTTCTTGGGCCGCTGGACCTGCGGTGGACGAGCTTGCCATTGAGGGAAGACAAAGAATTCTTTACTGCTTCGCAAATGGGCGGTGAGTATCGTATATCTCTTACTTTTGGAAAATGAGAGGTAGAGAAAGCAGATTTTTTCTAAATTAATAGACAATTTAAAATTTTCTGGCTACCTGTTAGTTTGTGCAGCACTCCAACATACGCTGCATCTTTGTACAACTTGCAGGCCAGCACCACAAATCACGTGGAAGAAGAATGGGCAACAGATTGTAGATGGACAGAATTCCTTTGAAGTCCGTAGCTATTTCTATGGCCGCCGTCTAGTTATCACAAATGTGAACAGGGAAAGTCACCAAGATAATTACACTTGTGAGGCAAACAATTCCCGTGGCAACGTCGACCCCATAGTCCGTAGAATCAATCTGGAGGTGAAAGGTAAACTGTCATCCATTATATGTGTACTCTGCAACATGTAGAGCGTTTTCCGATTGAGTGACATAACAGCCAATCAGAAGGAAGGAAATTATCAAAACGAGGCAAGAAGAACTCAAAGTAAAAAGTAAAAACGACCCAATTGCTCAAAGGGCGAGAAAACTCGGGCGATCAAGTCATGATTGGTTTGAGTTTTGCATCTAATTGGCAAGTTTTGGTACCCAATTATAGAGTAAAGTAAAAAAAAAACCATTGAAATCCACGATTACTTCCCACACTCAGCTGTTCTAAGGGAAAGTACTGCTGGGAAGCTCTCATGCGGATAGTCACACACTAAAAAGTTTCACTGGCAGACCTCAGGTAAAATTGATTCACATTGTTTAAGCATGAAACAGTACCTTATCATTTGATAGGTTTTAACTCGTCACACAGTAAACTGGAGTTTCACCAATAACTTTGAAATCATCACCATCTCCCATCTCGTACATTAAGTATAAGTTCAACGCCTCGTCTTCTTTGAAACCTCCTATAAACCAAGAGATGTGGAACGGATCTTAAAAAATAATCAGTGTGGTCTTTTTTTTAGTTCCACCAAGATGGAACGAAAATCCTCCACCAAGTGAAATCAGCATTATAATTGATAAAAATGACACTATCGAGTGTCAAGTGGTTGCAGACCCTGTGGCAACAATCCTATGGTACAAGAATGGAGTACACTTGCAGTCGTCAAGGTAAACGTACGAGTTATAGTGTAAATTTTTAACGTATGAATTCATGCCATACCCAAACAAGCATGAAGTGTTATGTCTACTGTTTTGATTTGTTTCTCTTCTTTGCTTAGCTATCAGTAATTTATTTGTGTTCGTATGTCGTTTCTTAATTTGGAAACTGTAATTTGGCTGTTAAAAACCACAGAAACCAAAACAAAGCACGTGCAGGCTCAACTTTCCAAAAAAGTAAACTAATATATTACATTTTGAAGGTGCTTCTGAAGTCACAGATTTCACTTCTTGGCAAACTTAAATTGCCTAACATTCTCAGCGTCCTTCGTTTTCGTTAACTCTTGCCTCTCTGATGGTGTCTCACTTTCCTGCGAGCTAGCAGTTTAGAGTGCACGGAAAATTAGCGATTAGCGGCAAAGCCGCAAGTGGAAAAACCTCTCGTGGCACCGTACCGCTGCTCGTTTTTACATCGTTTCCGCTTCTTGACGCTTCAAAGCACACACAGTTAACAAAACTGTCATTTACGACGGGAGTAGTATCTCTCTGCCATGAAAGATGATTATTTAGATGTTTTCTTCTCTATATATAACGGCAATTTATTCAACATCCCAGAAAACAACCAAAATATTTGGGGTTTTGAAGGTTCATGAGCCTGCATGCATTTGTGTCTTAACAGTGATCGAGTAATAGTGGATGGGAGCAAATTACACTTCAGAAATGTTAATCTGACCGATGAGGGTGTCTATCAATGTGCTGTGGAAAACCAATACGGTATGATTGTGTCTGCTACCTGGGTTCAAGTGAAAGGTAGGTTTGATTAACCTAAATATCACGAGCGATTTTTAGGTAGTCTATTTTAAGATGGCTTTTTGGAAAGTCATTTAAAGAAAGGACTGACCTTTGATGTTTATATGCATAAATTTCACCATGATAATAGCCAAGTACAAGAAAGGGAAATAACACGAGGAAACAAACGTGCCAAAGCCTCAAACAAAGGAAATGCGAGTGTCCTAGGTACAAATGGTTTTACAGTGTTGAATCTGATAGATACCAAAGACGGCGCGAGTTTCAAGATCAATGGAAAAGCAAAGTAAAGCACTATCGGAAAAATCCTAGATTGTGGACGCTCATTTGAAAAGGACTCTTTGGAGCAAAGAGAAAATCTTACTTCGCTCTTGTCAGCTGAGCATCACACAATATCTGAACATGAATAATTTCAATTTATTTCTTTCGGAACAATTTGTTTTTCTCAGCCTGGAAACCATCCTTCGACAATCGCCAGTTTGGCCCTTTTCACTTGCGTCATGGCCATGAAGGCACATTACGATGCAACCCAAATGCAGAGCCTCGCCCAAAATTTCAGTGGTTTGTCGATGGAGTTCTGATCTCAGACGGAGCCGTTAACAGTCGATATAGGTTACTATTAAACGGTACCTTGGTGATAAAGACTGTCGATAAAGATAAGGATGCCGTAAACTACACTTGCAATGCTGTGAATATGATGGGCAAGGCTTCTGCAACGACAGTTCCGACAGTGCTGGGTAAAATACCAATGTTAAATAATGTGATCTAATGAGTGGTTTGCATAGCCATTTATGGTGACCTTATCTACCAGTGAGAAAGTATTCATGGTGCAAAAGGATCCCAGATCAATGCAAATAAGTTATAGATTCAACACGATTTCAGAATTTAAAAGCGTCCGAAAACCTTGCGCTTAAATGCCAGATGCTTCAAAATTGAAACTGTGTCAAATTTGTCATAACCTTCCCATTTTTGACACTTCACTCTTTGCTCCACCGCGATTAGGTGTGCATTTTAACCGCATGAATCTACTCTTTTCCTTTGCTTTACTGTTACAATATAGTTACACCGTTTTTCGTGACAAAACCTAGAAATAAAACGGTGCTTGAGAAAGGAACAACGGCATTCTACTGCAATGTAAATGGCCATCCGCTTCCTAACATAACATGGGTCAAAGATGGAGTGACAGTTGGTAACGGGAGCACACTGAGGTTTGAAACAACATGGAGACGACTGTCTGGAAGATATTGGTGCCATGCACAAAATGGACTGAGTGTCGCTATCAATGCTAGTGCTTTTCTGAATGTGCAGTGTAAGTATCTTACGTATCCAGGGCTTAAGCCAACCAGCATCTTGCAATGTAATGCAACGGGCCTGTTCGCGCACTTTCAGGGACGCGGTGGCTGAACGGTTAGCATGCTGGGCTCTGAGACAAGAGGTTAAAGTGTGACCTGGCTGGGTTATTTTATCGTGTTGTTGGGAGGAATCTTTACTCTCGTGGTGCTCCTTTCCCCTGGAGCATAAACGAGTACAGGTGAACTGTCAGTGAAATCTGAGGGGAATGGGGGGTTTACCTGCGCCTGGGATGGACTTGCATCCAAGGGGGGTAGCAATACTCTGATTTACTTCATGGTATGAAGTTTCATGACTTAACCTGTTTGAGCAGATACTTAGCAGCTCTACGAGAGAGAGATTTCAAACTTTAGAATGTTGTAATCCTAGCATCTTTTCCTTAACTTTCGCAGTTCTGTCATATTTCCAAAGTCGGCCAGCTAACCAGTCTGTCCAAGAAGGTGATGAGGCTTCTTTCCACTGCGGTGCCATGGGCAACCCAACTCCAAAGATCTCATGGTTCAAAGACGGGAGATCTGTCGGTACAGGAAACACATTGAGCTTTGTTGCGTTCAGAAATCGCTCTGGAGAATACTGGTGTTCAGCTAATAATGGCTTGGGATCGGCCATCAACGCCAGCGCTCAACTAAATGTACAGAGTAAGTATGAATGGGTCGCTTTTGGAACCAATGTTTAGCAAAAACACGATAAAAAAGAAAAGCCGTAGAATCTCGGCAAATTTTTTTTAGAGTTTTAACCAAGCACTACCAGGCACGTCCCTATTCCAGACTTCATCTGTACTTCACGCAATGTGATAAAACTCAGGTTTCATTGATCACCTGTGGCATTTACACCAATCGCATCTTGTAATGCATATTTCTTATTTCTATTTTTTTAAGATGTCCCCTCTCCGCCGATTAATGTCACAATAACAGACTGTAAAGACTGGAGTGTGAAACTCCACTGGGTACAAGGCCCTTCAACTGATGGTGCTCCAATCACGCATTACCTGATTGAGCAGGAATCTGGTGAGGACCCTGTGGTTTTCAGCTTACTGCACAACGTTAGCAAATCGGATTTAACGAGTATGACCTTCAACATAAGCTTGAGGACTTCGTCTCGTTTCCGCATCAAAGCAGTTAACAATGTTGGTGAAAGCCTACCCAGTTCAACAGTCAAAACAACTTGCCAGGGAACCATTGGTATGTATGCCTCGTCAAAGAGTACAGACACCCACTCAGTGGAATATTGGTAACAAATGGGTGTAGTTATTTTTCAATATAGATGAAGGTTTCTCACGACACAGAGGCAATAACAATGAATTGATACAACTAGCTTTGCGAAGATGTCTTTCCTCAGCACATTCAGTTTTTCCGTTCTTCCAATCTGGACGAGCCAAGAAACTATAATCTGTGATAATCGCTTACATTCTCAATCAGTCGTATTCATTGGATTTTCTCAACCTATGAAATGAGATATCATTTTGAGGCTCTTTCTCGATTAAATTTAGAAATTTCCATCAAATACTCAAGACAATCATGGATTGCATACATTTTGCTCTATTACGCTATGTGATTGGTCCAGAATTTTACCCTCCCAGCCGAGCACGAACGATTAAAACTAGTTAAAACCTGGAAAACGCGGCCATTTGACGTAATGCATCGATCAAGTTGAAGCCTAAACACTCCCTTCCCGGGCAACCCACAAGCATTTGACTATCGTCCTTGCCTGGGGGTTGGGAATTTGAACATTGCCTTAGTTACAACAACTGTAAAGTCTTTCCAGCGTAAAAACTTGTTTTATCTGTTAATGTGGAGGTAGATATTTAAAGGTGAAAAGTTCACGTCTGCAAGCAGATGGCTCATAAGAAGAGGTCTATAAGAAAGCCACCGTCATTTGTTATACCTTTCCAAAAAAATTTACAATCAAATCTAGCACTTGTTGGGCATTTGAACACAACTTTGGCCCCGGAAGTGGAGGGGGGGAGGCGAAAACTTGAACGAACCTGATCTAGGTGTTGTTCACACAACAATCAATCGAAAACTGAACATAATGGCAACTTGAATGTTTAAATATGGTTTTGTTTCTTCAGGTGAACGCCAGAAAGAGGTAAAAAAAACCCACATTTACCAAAAGGCGTGGTTCCTTATTATGTTGGCCCTTATTGCCTGTGTAGTTCTGATTTCAGCGCTTGCCTTGCTCTTCATAAGCTATTACAAGGGAAAAGGGAAAAAATACGAAGGTAATGAAGCAGGAAAAAAGTGCAGTGTTATGTAACGTTACGAAAACCACGCATGTATTGAAAGAAAAGATCTTGTAACGTAACTTATTGTAACGTGACGTTTGATAACGTAACTTATAACGTCACGCATGGCTACGTAAATTATTTAGTATTTAGCATCAGAGCTTAACGTAGTTACAGTGGCAATGATCTGATATTACTTAGCTATAGTTTGCAGGGAATGTTTTTAAAAGAACTTTGAAGGTAGAGTCAAATTCAAGCTGAACTCTCCTACTTTCGTAGCTGAGCCGAGATCAGTGTTCACCCTTCTTGTAAGCACGCCAGGTTAAAGAAAATTTTCAATCGGTGGAGCCAATCCTTTTACCAGTTGAATTAACAAAAATTACGAGCGACTTTAAGCGGTAATGATTGTTACTACAGACGGTAGATTTTACCAGTTACCACCTGGTCAGGAGAACAGTGCGAGACATTCAGTGCTATCTTTGTGACTTTGCAATAAACTTTCTACTTGAGCACGCTAGATAGTATCAGATCTCAAACACCTTCAACACCGTAAAGTTGCGGATTTTTTCCTCGTGAATGTGAGTGGGTTGGCACGCTTAATGGAACTCAGGTCTTACAATGTAGGATTTGACAGCTTACCAAAGGATGCAATGAACGAATCAATGTCAGTAACTGAACAACTGCGCAGCTACCCCTCCCCTAACCTAAAATTAACCCGCAGTTGCAAAGATACAGACATTGATACCAAATAACTTTGACTGTGACATTGTTTAATACCATTCCTATCTCTCGTAAGTCTTACTTGTTTTTCGTTTCTCTAGTTGGAAAACGCGAACGAGAACGCGGATACACAGACGAAGCAAAACAATTGGAGGAAAACGTTGAAGACGAGGAAGCAAACAACTTAGGGGGGAATGCTGAAAAGACACCGCTGTATGTATTAACCCTTTACACCCTAACATCAATATGTATATTCTCCATACTGTTTTCTGCACATTTCTTATGGTCTTGTCAAGGAGAATTTACAATCAAGAACCTCTGATTGGGGGGTAATTTCCTTTTCCCTGGTTGTCACGACAAACTTTACCTGATCCCCCAAAAGGTTCTATAGTACTTTCATGATCCCCCTCCAACTGAACTAGCTGGTCAAATTTCCCATAATTATGAGTCATTATTTGTATACAAATCGGACTGACATAGTGTCTTGTTATTTTTTCCTTAGCGAGAGAAGACAGAATCGTAACTCAAGGCCTGTCTCCAGTTTAATCAGCTTACTTGAGTTTCAATTCAGAGAAGACGGCTCCTTTACAGAGGAATACGGAGGGGAAGATGATCTGTTACAGGGGACTTTTGTTTGAGGGGCGCCACAGACTACCTTAAAATGTGTCACACCACAGGTGACATGTCTTAGAAGATGACTGCGTGACGTGACTCTTCAGGGTTCTCGTGAAATAGTGTTGTGTTACCATCAATCGGTGTGATGGTGTAGCCACTTGCAAAAGTTGTCCTGAGTTGTTCTGTTGGAGGCTTATTCGTATCATCAATAGCACATATAAAGTTTTACGAATCAAATGGATTGAAGAAGAAAAGGATAAAAAAAAGTTTAAGTATTGAAATATTGCTTCGAAAGTTGTAACGTATAAAAACTGAAAGGATGAGTATGTACTATCCATATTTCTATAGTTAAGTAAATTTTGGGAGATGGATTCGTAGATGAATGAACGTCTTTCTCAAAGTAAAACATTTTTCTCTGAGAACATCTTGAAGGAGAAATAAAACGAGTATCGAGCTCTCACAAATTGTAAAAAATCGAGAAGTAACACTGCAACTTAAAAGCCCGATATTAAGTAAAGCGCTAGCACGTAAATAAAGGGAGAAAAAAAAGATTCTCACGTCCTAGTATTAGAGTCCAAAGCCCATTCAGTTGAGTCAGAACTTGCCAAAAACAATTCTCTTCTTTAAGGAGGAACACATGTTTCTTAATGTTAGCACGTTTAAATTGAATTTAAAAAGAATAACCAGGACTGCTTTAATTTTAATTGTACATAGATTCCAATAGGTAAAGAGGTTGTATGCGTTTTATCTATTGTTTACGAAGGGCTAGTTGAATTCATAGTGTAAATTGTTTTAAACAGACAACGTATATCAGACAAAAATATCCAGGAAACTTAGAATGTTGTAGTTCACAAGTGACGACAGTTGGATTATTTAGTTGGCTGATAAACACGAAAAGAAACAAAGTTATGAGAGAAATACAAATAAATAAAGTTTAGCATTACATACCACGTAAAACCTTTGTCTTCTCGTATGGCTGTTCATTTTTCTTCCTTTATCCTGTTTATAACTCTATAAAGCGATTGAATATTCTCTTCCAAAATATTCTTCTTTGAAAAATTCCCGCCAGCGTTGTTTTGCTAGGTGACCGAGCCTTAAACCAATGACGCGTGATATGATTGGTCAATATAAAGGTAAAAGTTTTCGTGTTGACATCGTTAAGATATGAAAATAAAGGAAATTAGCTTCAGAAATTAAATGTCTCTCTCTACGCCACGTTGATCCAGAAATTTCTTGAGCTCTGGTGAGAGGTTCAACTGCAGTCTCTACCCGTGCGAGGTCTTATTTCCTGAACGTTGCCTAGTATCCAGTGGGTACTCGGTAATATTCTCGTTGCTCTTGGAGTTTGTTGTGTTTCTTCGAACAAAGACCGACTGTTCAGGGGACAATGATTGTCTCTTGATAAAGTCATTTTGTGAACGTCTTGTCAATAATTCTCATTTAGAGAGATTCTTTTGATTAGCTCTTATTTTTCGCGATCGATGCCAAAACTACGCGACGGCTTTAGTTTTTGCACGGCGAGAAGTGAAACTGCTCGACGTCAAGTCATTAGAGCCTTCGTGTGTTCAACTTTTAAGGATTTTCATGCGGAACGTAACTTCTTGCAAGAGAAAACATTCCCTCAGCTAAACAAGATATGTAACGAGCGTGGTACGTCGTTTATTCCCGTTGATTTGCGCTTGAACAAGAGTCAATCCCAGCAAAATAGTGAACATGTTCTCCGCTTATGTTTGGACAGTATCGGACGATGTGCTCCGTTTTTCATTTCAAGTTGTTGGGAGATAGATATGGTGTTCATAGGGCTGCGGAGTCTGAAGTGAAGGATCCTGCTACAGAAGAATAGCTGGACAAGAACTGTGAGACGGCTGCTGCTTAAGGATACGAATGGTTACTTGAGGAAGACAAAAGGTACAGATCTGATGAGTTATTCTCCCATAGAGTCTTCATACATTTCATTGTAAACCAGTTTAGAGAATTCAGCTTGTAAGTTTGTCAATTCTTCTTACTTTATTGCTGGATGATCTGTTTGGTAGAACAGGCTGAATATTTATCAATTAAGGCAGTTGAAGATTGTGGATTGATCAAAATGTTGTTTCTCTCCATTTGGTCTTCCCGAAAGTAAGAGTGTACAATGTAGGTAGGGAGATAAAACTGTTTGAGCACTTTTATGTCTAACCCTTCTACTATGAAAACAAGAGATTAAAACCTTGTCTGCGGCAAAAAATATTCAATGGGCACTTCTCTAGCTGCACTCTTTGCATGGAATACAGATTTTACTCTGTATTATAATAAAAGAATTATGAGAGATCATCAACATACACTTTGTAGTATTCAACTTTGTAGTCAGATAACTGAAGTCAGATCTCTTTACTTATAGATATAACAGCATCACTGAGTTGGAAATTGTACAAGCATCCTTCCGCAAGAAATATGATTATGGTTACTTCTATTTCCGCAACCCCACCCATTTGGAGGAAAAGCTTCAGGACATTGATTCCAGCCAGAAAGAAAGTGTTTTGTCAGTTTACAAGCCAGAGAGTGAATATGCTGCAAGGAAACTGAGAGAACTCGAACAACAGACCATTGACACAGGTTTGTGATGTCAGTATTTTCGTGCTGTTTTTGACTGACACAGCTAAATACCAAGTTGTAACTATTGTCCTCCTCTTTAACTGGTTAGGATTGGTTCCTGTTATCAAAAAATTAGTTATTTTACCCTTAAGAGTGACTGTCGTCTAATTTCTCCTTACGATATCGCCGCTGAGTCAAACATTACGGTGATGAAAATTTAAGAAATAATGATAAGAAGTTTCTCAACGTTGAACAAATTCTCCTCATCATTGACATAGGAAATGTATGGCAAACAGTAAGGGGAATGTACATACTGAGGTTAGGATTTATTTGGTATTTATTCACCTCGCTCTGTAGTTGTAGTTGTAACCCTAAAGCTTGCGCCACGTTTTTAACCAATTGGATGCGAGTCAGAGGCCGGTTACAGGCCGGCTAAATCAGATCTTCTCTTCATTCAGTTCCCCAAAGGTCTTAATATTTTTGTCGTTTGTAATAAGCGGCCGTAATTAAATGATAATGTAAGTGCGATTATCCCGAAAAAAATACCGAACGTACTAAATAAATATTCCATGATGGCAATATGGATATGAGATGGCAGAAAGTCAACTTGCAATTGGTCCAGTGTATCTGTGAAATACTTTTTCATCAAAAAATGCAAATGAAAATATCGCAAACGATGAAGCAGAGAAAATATAGCAAAAAATTTGATCGTGTAGGATGACTGTAATGGCGAGGGAAGTCCTGAGAGGGACTCTTTTCGGTGATGGTGACAGACGTTTCGCCAACATAAGCGGGGAATCTACATACTTATACAATGTTCCAGATTTATGGCAAGGTGGATACAAAAACAAGATCAAGGTAGGATTAGAAGACGATCTTCATAGCTCATGTGTTACTATCACATACTACAGTCAGCTCAAGCTTATCCTAAAGAATAAAGAGGATGCACCTGCATCAGTGGCGGGTATTACAAGATAATTAGGTATATCTCCTAGGTTTATAATGTAAATTGGCCACCGTAAAAACTCGAGATTTAAAATCTTAGCCCTTCATCAGCCTGATGAAGGGCTAACACTCGAAACGCCAACCTTGAAAAATTCTCGAGCAGAATGCGTGGACATCATCAATGATTCATAACCGATAAAGCGGCAAATTTGAACGCGACCTCGCTTTAATGAGCCCTAAATTAACTCATTTTTCTGAGTTTTAGAAGAGCTGACTTCCATATCATGCTGTATCCACATTTTGCAACTGAAATGAAGGACATTTAAGAAGTAGAAGAATTGTCCTTTTTCACTTGAAACTGCACAAAATTCGCTAACTTTTTGTATGAAAGTCATTTCAAGATCGATTTTCTTAAAACCCTAACTACCGACCTAAAATCAAAGCACGTCAAATAGTTGATACACCTTCCCTTGACAGAATCCGTCTTAATTTTGAAAATTGGTCAACAAGAACTACTATCCTTTTGATTTTGAGATCGTTAGTCAAGGATGCGTTCCAGAAATGGTACGTTTCGAGCGAGCGAGCTATTGTCTTGAGCCCAGACATGAATAACGATACACCTATCAATTTAAACAATGCCCATAGTGGAATCAATAGCACTTTGGCAATTTCTTCACACTTTTTACGATATTTAAAATTTTTCGGTCTGTGGACCTTACCCTTACCGACCAAATCAAAAATATTAGTTATGCCGGGAGAACTACACAGCATAGCCTACACAGAGAGCGAAATTCTTTCCAAACCGTACTTCAAATTTGAGTTCGAACACCCTCATTTTATTTGATATATTTTCTGTACTGGCTTTATCACGACTTTTCTTTTAGGTGATAGGAGACAAGAAAGGGGGACGAACTTCGTTGCTTATAAACCGAGATCCAAGCAGTATCAAACAGTTAAAAGAAATCACCAAAAACTTGGGAGTGCCAATGAAATTCATACACATCGTTGGGAACCCATTTGATAACATCGCTACCATGGTACTTCGCGGTGCAGGCGAGCGTGATAATGTTAGGGAAGAAGGAGCTAAAGTAAGTTGATAAATAATACTTGAAAAGTTGTCAGATAAAATTCTCATTATTAGTAACATCATTATCATTATTATATCTACACAAGAGCCCATTACTTTTGATATACATCAGAATTTTTACGAGAAATATGATTGGTTGAGAGCATTTAAATTATATACAATAGCGTGTGAAGTGAGCATGATAACCCAATATCGGCAACGGATATTGTAGTTATCATTTGGAGTTGAAAATCTTCCTAGTTCCCAAGCTCCTCGACTGTGTAGGGTTCTAAAACTTTTGAAAATTCAGAGAGAAGTGTTTTCTTCTGCCCATTGTTTAAAAAATTCATAATATGATGATTAGTGATATGGATTTTCGTATGATGTCACGAATTATCAAACCTTGTGTCTGTGTTTTCTGGCACTGCCTTGGGCAGATAACTCAAATCTTCTCATATCATCCTCAACCTCATCCAATAATTGCTCATTCTCATTATCATCATCGTCGTCATTAGTGTCACTGCCGCTGTCGGTATCGCTGTCGTGATCATTTTAGTTATAATTTTTATTAAAACTATTATTACCGATTAAATAATGATCATCGACGTAACTGTCAACATTAAAAGGAGTCGTCAACATTTTCGTTATCTTTATAACAATCATAATCAATGTCGTTATCGTTTTCATTTTTTTCTATTTGTCACTAAAAGATGAACAGATCAGTGATTTTGGAGGATTGGATCGAGCTCTAATTCAACCTTACAAAGGCTAGCCAGCGCGTCAGAGAAAGGTTTGGGGATGCAGTTATCGATATTCCAGGACATGAAACAATACTCAGACCGAAAGAAACACTACAAAAATTATGTGACCATTTAGGTGTGACATGTACGGAGGACTACATAGAAAAATGCAGTAAGATCTTGTATGGAGCTCCTTCTGTCACAAGAAATAAAATCGTATGGACTGACGAACAAAGGGGGGAAGGAAGGTAAATAAAAACATTTCGTATTTGGAGTAGTTACTTAACTAAATTAACTTAGTTTTATCAACTGAGTTGAGAAAGTGAATTGGCCATCATAAAGAGTTTCGAAAGCTGATGACATTTCGAGCGTCAGCCCTTCGTCATAGCGAAGAACGTCAATAAAACCAAATTATCGCGGACGATTTGCTTGGCAAAGACAAAACATACGTTTATCAAGGCAGTCGTGTATTCTGCATCACCAGGAATTGAAATCTTTGTGTCGTAAGTAATTATATCCATTTTGAAATAACGTTTAAAGGGGAAAAATGAAAATAGGATAAAATTATTTTGACCACTAAGATTTGCTGAGGCATAATTCACAATTTGAAAATTTGGCTAAAGAACAGATAATTTCCTTATAACGATTTGCTTTAAATTGTTCCAAAACCTTAGCCAATAACATTAAAAGATCAATTTCATTGCCTTCTTTTTCTGGAGGATCTTCAAGCTTATATTATTCCCTTGTGAAACTGGGAAGAAAATGGCCAATACGCATAACAGAGCAATGGGTAACATTTTGCCGGATAAAAACTTGAACTGTCTGAGTCTAAATTTGAAACATAACTAAAAGACGCATCCACGTAATTTTTCCTGTAACTGCTATCACCGCAGCGAAGTAAATAAGAACCGAAAAGACTTCAATATCACACAGTACATCCAATGAGGTTTGATTGTTATGGAAATGAAAAATTATTATCGAGTGATATACAGATCGCTTTTCGTTTCAACAGCTGAAAGATGTCGTCAAAAACAGAATGGCCTGAGATAATATTAGAGCTCCTAAACATATTTATTCATAGTAACGTAAAAGCAAATAAATCACATATTGCACGATAATTTGGGTTTAACAACTGGGTTGGTTATGTAAATTGCCCATCGTACAGTTTCTAAATATGACGTTTCGAGCCGGTTAGCCTTTCGTTCTTCGCTCTAACGAAGTCTCACGCTCGATAGGTTAGCTTTAGTAATTGTCTATTGTGACCAATTAATATTTTCAACCTAGTCGATCGATCACAGGTTCCTGAGAAACCCACTCCCTTCATTCATAAATTTCAAAATTACTTAATCTGTGGCAATATGTTAAGGTTGAAAATCCAAATTCCATCCAATTGGAATTGTTTCGACAAAGTTATTTCTCTTGTATAGAGACGTTTTGTCTTTCGATCAAATGGGCATTACAAATATAGTTCAATTCTTTTAGCAAACATGTTTTTAATCAAATGTCCTAAAGTCAGCTGCTTTATTAGTATGTCAGCAATTTATATCCGTTGCACACTTACATAAAAATCAAATTCCAGTTTTTCATCGAGTGGACGAATTTTCAATTATTCTTTTATTCCCCATGTGGAAAAAAAAAAATGCTTCGTTAGACTTAGTTTCAAATCTTAATTCTGCGTTCCGAATCCAAAACTGTTTATTGCGTTGTGATAGCACTGTTTTAGCTGGATAAACAGTTCAGCATAGAAGAGATTAATTAGGTAGCAACTTTTTATACTCGAATTTAAAATTGTTACAAAACTATCATGGAATCAATGGAAGAATATCAGAAAACATCCCAGGTACTTCACGGAACACCGGTGGCAATTAAACGCATTCTTATGATATTTCGAAAAGCACAAAGTTCCCGAAAATTTCTGTAGAGCTTAAATTGAATTTAATTTCATTGTTTGCGTATCCACAGCTCATTGATTTGACTTCTGAAAACGAAAACTCCGTGGAAAATGAGAGGTAAAGCCACTGGGAATGGATTTTGCAAGGAAAATTGAAATGACACATCAGAACCTAAACATATACTTAGCGAGACCGCTGCCTTGCATTTAACATTCACCTCTCAGCAAAGAGCACAAGGCAAATTTTCATTCATTATCATAAATCACGTGTGCTCAAACTCTTGACTAAAAATAGTGAGCTTAATGCTAACCACAGCGTTAACTAAATATAGCAAAGCTGAATAGAAAAAGTGCCTTGGTTCTTGCTTCCCATGTTTTTAAGGACAAACAAAATATACTATTTCCAAGCCACTAGAAAATATCCCATTCGACTGTGCAAACGGTGGGTAAATTGGCTAAATGCTGATTACTTCTGAGCTGTAAATGTCATGTTAATTAAGCTCTTTATTAACCTCCCAAGTTGAAACATGTGCTGGTAAGCGCTCACACAGAAGTTTATTCCTAAAATTGTATCTCTCATCTTCCCAGCATCCTACAACATTTGTGCGGAATGTATATGTTGTAATGCGTTGTGTGTAATGAAAGTAAGTTACGTCAGTATATAGGAATAAGTCGAAGGTGTCAGAGGTGTGATCACTTATTAGCGAAAGTCGTCAATATAATCACTCGAACGCGATGATGACTTCCGCTAAGCTCGTCCAAACGAGACGAAAACAGCTTTTTTTTTAAAAAAAAAAAAAAACGTCAAGAGAATTGAAGTTATGTCGTGCAGTTTGATATGATCTTCAGATTTTCTTTTACTAAACCACGAACTCAGAGATTACGTGCTGTCCTTCCACTGAGAATACTCGAAACTGCTTTTTTACGACAGCCGATTAACTGAAACAAGTTGGTACGTTTTAACAAGCCCTCAGTATTCCGGCTACAACGCTAACAAAGACATAAAAGATTATCAGTCGGCGGTTCACCGAGATATAAAGACAACGAAGAAATGTTTGTGTAAGAGAATGAAATCAGGGCATTCATGGATATCCAAGATTTATGGGATTTAAAAAATAACGACCATTGAAGAAGTTTAGGTTAGACTTTTCGAGGAACCCAAACGGAACTGTGACGTCATTCCTTTCAGCATTAGGTGGAGTTACACGACTCGTTGCTCAATCATAAAGAAGTTACGAGTTCCGCTGATAGGGACATCCCATGTTAGGACTATTTATATAACGCTTATGCAACATCAATCTTCATATACGAACATTAACAGTTACTTAATCTTGCAGGCGTCTTGTTTATCCTCAGTAACACCTGGTCACACATTGCGCTGGAACAATAATAGACAAATTTCAGGACTCCTCTTGTGGGCCCGAAAAAGCTTCTTAAAAGTAAGAGACGAATTTCATAAGCTTTGCGTTTGTTAATTAAGAGCCAGTTGTCGCTACTTTCTTTGAGTGCGAGACGACTACTAGAGGAGTACAGTATATTTCGTGGATGGGTTATTGTAAAGGTACTCAAATGAAAGGATGTTGTCCAAAACGTGAAAAAGCTGTACCACGCTTCCTTCAAGAGAATAAACCCACGGTTTATTCACTTGATTTGAAGATTTTACTACAACGCTTCGGTAAACTCCCCCCCAAAACTCTCGGATTATTCGAAAAAGAACACACACTGAACGTCCCGTTGTAAATTCCTTCTCGGTCCAAAATAATGAACCATTTGCATAAACTGAATCTGCATACTAACTGCTTATAGGTAAACACGGTTTAATATATTTGATAGCAATTTTCAAAGCGTACTTCTTCTCTTCCTAAACGAAAAGCTGTTGGTAATAGTACTCATAGTACTTACACATAGTTGGTAATAGTACTTATTCACAACCTTAGCTGGAGACAGGCACAGTAAGATTTATATTTTAAAAATGTCACATTTAAAAATGTCTTGTCCAAGAACTCGTCACAATAACTTAAAAAAGGCTTAAGCTCACTAGACATAGTCAAGAGATATTTTCTTGATATAGTACAAAGGGCGCAGTTGCCAAAACGAAAAAAATATATTTTGATACCACAATGCTGAGGCAAATACAACAGTACTTATATCTTTAACTAACTTTAAGTACTGATGCCCTACAATATTCATTAAGTCAAGCAAAACACCAGCAATACGAGTTTAGTTAACCCAGTTTTAACTGAGAAAAAAAAACCGGAAACTGAGGTGAACAGGAAAACTGAATTTTCCATAGATGACAAGTAGTCACTAACTTGTATTTTAAATGTGCTAACTCTAAAGTCGACAAACATCGGTTTAAGCAGCTTCTCTGAAAGAAACAATTTTCAACCGGGTTTATTTTTAAATTTTCAGACCACGACTCTCGACATCATAAACGCATCATTTGTTTCTTTTTTTTTCCGTTTGGTTTCAGTTGGTTTTTTCCTTCTTTGCATCTTAGTTCGTCGCTTCATTTCTTGTGTTCTTGGTAACGTCACTGTTTAGGTGACAGCGTTCAGTTTCGCCCAGGGAAAATAAGTGGTGTGTAACATGAATTTACTTTAGTGTAGTACATATCGAGGAAAAAATTTGAGGCAAATGATGCGTTTATGATGTCAAGAGTCGTGGTCTGAAAATTTTATATTGCTCCAGTCATTACAGTAATTGTTTTCATGAACATGAAGTTCGTCTTGTTAATTCGAAACACAAATGCATCTTTGACTTTTCTAAATTTCTCTTTCGTTATGTATCCTCTTTCAACCTCCAATTTTCCCCGACAGAAATCGGGTGGAAGTTTCCATTTTTTTCTTCGCTGAACAAAACAGGAAAATTTAGGACAAAAGTTGAAAGCAAAAAAAACGCGCCTTTACAGGAAGTCACGTACCTACATTTCACAAATGAGCGATCCAGCCGTCATTGTTTACATTTCTCAGTTTCAAATAAATCTCTCGACACGCCACTCACGACTCGAATTGCCAATTTACATTTCAGGAAATGTTAAACCAGAAGGAAATTCTACTTATATCATGCCGGTATTACGATAAATAATTTTGTCAGGTCATGCTCACGCTCTGCTTTACTTGACTGAAGTAGACCCGGAGAAGCTAGTAAGAGGTCCATCATGAACTAGATTGTTGTGACTGACTGGCAGACGTTCAAGATAGTCTCAGCAAATAAATATCGATGGGATACTTTCAAAGTTAAGCTCCCTTCGAGCAGATCGTCTACCTGTATCGTCACGCAGTAAGCTTTACGAACTTCAGAGCATTGCGGGACGAACTTTAAGTGCGGCTCAAAAGGAGATCTTGCTTATTTTGAAAATGTGAAATATTTTGATTGAGCGCTACGTTCGTCACTCTTTTTTACGTCCATCGTTGCGACATGAAAAAATGGCCTGTGCTCGGCGCTCATTCAATGAAAACAAACGAAAAAGCAGGCTGGCGAAAGATGACTGGAGAGCCGGAAGGAACTTTTATAAACTAATGCAGATTAACAAAACTACCCTCAAGTTGGAGTCTGAACCAAAACAAAAAGAAAAAAAATACAAAAACAAACCACACAGGAATTGTTTGGTTTAGGATGAAGCGGGATCGACACAGCTTTAAATTTTTACAAGAATTTTTACAAGCCTTGACCCGTAACTCTTTCAAATGTGTTGATTAAAGGGAAATATAATTTCATTTATACTGCCATATGTGTAACTCGCATTTTCGAAAACTTGGCCTTTTTCTCGAGTATACCTAAGCCACTTAAAACCAAGTCATCTATTAAAAGCAATTTAGTTGTATAAGCAAACAAACAAACCAGCAAACAACTTCACAATTTTCATTTCGTGACGCTTTGAACATTATTATCACAGATATTTACGCTCACGCACGTGCCGAACATTGTTGGACTCAACTGTTCAGAATTCCTAGATAGAAAACAGTAAATTGAGACCAAAGAAAAAAAGCCTGGCTTGCTGTGATCATGGCAGGTTCTCACACAGACTGCTGAAATGGTTTCCTGGTTTCAAACGTGCTAAGAGCCAAAGGTTTTGCATTATGATAATAAGTACATGATAAACATTCTTGTTAGACAAAGAAGATGTCTTTCTGAGATAAACATCGTAACGCGACATTGACTGACGCTGTCATCACGGTTCTCCCTCATTCGCGCAACTCTTAATTCCGACATAACTTGATCTTGAAGTATGCGGTTTGGTTCATCGGATCATTCCTGAATTCAATTTAGCCACGCGGAATTTACCTTTATAGGTAACAATCGTCACAGACTTTTTCGCACGCGACAACGACCCTACTGCTGATTTTCCTGTTGCGCTGTCCGTTGTTTGTGAATAGGATCAAGTAAATTACCAGGTAATGTGTTTTTATCATTATTATCTGTGAGTTTCACACAGGAATGAGTCAGGTCTTTCTTTGTGGATGATCCAGTCATGGAGCCACGCGCGGAAACTGCTCTATTCAAACGAATGCTTAACTCGATCAATACCTTCATTCTCGATCATTAATTAAACAGCAGGTTCGTTAGAAAGGAAGGGTAGATGTTGAGTACCTCTTTTGTTTACGGCACAGTTGTACAGTTCTAAGAATATTTTGCGCAACTGAAAAATCAGGTTCTAATCTTTTTACTCAAATCAAGAAAGGATTTCCTGTTTTCCTTCTCAAAGATCATCGACGAAATTTTCTTCAGGAATTGTACGTTTCCTGCGAGTTAAAGGTGATTGGAAAGGTAGCTTAAAACAACACAAACGTATTTTTTCATTGGCATCGACATATCAAAGATAATTTTTTTTTTCCTAAAAGCCTACAATTCCGTCGCGTACAAACTGATCGATTTGCCGTTAGCAAAATATTACTCGGCAATCGGAAGTCGATTGTCTACATAGCGAGAGAAGCTCGACAAACAATTGAAAAAATCAGTATTGCGCTTCGAAATTTGTACTTCAGAATACTATTAATAAAGCAATTTCACATGTCACAGTTTACGACCAACTCATAACAGGTTCAAAATGCTTTTTTTTTTTTTACATTAAACCTATACGTTATCAGTTCTTCGACGGGTATATCAGAGAATTCATATCTTCCAGCAGAGCCAGACAAATTAGCTGACCCCTAAATTAGACTGGTCTTCACGAGACGACACTCAATGTTAAAATAAACTAATCACAAAAGCACAACACGCTTATAATCGAAAGGAACAGTACATGGAAAAGCACAAAAGAGACCGGCAATGCCACTGTACACGGATGAAACAGAAAACTATCGAATGTTTTAGATCTTGTTTACATTTACTCGAAGCAGCTTTAAACATTTCATGCGCATAAAACTTTCTCAAAAATATTTGGCATTAAGCTCCCTCCGTCAATTCCTAATCAACGTAATCTTGTTAATAACGCAGGGGTATCAGTGAATGAGTTAACTGGATATCTGTCAGCTGCCAGCACAATAACTTTTTGCTTATCGAGAATTTTATGCATTCCAACCACTTGTTTGCTATAATCTTTCTGGCGACTGTATGTTTAATCACAGGAAATCGTCTAGTTGATGCTTTTGTAAAATGGTTGGCAAACCCTTTTGTGTTCACGTCATTTTTTCGGTAAGTATCCCTGGTTTTTAATTGTCGAAGCGTTAACCGTTTAATTTATGATGCAGCATTTAGTACAGCAGCAGGTAAAATTCAGCTTCGTTCGCAATGGGGGGGGGGGGGTGCTCTACTTGATGGACCGGGAGAGTGCTCAATATCTTTTAGGCGGTAAAATTGTGGTGTGATACTGTGATACTACTAAGGCGATTAAATCTGAAATGACCGCCGCTAGAGTTCTAGCGGTTTCTTTATAGCTCAAGTATAGATTCAGGACAATACCCTCCAACAAAACGGAAAGAAAGACTATGTACGTTCATAAAAATAGTCGTTACATCTAGCTATGGTTGGCTTCTGAATTTGTCTCCGTTACTTTAGGGATACGCTCACAGAAGGGCCGTCGAGGGATATTTTTCACGGTTCCAGGGGATAACCTCCCTTTCCCCCCCCCCCCCCCCCCCCCCCTTCTTCCTTGCTTCTTCGTGCTGGCCTCAATGCTACCGCCCAGCTTGATCAAAACTGCTTGCGTCAAAAAGAGACAAAACAGACAGACTGACCTTTAAGAAGGTTATAAAAATCGAGGTTCTCTCATTGTGGGGTCAATTTTTGTGGCAGATTTTATCTAATGACACACACACGCAAAAAAAGATACACAAAGCGAAATCGATGCCAAAACGTTTCCCAGAAAATCGGATTTCGGTAGGACACTCCTCGACTAACCTTGAAGACTGACAATCACACTAGGGCATGGAGGGGGGGGGTTGAAGTTTCGGGGTGCTTATGACCCCTTTTTTTTTTGCTGAAAAAGGATCCAATTAACTGAGGTGAAACAAACTGACATTAAGAGGCTGATGTGGAATCTCCTGCTGGAAAATTATGCCTACGCCCCATAGGCTGGGCGAAGAATTTTCAAATTCCTAAACGCGTGTCGGAAATGAGAAATGCGATTTTTGTTGAGAAGCTCTAGTAGCTTCAGAAGATGATTAGTCTTACAGCATCCAGTTAGTTATCGGTATTCTTACCATGTAATTGCAGGAAAGGTTTAACCAATAAACTGTTAATAAATTGGTTTTTTAAATATTCCAGGTTTAATTCAGCTGCTTTGTAAAGTAATACTAAGACGATTCGTCACAGTTTTTGAAGATCAAAGAAGGCTCACACCACGACAAACGCACAAGCTCTCAGTGAATAGAGGGTAAGTTGGGATAGAAACTGTGGTGCTGTGTCGGCGGAGGGTATTACAAGATAATTTGGTTTAATTTATCAGCTTAGTTGATACTGTGAATTGGCCATCCTTAACTCTTTAACTCCCAGAAGTGATTAACATGAAACTTCTCCCTAAAATATCTCTACATATATCTAGCAAACAGGTAATGAGAATATTCAAATTTCTCAGGTAAAAATCGCTTTCTTGATCTAACACCAAATTCTTGTACCTGATGTGCAAGGACATGTCTAGCAGCTAGAGGGGAGAATTAACATTAAGATCTTGGGAGTTAAAGGGTTAAGAGTTTCTAAAGCTAACATTTCGAGCGTAAGCGCTTTGCCAGAGCTTTCGGTGGATTCGCTCTGAATCAAATTTTCTCGATTACCTTTATTGCATGTTTATTAGCCTTTGATTGGACTCGTCACGCAACAGGCCTTAAAAGAAAGATGTTACTTGCGTGACAAGACGAAGAGGACTAGCGGAGATTCCACGCTTCTGTGAAACCTGACATTCATGGGGTGGGGTGGGATTTGGGAATGGGTGGGCTGAAATTTTACAATCTAACATCAGCATGCATATTCTCCTTACTGTTCTCTATCAATTTCCTATTGTGCTGACGAGGAGAATTTGCCTAACAATTCTGAGCTACGTACGTTAGTTGGCGATCATTTCCTTCATTCCCGTGACCTAAATGTTTGATACAGAGGCGATGTTGTGGGAGTAATTAGATTGTCACTCGTAAAGATCAAAGGCTTTAAAAAACTAGCTTGGAAGGTGTTTGGTATGCGGCAGTAATGGTAAAATTTTCCTTATGAGCAACTTGAAAATAGATAGCTTAATGTTTCCAATTTGTTTCCATTTAACAGAAGCAATGGAGAGAATCTATTTCTTGGCTTTAACGCTCAGCTTTGTCACGGCAAAAGCAGGTAAATGTTGATATTTCGAATGAATTCAGGATATTTAAAAAAAAATGGAGGAACGTATACTGGAGAATTTTGCTATAGTTTTGATCACTAGAGAAGTAACAGTGTGAAATTATTCATCACTACCCACAAACATCTGTATGACCCAAGGTATGACTTTCCCCAAGGGTACAAGATCACAAAAACTGGTGTTACCACGTCCTCATAACTCAATAACTCTGTTATTCAGTAAGCCATTAGATTTAAAATGAATTACATGCAAACATTCCAGCATAGCCTCGGCTGTGAATGTCAATCAATCTCAAACAATGTGGAAAGTGAAAAATTGTTGAAGAAAAACTAAAGAATTTATTTGCGCTCATTCACTCCGATACAAATTGCATACGAAATTATTTTATCATTCTTGCGAATTTTCACCGGTAAAACTAGTCTTTAAGTTTTCAGTATGCTTTCTTATTATCCAACTGCACAAAGTAGAGTACACATTACGCGCGAATAGAGTACAAATATCCTGCGATATTGTTCGATTATTTGAACTGTTGGTTATTTTGTACTGTAGAAAAACCTGTTTAACCAGCCGGCTGCGCGCTAGGCTCCTCTATCAGCTTTGCTTTCCCCGCCTTTTGAGAAATGAACAGAAAGACTTGGCAGAAAAATAAGCAGTTGGATAACAAATAACTAATTAAACGTTTTGGTGTGTAGTATCGCTGAGTATTTTTACGAGTTGTGCCGTAGTTTTAAGAGTTGTGCCTAACCCTAATCCTAACCCTAGGCAAAACGTCTGATAGGATATACTTAGCTACATTTTCGTTTTCAGTCGCTGAGCCGAACTGTCTGTGGAGAGAACTTAATAAGCGAACTTTTACTTCTCTTTCAGTCGCAAGCCGGCGTCCACCCGAGATCACGAATTTCATACAAAAGGATTTAGTCAACCCAGATGATGTTGAATCTAAAGGGTTTAAACTTCCCTGTGGAGCCGCAGGGACAAATCTTTCTTGGACGTGGAAACATAATGATACAGAGCTCACATCGTTCAGGGGATCACCGCATTATTCTCTCAATAAAGATGGCACTTTGATTGGCAAATATTTATCTTCCCAACACAGCGGGACTTATCAGTGTATTGTTAAGGATAAGGACACTAAAATTGAAGTGTTCAGTAGAAAAGCGAGAGTCGCTATAACAGGTAAATCTTTTTAAAAGATGAGCAAACGAGATCAGATTAAGACAATTTTTTTTTAAACAGATCGGATTGGCTATCAAGTTACAAAACAGCTTAACACTTGGCTACTCTTCTTTCTATCCTCTAAGCCTGCATAGCAGCCCTTTCTGTTTCTTTCAAATGAAACGGGAAAGATTCGCAGTCACGTGGCTTGTGCAGTAGTAGAGGTTCATTACCGTTCTATCCATCGTAGGCTTGTGCTCCTTAGGCCACCCAACAGCGTAGTGCTTACATATTACTTAAGTATCTTGATTCTTGGATATTTCGAAAATGCCGCTTCCTCGTTCTTTCTTTTTTTTTCTTTTTTTTTTCGGTACTTTGTCAAAAGGGAACCTTAGTAGGTGAGATTGACTCAGACGAGAGGGAAACATTTTTGTTTTTAGCACGAGAATACATCCGAAGTGATGATAGCTCTGTTTCGAGTGTTCTGAACATTAAAATTTCATTTTAAAGGCCAAATTCAGTGATATGTGTCATCAAATGATATAAACTGTATATTCTCTTGGCGTCATATCATACTGCAAAACCTGCGATAAACAACGGGATTTCTTATACCAGAAGAAAGATGACGTAACAAGATATCTAAAACTTCATCATCTGGAACCGTTTCTCATTTTTCTTCGAACTTTGAAAAAAATGGAACTCATTCTTCTTTTACTGAGATTTTGTTGATATTTCCTTGAATTTTTACCTATTACAATACGTGCATTATTCTTTGATCTTTACTGATCTGATGATGATCAAGAGAAGCAAAGAGAAGCCCGCGTACTTAATCATAATTCATATTCTTCGATAGAGAGCTTTTCAGTTGGGTGCCCCGATTGGTTTTAGAGATGCACTCTACTGGTTTGGAGCCTGGCGCGAAGTTGCTACTCCAATCGCAGAGTAAGGTGGAGCGCTGAGCAAAAGCAGTGCATTGCCAGATTACTTCAGTTCGACATTCGATTAAAATTCGCTTCATTTCAGTGAATTTAACTTGTCATTAACCCTTAACACCCTAAAATCAGTATGCATATTTTCTATACTGCTCTTTCTACATTTCCTAAGGTGCTGACAAGGAGATTTTGTTTATCAATCAAAAGTTTCTTTCGTTGGTGATCATTTCCTTTATTCTCATGACCTTAATGTGTGATTCTGGGGTTATATTGTGTGTGAAGAAATTTGATGCTAGTCTCTCTTAGGGTTTAGAGGGTTAAAATATTTCACTTCTTTCAATCTTTGTCAGTTCATGGTGAATTCATCGATAGCAGCAGCAAGAGTGTAGCGGTTGACCTTGGAAAGCCTTTCCGATTTCAGTGTCCCAAACACACAGCGGGCTTTGGCACTTCATACGCTTGGGTAAAACCATCAAATATCCACTTGTCGAGGAGCGAACGACGAGGATTATCTCCAGACGGGACTTTGTTAATCGCTTACCTCACCCAGGAGGATATCGACGAGGTTAACTACGGCGGCATAAAGTGTCAAATAAGGGCTGGGAGTACCTATGAAGATTCTGGAAAATTACGTCTTGTGAAGAAGAACCCTCAACAGAAAGGTAGGGAATAGGCGCGTACTTGCGGACACGTGGCTGACGAATGGTGATTGTTGAGAAAACTATTAGTTTGAATGATTGATATCAATCACGGCGCTATATGCTTTACCGTAAAAGTGGACCGATCTTGCGTATGTTATCGCAGCGTTATTTCATTCAAGATCTTTTTCCGTGAAGTTTTGGTTTCATCAACTGAGTTCGAAACGCTCGAAACGTCAGCTTTGAAACTCTTTACATTGGCTAGTTTACATTATCAACTCAGTTGATACGTAACGTAAAAGGTAACCAAATTATCTTGCTATACTCTCCCACTGATGCAGCATTACTCTTTCTTGGAAACTTATCCCCTTTTCATAAAGTTTTATTTAGAATATCACGTAGCGGCAGATAATTAGTTAATTAGTGGAAAAGAAAATATCCTTTACCTCTTCAACTTGAACTTAAATGATGTGAATGTGTCTCCTTCCTACCCAGACCCCGGCACTCCTGTTACGCTTTCTTGGGCCGCTGTACCTGCGGTGGACGAGCTTGCCATTGAGGGTAGACGGAAATTTCTTTACTGCTTCGCAAATGGACGGTGAGTATCGCATATCTCCTACTTTTGGAAAATGCGAGGTAGAGGAAGCAGATTTTTCTAGATTAATAGACAATTTAAAATGTTCTGCCTACCTATTAATTTGTGCAGCACTCCAACATACGCTGCATCTTTGTACAACTTGCAGGCCAACACCAGAAATCACGTGGAAGAAGAATGGACAACAGATTGTAAATGGACAGAATTCCTTTGAAATCCCTCGCCATTACTATGGCCATCGTCTAATTATCACAAATGTGAACAGGGAAAGTCACCAAGATGTGTACACTTGTGAGGCAAACAATTCCCGTGGCAATGTCTACCCCATGGTCCGTACAATCAATTTGGAAGTGAAAGGTAAACTGTCATCCATTATATGTCTACTCTGCAACATGTAGAACGCTTTTCGATTGAGTCACCGTAACGGCCAATCAGAAGGAAGGAAATTACCAAAACGAGGCAATGAGAACTCAAAGTAAAAGGAAAAACGACCTAATTGCTCAAAGGGCGGGAGAACTCGGGCGATCAAGTCATGAATGGTTTTAGTTTTGCATCTGATTGCGAAGTTTTGTAATCATAGAGCAAAGTAAAACAAAACCAGTAAAATCCCCGATTACTTTCCACTCTCAATTGCTCTAAGGGAAAGTACTGCAGGGAAGCTCTCATGCGAATGGTCACACACTAATAAGGTTTCACTGGCAGACTTAAAGTAAAATTGATTCACATTGTAGCAGCATGAAAAAATACCTTATTGCTTGATAGGTTTTATCTCATCACACAGTAAACTGGAGTTTTATCCACAACTTTGAAATCATCCCCATCTCGTACATTAAGCATCAGTTCACCGCCTCGTCTTCTTTGGAACCCCTATAAACCAAGAGTGGTGGAACAGGTCTTAAAAAATAATCAGTGTCGTCTTTTTTTTAGTTCCACCAAGATGGAACGACAATCCTCCACCAAGTGAAATGAGCATCATAATTGATAAAAATGACACTATTGAGTGTCAAGTGGTTGCAGACCCTGTGGCAACAATCCTATGGTACAAGAATGGTGTACACTTGCAGTCGTCAAGGTAAACGTACGAGTTATAGCGTACATTTTTTACGTATGAATTCATGCCATACCCAAACAAGCATGAAGTGTTAAGTCTACTGTTTTGCTTTGTTTCTCTTCTTTGCTTGGCTATCAGTAGTTTATTTGTGTTCGTATGTTGTTTCTTAATTTGGAAACTGTAATTTGGCTCTTAAAAAACCACAGAAACCAAAACAAAGCACGTGCAGGCTCAACTTTCCAAAAATAAAACTAATATTGCATTTTGAAGGTGCTTCTGAAATCACAGATTTCGCATCTTGCCAAGCTTAACTTGCTTATCATCCTCAGTGTCCTTCGTTTTCGTTAGCTCTTGCCTCTCTGATGTTGTCTCATTATCATGCGAGCTAGCAGTTTAGGGTGCACGGAAAATTAACGATTAGCAGCAAAGCCGCGAGTGGAAAAACTTCTCGCGGCACCGCTGCTCGTTTTTATACGGTTCCGCTTCTTGACGCTTCAAAGCACACACAGATGACAAAACCGTCATCTACGACGCGAGCAGTATCTGTCTGTCATGAAAAATGATTATTTAGATGTTTTCTTCTCTATAACGGCAATTTACACAACATCCCAGAAAACAACCAAAATATTGCAATGCAGGTACAACTTCGTTGGGTTTTGAAGGTTCATGAGCCTGCATGCATTTGTGTCTTAACAGTGATCGGATAATCGTGGATGGAAGCAAATTACATCTCAGAAATGTTAATCTGACCGATGAGGGTGTCTATCAATGTGCTGTGGAAAACCAATACGGTATGATTGTGTCTGCAACCTGGGTTCAAGTGAAAGGTAGGTTTGATGAATCTAAATATCACGATTGATTTTAAGGTAGTCTATTCTAAGATGGCTTTTTGGAAAGTCATTAAAAGAAAGGACTGACCTTTGATGTTTATAAGCATAAATTTCACCATGATAATAGCCAAGTACAAGAAAGGGAAATAACACGAGGAAACAAACGATAGCAGCTGCCAAAGCCTCAAACAAAGGAAACGCGAGCGTCCAAGGAGCAAATTGTTTGATGGTGTTGAATTTGATAGATAGACGGCGCGAGTTTTCAAGATCAATGACAAAGCAAAGTAAAGCAATACCAGTAAAATCCTAGATTGTGGACGCTCATTTGAAAAGGACTCTTTGGAGCAAAAAGAAAATCTTACTTCGCTCTTGTCAGTTGAGCATCACACAATATCTGAACATGAATAATTTCAATTTATTTCTTTCGGAACAATTTGTTTTTCTCAGCCTGGAAACCATCCTTCGACAATCGCCAGTTTGGCCCTTTTCACTTGCTTCATGACCATGAGGGCAGATTACAATGCAACCCAAATGCAGAGCCTCGCCCAAAATTTGAGTGGTTTGTCAATGGAGTTCAGATCTCAGACGGAGCCGTTAACAGTCGATATAGGTTACTATTAGACGGTACCTTGGTAATAAAGACCGTCGATAAAGACAAGGATGCCGTAAACTACACTTGCAATGCTGTGAATATGATGGGCAAGGCTTCTGCAACGACAGTTCCAACAGTGCTGAGTAAAATACTTATGTTAAATAATGTGATTAAAAGAGTGGTTTGCATAGCCATTTATGGTGACCTTATTTATTAGTGAGAAAGTATTCATGGTGCAAAAGAGATCCCAGATCAATGCAAAGAAGTAATAGAATCAACACGATTTCAGAATTTAAAACCGTCCTAGAACCTTGCGCTTAAATACCAGATGCTTCAAAATTGAAATTGTGTCAAATTTGTCATTACCTTCCCATTTCTGACTCTTCTTCACTCGGCTCCACCGCGATTAGGTTTGCATTTTAACCGCATTACTTTGAGTCTTTTCCTTTGCTTTACTGTTACATTCTAGTTCTACCGTTTTTCGTGACAAAACCTAGAAATCAAACAGTGCTTGAGAAAGGAACAACGGCATTCTACTGCAATGCAAATGGCCATCCGCTTCCTAACATAACATGGGTCAAAGATGGAGAGACATTTGGTCACGGGAGCACACTGAGGTTTGAAACAACATGGAGAGGACAGTCTGGAAGATACTGGTGCCGTGCACAAAATGGACTGAATGTCGTTATCAATGCTAGTGCTTTTCTGAATGTGCAGTGTAAGTATCCTACGTATTCAGGGCTTAAGCCAACCAGCATCTTGCAATGTAATGCAGCGGGCCTGTTCGCGCACTTTCAGGGACGCAGTGGCTGAACAGTTAGCATGCTGGTTTCTGAGACAAGAGGCTCGAGTGTGACCTGGCTGGGTTATTCTATTGTGTTGCTGGGAAGAATCTTTACTCTCGTGGTGCCCCTTTCCCCTGGAGCATAAACGAGTACAGGTGAACTGTCAGTGAAATCTGAGGGGGGGGGAGGGGTGGTTAACCTGCGCCTGGGATGGACTTGCATCCAATGGGGGTAGCAATACTCTGATTCACTTCATGGTATGAAGCTTCATGATTTAACCTGTTTGGGCAGATACATAGTAGCTCTACGAGAGAGAGATTTCAAACTTTAAAACGTTGTAATTCTAACATCGTTTCCTTAATTTTCACAGTTCCGTCATATTTTCAAAGTCGGCCAGCTTACCAGTCTGTCCAAGAAGGTGATGAGGCTTCTTTCCACTGCGGTGCCATAGGCAACCCAACCCCAAAGATCTCATGGTTCAAAGACGGGAGATCTATCGGTACAGGAAGCACATTGAGCTTTGTTGCGTTCAGAAATCTCTCTGGAGAATACTGGTGTTCAGCTGATAATGGTTTGGGATCGGCCATCAACGCCAGCGCTCGACTAAATGTACAGAGTAAGTATGAATGGGTCGCTTTTGGAACCAATGTTTAGCAAAAACACGATGAAAAAGAAAAGTCGTAGAATCTCATCAAAATTATTCTAGAGTTTTAACCAAGCAGCTAAAGGCAACTTTGAATGCAATACATTCAACAACACAGTACAGGTGAAATTTCCAGAAGGTCACTACGACCAAGTGTTGTGAAAGAACCGAGCCAAGGTCGATGGGAACGATTCTTAACTCAGCAGATACGCGCGGCGTAGATGACAAGTTATTGCGGTCCTTCCGTAAGCAATTGAGTTTCTCGCTGGTCCATAGCCTTCTTGTCAACCATTCATAAACGTATTTCTCTGAGTGAGTTAGCATATTTGGGAGTAAAAGTATCATTGTTTACCTAACTGAAGGTGACAAATACATCAGTTTCGTTTCCATATTTATTTACAGTTAAACCTCATTTAATCACCACACCAAGGAACCAATCGAAAGTTGAAAACAAACAAGTCACGTTCCATTGCAATGCCACTGGACATCCAATCCCAAAGATAACATGGACTAAAGATGGGAGGACTGTGGGCACAGGAAGCAAGCTTACCCTAACCGTCTCTCGGGGTGACGCCGGAAGATATTGGTGTACGGCGGACAACGGTGTAAGTGCTGACGTTAGAGCAAGCGCTTATCTCCGTGTCTTGTGTAAGTAATCGAATTAACTTACCACTTTAATATTTTGGGCAAACAGTCCGATTTCAGACAATCATGTCCGAATAGGGACAATTATGTCCCTATTCGGACCCCAATTAGCTAATCTACAGCTAACACATTGACACGTTGATAAAGTTTTCACTCATAAAGTTTGTGTCCGTTTTCGGACGACAACATCCGATTTAGATCATTTGTGTCTGCTTGTGGGCGGAACCGACCGATTTCCGACACTTGTATCCGTTTCCGGACGGCACCGTTCAATTTCGGACTCTTATGTCCATTTTTGGACGATAACTGGACTCCGATTCTGGACTCCTGAGTCCGTTTCCGAACGATAACATCCGATTTAGATCACTTTTGTCCTTTTTAGGGCGGAAATGTCTGATTTCTAACTCTTGTATCCGTTTTCGGGCGGTACCGTTCGATTCAGACACGTGTCCATTTCGGATTCTAGTGTCCGTTTTTGGACGGAACCGTCGGATTTCGAAAACTCCCGTCCGTTTTTTTATCGGCAACATCCTGATTTCGGACACTCATGATCATTGTTGTACTGTAACATCCGATATAAGATATTTGTGTCTGTTTTCGGACGCTGGGTATCGTCAGAAGTCTTAGACAGTTGTCTGTTTTCGACGGTGCAGTCCGATTTTGGATGGTATCGTCAGATTTCGCACTCTTCCGTTCACCATGGGTCCATACAGACTTCATCTGTATCTGACGTAATGTGATAAAACTCGGGTTTCAGTAATCACCTGTGGCATTAACACCAATCGCATCTTGTAATGCATATTTCTTATTTCCCTTTTTTTTAGATGTCCCCTCTCCGCCGATTAATGTCACAATAACAGACTGTAAAAACTGGAGTGTGGAACTCCACTGGGTACGAGGCCCTTCAACTGATGGTGCTCCAATCACGCATTACCTGATTGAGCAGGAATCTGGTGAGGACCCTGTGGTTTTCAGCTTATTGCACAACGTTAGCAAATCGGATGTAACGAGTATGACCTTCAACATCAGCTTGGGGACTTCGCCTCGTTTCCGCATCAAAGCAGTTAACAATGTTGGTGAAAGCCTACCCAGTTTAACAGTCAAAACAACTTGCCAGGGAACCAAGACTGACATTGGTATGTATGCCTCGTAAAAGAGAGTACAGACACCCACTCAGTGGAATATTGGTAACAAATGGGTGTAGTTATTTTTCAATATGGATGAAGGTTTCTCACGACACAGAGGCAATAACAATGAATTGATACAACTAGCTTTGCGAAGATGTCTTTCCTTAGCACATTCAGTTTTTCCGTTCTTCCAATCTGGACGAGTCAAGAAATTATAATCTATGATAATTGCTTACATTCTCAATTAGCCGTATTCATTGGATTTTCTCAATCTATGAAATGACATATCTCTTTGAGGCTCTTTTTCGATTAAATTTAGCAATTTCCATTAAGTATTGAAGACAATCATGGATTGCATGCATTTTGCTTTATTACGCTATGTGATTGGTCCAGAATTTTACCCTCTCAGCCGAGCACGATCAATTAAAACTAGTTAAAACCTGGAAAACGCGGCCATTTGAAGTAATGCATCGATCAAGTTGAAGCCTAAACACTCCCTCCCCCCGGGCAACCCACAAGCATTTGACTGTCGTCCTTGCCTGGGGGTTGGGAATTTCAACATTGCCTTAGTTACAAAAACTGTCAAGTCTTTCCAGCGTGAAAACGCGTCTTATCTTTTAATGTGGAGGTAAATATTTAAAGGTGAAAAGTTCACATCTGCAAGCAGATGGCTCATAAGAAAAGGTCCATAAGAAAGCCACCGTCATTTGTTATACCTTTTCAAAAAAATTTACAATAAAATCTAGCACTTGGTGGGGCATTTGAACACAACTTTGGCCCCGGAAGTGGAGGGGGGGGCGAAAACTTGAACGAACCTGATTTAGGTGTTGTTCACACAACAATCAATCGAAAACTGTACATTCTAGCAATTCTGAAATGTTTAAATATGGTTTTGTTTCTTCAGGTGCACGCCAGCCAGAGGTAAAAAAACCCCACATTTACCAAAAGGCGTGGTTTCTCATTATGTTGGCCCTTATTGCCTATTTAGTTCTGATTTCAGCGCTTGCCTTGCTCTTCATAAGCTATTACAAGGGAAAAGGGAAAAAATACGAAGGTAATGAAGCGGGAAACAAGTGCAGTGTGATGTAACGTTCCAAAAAGCACGCTTGTATTGAAAGAAAAGATATTGTAACGTAACGTATTGTAACGTGACGTTTGATAACGTAACTTATGATAACGTCATGCATGGCTAGGTAAATTATTTAGTATTTAGCATCAGAGCTTAACGTAGTTACAGTGGCAATGATCTGATATTACTTAGCTATAGTTTGCAGGGAACGTTTTTAAAAGAACTCTGAAGGTAGAGTCAGATTCAAGCTGAACTCCCTTATTTTCGTAGCTGAGCCGAGATCAGTGTTCACTCTTCTTGTAAGCACGACAGGTTAAAGAAATTTTTCAATCAGTGGAGCAGTCCTTTTACCAGTTGAATTTACAAAAATTACGAGCGACTTTAAGCGGTAATGATTGTTACTACAGGCGGTAGATTTTACCAGTTACCACCTGGTAAGGAGAACAGCGCGAGACATTCATTGCTATCTTTGTGACTTTGCAATAAACTTTCTACTTGAGCACGCTAGATAGTATTAGATCTCAAACACCTTCAACACCGTTAAGTTAAGGATTTTTTTCGTCGTGAATGTGTGTGGGTTGGCACGCTTAATGGAATTCAGGTCTTACAATGTAGGATTTGACAGCTTACCAAGGGATGCAATGAACGGATCAATGTCAGTAACTGAACAAATGCGCAGCTACCCCTCCCCTAACCTAAAATTAACCCGCAGTTGCATAGATACAGACATTGATACCAAATACCTTTGACTGCGACATTGTTTTATACCATTCCCACCTCTCATAAGTCTTACTTGTTTTTTTCGTTTCTCTAGTTAGAGAACGCGAACGAAAACGCGGATACACAGACGAAGAAAAACGATTGGAGGAAAACGTTGAAGACGAGGAAGCAAACAACTTAGGGGGGAATGCTGAAAAGATACCGCTGTATGTATTAACCCTTTACACCCTAACATCAATATGTATATTCTCCATACTGTTTTCTGCACATTTCTTATGGTCTTGTCAAGGAGAATTTACAGTCAAGAACCTCTGATTGGGTGGTAGTTTCCTTTTCCTTGGTTGTCACAACAAACTTTACCTGATCCCCAGAAGGCTTCATAGCACTTTCATGATCCCCCTTCAACTGAACTAGGCGGTCAAATTTCTCATAATTATGAGTCATTATTTGTATACAAATCGGACTGACATAGTGTCTTGTTATTTTTTCTTAGCGAGAGAAGACAGAATCGCAACTCAAGGCCCGTCTCCAATTCAATCAGCTTACTTGAATTGCAATTCAGAGAAGACGGCTCCTTTACAGAGGAATACGGAGGGGAAGATGATCTGTTACAGGGAACTTTTGTTTGAGGGACGCCATACACTAGCTAAAAATTTGTCACGCCAAAGGTGACATGCCTTAGAAGATGACTGCGTGACGTGACTAATGAGAAAGAATTGAAACTCTTCAGGATTCTCGTGAAATAGTGTTGTGTTACCATCAATCGGTGTGATGGTGTAGCCACTTGCAAAAGTTGTCCTGAGTTGTTCTGTTGGAGGCTTATTCGTATCATCAATTGCACATATAAAGTTTTACGAATCAAATGGATTGAAGAAGAAAAGGTTAAAAAAAGAGTTTAAGTAATCGAAATATTGCTTCGAAAGTTGTAACGTATGAAAACTGAAAGATGAGTTTGTACCATCCATATTTCTATAGTTAAGTAAATTTTGGGAGATGGATTCGTAGATGAATGAACGTCTTTCTCAAAGTAAAACATTTTTCTCTGAGAACATCTTGAAGGAGAAATAAAACGAGTATCGAGCTGTCACAAATTATGAAAAATCGAGAAGTAACACTGCAACTTAAAAGCCCGATGTTAAGAGTAAAGTGGTAGCACGTAAATAAAAGGAGAAAAAAAGATTATCACGTCCTAGTATTAGAGTCCAAAGCCCATTCAGGTGAGTCAGAACTTGCCAAAAAAAATCCTCTTCTATGGGGTGGAACACATGTTTGTTAATGTTAGCATGTTTAAATTGAATTTGAAAAGAACAACCAGGACTGTTTTAATTTTAATTGAACATAGATTCCAGTAGGGCTAGTTGAATTCATAGTGTAAATTGTCTTAAACAGACAACGTATATCAGACAAAAATATCCAGGAAACTTAGAATGTTGTAGTTCACAAGTGACAACAGTTGGATTATTTAGTTGGCTGATAAACACGGGAGGAAACAAAGTTATGAGAGAAATACAAATAAATAAAGTTTAACATACCACGTAAAACCTTTGTCTTCTTATATGGCTGTTCATTTTTCTTCCTTTATCCTGTTTATAACTTTTAAAAGCGATTGAAAATCCTCTTACAAAATATTCTTCTTTGAAAAAATCCCGCCAGCGCTGTTTTGCTACGTGACCGAGCCTTAAACCAATGACGCGTGATATGATTGGTCAATATTAAGGTAAAAGTTTCCATGTTGACATCGTTAAGATATGAAGATGTACACATAGACAATTTTTGAAAAGAAAGGAAATTAGCTGCAGAAATTAAATGTCTCTCCCTACGCCACGTTGATATAGAAATTTCTTGAGCTCTGGTGAGAGGTGTAACTCCCGTCTCTACCCGCGCCAGGTCTTATTTGCTGAACGTTGCCTAGTATCCAGTGGGTACGCGGTAATATTCTCGTTGCTCTTGGAGTTTGTTGTGTTTCTTCGAACAAAGACCGACTGTTGAGGGGACAGTAATTGTCTCTTCATAAAGTCATTTTGTGAACGTCTTGTCAATAATTCTCATTTAGAGAAAAGGAAACGGTGAGATTCTTTTGATTAGCTCTTATTTTTTCGTGATCGATGCCAAAACTACGCGACGGCTCTAGTTTGTGTACGGCAAGAAGTGAAACCGCTCGACGTCAAGTCATTCGACCCTTCGTGTGCTCAACTTTTAAGGATTTTCATGCGGAACGTGACTTCTTGCAAGAGAAAATATTCCCTCAGCTAAACAAGATATGTAACGAGCGTGGTACGTCGTTTATTCCCGTTGATTTGCGCTGGAACAAGAGTCAATCCCAGCAAAATAGTGAACATGTTCTCCGCTTATGTTTGGACAGTATCGGACGATGTGCTCCGTTTTTTATTTGCTTGTTGGGAGATAGGTACGGTGTTCATAGAGCTGCGGAGTCTGAAGTGAAGGATCCTGCTACAGAAGAATGGCTGGACAAGAACTTTGAGACGGCTGCTGCTTGTGGATACGAATGGTTACTTGAAGAAGACAACAGGTACAGATCTGATGAGTTATTCTCCCATAGAGTCTCCATACATTTCATTGTAAACCAGTTTAGAGAATTCAGCTTGTAAGTTTGTCAATTCTCCTTACTTTATTGCTGGATGATCTGCTCTGAAGGAGAGTCTGAATATTTATCATTTAAAATGCTGTTTCTCTCCATTCGGTTTTAAAAGTAAGAGTGTTAGTAGGGAGATAAAACTGTTGAGCACTTCTATGTCTAAGCCCTCCTACTATAAGAACATGAGATTTAAACCTTGTCTGCGGCAAAAATACTTAATGGGCACTTCTCTATCTGTACTTTTGCAAAGAGTATAGATTTTATTCTGTATTATAATAAAAGAATTATGAGAGATCATGCAACATGCACTTTGTAGTATTCAACTTTGTAGCCAGATAGCTGAAGTCAGATCTCTTTACTTTTAGATATAACAGCATTACTGAGTTGGAAATTGTACAAGCATCCTTCCGTAAGAAATATGATTATGGTTACTTCTATTTCCGCAACCCCACCCATTTGGAGGAAAAGCTTCAGGACATTGATCCCAGCCAGAAAGAAAGTGTTTCGACAGTTTACAAGCCAGAGAGTGAATATGCTGCAAGGAAACTGAGGGAACTGAAACAACAGACCATTGACACAGGTTTGTGATGTCAGTATTTTACTAACTGACACAGCTAAATACTAACTTGTACTTCTTTTCCTCCTCTGTGACTGGTTAGGATTGGTTCCTGTCATCAAAAAAATGGTAGTAACAGGGGTGATATAGGGAAGGGGTAGGGGTGTGCATCCTCCTCCTCCATTGTTCTCTCAGTCCCATCATGCTATGGAATCCGAGGTTTATCTCTGGCTGGATCAGTGTCACCCACCTACTGACCAGTACCAGTCTTCATCAAAATTAAAAGCGTGGAGGGTGGATTGGGGAGGAGGGAGGGCTTTGTAGCTCTAATTTTTTATAGAATTACCAAAACCATGATCAAAATGAACCTTTTTAATTAACTAAAGTACACATACATATCATAGTTATGAGAAAATTATCAAGGAATTCTTGTGAGTCTTTGATTATTCTTATGCCTTTGTTCCTTTCTGTGAAATGTCACTGTGCAAGTTTTACAAACTTCACAAGCAGCTTGCAAGCCTCTGGGAAGGGTGTTGACCAAGACCCCTTGTAGCTCTCTTTACTCGTCAGCTTGAGTCACGTAGGCTTCTCCACTACTCCGCTTATTAGGCTCTGCTTGAGCCTGCTTACAGGCCTCAAATTAAATTTCTTGAACAAGCTTTTTGTATTTTTAATAATTAGGTAGCTATTCAAGTGACTGTGGCAGAAATTTCTCCCATTCAATGTATGCTACAGAGATGGAATAAGCCTGTCATTATTCAAATCAGTCTCATATAATACTAATATTAATATTATTTTTTATCCATCAGAGTTGCCCGTACGCCACTATACAACTCTAGAGGAGCTAGGTGATCTGTTGATCAAAGATTGGATGGCAGTCATTGACTTGTTGTACCCTCCGATCGATCCACATGTGTTCAGGAGCACAGAATCAGAAGTCTTCCGTGAGTGGTCTGCTCACGAGGCCTTTGCTGAGGCCCGACGACAAGTATTTGTGAGGACACCAAGGATCAGAGAGATGGTAGAGGTGCTTAGCCTTCATGCGGAGGTTGAACAGGGAATTAAGAGAAGGAGCAGTATGATGGTACCTTCTGCAGTACTGGGGACTTTCATGACTAGTCTTCCTGGCAGTGAGAAGGAGGCCCTTCCACCTGTGTTGGTGCTTGCAGGTACATAAAAAGACTATATTTCAATTAACAAAGTCAAGAAATTTGATTTTTTTTTGTGGTATAAAACTACCATTAGACTGAGATACTGAGTAAGATAGCTGGGCACAAAAGAGGCTCTAACAAACCAAGATGTTACAAAAGTGGAAAAGGTTGAGATGGTCACATAATTAACCTAATTGAGGCCAAAATTTTCAAGATACACATTCTGTTACTTTTTGCTCTTTTAACCTTTTAACCTCTAAGAGTGAATCAAAACATGAGTGTTACGAGAACAAAGGAAATGACCATAAACTCAAAGCTCCAATACATTTATTGAAATGTTTTTTATCAGCTCGTTGGGAAATTTATAGAGAACAGTATGGAGAATATGCATACTGACTTTAGGGTGTAAGCTTAGGGTTTAGTGGAAAGGCTGATCACCAACTACAGAAGTTTTTGATTGTTAAAGAAAAACTCATTGTCAGAACCATAGGAAATTTTTAGAGAGAACATTGTGGAGAATACACATACTGATATTAGGATTTAGAGGGCTAAGTCAGCACTTTTGACACGTTTTCTAATCCTCTGAATCTGACTGAATGTATAGTTACATGTCTCTTTTTTGTTGTTGTTTTGTTTTCATCACTTTTTGTAATATTGCAATTAATACTGCTGGTAAAAAAGTCTTTCTAAACAAAACCTTTGCTGTTTTTAGGTGAGAGTGGCTGCGGTAAATCTACCCTCGTTTCCCATTGGCTCAAACTGATCACTGCTAGTCATCCCCAACTCGTCACCATTCCTCACTTTGTCGGCTGTGATTCCGGTAGTACTGACGTCACCAACTTCATGCGTCGCTGCACTAGTGAACTGCGGCTTCATTACCTTGATTCCAACCTCGATGACTCCAACGACATTAAAGATCTCAGCGACTTCACGCGTGTCACTGAGGCGTTTAGGGCGGCTTTAACGCTTGGGCCGTCTGTCATTGTTTTAGACGGAGGAGACCACTTGGGGCACGCTTTGGACGTTCCCGCATTTACAGTAAAAGAGATGCAATGGCTTCCATCCTGCGTTCCAGTCTCCTGCAGAGTCATTATTACTACGACCAAATCTGATATGACCTATCGTGCTCTCTCACAGCGTAAAGATGTCAACTGCATCGACGTGCCTCATTTGTTTGATGTTAGAGGAAAGACTGACCTGATAAGGGAGTATGTAGGATCGAACTACAATTTTTTAGACTCATCCCGGATTTCTAAGATTACTTCCTCTAGCCTGGCGCATCTTCCGTTATATTACGTTGCACTGGCTTGTGAATTGCGTGTTTTTGGTGCGCACAAGAACGCCGAGAAGTTATTGGAGTCATATATACACGCGTCAACCCTATTTGATTTGTGGAGTTTGATATTTCGTCGTTGGACCCACGAGTACGGTTGGTTGCGTCCAGCGGTTTCTAGAGGCCCTGTTCCCGCCATAAAGGCGCAGGTGTCGCGTGATCGTATGAATAGTGGCTGGGTGGCTGACGTGCTAAGGCTCTTTGTCCTATCACGTGAGGGTTTATCTGAACACGAGGCTTTAAGCGCCTTAATGATCATGGGATACGTGAGGAACTATGAAGTAACTAAGGCTCATTGGGAAATGCTCCGTTTGATTGCAGAACACGTGCTTATTGAAATGCCGTCTGGGTTGTTGACTTTCCCTCACCAGTCCGCTCGCGGTGCCATAGAAATTGCCCTGCTGGGTAATCTGACCTCCCCATCCCAGGAGCGCCCGGTCTCACCCCTATTTAAAGGGAGCTGGGAGCGACAGAAACAGCAGGGTCACACAGTTCTCACGAGTCTCTTTTCCACACAGCCTTCATCCGGGCGCACGGTGGACGAATTACCATGGCAACTCAACATGGGTGGAAACATGGAGGCATTGTGTAAAACGATTTGTGAGCCGAGGGTATTCGTGAGGCTCCTAAACTCTTCAAGTGAAAAACGAAGAAAAATCGATCTTCAGTCATACTGGAGAGTTTTAAAAAAGGCGAATCGGAAGCCTGAAGAGGTTCTCTATCAAATGGCAATTCAATCGTCAGAGAGACTGCAAGATGAATCCAAGGAAGTTACTACTCGAGAAGTCGGATCTGCCTCGTCTAAAACGAACGATTCTTCGGCCATTGACAAGTTATGCCGAAAGGCGAACGATGATGCCTTGTCTCAACTCGAAATAGCGCTCGTGCACTATTTCGCAGGGAAATTCCTGGGAGAAAACGGTCACGATCAGATGGCACACACCCTTCTTTTGAACGCCTACAAGATGGCTTATCCCGTGATCTCAGTAAAGGACATTTACTTGATGTGCGATATACAGGAGTCATTGGGGAATTTTTATCTTAAACTGTCTGAGCCGAGCAAGGCGGCGTTTTGGTTTAACGGTGCATTTAAGTCTGCAGGGGAAATGGCTCGTACTTCCGATTTGGTGAGACGCTTTTTCTATCTTCAATACTCTAATTTTTGAAACAACATTTGAAAGTGAAAGTTAGTTCTACCTTGTACAGCACATTAAACAGTACCACATGGTAGTACTGCAACTAAAGTTATATTTTACGACTAACTTATCTAGCATAAGAAGAAGCTTTTCTGCCGTAGCATAGTGTTTAAAGGTTGAGCATGCGCGAAGAGATCAGTTCTGGACAACCAGAAGCCAATTTCCCGCGCAAACAATTCAAAGGAAAAAAACGAGAAACGACCAAAACAAGTGAAAGAAAATTGAAATTTTTCATAGAAATTTGGGAATGGAAACAATAGTAGGGAAAAGGAACCCAAGAGACTTATCGAAGAGAAAGCTTATTTAAGTAAGGGTTCCCTATTGATTTACTCTTCTGTTTTGAGCTCTACCAAGAAAGTTATACGCTTTTAAAACACCGTGGCTTACTGGCTTGAGCGTTTGTTTGTTACTCGTGAAACACCTTGATTCTAAGAGCTGGAAAGCATACTTAATCAACGTTTTCGCATGCGCAGACGTTTAACAGCTGTATTATATGCAGTAGCTTTCAACTATGGCTTAGGGTTTTACCGAAATATCAATGCCAGGTGAAATGCCTCACTTTCTAAGGAATTACCTCCTGTTAGTTAGTTTGATTCGTTTATGGTTGTATTTATTGGCTTCCAGGTTGAACACGAAGCTCTGATTGGTCGTCTTCTGAATTATATCGCACTCTGCCAGTTACCGAGTCACGTGCCTCTCCCACCGGAAGTCCACAGCCGATCACGAGCGCCTACTCGAAGTGGAAGAGTGAAGACACCGAATTCCGGAAGAGAACGAGAAAAGACAGAGGAGATGGGATCAGAGAACATTGGCACCATCTTGGATGAAGCACTGAGGCATATGAAAATTGCTCAAATGTTTCCTGGTATGTCCTTAACAGGGAATTAATTGGTATTTACTTAGTCCCCATGCAGAACTGTTTCGACGTTGCCTTGTACTTTTACACTGATTGACAGCCCTGATCCTTCTTTTATACGACAGTAAAGCTCAAATTTACCACTTTTATCTTTTTTAAACTGTCTTAGGCCAAAGCAGCGTTTATTCTCATATGGGATTGTTAGCTGCAAGGCAGAGGCGAAGGGAAGACGCAGAGTCCTTATTCCGCAAATCGCTCAGTATGCGCGAACAGTGGTACGGCTCGTGTCATCCACTGGTTGCTGAGATTTATGATGCATTGGCCTCGCTTTCATGTTCAGACGCAGCAGAATCCCCGGATGTCGCCACAGCGGAGGAAATGTTTCGCCGAGCTTTGCACATGCGTGAAGATCTCTTGGGACAATCACATTTACTGGTCGCGAATACATTATTCAAGTTAGGTAAGTGCGAAGTTATTGATGGGTTCGATATATGGACTTCAAAGCTTCTACCATGAAAGTTTTATGGCCACCACCTCTCAGCTTTTCGCCTCCCGGATGGGAGGCCAATCCACATCTTGTAGAAGTTTCAAAGCTGACGTTTCTAGCGCTAGCACTTCGCTGGCCAATTTGTTATCAACTCAATTTCCTTGTTATGCTCTCCCACCGACGCAGCACCACAGTTTCTTAAGAAACTCATCCCCTTTACTCACCTCTTGTGAGGTTTCTTAACAATTTATCGGAACCCCTTCCCCCTCCTGGGTGTGTCTCGTCCAACTACTCAAATCAATGACCTCACATAGGACTGGAGCCAAGAGCTTTCAATACGTGGTCTACTTTGTGGACTTCAACGTAACTTGGATTTATTAACGAATCCTGTTTAGCTTTGGCTGACTGAGTCAGTTTTACTTTTATTTTTATTGTTTTTGTTTTCCGACGCAGTTTTACCACATCAGCCGAAATTTTATAGGCTCTTCTTTCTCAATTTCCAGGGAAGCTTCTTCAAGCTAAAGGCACGAAAGATGCTATAAGAGAAGCAAAGTTACTTTTCCAGCGCGCATTGGACATACGTACGTCAGAACAAGGCGTTTATCACGCAGAGACCAAGACAATCAGACGCGCACTCATGTCCCTGGAAACTGTTGATGTAGGCGCCAAGTTTAGTGGAAAAGGAAGCGGGAAAGAGAAAGAGCTGCTTGCTTTAGAAGGCGTCAGAAGTCGACCGTTAACTAAGGCGTCTTCGAGAGTTGATTTCCGCCAGGCCAGTGCGTCTCAATATTGATTCTGAGTTCTTGCTATCGTCAAGGTTTGGTTTCCGGTAGGAAACTGCTCAGCAGCTGCTACGTACGTCCCATTGTCACTGAATAAGGATTGTCATGAGGGAACAAACTTACGTAACCTTCACAACGACCTGACCCTCTTTAAAATGTGAAAATTCAAGCTCGAGTTCAATTTTTCTACATGTACGAATCAGCCAACAAAACAACAGTAGTACTTATTTTGCCTCAGCGAAAATTTAACCAGGAAACCCCAACTAACAACGTTTCCAGGATCTCTCGTCTTCCCCATAGAGCGAGACCCTGGGTGCGAAGTAGAACTGGCTGGAATTGTTAACATCCCTCCCCCCCCGTAATATTACTTGTATGTCTTGTTCAAATCTTTCACAAGTCAAGGAAATCGAATGTAATTCAAGATGTACATACTCAAGACAGTTTCATATAAATGAATTTTTATTAACCTTGTCTAAAACTATTCTTTTCAAGAATGCAATTCACAGCACAAGAAATTTAACCAATAAGGTGGCACGCGCAGACAAGGGAATCAACTTCAGTAGAGGTTCAGGGAAAAGATCTATCTTTTGTAACGCCGATTTTATTGTTTTTGTATACGAAATTACAAGATTCTAAGTGACTTGGTGAAACAAAAACATGAAGCAGCTTACAAAAAAATGCATCTCCAATATATTTTTCCCGAAAATCTGACATGTTTCTTATAAATATACTCATTCCGAAGAGGCTTAGGCCGCCATATTTTTGTACAACCGCGACAAACAGCACCATCTCTCGAACGCATCCAAACTGTAATAAAGTCTAACAAAGTTCTTAAGTATTCTTTGAGTGGTTAAAGTTCGTCCTTTGCTTCAGCCGGGGCTTCTTTTGATTCTCCCTAGAAGGAAAAAAAATGTGGTGTTATTTCATTCTGGACCATTCTTCTTCAACTTTCGGCATGACAACTCAACTGATACACATTTTAACTTGGGCGTTTAATACTTTGGGGCAATTTTGGTTTTCTTTTGACCTGTTACACGTAAGTGTCACTACTTGGAAAGTAATACGTCGCTAAGCTTCCCTCTCAACCTCCCTACCCCCCTCCCTCCTCCCTGAAATGATCGAACATCTATGGACAGACTAACTATTTGTAGTTTACCTCCACTTCATCTTCTTTCTCCTCTGTCTTTGTCTCTCCTTCTGATGGTGTCTCTTCGCTGGCTGCTGATTCCTCCTCTGTCTTCTCCTCATCTTTGTCTCCCTCTGCATCAACCTCCTCCGTGTCCTTGTCTTCTTCCTCCTTCTCCTCGGCCTCTTCCTCTTCGGGTTCCACCATGGCTTCCAGGTCTACTCCCATGCTAAGACGAAGCATGCGTTCGATACGTCCAGCGAAGTCCTGGGAGTCCTGAACAAAGATTCACAATGTAAATGAATATGTACCACTGCAGACTTAATTTCCTCAATTATAAGAACGAACACTACTCAAAATCTTCTTTCAATTCTAATACATCAAGTAAACAATTCACAGGAATTAAGCAAATTATCAACCGTGGATATTGCAATTGATTAACCCGCGTAGGAGACACTGTGAGATGCTGCACAAGAGGCCATTTTGCTGATGATGACGAGGGCTTTCATATTGAAAGAGTAGCCAGTCTGAATCAAACGTCTCATTTCTGTCCACGAGCATGAGCTTCTCGCAGGCTAACAACTCTTTGAACCCTTAGATTGACCTGCATCTAATTTCTCCTAACATTACTAATGCGGAGTCATTTTTAATACAATAAGAATTGTGGGAATGATCACCAAGCTAGGAAGCTTTCATTGTTACACAAATTCTCATTTTTACACAAATTCTCATTGTTGGTACCAAAGAAAATCTATAGAGAACAGCAAGGAGAATATGGGTATTGATGTTAGGCTGTCAAGAGTTAAAGCTAATTACACCAACCTTGACCATGTATCCAGATCTCAAAGTTGCAGTTTCAAAGAGCACACGGGCAAGATCTTTGGCAGTTTTATCCTCTTTGTCAGTTTCCACTCTTTTCAGAAGTTCCTTGACCAATGGATGTCTTGGGTTAACCTCCAATGTTCTCTTTTGGTTGGCATAATATCTGAAAGAAATTTTGTACAAAATCAATCAACCCCTTGTCTCCTGAGAGCAATCAGTTTATGGGTAACAAAAACAACATCTCTGGTTCAGGGAGGTGGTCAAATGCAGAAACGTGAACAACAGAGTATAATAAGGTCTTGATTTTGAAACAAGTTTGCGATGAGTGAAATGATGGCAGTAACAGTAACACCAGCTTCATTAACATAACAGTTGGTCTTAACTATCATGCCAGATCACTGTAGCTACTTTTTACTAACATATGCCAGGTGGAATGCATGGCAAATGGGAAAGGGAAGTAGCAAGAAAATCCATGCCATTTTAAAATGAAAAGGTTGTTGGCACAAATGTGCATGTCCTATCAAACACTCAGATACTTTGGCAACATAAACCAGGTTGTCAAAAAGATTTTGAGTAACCAGCTATGATACAAAGTACATGTAGGCAGCACATTTCCATGCCCCCATACTGAAAACTGAGCCACAAGCATTTGAAATAACTGACAGGTTTTTCAGAGTAGACAGGGAAATGCACCAGTTGCCATCTTCTTTTGACAACCTTGCCTAATGGCTGCAGCAAAGAAAACCAACTTGACTTCAGAAGTTAAAGAATACAACTACATGAACTATGCATGTGCACCACAAAAAATAGACTGGATAAGTAATCTGCAGCCTATCAACTTTGATGATAATGGTTTCTAAAGTTCCTTCCCACTTACTCGTTACTTGGGTCTTCTCTCTTGGCATAAGCCTGCGACCTCATAATTCGTTCCATGTTTCCAGACCAACCATAAGAGCTGGCAACAAGAGCACAGGGTGACTCATCCAATCGCTGTGAGATGGCAGCCTTCTCGATCAGATCTTTCAGAGCGTCCTCCTTCAGCCATTTTAGCAGAGGCTCATATGTGCTCTCCAAGGCTTCTAGCTTCTTCTTCTGTTTCTCTGATTCTTCTCCGATCTTCAGACCTTCCTTGGCTACATTTTGGAATTTCTTTCCTTCAAACTCGGGCAGACTCTGGATGCAGTATTCATCAACTGGCTCAATTAAGTAGAGCACTTCATAACCCTTCTTGAGCAGACGTTCCACAAATGGAGAGCTTTCAACCTTTAAATAAACATGACAACAGTGCATCAATATGTATAGAATTATATATATACATGTAGGTACAACAAAACCTTTACATGTGAAGTATACAAGCACATTAAAGTTACTACCAACAAATTAGGTTGCCTCCTGGAAAAATTTTCATATGCACACTACTTTGAAAGAGACCATGGAAAAATATATATCACTGTAAAGCTTAAAAATGATAAAATATTCAAAATTTTGAAACTCTTGAGCAGAATTTTTTGAAGTAACCTTAGTGCATTATCTTTAACCAACTAACAACTCAAGCAAAGTGGGAAAAGCTCTTCAGATACAACCTTTCCATTCATAAGATAACTAACCTAATCATGCAATCAGCTCTGGTATGAGAGTATTTAACAGCTGGCCCTGGTTGTGTGGATAACCCTATCCACTGGATAAATCTAGATGGTTAGTGATTTATCCACTGAAGAGCACTGTCATCCTCTTAACAACTGGGCCTGATTTGTATTATTGTGCAGGATCTCACCTCCTTTCGGCTGGTTCCTGCCATGAAATAGATTGCGTCTTGTTTTTCCTTCATCCTCTCAAGATAATCAGCCAGGCTTGTCATGTCCTTCTCAGAATTAGAAGAAAAGAATCGGAGCAATTTGGCCAATCTGGTCCTGTTGGAGTGGTCCTCCATCACACCTAACTTGATGCTACAATGAAAACAAAAATTTCAGTTTATTTCAAGGAGATTCAATCCAAGGAAACTATTGAAACTAATAAAAATCAAGGATGAGATCAATTCTTGCAGCTTTGATTTTTGGGCAAACGTGAAGAGGCTGAACAAAAAAAGAAAAAAAAATAATGCCAGAAAATTATATACCTTGTGCTGAATTCCTTCCAGAATTTATCCATGTATTCTTCCTTGGGGATCTTCTTGATCATGTCCAGAGCCTTTCGTACAAGCTTCTTCTTGATCACCTTCAGAAGTTTGTGCTGTTGAAGATTTTCACGACTGACGTTGAGAGGCAGGTCATCAGAATCCACAACACCACGGATGAAGGAAAGATACTTGGGCATCATATCTTCAAAGTTGTCAGTGATGAAGACACGTCGCACATACAGCTTGATCTGATCCATCTTCTTGCCATATTCAGAGAAAAGGTTGTTTGGAGCAGATTTTGGCACATAGAGGATTGAACGGAATGTGACTTCACCCTCAGCAACAAAGTGGGTCTTGGCAAGAGGCTCATCATGATCCTGATAAATAACATTCATTGTTAATATGTAATACAGTATTGGTGTCATTTAAAACCATGAAATTTTGGAAAGTTAGTGCAATAGACAGCAAATTATTTTTAAGTACATTTTTACTCAACCTATGACATACTCCATGCAACCATAAAGCGTACACCTTTACCACAAATAAAACAACTTGGAAAGATAGCACAAATTGTTACGTTCCACACAAAACCTCTATAGTTACACATTTACTGACTTATTGACTCACAGATTTTTTATCTTCATCTTTCTTATTAATATAAAATGATTTTTCATGGCATGGGAAAGAAACAATCCAAGAAAAAAGTCAAAAAGTGAAAAGAAACTTTAGATCACAGAATTCCAAGTTACACACTGGTTTGTTACTCAATAACAACTGTACAAGTTAAATCAGTCTTTCAGAACAACACATAGCACAGTTCCAGAAGATACCTTAGTGAACGATTTGTAAAATTCATTGTATTCTTCATCTTTGACATCTTTGGGTTTTCGGCTCCAGATGGGTTTGTTTGAGTTAATAAGTTCCCAGTCCCAGGTAGTCTTTTCCACCTGAAAAACAACAACATCAAAAAATAAACAAAAGTACCAAAAAGGTGACTTCATTAATTTCCATCCAACTGTAACTTTGTAAGTTTAAATTTGCAAAACACATTTCAGTAAAACTTCCTTCTACAGATAATTTGTTTGCCACAGGTACAGTTCCTATGAGGGTTAATCCTCCTACTCTCTTAGAGAGAAAAGTTCCTTCACACTTCAAACCCTGACAGTGATAGGCATCTTATTTCTCCCAACAGTATCATTTGTGAATTAAACATAAACGCGATGAGAATAAAAGAAATGATGGCTAGGTCAAAAGGCTCTTGATCATTGAGTAAATTCTTCATGAAAGTGACAAAGAAAACATTTAAAGAACAGTGTGGAGAATTTGCAAACTGGTGCTAGGGTGTTAAGGGTTACTTAACCTGCAGCAGACAAACCTTTTTAGTCTTTGGTTTCTTCTCCTTTTCCTCGGATTCCTCCTCCACCTCTGCATCATCATCCTTGTCTTCCTTTTCTTTGTCTTCATCTTTCTTCTCCTCTTCCTTCTCTTCATCTTTCTTATCTTCAGCAGCTTCATCAGCTTTCTTATCTTCAGCAGCTTCCTCCTCGACTGGTTCCTCCACTTCCTCTGTCTTGCTGGTCCACAGGTAAATGTTGAAGTTGATGAACTGACTGTACTTCTTGACAAGGTCTTTGATGGTGTCAGGCTCAAGGAAGTCACGAGCTTCCTCTTTTAGGTGAAGGCTATGGGACAAAACACAATTTTATACATAATCAAATAATTCAAATAATGAGGCATTATCTTGCTTCTTAAAAAAGCATTTTTTTTACTCTTTGAAAACTAGGTGAAGGATGGAAGGGGGGAGGAAAAACACACATTTGTGCTTAAAATGCACAGATTCAAACAAATATTTTACCCAAAAAATACAACATTAGACATAATAGGAATATTTTTCCTAAAATAAAGGGTAAAAAAAAAAAAAAATTAAATGATTGTGAAATAGATGATCACAATGACTGCCAAAATAAGGCAACAACACCAGAGGAAAAGAACTGGTGTCAGGAACAAGGAGAAAACAGTGAGAAGGAACCAAGCTTCACCTTTTCTTCAAAGCCAAAGGCCAAAGTGTTTGATAAATATACCACATACTGGTAAATCACCCTGCATACACTATGTTTGGAAAGATTGTTTAACGCACTTTGAAAAGTGGATATAATCACCTGACAGTTGTTCCCCTCTTAAGGGTGTCACCCCTAGGATCCTCTGTGATGCTGAAGGAAGCTGCATCAGACTCCCAAATGTACTGCTTGTCATCATTGTGCTTGGATGTTACAATCACACGGTCGGCAACAAGGAAAGTTGAGTAAAATCCCACACCAAACTGACCGATAAGATCACTTGCCTGATCACTAGACTGAGCATCCTGAAGATTCAATATAGTAAAGCTTAAAGGATATGGGGACAAAAGCAAAATGACTAATGTAACACTCAGCAATGCAAAAAATGACTGTGGGAAAACATAACTGTAAGGGAGACCTTGAAAAAGGGAGTACACAAGTGGGGTTTTGAATATTGCTATGAACAATTAAGCTGACATAATTACCAGACACTTGCATCAAATCTACAAATGTAAGCATCCACACCATAAAAGTCCTAATTTGGTTGGCGTGTGCTGCACTCTGCATCAAAGGCCTACATTTAAGCCATGGCAGGGTGATTACTACGGTTTCCTGCTCCAAATTTCCGCTTTCTGTCAAATCCCAACAATTTTACACCAAAATTAAAAGGAAGTACAGAAAAAATTCTCACCGCCATCTTCTGGAAAAACTCGCTTGTTCCTGACTTGGCAATGGTACCCAGGTTTTTGACCATATCATCTTTTGTCATACCAATGCCAGTATCAGTAACATGAAGGATGTTGTTCTCCTTATCAGCTTTGATCTTAATTGACAGTTCCTCTGTGGCTGCAAGGGCTGACTTGTCCGTAAGTGACAAAAATCTGATCTTGTCCAATGCATCAGAAGAATTGGAAATAAGTTCTCTCAAGAAAATCTGAAAGAAAAAAAGATAATTTCAACCTCTGATTATTACCAGGTATCTTTTTATTTTTGATCGATATAATGCTAAGAACAAATTAACATCATCTACTGGTGGTACCAAAATTAATGAAATAATCAAGAAGTCTACAACAAATTTTCTTGTAACAGTGTTCAGTATAATAGTATGAATAAAGCTTGTATTTCTACCCTTCAAGATTTCGAAAAGTGCACATTTAAAGATCAAGCTGCATGTACAAGTAGGGCTTAAGACAAATTTTGAATGGTGGCCAATGAAGCTAACTGGCCAAAGAAATTTAAGCTTGTTCAGAACCCAACACTAACCCATCTCATTCATTAAATTACAGTTAAGATTTGACTGTATATTAAAGACTTTCCAAAATGTACACAATTTATCAACTTTACGCAAGGTGGAGTTTTTGGCTGTAAGTCAATATTCTGGCTAAACATCATCCATCAACCATCCACTTTTTAGAGTTCCTAGAGCCAGTGGTTTTTTCCTCAGATCTTGCTTACGCCATAACACATCCAAAATAGTCAAAATAGAAAGCGCTGTCAAATTTCTCCTACCTCCTTGTTTCTGTACAGAGAATTGATAATCAGCTTCATCATTCGGCTAACTTCAGCTTGGAAAGTGTGTTTCTCAGCCTTCTCTCTAAGTTCCTTCATCTGGGCCACATTCAAACCATCCAGTTTGATAGCTTCCTCCTCCCTCTGGACAGCTTCATCGTCTGTCTTAGATCCATCTCTACTTTTTCCAACATCTTCATCTACTGTGGGTGGTTCTGTCTCTGTTGGTTCTTCTGTCTTTTCTTCTTCTGCCAAGCAAAAAGCTGCAAAAAAAGGAACAGGAATATTAAGTCTACCATGAAAAGTCTGACAAAAATCTCATCTCAAAAAGTTGATACCAAGAACAACAAGACAAAGATGATGCTACTTAACAATTGCACATGTTCCCCAGAGCTCTCAAAATTCACACAAATGAATTTGGTCTTACACTCTCACACAGAAACTGCTATTTCTAGCACATTTAAGGTTTCTGATTTAAACTATTGTTTTTGAGATGGCAAACTGCTGCTTTTGTAAAGTACCTATCAAATTAATAATCCATATTAATTTAATTACTCCTTATTCACTTTGTTCTTTCTTCAAACACTTTCCTGTGATGGAAATTCTAGCTTAGAATAAAGAAAGAAAAGTCTGAATTGCTTCATTTCTTCACAATTTTCCCCCATGAAAATGATGCCCACAGCATTAGAATTAAAAGCTATACAGACAAAATTTCAATCTCTGCCAGCAAATCAACTCAAGAGCTCTGGTACCAAGTAATTATTACATTAATTTATTGTCATGAAACAGGTATCTTTTACAAACAGCATGAAAGACATTTTGTTTCATCAGTAGATAAAATAATTCCATTTTTTAATTCTCTTGCTTTTGAAACAATAAGATGCCATTAACTGAAAATGAAACATCTGGAGAAAACCTTTTTAAGTATGTAAGGTGAACAAACAAAACAACACATAAAATCCCTTAACTCAAAAACCTGCATTACAGAACTACAATGTTTATAACAAAGGGCTCAAGTGGACCACAATGTTATTGTTAATGAAACTTAAAATTGCACAAGGAAAAATAAAATAAAATAAGTTGAAGAAAAACAAATTTCTTTCAATTTCTTTTCAAATAGTTGACAATCTCTATGAGCTACAAGTATTTGTTTATCTTCAAGATGTTGGACATATCTGGCCAATTCCTATTGGTTGATAGCAAGTATCCAATCACAGGTTGACATATCTCGAGGGCTGGATTTTTAAAAGTTTTGAGTGCTTTTTCTAACAATTAGCCAATGCAACGTCCCAAATTAGAGCTTTTGCAGACGTTTTCCACTAAAGCTGTTTCAGAAATAACTTCTTGCCACCTCTTATATCTAAATGCATTAAAGTGTACCCTAAAAATTTTCAAATAATCCACTCCAACATGATTTGAAAAAGAAGGGATTTCCCAAAACTCAAACCCTCAAAATCATCTCAGTTAGAAATCTAATAAAGATTATCTAGTGACTCTATGGAAAAATAATTCAACTATGTAATATTTCGTTGTAAATTCACTTTCTATATAAGAGTATTCATTTAAATGTAATGGAAGTCAATAAGTTATACCAGAGAAACATTGTATAATAAACAATACCATCAATGTAAGTATACAAGTCTAAATTATCCTTTGGGACCGTGTTTCGTTTCATAATATCCACAATTTCCGAGTTATATTTTCCGACGGTAGACGTACATGAATCTAAATCGTTGCCAATAAGTACGTTGCTAATGGACAGTTTTCCAATCGACACAAGTGAGTGGTGAAATCGAAAGGCAATCGATCGTGACTTGACAGTATAAACGTATCGAATTTTGCAATTACCCACAGACCGAATACTCTGAAGCTTACTTTTAAAACAAAACGGCCGAAACCTTCTCTGCAAATCTGACGTAAGACTATTTGCTTTCATGTACATTGAAACGAAATAAAATTTTTCGTGAGCATAAAAATTATTCGAGGAAACTGTGCGAACTGAAATACTTGCAAAACTCAACTTTTCCTTACGCAAAAAAAGCAAGAGTACACTTACAAGAAATAAGAAGTAGCCCCAAGAGGCCTAGCAGGTACGATTTTCTTCCCATTCCTTGAAATCAAGATAAAACAGCTGTAAATGACAGCACTACCGCAAAATCTGTGCTAAACTTTAAAGTGCAAGGAAGTTCTATGCAGCTTTCAATCGATCCAAACCAACCAAAATTTTCCACGGCCAAAGCTCGTGTCTTGATCTAATTGGCTAATCTTAGTCACGTGCTTAACGTGGAGCACTTTGATTGGTTTATTTTGCCATGTAATTTCATTGATTCCCATGAGTGAGCCCTCGCTTTGCACCGAGGTTTAAAGTGTATTTGAGAGAATATACTAAAGAACTTCTTAAAAAGCTACTTAGCTTTGTTCTCAAATGATCAATAGATCTACTAACTCTGAAAATTTCATATATATTTTAATGTTTTGTCTCACCTCACGTGGAATTATTTTGAATTTAGGACGCAAAAAGGTAATACAAATTATTGCACAATGTTTGATCAAAACTTTATTCTCCTATCTATTAGCGCGGTTTTCCCTGACTCACCAGCGGTTTTCTCTTCAAGAGAAACACGATAATTTCACCGGGCTGAAATGTTACGCGACCAGTTTTCTATAATATAATCTTGCTTTAATTCAGTGATCGGAGTTATATTAACCTATTTTCGGATGATGTGGTAGAATTCTACCCTTCGATTTTCTGCTGTTAAATTTGCACTTGTAGACACATTGCAGCATTTTTTCTCACGTGCGAGCTAATGGAATTCTCTTTGAAGATGTCAAAAACCTTGATTTTACAAATCTTTATAGTTGTAAACATTTTAATGTGCACCGCACTTAGATCAGCTGCTAGGGAAAAGAAAGCCAAATGCCCAACGTGTAAAGACATCGTAGAAGCTTTCAAGAAGGTAAATATTAAATGCTTTTATCTCACCTACTCCTAATTATTGCATTACAGAACTTTGTCAAATGATTAATTATGGGGCTAAGTCAGCTTAGGTATATTTTGTGGTGTCGTATTTCGTAAGATTGGATAGAAATTTAATGGACGGTTTCGATTTTTGTTTCTGGAAAAATTATCCATTGTTTATTTTTTTTTGCTTTGTTTTTTTTTCTAATTTTTGGCCTAAATATCCCTAATGTTATAACAGAGAGGATGTGCAGTAAAACTTTGACAAAAGTTTGAGAGACGTGTTAGAATTATATAACAAATGCATAATTAACTCTTAAATCTTAAGTATTAGATTTTTTTTTTGCCCTTGATCTTGCTATATATCTATATTCCTTGTAACTGATTTGAGGAAATTTGGTGCTAAATCAAGGTAATACCTTCTAGCTGATGATTTGTCAATTCTTGTGAATTCTTTGCTGTTTAATCTTTGGTTATTACAGAACTTTTTGAAGTTGAGCCATTCTTTCTTATGTTATATTTTGGTATGCAGATTTTAGGAGAGATGTGAGGAATAAAAAATTTGACTGTAGCTGTTTTAAGGTGACTGGAATAAATTTGCATCTTTGAGACATCTTTTTTTAATTAAAATTACTATTTTTAGGGAAAAGAAAAAACAGCAAAAGCTAACTTTGGTGGTGGAAACACAGATTGGGAAGAGAGGAAACTTGGAAGCTATGCAAACAGGTATTTTTTGGAAAAAAAACTTTATTCAAACTTTTACCATGACATTATTTTACTATGACTCAGCTAAATCCACCAATCACAGAATTGATCACAATAACCATAGCAACAACCACTTACCTTGAAAAGAAAACTGGGAAATTTCCAAATTTTTTACTTTAGACACTTTCCTTAGCAGAGACGTTTGTCCTAATTGTATTTTCTTTCCAGATATTGTATTGGTTTGATTAATTGGTAACAGGACTTTGTGTCGTCCAGTTCTGTCTGTAATCATACTTATTATTGACAAATCACAGGCTGAATTGGACCCCACTCGCTCCTATTACCATTATTAAGCTGTAATAGTCTCCCTTGACTAAGTCCTTAACCCCTTAACTACCATGAGTGAGCAACAGATAAGTGATGAGAATAGAAAAAAATATCAATTATGAGATTACTATCAGATCCAATACCAAATTCTCCAAACTAACTTAATGAGAATCATTTGGCAGACAGTAAGGAGAATTACTAATGAGATCTTGAGAGTTAAAGGGTTAAGGCCTGTTTCTATTGTCTTCCACCTGTATTGAATGGCCACTTAAAGCAGAACCTCTCAAATAAAACTAAGAATTATCTCTCAAGTCAAATTTATTCTCAAAATCAATGTTAGTAATTTGAGAATTCCCACAAGTTATTGCAGATTATTGTTTTTCTTTGGACTGTTAGGACAACTATTATGCACAAACAAAGCGCAAGTCATTTGCTGGTCAGGCTGTATTAAAGGGTCAACTTGTACTAAACTGTCACCCCACTATTCCCCATGGGTGACTGCCTAACCCTTTAACTCCCAAGATCTCATTAATAATTCTCCCTACTGTTTGCCATACAGTTCTTATAATGTTAGTTCAGAGAATTTGAATTGGATCAACCAATTATCCCCGAAATTGACATTAATTTTTTCTTTATTCTCATCACTTATCTGGTTGATATTGTTTTGATATTGTTAGGAGAAATTCTGTCTTGGTCACTCTTGGGAGTTAAAGGATTAATACAGGTTTGACTGTAGTGGGTTGTTGTCCCTTTTCTTTGATACACTCAGGAAAGTTACCAGTTTCTTGGTGATACCACATCTCTAGTCTGGAATCCCTCTGCTATGGAAAAAACACTGACTGATGATGTACTGTGGGGCACAAACAAATTTGTACCATGTTAAGTGGATTAAATAATACCCTAGAGTTCATACCACACCCTTTTGAAAGAGTGCAACTTTTTATTTTAGGATTATACCTGAAGGGAAAAACTTCTGGTACAAACAATTGGTGGTTAATGTTCTTTTGTTTTCTTTTTGACTAGTGAAACCAGACTAGTTGAAATTATGGAAGGACTTTGTGAAGATAGTGCTTCAGAGGTAATTTTCTTTGGAATTTATCCCTTTAGTTCAAAATGTTACTGTGAAGTCACAGGATTGGAGTATTCTAAATTGTGCAAAATAACTTAGCTTTAAAATGAAGGCAATTTGCGGAGGATAAAATTTTAAAGAGATATTTTGCATTTTTGCCATCATTCTGTCTTTTTTACGCCTCCTTGAAGAAGGGCACAAGCTAGCCGATGGTTCAGTCCCCTTGACTTCTCCTAGAAAATAAACTGTCTTTGATTGTCAATTTTTTTCCTTTTTTTTTTTCTTTTTTTACAGTGCCATGCAATGGTTGAAGAACAAGAAGAAACACTAGAGGAATGGTGGTTTACCCAGTAAGTGAGGTTTTGATGGTTGAAGTTTATTATCCTATTTCAGGGAAGTCACACGGAAATCTCATGACATTCTTTAAGTACAGCAATTTTGTGACCCAAAAATATCAAAAGTTTTTTATTTAAAAACATGCAGCCCTAACCTTTAATGACTATTTTCTTTTTCACAGCCAGTTTAAAAATGATGATATGAATACTTGGTTTTGCATTGACAAGTTAAAAGGTAAGTGTTGTACATACTGAGAGTTCCTTTTTATTGCTTTCCTAGCTGGAGTTCATTATTTTAATCGGTTTATCTTTTCTTTTTTTCTAGTGTGCTGCCCTAATGGTACTTATGGTTCAGATTGTAAAGGTATGCCTACTTAGCAGTCTTCATTTACCACTGATGATTTGCAAATTTCACCTTTTATGGCTTTAGACTTCAACAGTGTTCACTTTGTATGTGTTCTTTACAGTGAAATGGCTTTCATTTTAATTTATTAATGATCAGAGAAATGTTTTGTTCAATGTCAGACCCCATGTTTGTCATAAAGAGTTAGTCTCCTTGGCCCCTTTCCAACTTAAGCTAATGTGAACCAATTTTGTATGTACTTATTTTCTGTTGCTCATTTAAAAAATACATTCATCTCTTTCTAAAAGTTTTCCTTCTACTATTTTGAATCTGTAGAATGTTCTGGAGGAAAAGATACTCCTTGCAATGGCAATGGAAAATGTGAGGTATGTAAGTATCAATTTTGAATGAAAGGGCTGAACTTTTATACAGCTTATTTTTAAGACATTTGTTGCGTAAAAATAAATTGTTGTAACGGAATTAACTCTTGGACCTATGCATTACCAGCTCTGTGTTGCAAGGAGTAAAACACATGCACAGTGTTGACCTGATTATTTTATTTTCAGCTTACCAGTAAATGTCAGGAATTGCAGTGCCCTTGTGAAAAGTACCCTAGTTTTATAATCAATATCTTTGCAATGGTATTTAGGGTGACGGCACAAGGGAAGGAACAGGAAAGTGCTCATGTGACAGCGGGTATGAAGGTGACTTATGTGATGAGTGCGAGGAGTTGTATTTCGAGGAGCAAGATGAAAATTCTAAGCCTAAATGCACTGGTATGTATTCTGCAAATTATCTTGGGTTCGCAACTCCTTGTGTTATGTATAAGACTTGATTTAAATCTTTAAATTGTTTTTAGTCTGGTCAGTTGACTTAAGGTCAGTAAAGGAGTGCAATGTGACTTGAACGAAATGTTTTCGAGGCAGAATGTTTTCTGCTAATGTTAATAGAATGTCACAAACGAGGGACAAAGAAAAACAGGAACATTATTTTAGGATTTGAACGCTAATTTGACAAAGATTTTCTTGGTGTACGTAAACAGCTGGCACTTGACAACAAACTGTTGTTAATTTTAACAGCGTGCCACGAGTCTTGTGCAGACAGTTGCTCTGGCGGCTCACCCAAAGACTGTGAGAAATGCAAAGGAGGCTGGGATATGACAGACGAAGATGGATGTAAAGGTATTTGTTGAAAAGTATATTTGGCGCGACTGTGTAGTTCCATGTATGCCCGAGAGCTGTGCTCCTGCCCTTTCTTAACGGAGTCCAAGAGCGAGGAGAAAGTTAAAGTTTAAGCAGATTACAAACAAGACGAGGGATAGGGAAATGCAAAGAGCGGGGAGTAACATGCAGGTTGTCTGTCTCAATGTTAAGTAAATGCTTGATAAAAGTCATCGTGAGAAAAGCGCGGAAAAACGTATGGAATTAGTAACAAGCGTTGGTTGACAAACAACGCATACCAAGCGCAGGAAAAGATACAGGTAGAGAAAAGTGCGGGAAAGGATATGCAAGGATTATATACGTGGTAAGGCGTAAAGACTGGAATTGGGCTTACAGGTAGGATAACGTACAACGCAAGCCAAGCGCGGGAAAAACATAAGTGGCGGGGAGAAGCGCGGGAAAATAAACGGAGCTCAGCGAACTCAAAACCATAGCAAGCATACCCTATGCTTACTTTTGAGTTTTGACAACCGACGGGATGCATGTTGTTTTGATTAATGTATTTTATTCTTTTCAGATAAAAATGAATGTGATGAAGAAGATATCTGTGGAGAAGGACAGTATTGTGTGAATAATCCAGGATCTTTTGTTTGCAAAGGTAATGTGTATGACCCATTAATCGTGGCGAGTTTATTGAGTGATTTTCATTTCGCCGACATTCAGTTGTTTGATTGACTGCTCGCAAACGTAGTCTCGAAGTTGTTACCAAACTCTCATTCGAAGACCCAAAACATAAATGAATGGCCATCATCTTGTACTTAAAGAAAACCTAACTCCTTTAGCTTGGGCAATTCCAAGCTCTCAGACTTTGCGGGACAGCTAAAGAGCGAGCGGGCTACAAAATGGCGGCTATTCCGATCCATCCCTCCATTCGGACAGATAATAAGTGACTTAACAATTCACTTCATATGTATCTTTTTCAGGCTGCGATGATTCTTGTGAAGGCAACTGCACTGGGGAGGGTCCAAAGGGATGCCTTGAATGTGCCAGCGGTTATGTTAAGAATGACGAAGAAGAATGTAAAGGTTAGTTTATTACAAGAAATGAGGAGCACTTTGTTACTTGGGATGTGATAGATATATCTCGCTGAGGTTTTATTTGTTGCAAAAATGCCACAAAACGCTCGTAGCACTCAACACTTTTATGAAAGCAGCCTAAGTTAGTAGAAATTCAGTTTTGAAAATAACGAAATTGCATTTGTTGTTGAACTAAAGCTCAGCTGTAGACTAGGGGAGAAAGGGTGGAGGTTTGTCCAAGAGAACATGCGAATTGCCTTGGTATAAATTCCTAAAAGACGGTAATATGGGAAAACCCCCCTTCCCCCACCCCCTGTCAAAAAGTGCTGCCTTAGCGCTTGTTAAAGCTTCAGGTAAATTGTTGAAAACCGCATTTTGGACTGAATTACTAGTTGCAAAAGGTGAACTTAAGTTCGAATATATTTTGAAATATTTAATTAACTTGAAATTTTTTCCCTTAGATGTGGACGAATGTTCCGAGAATTCAACCATCTGTACCAGCGGAAAATTTTGTGACAATACCCCTGGATCATTTGTTTGTCGTAGTAAGAAATCTTTCTGTCTGTCAAAATTGTTTTCCATCTGTCCATCTAAGACGTTTTGATATTTAAGGAGAAGTTGTTTTTAATTCCCCGTGCTTTTATTTCAGCCTGTCACTCTGCTTGTGAGACTTGTATTGGAGAGGGATCTCGAGGTTGTACAAAATGCAACGCTGGGTATCAGATGACCGAGAATGAATGTAAAGGTAATAATACGCTTTCTCTATCAATGAGAATATCAGGGATAAACAGTGAACGCAAGCTAAGCGGTTCTACCTGTCTTAACCCTTTAAATCCCAAGATCTCATTAGTAATCCTCCTTACTGTCTGCAATATAGTTCTTGTGATGTTAGTTTGGAGAATTTAATATTGAATGAAGTAATAATCCCCTAATCAAGATTTTTTCTTTATTCTCATCACTTGTCTGCTTGATATTGTATTGATAGCGTTAGGAGAAATTCTGTCTTGGTCACTCATGGGAGTTATAGGGTTAACCCAGTTTCCGTAGCATAAAGCGAGTTGGAGAATTGCAACTCCTCAGTCCTGTTGGACGGGATCAGTCTAGCCCGCGAGCAAGGCTTCGTTAGTAGCGCTGCAAGACGGATATTTCTCTGTCCGTGGAAATATTTCAGGCGAATCACGGAGAGGTTTTCAGGGGGTTTGGCTCTAATAATCAGTGCCAGGCACCTTGCAGACCTCGCGGCGACTTACGTTGTTTAAGGCCTCACACTTTCCCGCGGGCGAAGAAACACTCGTGCCAAAGCACCAATGATGAGGGCCTGGTCGCCAGGATTAGCCTTTCATAGTTGACCACCCTGTGATTCGTCAAATGCCAAGAAGATTTGAACTAAGATATTTGAAAGTCGCCAGTTTGCGATCGTACACCATGACATGGTCGCCAGAAATTATATTTAGTCGCAATTTTCCTTGGAAGATGGCGACCAAGAATTGATGGTGTTTTGTGCAAATGATTATCTAAGAGGTAAAAGCGTTACACCTTACATGAACGTCGAACACAGTTTGTGAATTGTCTTTTTCGTTGTGAATTGTCTACTGCTCAAGTAGCGTTAATACTTGCGATGATGACTCTCATCTTCATAGTTCGTGAAATTCATTATGAGGACTTTCGCGGTCGCCGAAGTGTTTTCCACCCATCATGTCGACCAAATCGGTCACCGCTTAGAGCGCTGCATTTACACACACTGATGGCGAAAGACCGTTTGAGTCTTACATAAGGGAGCCAACTAAGGCGGACAGTTCGATGTGAAGTCTAGCGTGGCAAACATTAGGCCACTAAGTTCCCCACGAGAAATCTTCAAAACGAAGAAAAATTATTTATGTTATTATTTAGATAAGGACGAATGTTCCTCAGACGAACACAACTGCGACCGAGAATCAGAAAAATGCCGAAATATGCCGGGTAGTTTCACCTGCGATTGTCAGAAAGGCTTCAAACGTGATGGGGACAAATGTGTGAAAAAGAAAGGTAAAAAAAAGATGGACAAAGGCAAAAAGACAGTGGAAGAAGAGCTTGCAGATGTGCTAAAAAAGGGCGACTACTTCAGCGAAATGCAAATGAAATTTGGTTCCGTCTTATTCGCATTATTTTTCGCTTGTGCAGTTGCCGCTGTCATGAAACGCAGCTTGCTTGCTATAGTTGTTATGACTGTTGTGTATGCTTTCATTTGGTGGTACTTCAGAACGTGACAGTTGTGGACACCTGAGGTAGAAGAAAGATTCTGCGTGGTAGATGTAGGTCTGATTGTGGAGATGAAATGCAAGATCTGCATAATCAGACCCATTCACTTTTTGAAGCTTTTAGGTCTGAACACTTATTTTAGTGGTATCCCCCGAGAGAGTTTTTTAGAAAAAGATAGACGCCCGTGTTTTTTCTTACCTCCGAACCACGTGTTGCTGTTAAACCAAAGCCTTCGTAGAGTCAATTCGTGCGTTATACATGTTCTATTAGTTGATTGAGATACCTGACTGGAGGTATCAATTCTTCTGATATCATATAAATTTTTTTTCAATCTTGATAAAAAAAATACAGAGAGAGTTAAGTTCAGGGAGATCAGGAGGTTGTCCATTTTTAACATCTTAAAAGATGTTAATGTAGCCTGAATCGTATAAAGTTTAATATATCAATACATCTATCGAATCAGAGGGCCGTTGTTTGTAATTGTTGGTTGAGCCGGGTTGGGAACTTTGCGATCCTAAACAAGCTTGGCTCTTTAGAGAAATTTTGCACCACGAAAAGATTTTAAAAATATAAATGAAGAGCTCCTTTTATTTCAGCCGAAAGGCAGTTTATCTACCTACCTTAATTTAGCTTAAGTTTTACAAAAAACAATTGATAATTTAGCTCGTTTATAAACTTTGACAATTTAGAGTAACATTTTGCCTATATTAATACTTTCAAAAACCCCATTATTAAGGATGAAATTTAGTTGCAGGAGTTTTATGTATCTCTTGCGTGACAACATAGTAGTGTCACGTAATTCGAGTTACACTGTGCTAATGACGTAACTTACTCTTAAATGCTTTTATCTAGAAATTCACTTGTGTGGTGTCACTTTTGCTGTTGTTGCTTCTCTTTCTATCGGGTTTCCTCTACCATCCCTCTTTCAAGAGGAGGAAGAACTCCAAGTGTTTTTTTTTCATAAATGATGTCAACTCGTTTCTCTAAAGGTCGTGTGTAAAGTTCGTGAAGAGTGTTCGTTCTGCCTGGTTGTAGCTTTATGGCGTACGCGTGATTGTTTTTCTTTGTTTGCTAATGTTGTGTGTTTATTTGGGTTACTTCGTTTTGTTTATTTTGTTTTGTTTTGTTTTGTTTTTCTGTTGTTACTGTAGCAGTTGTGAAGCCTGAAGAGGAGCAGGAGGAAGATGATGACGAGGACGATGAAAAAGAAAAGGATAATAGCAAAAGTGACTCCAGCGAGAAGGAGGAATTATGACACAATTCTTTTGTAAAATTGTAAGGGAATTTAGAAATAAATTATTTATTCAATTCTTAACAAACCTTGCTACACCGCCCACTTAGAAACATTGTAGTGAGGGTACTCAAGGTTTCTACCCTCCAAGGGGGTTCTAAGTAGAGTTATTCCCCCTATTCGCCTCCACTTCTCAAACTGCGTGACATCTGCGCGCGTACACTGGCAAGTGCACAAAAGTCAGACACGAAAACACCTACAGATTGAAAGTATAAAAATGGAACGTGCGCCCCTGATCGTCACACTACACTTGGGTTTTAGACTATCCTGAGTTAAAGAAGTGCTTTACTCTACTACCTAAAAGTCGTAAACCATGTTTGCACATGATTGTACAACATGGAAGGGAGATGTATCCCAACACAACCTGAACCAAATGCATATTCATCTTACTAAGGAAGAACTGGGAATAGGTCCAGATTGAGGGTTCCTGCGATCATGCCTGTTCACATTATTTCTCTCGACAGCAAGAACGCCAGATCGAAAGTTAGGAGCAGGGAGAAAGACCGCATTCATTGTTTAATTTTCTTTTTTTATTAATATTTGTTTCATATTTCTACTTCCTTGAACATTCGAAGAAAAATCTTTACCCTGTGGGGACTTTCTCGCAATGTTACTCTCTGCTCCAGGTATTTATTCACCGATTTTTGCTCGCTCGCAGTATCGTCTTTGCTACACGACGGTTACAGTTCATATAAAGAAACAAAAGTGATGGCAGAGAGCGGCGCTAAACATCACGGTGGCTCTTTAGGAAGTAACTTTATTATCACTTAGACAAAAGGGTCCACATTGCGCCACAATCTTTCAAATACTTTCAGTTAGCTCCATGAAAACCAATTCTTTACGCTTCAGAGTTAAATTGAGGTATCATAGTCTACTCATTCCGATTGCATAAGAGATGAAATGTCGATGTATCACAAACCATGTTACGCTGTCAGACGCAACGAACATTCCTAACGTCATGGCTCATGACAGAAAGGACACGATTTTTAGTCACTAGTCTCCCCTATTGTAGCCACGTCACATTTTTCCACTTTGTTTTAAAATCGATACTGTATCAGCTACAACCGTATTCTCTGATTGAGGTCTGAGTTCGAGTACAAGGCAGCAATATTTGCTCGGCGGATAATGTGTGGAAGCATGCTCATTCAACTTATAATTACATCTTCAGTTAGATGTTCTCCGGTTTATACAGGCAAACTGATTTGAGTATAATGTATTTAAAGAGGACTCGATTTTTATTTCGTTTTAATCGTTACTCAGAGTCAATAATCGTCGTCATCGTTATCAGGTTGGGCAGTCTCCACCTCCTCGTAATCTTTCTCCAGAGCAGCAAGATTTTCACGCGCTTCAATAAATTCTCCCTCCTCCATGCCTTCGCCGACATACCAGTGAACGAACGCCCGTTTGGCAAACATCAAATCGAACTTGTGATCCAAACGAGCCCACGCCTCAGCGATGGCAGTGCTGTTACTAAGCATGCAAAGCGCCCGGAGCAAATTGGCCTGATCCCCGCCGGGGACAACCGAAGGGGGCTGGTAGTTGATTCCCACCTTGAAACCCGTCGGGCACCATTCGACGAATTGCACGGTGCGTTTGGATTTTGTGGCGCAAATTGACGCGTTCACGTCTTTGGGAACGACGTCGCCTCTGTAGAGCATACAGCAAGCCATGTACTGTCCATGCCTCGGATCGCATTTGACCATCTGATTGGACGGAAGGAAACATCGGTTTGTTATTTCTGCCACGGTCAGCTGCTCGTGAAAGGCTTTTTCTGCGGAAATGATCGGAGAATAGGACACCAGAGGGTAGTGGATTCTCGGATACGGAACAAGGTTGGTCTGGAATTCAGTCAGATCGACATTCAATGCGCCATCGAAACGAAGAGAGGCAGTGATAGAGGACACCACCTGCCCGATCAGACGATTGAGATTCATATACGTCGGTCGTTCAACATCCAGGTTTATTCGACACAGATCATAGATGGCCTCATTGTCCATCAGGAACGAACAGTCTGCATGTTCCAGAGTGGAATGCGTGGTCAATACAGCGTTGTAAGGTTCGACCACTGCTGTAGACACTCTGGGCGACGGATAAACACAAAACTCCAGCTTCGACTTCTTGCTGTAATCAACAGCCAAGCGCTCGATGAGGAGAGAAGAAAATCCCGAACCTGTTCCACCACCGAACGAATGCGAAAGAAGGAATCCTTGGAGACCAGAGCACTGATCCGCCTGCAAAATATAAACCAAAGCCCTTGGGTAGACTAGGAAACTCCTTACTGCGATGTAGAGAATGCAGTAAGGAGTTTTCTCGTCTACCCAAAGGCAAACCACAGATTTTCCAATACGTGATTTTAAACCGTCATCCTTTAAAAAAGCACAACTGAGGCAGACAGAACAGTAGCGCAGACGTCAAGAACCGACTCGCCTGTAACATGTCTAAACCCAAGGCTGCAATTGAAACTAAACTTAAAACGAAAACCGCCCCACATGGCATGAACCCTCCCTGCAAGAGGGTTATAAAATTAATCACAAATATTTTGAGCCCACAGCCGTGGGTTTATACAAATACAGAGCGAGACAATTCCTAACGGCCGATTATCACTAATGGGTCTTTCGAACTCCTTTAAAACATATCCTAAAATTTCGGAAATTTTGTATGAGTGTGTGCAGGTGTACATGTAATTTTTCTTTCTGTATACAGGGTGAGGTTGACCGCAGGAAGGGGCAAATAAAATCACCAACAGATGAACTTTTCATCAGGGGATTTTCTTTTTTCACAATTTTTTATTTTAAGCCCCGAGTCATTCATTCTTTTGATCACTTTAGAGGAGGTGGGGAACTTTTAGTTTATTTTTTTTTTCTCTTATGTTTTGTTGTTTTGTTTATGTCACTTTTTCCTTAAGCATTTTTATCTGCCACCACCGTTCCTCAATTTCATTCATGTTTTTTGTTTGTTTGTTTTCTATTTCTTTTTGTCTCTGGGGCTTTCTTTGTTTGATTATTTTTGTTGTTGTTGTTGTTGTTTTTGCTTATGTTATTTTTTTTCGTCGTTTTTCTGTTTTATGCTTTTCTTTTCCCTCCCTGGAGTACATCTGTTAGCCATTTCATTTGGGGAAGGGCCCGACCGTGTCAAACCTCAGAAACCAGTTGTTGTAGATCATTTTCCAATCACACTTTCCATTTTGCCCCCAAAACACCATCTCTGTCAACCGCAAGCCAAACTTTCAAAGTATTTCAAGTCTTTCCCTCCAAAAGCAATTTCACTACCATTCCTTCCCTACCCATATCTGCCTCAGTGGCCAAACTCTATCAACACACAACATGATATCTAACTAACGTCTACCCTTGCAGTAGTTTCGAAAAACCACTGACCATTCTTCGGATTCTATCCATCACCAGGTCGAGGATTTCCTTTCCTATGGTGTAGTGCCCGCGAGCATAATTGTTAGCGGCGTCCTCCTTGCCACTGATCATCTGTTCTGGGTGGTAGAGTTCTCGATAAATTCCTGTACGTGCCTCATCTGCGGACAAAACACGATCAGTGATCACCAGAATCTAATCTTTACAGAGGAAATAACTACATCGTGAAAAAGCAAACAAACAAATACGATAACAAGAGCACAAAACAAAAGCAACAAGAACAGCTAAAACAACAAAAACTTTGGATAAAAATTGACTTTGATGTTTGTTTAGTGACTACCTGCTACCTCCCATTTTGTTGAAAGAAGGTCAGGACACTAGCCATTTGCAGCACAAGTTTTTTCCCTCTCCTCCACGGTTGGGTAGCAGTGTCCATCCTTCCCTCCCCTCCCGCCCACAGACCTCTTTTGCTTGTAATACAAAATTTTAGTCGAAGTTTTGACACGATAGGGGTGGATTTTTGGAGTGGTTTAACTGCATAATTTCGTATATCCTCCTTTGAGGACTTGTCTCGAGCAAGAGCATTCAAAAGTAATTGCAAATGACCAAAACAAAGCAAGACCAAAGGGGAGAAAACACGGCAATTCAAATTGATTTCTTCATGACTCTTAAGCTGAGGACCAAAATACTTACTATAATCCTTATCGGAGAAAATGCAATAAATGTGAGAACTACAAAACAACTTATAGAAAGGCTAAATCACTTTCGATCGATAAAGCTTGGTTAGTATCAATAGAATGTTACTCTTCTATTAATCAGAATTCATGTACACGTAAGTAAAGTTGGTTATATCTTGCTGAAGCCAAGTTCATAGTTGAAAGTTAAACTTTTGAAACACAATTCGTAAGTCCTATTAAAATATTTATTTTTATAAACGCCTTCATACTTAGGGCAACTATGGAAGCGAATATCAGATCAAATCAAAGTAGAGTTGGATATTTTCATCAAATTGTTAGCGACCTACCCACGACAGTTGGTTCCAGGTCGACAAAAATTGATCGAGGAACAAACTTTCCCGCCTCTGTCTCGTTAAAAAAAGTGTTGAATGAATCATCATGGATTTCACTGGAAGGATTGCTGATTTTACCGTTCGCTAAAATGCCATGTTCAAGGCAGTATAGCTCCCAGCAAGCGTTGCCGATTTGGACTCCAGCTTGTCCGATGTGGATGGAAATACACTCGCGCTAAAATACATGGTAAAAAAAACGAGAAATAAATAAAAGAAAGTGTAAAAGAGAAATAAAGCTAAAGTGGCGGTGTTTCACAAACCAATGCACTCCAAGGGACTTCAAAAGTTTTAACAAGTTTTGTAAGTTATGAATGTCTCAAGATGGCGTAAACAAACTTGAAAGTATGTGTTTCATAATATTTCCATGGAGCAAAATAATCTCTAACTACTGTTTTGAAAATATCCTGTCCCTCACAATAGATAAATCCGCAGACGAAATTTCAATAACCATTAGAGTTTCAGAACAAAAATCCTACCATTTTCTGCCAAAAAGTTTGGAGAAGTTTTTGATGACCCGAGCAGCGAGCGGTTCGAAGATAAAATTGAGTTTGTGTACCAAAATCAAATCATTAATTAAGTCTAAGTCAATTAGAACAATAGGATTAATTAGAAAATCGGATAATTAGAGCGATAATAATTTAGTAAAATAATAGTTTTATTTACTTTACCTGGTGGTACTTTTAGAAAGTAGTTGTACAAAAACTGCCATCTGTAAAGTAACTTCCGAAATTGATGGCGACAAAATTATTTGAGATTCATGTATGCCGCGTGAGTACGTCATTTAAAAACCAGCCAATAATGTTTGAGTATTGTGTGACGTGGAGGGTCACGCAATCGTAGCTCAAACGGTCTTGGCGTTACCACTGTTTTTACTTGCATGTAGTGAGGATCCACGAAGGAAACGCGCCATTTTGGTATCATTTTGACAAGGGAGGGTTCCCGTCGGAACCTTCCTTTTGTTTTGCTCCAAATTGTTTGAGATAAATATGACACCAGTTGCGTGAGAGGAAGCTTCTCCTCTCAAATGTCTTTTATGGCAACGAAAGCTCTCAGAGCACGTGTGCGCTGTGTTAAAATTGTAACATATATCATTGATCAATTTTTTTAACAGTCGTCTGTTCCTAATCGATTTTACTAAAGCTATCAATAATAAACAGTTTACCCTGTATTAACCCTTTAAATTCTGAGTGACCAGAATTTAATTTCTCCTTACAATATCATCCCTGAATCAAACATCAAGATCAAAAATGATTGCCAACTAAGGAAGCTATTGATTTTTAAACAAATTCTCCTTGTCAGCACGTTAGGAAATGTATAGAGAACAGTATGGAGAATATGCATACTGATGTTAGGGTGTAAAGGGTTAAAAGCTCTCTATTCAGCACAAACCCTTTAGGATTGCCCAAGATATATGAGCCCACGATATAAGGGCAATTCACTAGAGGGGATATTCTACACTGAGCACATAGCAACAAAGCCGAGAGAAAATTTTCAGGAGAAACTTTATTCTTCATTTATTTCCTAAAACACGAGCTTTGGGAGATGCATACGTTCATGATCCTTTGTCGTTAAATCTCATTTAGTCTCAGCCAGACCTGGTGAGAAAGAACTTGTCAAACTTGCCAATTTGATCCTAAATTTTCAAATTTCTGATCGTTTTTATCTGATCGTGGCCAAAGAGGTCTCCTCTAAAATAGCCACTGAAATTGGAAATTTTTCGTTGGAAACAATAATCCTTATGGCCAGAAATGATTTTGGTCTAAACTGTCAAGTCACTGACAATCACATTTTCGCAAAAACAATAGTGCAGCCCATGATTTCATGATACAACCTTTCAGCTCTCAGTTCTCGTTTCCTTTACTGGATATTGCTGAAGGTTATCATAACATGAAGTTTTCTCCATAAACAACACTTCCTGTTCAAAGTCACTCTGTGATTTGTTGGATTGAAATGGCCTCGTATCATCAAGTTGAGGCTGATAGATATTGCATCCATTGGACATGGAGACTGCTTTCATGGAGCACCTCATACTCAGCGGTTGTACGTATGAACTAACACAAACCAAGTCTCCCGCAGCCTGTGACGTCATAATACCCTTTATGCTACCTCCCTTTGGATTAGCTCTGCGAACTGGGGAGAGCAATCCAGCTAATGGCTCCGGCTTGTAACCGAGATCATTTTTACGCAAATCAGAAAATGAACTTGAAAACGAATCAAAATTATTAGTCAAATCTCGTTCATTTTCTTCGTCTCTAGGTAGTTTTTCTTTAGATTCAGTTAATACTTCTGTGGAAGATCTGCAGCCGTAATTTACGTAGGAGCTGGCACACTCACGTGCCTGTAGCATTTCATCTCTCTTAGCCTCCATGTAGAAACTTTGCGCATGCGTGACGCAATCTATGGCATGTTCTTTGATTTTTGCCTTTTGGCCGTCAGTAAAAGGAAACTCATCTTTTGTGTCTCCAGCGATTTTTGCCAGATCATCATAAACAGCCTTGGTCTGGTTGAAGCTGGGCGTGGCCTTGGTGTCAACGCGTTTAAAACCATCATGAGGTTCGCGATGAGGAGCAATAAAACGTTTCTCGAATTCTCCCTCCTCAGTTTCCGCCATTTTACTTCTTGGAGGAATTTGAACAAATTGTGCATCGTAGCTTAAGTTGGATGGAAAGAAAGTCACCACTTTTGCATTTCCTTTCCCTTTTCTAGATCTTGTTTTCAAACTGCTCTTCCTTCGTTTTCCACCATCAAACAGATTTTCTGAATCATTGTATGTTCCAAGTTTGTCCATACAGGAAAGCTTTCTTAAATCGGAGTCGGAGAAAGTCAATCTGTCGGGGGCCTTAGTCTTCTTCCTGAACAATTGATCCCGGCACGGGTCAAAAACAACCCCGGGGTCAGACTCTAAATCGATGTTTAGATAGCTCTTCGAGAATCCCAGGGGGAACTCTTGCAGCTCTATCATCTGACGTCTCCGTGGGCGGAGTTTAAGGGCATACTCTACCACTTCGTCGTCTGCGTCCAGTGAATCACGTGACCGTCTTCCGTAGCGATCCACAAATTTCTCCTTAGATTCTCTAGTGCTTCCGTAAGTACTGGGTCTTCGATTTAAGAACGCACCGATACTCGTCCATTCAGGTTCATAGTTGGTGTGCAGTGATTCCTCTTTTTCTGTAGCTCTGAGACGTTTATATCGATATTTCGCGGGTTCGTAGGAGTGGCTTCCATGCGATCCCTTAAACAAGCTGGATACTTTACTTTTAGCTTGATTTAATTTCCCAGATTGTTTATTGTTATGCGGCAAAGAGTTCTGTGGAAAAAAATCAAACAGGTAAACAAGGGTAGAGATTATGCCTTCCGTTTCTTTAATTTCTTTAAACATACTAGCTGCTATCGAAAGATGTCATTCGTTTTGTCACGAGCGTAAAACAAAGAGAAACTGATTTTCCGCGAGGAATCGAATTAACGCCATGCCATCGAATTCCGCGCTCTAATTCTCGACATATAAGCTACAAAGACCTCTATAGTGAAATTAGGCCACTATTAGGCTGATATGTGACAGGCATCCTACTTACTGAGAAGATTTGCTGAACCGTTAGTCAATCGCAAAGCGAGTTAGTAGTTCATCATTTTTCAAACTGACTCACAATCTGTCATTCAGCCGTTGGTCACTTAGACGGTCACTTACTCGGTCATTCAAGTGGGCTGTGACTTTATTTAGTTGGTTTGTCAGTAGTCAATCTCTCGGTCAGACAGAGAGAAAGTCAGTTATAGTCACTTAATCCTTCAGTTCATTTTTCGATCAGTACCCGTTTGACTTATAAGAAATCAGCATTGAGAAAGCATAATATGAGTTAAAGATATCTACCTGTGAATACAAGTTTCCTGAACCTGCTCGATAGTGTCTGTCACTAGTAGCCATGGTAACGCTGGCTTGATGCGGTTTTTCGCTATAGGTCATGGTTTTCGTGGCATCTCTGTGCAGCATGCATTTTCCGCATATTCGTTTCTCTGAGGCTGTAATGGGACAACCGACATCATGTTCACTTCGTTGGCGCCTCCACAGGCAACCCCAAGGGAGATGGACGCAGAGGGCCACAACAACCACCAATATGACGGCCCCGGCCACAGAGGTGATGTACCAATTAGTTTCTGAATGTTCCTTTGGAGAGTACACTACTGCTGTTGAAAAATGAGCAAAGAGATTTTACGATCCCCTAATAGATAGCAAAGTGTCTAAAAAAAGTTCCACCCCTTTTAAAGCGCCATAGCAGTTTTCAGTTGAGTGTGGAAAGTAATCAAAGATTGCATTTGTTTTGTGTAACTTCGTTCTGTGTTTGGTATGGAAAACTCGCCCCACTTTTTCATGCAACCAATGGCATGCAACCAATCGCATGCAAAACTAACCCTAAGCAATTACTGGTTACCCACATTTTCCCGCGCTTTTGGCGCTGGCGGTTGGTTTGTTTTTTATTTCGAGTTTTCATTGGCGCTTTAGGGTATTTTCTTCCTTTGGATTGGTCGTTTAATTTCTTTGGTTTTGCTTTTTTACGAAACTCAGTCGATAAGCGCTTTACAAAATTACAAAGATCCTAGAGTCGATATGAAAGCTCTGCACACGAGCTTTGTAATTTTATTGGTCACAAACTGAAGTTTTATCTGTACACGTAAAAGTAGGAATTACTATGTGGAATATGAGAAACAGTACAGAGGGTTTTATTACACCACTTAAGTAAGATCCACCGCATAGAGAGCAAGAAAATCTCTTATAAAAGTAATGCTTGAAGCGTGGGCAAACAGGAGTGGCCATGTCATGTCGTGTATGTTTTCAGGGGTCGTCGAGAGTTTTCTTAACCAATAAGAGAACGAAATAAAACATACTAATGTAGTACCATATTAGGTTCGACACAATTTTAATTTTCTCAGACACTTCAGACACTGTAATACTCAATATTTTTATAATCGTTAGATTAAATATCAGTGTTTTTTTTCCACTCTCGAAGTCTAAAATTAATGCTAATTGTGTGAATGATCATATTTGACCTCCCACCAACAAACACTTAAAATTATACGCCCAGGCGACCGGGTGTTGCCACATATGCCAATTTATCACAAACCATCAAAAACAAATTATACGCTTTGACGTCAACAAAACCACTACGTAGTATTTCAGCTGGCAAAAGAAGACATTTTCCTGAGATATATTCCGATTTACACGAAACTATACTTTTCTTTTATCCTTTAAACAAAGAAATCTTGAAGTGGAAAAGAAATTAATTGAAATAAAGACTTTCTTCCATTCAAATCGGAAATTTTGTCGTGCTTTCAACAAGGATAACAAAATTTAGAAGAAAAGACGTGGGCAATTTCAAAATTATGGATCTTCCTTCGATGTTCCTTCTTTACTTGATATCTCTTCGGTAAATATAGGAATATTTCACCGATAACTTTTTGTTGATAACTTGGCAGATTAATTTTATTATTTACTTCTAGCTCTGACATTCCTTTATAAAACCTGACACCCTGAAAACAGGATGAATGGTATAGATAAACTTCATTTGAAAAGGGAAAAATAGATTAAAGCTGGTGAAAAATGTGCCAAAAGGCCAAGCAACGTGGAAGACAATAAACACAATACTCATTTAAAAATTGCGAAATCATTTATCATTGGAAAGCGTCAGAATTTAAAATTTTATCTTTTCTCAAATTCATGGTTTCATTTGTTTTGAATTAAATTTTTAGTCCTTCATGATTTAAAAATAAACTAAAGGTTTCAAGAAGTAAGCGAAATATTTGCTCTACACTTTCAAAAACGCTTTTAATTTTCTTTCTCCAAAGGTTTGGAAAATCTTAATGCAAGCTTCTCACATTACTGTATTTTCAATTAGAACGGGGGCGTCATGTAAGACAGTACAGACATAACATACGATATGCAGATTTTTTTTTCTTTTTCAGAAATAGTACATTCTGTTTTACACTTTGTTTTTATTAAAAAGGAAAATTCATTAAACAACTTAAGTTGATCTCTGAAACGTACAGATGCAAGAATAACTGGGATTCGGAGCAAGAAAAAAAAGTTAATTTGCCTTTCTTTAAGTGTTGAAGGTTATGAAAATCGTTCTTCTATATTTTGGCAGACAATATGTCAGTTAGTTTAACCTCCTAATGGCTACTAGTCAAAATATTTCGTCTTCGAATTATCCACCTTATTCTTGCGAGAAATAAGATTTTAATTCAATTTTTAGATCCTGTCTTTCATTATTTCTTTCTAAGTCTTTTGCATTCTCTTAAAAAAAAAGGTCGTGCATATATGGAACGCGAAAGCTTGTGAAATTGTTGCTTCCAAAATACCTCAGATGCAATATCAGAAGTAATCTATCAGAAAATCTTAAAAATATCACGTATTAAAGCAGATCTTAGCTTTCAGTCGTGCGGTTCAAAACCGCGAACAGACAATATGGTGTGCAATTTGTTCAAGATTAGTCGGTTTGCGTGAAAAGGTGAAAGATCCATGAAAAATATAAGCCATTTATTGAGTGGTGTGTTGATCGTGCTCTTACTATTAAAGAAAGCCATGTTGAATGACGTACTTACCGTTCATCAATTATTGCGTGAATGGTTTTCACCGGTTCGCGTACAATCATAATGCTTTCATTACGTCAAACACAGCTATTATATCAAACTTCTTGTTGATAAAAGAGTTTTCCGTTTGAAAAAAAGACTCATAATTTTTTTCGTAGAGATTTGAAAGCTGAAAAGCTATCAGGAACTTAGAAAGCCAGACGTAAATCTAACTGAAAAGTATTCACACTGAATATTATTTTTCTTCATTCAAATGGTTCCTTGTTAACATGTTCATGACCAAAAATTATATTTAACAACTGATCCGTCCTTCATTGGAAACATGCTAATACTCACAAGGATTTTCCATTGACAAAATTCCAAGATCGGCAAAAGTAGCGGGAATTCGCTAAAATCAATCGCAAGGAAACTTCTGAGATTTGCCGGCACTGTTTTCCCCTCTGTGGTGCGGCCAAAATTGCTTTAAAATTATCCCGCAGATTTTGCTTACCAATTTAGATTTTCTCCAGTCGTGTTGTATATAATGAGTGTTTTATATCTTTTAGATCGTTTTAAACCTATCACCGTTATGGTATTTTTCTCTGCGAGGGGTCTCTCACATTTTTTTTCTTTGATACTATAATTTAAAAGATTTCCCACCCTGAATTACACTTAAAAACCGGCTTGAGTATTAAAATCATGATTAGTGAATATTACAGGAATGAGAACATTTCTGGTATACCTTTTTCCGACGAAAAGCAATATTCTCCATTGAAGATCAAAACAGTGACTTGTGAGAATTTCCGTACGACATTTCTTGAGCTCTGATGCATTCTTAAACTACAAAGTCTGTCTTTTCGACAATTTTACTCTCTTTATCTAAATTTCATGAACTCAATATGACTTTTTCGCCGTAACTGCACCAACAAAATTCAATATTTGCCAATCATATTTTTGCAATATTCAGCAAATCAAAATAATCCGAAATGGATTAAAAACAGAAACAATAATACATAAAATGTTTAGTAAAAGATTAGTTTTCGAATGAAGCTGTTGAGAAAGTGGCTTGGGTGGAATTGTTATTAAAAAAATTAAACTCAGCGAAAAAAAAGAGTCAACTGATCTTTATAAACCAGGTTTTTTACTACTGTTTTAGTTAAATATGATTCTTGTTGTAACGTACTTTTATGTCAAAAATAGCAAAGACTTAAAAATAACATGAAAAAAAAAATTTTGAAAACGAACTCAGCACGCCTTGTTATTTTCAGAACTAAAATAAAAAACTTACCCCGTGAATTCCATGGGCGTTATGTAGGCTGTCATAGCCTCTTGCTAACTGAATTTCATTGTCTTTTTAATAATGACCCATATCAGCTGCACAGTAGAGAATCGGTTTGCATACAAAAAGACACAATATACGACACTCGTTTGGTAGACAGAAGTATATTTATATCTATTACAATCGCCGCAGGCTTTTTCACAAAATTTCGTAATTCTATGAATCTACCATTTGATTTACTCAGTGATCTCGCTCTTCTCAATTTCAGTCTGAAACACATTATCCAATGCGTGTTTTCCCAGGGAAAATCAGCTATCGATCACAGACACGCTGAGTTTCAGTCTAATCTGAATTAACCCTTACACAAAATTAGAATTCTGAAATTATTATATTTTTAATCATAAAAAAATAAAATATTTTTCTTTTTCGCTCTTTAAAGATACGTTAACTTACCGTAAGCGTTCGAGTTGTCATCGTAAACAACGGCTCGAAATACATAGTCCTTGTTAAATCTTCGAAAAGATTGAGCATATGATGGCGTTGATTCCTGCGAAGAATACACTTTTTTAGTCGATTTGCCTTCGAGATAAACCCTGTTTAGCAATTTCTTCAAGTTGATCGGCGAATTTCCATCTCTATTGTCCTTAAGTTTGAATAAATCCTCCATCTGTTGCGATTTACCCGCAGTTTTTCCCACAAGGGAGGATTCACGGATTTGTTCACGCTGTCCAAACAAATTCTCGTGTAGTATTGAGTTTTCATGATAGGGTAAGTTTCCATTGAAAGACTTCGATCGCTGAAGCCGCCGATTCGGTGAGCCATATATTCCGTTGAAATCGTTCTGAATATGAATGAAGAAGATATCAAGATCCGATTTAAAAGGAAGTCTATCTTTCGTACACATAAATACAGAATGGAATTGAAAAGCGAAGTCAATAATAAAATTGTTTGAATATAAAGTTGACCTACCAAAATCTGAAGTAAACAAATGAGTAGAAGGTCACTGACGACTCGGAAAGCCATCTTCTCTATCAACATTTACATTTTTTTAAGGCGCGTTCTAGAAATTCAATGCGTGAAAAGTCTGTATATCTACAATAACAGAGGATCGCTAAAGTCTAGTTCAGTTTGAAGGTGTCACCAAGACTTTTGTTGATGCAAATCCAGATTAAATAAATAAATTCGAAATAAATGCATTCTACTCAAAAGAAATGCTATATTACCGGAAAAATGCACAGGAAGAACTCATAAAAACATTCTGAATGCCTGAATTAAAAATAGATGACTTTCCCGAAATTGTAACACCGCAGTTTACAACGGAACTCTCGATTGCCAGCCTTAGTTTTGTTGAGATTCAGTTTTTACAGGAAATAGACTATGCTCTCTCTCGTTTATCTCGATCGTCGTATTGAATGAGTATTACTTTGGTAGAAAAGGAAAAAAAAAAACGTCTGTTGAAGGTGGGAGGCGAAATCGATTATCGGTTGGGTGTCTGAGCCGGTTTATTGGCCAAACAGTAAATGAAGTGTCAAATAAAACAATGAACCCAAACAGTACAATGCTATTATCTTTTTTTGACACGCTGTAAATTTTTAATGTATTTTGTGTCTTCGGTGAGTGAAAAACTGAATATTACATTTATAAGGGAAATAGAAGAAAACGTACACAGTGAAACGGAGAAAATTTTTAACCAACTCTTAAAATTCAAACTTTGAGAGAGGTTTTTAAAAGTGTCAAATAATTCATCAAATCCCTCTCGAAAATGATGAAAAATGTTTCCTTCGCAACATGACAATTCGCGATCTTCGTTGCGGTGAAATACTTAAAGGTGGTCTTGCTAACTAACAAATTGCGGTCCGATGCAAACATGGTGAAAGAATCATAGTAAGTTGGATATTTGTGGTTTGACAGTTGATGATAGGTCAAATCATTTCAATCTGATCTCCTATCACCCGACTTTGTCGTATTATTGGCGTATCTCTGTAGCTGATTCCCGAGCGATAAAGCAGTCGCCATTTTGTGAAATATACATAAGTTTGTTGTTTCAGAGACGATCGTGACGTCACATGTATTATTACAAGCTTTAGGTTCCGGGAACGCACCGGTCAAACCACGGGCGTGCACGAAGGGATCATTTTTGCCGCCGCCCGCGCGCCAATTTCCGGAGCAAAATTTTAAAGGAAAACGTACATACGAAACAACTGCGATCTCGCAAAGTAAGAGAAAGAAAATCGAAACTGCTTTAAAAAGGAAAAAAAGTAGGGAGAAGAGAAACCCAAGACTTTCCGAAAACAAAGCTTATTCACGTATTGATATACCATTCTCTTTTTAGGCTTTACTGAAAAAGTTATTCGTTTCTAAAACGCTGTGACTTACTGGCTTCAGTGGTTGTTTGTAACTCGTGTGAGTCATCGTTGTCCTTAAAAACGTTCGCACATGAGCAGAAGTTTGACCACTATGATGGTTCAAAGCTCCCAGTCAATGGAGACGTGCGAAGCAGCGGGCAATCGATAAACAGCGTCTGCGGTTGTCAGGGGAACGGATGATGGCCCTTGCCGTTTCTCAAGAGCCCCCTTTTTTCATGTTTCTTCTGTTAACCGAGAACTATATCACATGTATCTATATATCATATTTCCTTCTACAAATTAAACCTAGCAGGGCATACGCTAATTTAGAAGGTGAAAGGGTTGGATTTTTATCTTTTCAACTGAAGTTCAAAAATACCTTAAAGTTATAGTTTGTTGGGGCATAAAAAGGCAGAAAAGGGAAGAATAACCCGAAAATGTTCGAAGATGGAGACAAATAGAAGAGTTTACCGTTTAACTGTAACTGAGATTTGGGGACCATCTCGACGCTTGGCCGTGGAAGGTCTGGATACGAGACTAGGTGAAAGGTAAAGTTTTGGCCTTTTACGACAAACTGGTGAATTTCTTTTCCTTACGGCTGAAAGAAAATTTTGAAAATTAATTTCAGTTATATCAATAAGTTGAAAATTAGTTTCAGTTACCTGGAAAGTTGAACATTTTCACCGGTCTAGATCACATTTACGGCCTACCTTTTACTGCTGAGGTCGGGTCAATTCCGGAATAAAAAAATATACACACATGGATAACTAATCAAGTAATTACGGTATTATACAAGAATTGTAACATAACATCTGATTACTTCGGTAGCCTTTAGGTAACTGAGCTACATTTCTTTGTTTTAGAAACTAGGATATGTGACCGTCGTAACCGCAATAGACGCGAGCAGTAGACACATAACAGTCGAAGATTTAAATGTTGCATCGTAATTAGAAGAAATTTCCACAGTTGACTTTAACTTTCTTGCGACTAACAGTGAAATTTACCAATTTTTACGCCTAACAGATAAACTTTTGTCCATTTCGTGACTCGTGGTTAATGTAGCCCGTAGAACAGGCGAAATTTTGGCGAGCTAGCGCTTAGTATTTTCTTGATGAAAATTATAGCTGCCATCTTTTTTTTTTTCAACGCAGAGAAAGGCTACGGAGACAAGTTGAGGAATTTGTACCAAGAAGATGTGTGACGATCAAAATAAATGAAAGAGGAGGAGGTGGAGCAATGGAACTTTCTCAGCCTCCTTCCCCCACCGTCCACTCGAACTCAAAATGAAACATGGCCGGTCGAATAGATGATCGCGAAGTTGTAACGTTAACTCGCCCTGATAGGATGCCTGCACTTCTAGGTTAACCTTATGAGGACCCTCGTATAGCAAATCATGAACTTAAAACAAAATTTACGCAATCAGTGGATGACGAAATTTGAACGTAATTTGCAAACTATTCAACAGTCTTTATCGAGAAGAGGGTCACTCCCTGTTCCTGTGTGACGTCACAAAATAATCTTATTTATCTTACACTCTAGGACTGATGGGCAATTAATTTCACCGAGAGACTTTAAATCTCAAGAATGTTTCTTTTTCCGGGATTAGGCGTGATCAACTGCAATTTTAATCTGTAAACGGCTTAAATTTTCGAGGTGGCACTAACCCGACTTCACCATTGGACACGCAATGTCTTTCATTTAATTTAAGGAGCAAGAGAGTTATAGAATAATTATCAGGTTCTTTTCCGGTCCCCCTTAAGTTGTGAATCTTTACTCCGTTTTTTATGTCGTTTGTTTATGAGGATGGGTTTGTGCGGCTTGAACAATCCATCATTTCCGTCAGTTACAAGACTATGAATCTAAGTCGATAAGATCATAACAATATTTGCTAAAGTTATGGACGGTTTCCTTAATTTAGTTAGTGCGGTTTATCACTGTTCTTTATAATTTGGTATGATTTGGTATTAAGGGCGTAACCGCGAGCTAATTCTATTTGTTAACTAAAAAAAAAACAACAGGCAGGTTTATTCAAGTCACAACTTGGTCAGTTTGAAAAAAGGGGCCCAAGTTTGTAATCATTTGCAATCTGTTTTAATCTTATCAGTATCCTCGGTCACCGTTCCTTTTAGTTATTGTTGCCTCTTGGCTGTTTAACCCATGAACTCCTAAGAGTGCCAAGCGTTTGATTTTTCCTTATAATATTACCCCTGAATCCAGCATCAAGATCCCAAGAATAAAGGAAATGATCACCAACTAAAGAAGCTCTTGATTGTTAAACAAATTCTCCTTGTCAGCACTGTAGAAAATGTATAGAGAACAGTATGGGGGATATGCCGACTGATGTCAGGGTGTAAATCTTTAGGTTACACTGGTAAACGGTAGAATTAAAAGGCTTTTCCCAGTTACTGACTGGCTAAAACGATCCAAAATGAATGCTTAAAATATGACATTTATCAGGTGATACAGTTGATCCTTTAACTCCTAAAATCTGATGGTTATTCTTCCCCTGGCTGCCTCATATTTCCTGCCATATATTTCCTAGTCATGGGAACTTGAATTAAGATAACAACTTCTACCTGATAAGTTTGAGTGTTCTCATATCCTGTTTGATGGATGATAAATGGATCTTGTAGGGAGAAGTTACATGTTGATCACCTCTGAAGGTGAAAGGTTACGAATGAACACACTGTGACTTCTGAATCATTGGTCATGACTAAGAAACTAATTTCTTTCCCTACTTGAAGTGTATTTCTTTGAGAACCTAAGCTTTTGAGAGGAAAATGATTTTGTTTGTACGACTATGAGGAGTAAACAATATGTCCCCTTATTTGCTCGTTTGGACATAAACCCGTTACGTAATCAACTGTAGCCAAATCTTTGTTGGCTTTTGAACATTTGAAACAACCAGTCAGGATTCAAATGTTGATGATTATCGCTGATTACGCTGCAGTTATGAAGTAACTTAGCTTAATTACAGCACTAGAAATATTTGGTTTTGTGTTTCAAGTGTTACGCACATATCGTGATTAATTTACCCAATCGCGGCTCTTGGGCTGCCAACGACCGATCATTCATTTTAGAAGGCAGAAAATTAAAATGTGCACGATCATGCTGACTGGTAGTCTTTTTGGTCTCCCCTTCCTTAGGCCTCGAGCCAGCAGACGAACTTATCAATTACTGAAACCTTTGGGTGTGCACTTTCTCTGGAGAGATCTTGAATAAATTTAGAGGAAATTGGATAAGGAGATAAAAGACTTTATTCATAGGAATGAGGAGAATTAAAGTTTTGACGTAAAACAAAATATTTGGAGGAATCATCACGGACCAATATTTGTCATTAAGTAATTGCAATTCGCAATTTTTGGCTGCATCATCTTGAAAAATAAGAGTATTATATAGAATATTTACGACCGCTCTTAGGAAGTGAAAATACTGTCAAATTCTCAATAAAAATACTTCACTTTACTTCCAAAGTGCATCGCTTGTTGTCTGATAGCTTACTTTTTTGAAAAGAGGCCATTTTAGCGGGTTATGCATTTCTAGATTCACTACTCCTAAGGGAATGACAAGGCTACACACTTCATTTCCGAACGTGTGATCCGAGAAGCAAAAAAACCATGCTCAAAATGACTGGGCGGCCACAAATCCAAGCATATATATTGTATTTTCATTTCAATTCACTACCAACTCAATCCTCCCCGTGATACCGACGCTAAGCCGCAATTTGCTTCCAAAATTTCCAGTCTAAACGTTTCTAACGACCTGCGTACATATTTACCACGACACACGACCGTTGAAAATCGGCTGTAAATTTTGCAAGCAAACTGCGGCTTAGCGTCGGTTTGAGTTGCAATGAAACTGCAGTATA